CGCGTTCCATATGAAATATCAAACATTTCACAGGAGCATTGTCATTGTCATTGCACAGACCATGTTTCTCTATGAAAATTAATTTGTTAAAAAATAAATCTCTTTGTTTTCTAACAGTCATGTTTCTGTCATATATTTTTATCATGCCACATGAATGTATCGACACTTGAAGGAATTCATGTTTGAGGTTAAAGCATATGATATGATCAAGGCTTATAGGTAGTGTTTGAAGGAGCTCAATTGTTGTTTTATTATTATTACTATATTATTATTATTATTATTATATAAAATAAAATTCTTATTATTATTTTTATGCATCAATGGTTCAATGGCTGATGGTAGAAGCAGGCCATGATTGAAGGCTGATTATTTTTTTTTTTTCAATGCATCATGATTGAGATGATTGAGATGATTGAGATCTGGTTGGTTATTATTTGTAATGTAAAGCCCAAAGTTGCGCTCTCATGATGATCGCTCATAATCATGATTGAGGTCACATGATGATTGGGTCACATGATTGAGGTCCGATGATTGAAGTATGTATGCTCATTTCCTGAAGGGCACATGAAAATGGAATGATATGAAATGAAAATGGAATGACATGAAATGAAAATGGAATGACATGAAATGAAAATGGAATGACATGAAATGAAATGAAATGAAATGGAATGGAATGGAATGGAATGGAATTTATTTTAGATTTATGGACGGACGTATCATAGAGCAAGAATTATGAAACTATGAAATGAAATATATCATATAATAGAGCAAGATCTATGAAATATATCATATAATAGAGCAAAGATCTATGAAACGAGTTATTACGATAAGGGAGAAACCATTTCGACTTTAGTATATAGATAAGGACTTTTTTTTTACAAAAGGGCCCTGTTCAAAATAAATTTGCCACCAAGTTTATAAATTTACATAAGTTTGGAGAGCTTGAGAAGAAGCTTTGGTGAGCTTCGCTTGAATTCCTGGTCATGGATATGGAATGACGCACAGCTAGTCTCTATTATAGAGTGTGGAGAGTGCCTAATATGGGAGGTTGACCTTAGTCCACAAGATCCATTGAATTAGGCTCGTCACACATCCTTGGCACGCACAGGCTTCGCCCACGACATGGCCCCACGCTTTCCAATCTCTGTTCTGCTGTAATACCTTATTAACGCCTCATTTGTCTTCTCACCAAGTATTGTGTTATTTTGAAGAAAGCAGCTTTTGCTGATTATTTTCATATATGAGTGGATACTTGACATAGGAAAGTTTCTGCTAGGGCCCTTGAAAGCCTACTTATTATCCATACACTCACCGGTTTTGGGGATGCTCAGGTTCAGATGCCCACTGGCAAACAGCCATTGAAACATCCTCGTTCGTTCGTTCATTATTGATAATAGTTTATGCACATGAAAGGCAACATAGTAATATTAATAATGACAATGATATGTATCTTATTAAATCGAAGGACTGAGCACGCGTAGGGATAGGCACATATTCAAAAAAAAAAAAAAAAAGATTCATTTATTCATATTCGTTCATTCCTTCCTTCCTTCACCGTAGACCAAACTCCTTTTTTACTTTGCACCAAGAACCTAGTCGTACTCGTTTATGGTTCAAGACAACATCGATCTGCGCCCAAAAATTGGTTGCAGCTATTCATGATCAAGCGTCAAAGGAGATATGTCACACGGCTCCTCCTAGCGAAAGCCGTGGCATGGCTAAATATCGTGAGCGCTTCTTTCGTGCTCCCGATGATGCTTGCCATATTATGATAGGCGTTGCTCAAGTTGGCGCTGATGACTGGTCGACTAATGCCCCGGCTGTGGCCAAGAAAACTGGAGATCTCTCTTCATTCCAAACATCAGCGTTCCAAGGTCAGTAGTCCTGGGCCCAGTAATTATGTCTTTGGATCCCTTTCTAAGGGAAAGCCTGGTGAGTCCGAAGTTACTTCTCAGAACGAAGCCAGTCGCTAACTCAGATTTACAAACTGCTTTGCATATGCTACTACAAAGAGTGACTATATCTATTGAGATTACTATGTGTTATGATTGATTGGTAAGAATAAGCTGTCTAATATCTTTTTTTTTTTTTTTTTTTTTTGTATTTTGGAAGGCGAAAGAAGTAATCATCGTAACAGTGTTGATGTTGAAAACCCTGCAGAACGAGGACCCTTGAAATTATTGCCTCGTTCGAAACCTTTTTCTGGTCAAGGAGGCGTCACTACTGCAGAGCTTAAAGGAGTGGAGTCAGGTGTTCCAAAAAAGACGAAGGAGGAAGTTGAGTGCAGTATCCAGAATACGCTGGAGGAAAACCTATCACTAAAGGAAGTGATTGAACTGCTGTCGAGTGCCAAGGAACTAGCCGCTTCTCATCGACCACCTTTTGTCGATACTGTCGGCGATATCTTCAAGAGGCTATTGTCTGAAAGGGTCTTGCCGCCAGAAGATTTTTGCAAACCATATGAAATCCCGTCTGGCACTGAATCCGATGTCCCAATGCACATTGGTGGACAGGACAACTGCTTGAAGCAGCTGGTATTCTCTCATGCTCGTTGGGGCGTTACTATCTCATTTATGTCAGCCTTCATTATCATTATATCCTTTTTTTTAACATAAACAAATATGTTATATACTAAACCCTTGCCTATGAAGTATAAAGTAATAATGAATTTATTTCATGTTACTCCACATAAGCTATGTAAAATGAAGACAAATGTTTTATTGTCCTCTTTGCAATGCTATCGTCCTCTCGGCATGGGGGTTTAATCCTTGGTTCTTCTTTGCTTGTTCATGCAGTAATCGAATGGCTTCACTAAACTGCTCCTGAGATAGCGTTGTAATAGGCTACCGTTTATCAGCGTTGTTAGTGGCCCTCAGTATTTTCCGTCTATACTGTGTTTTCAGCTGCTTGATGCAACCTTCGCATTTTAGTAATCTGTCCTTATCGGAAGCAATGTTGGCAAAAACACCTCAAATGGGTATTTTTATTGGAGTAGTTGATAGCTCTATCTCGAATTGGGAGTTAATTCCTTCATCCGAGAGTAAGACTGCACTCGCCGCGCCTTCATAAAAGACCCTCGTTATTACATTAGACTAGATCAGACTTAATCCAATAAACAACCATCTAGGCACGTCATCTTCTTTGGCCTTTATGAGACTCATTATAAGCTATAAGGGGCGTTGGCCGTGCCGTTGGCCCCATAATCCTGACCATAGTATTTCTGGTGTTGCAGTGGGTGGCGTGGTGCTTGCACTGTCCGCAGTAGACGTTGGTGCGGTTAGGGTGTACAGCAATTTATCGCCTGCTCATGCGTCGTCCTTGACGGCTTGTGAATTTTCCACGAGTTCGACATCATCACCAGGAGCCTCTTCCCCTGCACGCTTTACCGCTTTTTACATCGGCTGTGGTATCTGCACTTTCTCCGCTTAGAACACCCTCTTTACGTTCCAAGCGGCGTTTATCTTCAAGGATCTACTTGGCTATACCCACTACATACTCTCTAGGTGGTGGGGCGGGCTCTTGAGGGAGTAGTGTTAAGACATCTATTAAAAAAAAGGATATTATCAAGTCCCTCATCAAAAACATATTCTTTGTTATGCCTTATAGCTTGCTACGCCGCCCTCTTCAGCTTTAGCTTACTCTGTTGGTGAAGAGGTTGGAAAGAGTTGCTTCCCTTTGAACCATGAGTTGAACCAATCGCTGGCATAATGTGATTGGCTCGACCCAAAAGCGAAATATCGATCAGTTGATCAGTAAACAAAGGGTCTTGCTCAAAAAAAACCTCTGACGCCAGTATACATGCATTTTGGGGGCATTGAAACCTTGATGGGCTTCGTTTGCTTTCTGGCCAGCCGTGCGTACGAAGCGGCCATTCGAGCATCGAAAGGCCTCTTCTCGTAGCTCGGTAGTGAAGTCGCTTTAGAGGCCTTCATTTGGTTGTGCATCTTTAGGGGGTTATGGACTGTGTGCTAAAGAGTAAGCAATGCATCTAGCGTTGATGCTCTTAGAGAGCAACAAGGCTCTTATATTGTACAAGGAGTAGCACTACAGCATATAGAATGGCTGTGGATGATGGTATCAAGCTGTAGAATAAACAAGTAAAGAGTGCAGAATCTTGGGCATTGGAAATAAAAAGATCAAAAAAATTAGCAACATGACTTGGGCAAAAGGGGTGAGGATTGATCAATGGAGAAGCAAAAATACAACTGCATGCTTCGTTTTTACAACCTCCTGTTTTTGTGTCTCTCATGTGTCGGAAGCTTAAATTATGATCGAGGTATCAATGCCATAAAAATGTAAGAGCTTCTTGGTCAAAGCCAAGTTCCATAGGGACAGGCATTTGTACAGCATGGCATTAAATAGTAGATAAACTGGATTGGATTGAAATAAGGTAGGGGAAACCCTTTTAAGCTCTTACTACATCTGGCCTTCTGATCTAATAGTTTATTCGGTTGATCGTGTACAAAAGTAAAAGGCTTTGCAAAGGTAAACATCGATAATCGATAATTTTCTTTACTTTGCAAAAGTAGCTTCCCGGTATGTTACTTTTTACTGATTTCGTAAAAAGTAAAAAATCGTAAAGTTGGCCTTTGATTGAGCGCGGCTGAATTTCGAGATGTGCGGACGAAATCGTTTCGGGCGTCCGCCTCCCTAGACCGGTGTCGCCTGATCGTATATGTTTATCTCATGGATACTTTTTCATAGCATTATAAAGCCCATGGCTCCTTGGTAGCAAGTTCACTTGCTTAGTTCTTGTCTCTTTGGTACCAATGCCCCATCCTGCACCTCCTTGCCCCATATTTAATAGCTACCACTGCTAGAGCTTTACTAAAATTATTATTGCATTTATGAAGAGTTTTGGTTAATTGTCTTTGGGTTATAGTTGTATCCTTTTAAAAGCGGGGAGCCTCCGGCCCAGGGTCTATGGTTCTCTAAGGACAGGTGGAGAGGGGATGTCAAGCTAGTGCTTGGTCAAGTTATTTGGTTAATGGGGAATTGGTTTCATGAATCCTAAAGCATGAACACTGGCACAAAAGTCAGAAACAGGAGTCGTGGTGTCGACTCTATCAGCGAAATACAGTGTGCCTGTAATGCTTTATGATAAGTGATATTGCTGCGCGGGAACCTATGTTGGGTCGCCTCTCATAACCGTCATTAATTTATTTGATCTCTTAATAAGAAAAAGCTCCCTCTTTGGTACATTCGTACTTTACAGCCAAATTTTTTTATGAAATATTTTGGACAGACGAGTAGCTAAGTAGAAAAAGCAAATGAGAATAAGATGTAGGTCCACACTTTGTGTGTAGAAGCATCGTATGGATAAAGTCTGTTGTAATAGAACACAAACATTTCTTTGTTGTCATTCGTTGCATCTGTTGAGCCCAGTTGACGCGTCGCGTCTCTTGTGTGAGGGAAAGACTATAGAACACCAACTATGCTTAAATAGTCCTGCCGCAGATCCATCCTAAAAAAAGAATAGTCTTAGTGAGTAAGTATCATTGAAAATAGAGAGACAATGCTTATTGACAAGTCATGATTGTTTGCAGTCATTGACTCTTTTACATAGTCCTTTACTAAATTTGGTTACTTTAAACAGTGAATAAACCACGTTGTTTATAATTCAAAAACAGTCACGACTGGGCCTGAGTTGAAGTCTTTTTGAAGATCGATTCTTTTTCATTCATTCTTCCTTCCCCTCTTCTCTCTCATCACACATAAACACTCCCATCATGTCTGTCGTTGGTATGTCACTAATTACGGAATTTCTCTCTTTATGCTTCTTATATCTATTCAATAATGGGATTATGTCTTCCTTATCAAGAAGTTTTTGAGCTTTTTGGAAGAGCAATGGAGTCTTTTTTTTTTTTTTTTTTTTTTTGTTGTTTCTGAATTTCATCGTTACAGCAAGAATTGTGCTTTCAATTGCAGAAGATGGAGGCTACTACAAATCAAGCGACCGAAAGAGTTCGTACAAAAGTTTTAACCTTTTTTTTCCTTATTTTTTTTCTCTTTGTCTTTGAACGTAGGTATTGATTTTGGAAACTTGCAGACGATTATCGCTGTTGCTAGAAACCGCGGTATCGACGTTATCTGTAATGAAGTCTCTAACCGCTTCACTCCTGTACGTTCATTTTTTTGATTGATTCAAGTTGGATGGAGAGGGGTTTTGTTATTTGTTTGTCCTCGTTGATTAATTGTAACTTGCTTTATTCAACGGATCATTATGACTAGTCCTTGGTTTCATTTGGACCGAAGCAGCGTTATCTCGGAGAGACTGCTAAGACCCAGGAGATTTCCAACTTCAAGAATACTGTCTCATCATTGAAGCGCATTATTGGACGCACCTTCGCCGATAAGGAGGTTCAGGAGATTGAGAAGCAATACTTGACTGCTCCTCTCGTTGACGTCAATGGCCAACTTGCCGTCAAGGTCAACTACCAGGGACAGGAGACCACCTTCACCATTATTCAGCTCTTTGCTATGTATCTTACCAAGATGAAGGAGATCGCTACCAACGAGACTAAGTTGCCTGTATCAGACTGCGTTATTGCCATCCCTTCCTGGTTCACTGATGTTCAGCGTCGTGCTGTTTTGGACGCTTCTGAAATTGCCGGCCTGAACGTTCTCCGTCTGATCAACGACTCGACTGCTACTGCACTAGGCTATGGTATCACCAAGACTGACTTGCCTGAGGACAAACCCCGCAACATTTGCTTTGTTGATATCGGTCACTCCACCTACACTGTTACAATTGTTGCTTTCATCAAGGGTCAGCTTACTGTCAAGTCTCGTGCCTTCGACAGGCATTTTGGAGGCCGTGACTTTGACCGCATGTTGGTCGATCACTTTGCTGCAGAATTCAAGACCAAGTACGGCATTGATGTCAAGTCTAATGGCAAGGCTCTTATCCGCTTGATGGCTGGATGCGAGAAACTAAAGAAGATTCTTTCTGCCAACTCCCAGGCTCCTCTTAACATTGAGTCAATCATGGAGGATCGTGATGTTTCCTCTATGATGAAGCGCTCCGAGTTTGAAGAGCTCGCTAAGGACCTCATCTCCCGTGTTGAGGCCCCTATCAAGCAGGCTTTGGAGGATGCTGGCATGACCATCGAAGAAATTGATGCCGTCGAGATGGTCGGAGGTTCTATTCGTATCCCTTCCCTCAAGGAGCGCATCCAAGCTTACTTTGGTAAGGATCTTTCTTCTACTCTTAATCAGGATGAGGCTGTTGCTCGTGGTGCCGCTCTTCAGTGCGCCATCTTGTCACCTTCCTTCAAGGTTCGTGATTTCACCGTTCAGGATATTACCAGCTATCCCATTAAGATAACCTGGCAGCCTACTCCCGAAGAGGAGGAGACTGAGCTTGTTGTCTTCAACAAGAACAACTCTACTCCTTCGACCAAGATCTTGACCTTCTATCGCTCCCAGCCCTTTGATCTTGAGGCTCATTATGCAGAGCCTGAGAAGATCCCTTCTGGTATTAATCCTTGGATTGCCCGTTTCTCCATCAAGAATGTCGAACCCATCAATGGCGAGCCTGCCTGCATCAAAGTCAAGGCCAGAATTAACATTCACGGTGTTTTGTCTGTCGAGAGTGCCTATATTGTTGAGGAAGTGCTCAAGGAAGAACCTGTCGAAGCTCCTAAGGCTGATGCTGCTGAAGGTGAGGAGGCTGCTGCCCCTGAGACTCGCAAGGTTAAGAAGCTCGTCAAGAAGGGAGACTTGCCTGTTGTCAGCGCCACTTCCTCTTTGGACCGTAGTGTTTTGGCTGAGCTTAAGGAGAAGGAAATGGAGATGATTGCCTCTGACAAGTTGGTTGTTGATACTGAGATGGCTAAGAACGCTTTGGAGGAATACATCTACGACACCCGTTCTAAGGTTGATAGTGTTTACAAGGACTTTATCAATCCCGCAGACAAGGAGAAGTTTGTTGCGGACTTGAACGACGCTGAGAACTGGTTGTACGAGGAGGGAGAAGAGACAACAAAGTCAGTATATGTTGCTAAGCTTGCTGACCTTCATGTTGTGGGTAAGCCCATTATTGAGCGCTACCGCGAGGTCGAGGCCCGTGCAAATGCAGCTCGTGAGTTGCGTGAGTCGATTAACCAGTTGATGTCGCAGGCGACCAGCTCAGAAGAGAAGTACGCTCACATTCCCGTGGAGGAGAAGAACTCTATTGTGGAGAAGTGTGCTAAGGCTCAGACCTGGATTGAAAATAAGCTCGAGCGTCAGTCTATGCTCAAGAAGTATGAGACGCCTGCCGTCACCTCAGCAGAGATCATCAAGCAGCGTGATGACATTGTCTACTTTGCTGTTCCTATTTTGAACAAGCCCAAACCCAAGCCTGTGGTTGTCGAGACCCCTGAGACCCCAGCAGCTGAGGAAAAGCCTGCTTCAAGAGAAGAGACCAAGGAGGATGACACTAAGGATATGGATATCGATTAAATGAGACGCAACAATTATTGGTGTGAGGTTTAGGGAGGAAAACAAAAAGTAGACTCATGTATGAATACAATTTTATTAGAGACCTTTTATTATTATTTTTTTTGCATTAAAATAGCAGAGTAAGCGACTTTTTTATTATTGGAGATGATGCTTTTTTTTTTCTCTCTCTGTCAAAATAGATGTACATTTACAACCAGGATCCAGTGTTAGCTTCAAAAATAGTGAAGATTAATAAAAATCTCTGGAATGATTTAAGATCATATAACCGAAACGTATTCAAGAACATTTCAATTGTCTTTTGATGGATTTAAAAAGCGATCCTGCGCTTTAGTATTTATTCATAGAGCCAGTCTATGGTAGTGAGGGGAAATGCAATAGGGGAGTATGATCTATGTTTCTATGTTGAAGATAAAGCTTTGTCGTATGCTATGTGTCGAAGGAGGTTGGCTTTTAGTGGAGGTACTGCCATTCAATGTTCAAGATGCCAGTATCCAATTCACCCAAGCGCTTGAAGGCAGCAGGGGAGAGATCAAGAGAACCCCAAGCACATTCATCACCAGGGCACTTGTCGACGATGCGAGCCTCGACTGACTTGCCGTTCTTCTTGTTGGTGACTCGAACACGACGGTCACAGGCAGGATTACCCCAAGAGGCAGCGCCCATTTGATAGGCATTCAAAGCGACAGTAGGCTCCTTGTAACCGTCCCAGTGGATGTTGCAGGCACCGTATGTATGTGTGAACCAGGTGGCTTTTCCAGAATGCTTGACTGAAGGAGAGAATTTGTCGATAGGAATATCGTCAGTTGAAGATGAAGAAGAGGACTTGATAGGAGCAGCGGAGGTGGAGATGGCTGCGATAGCGAGAAGGATGAGAGAAGCAGAGAACTTGACCATGTTGAAGAAAGAAAGATGCTTTGTTATTATTATTCAGGAGAGGAAGAAGTTGAGTAGATCAAGTTAAGAGCAATCGATGCTTTGGTGATTGAGGAATATTAGACAGGAACAATGATCCCCTTTTATAATAAAAAAAAAAAAAAAAACAAAGTTTGAGGAATTTCGGACAAGGGACCTTGGCTTTAACTTAAAAATCGCGTGTGAAAGAAAGAAGTGTAGAATATTCTTTTTTTTTTTTCTTGAAGATCTCAGCTTTATCAATTTAATCGCCGTTGTCTTTTTTTTCTGCTCCGCATTTGAAAATGACCATAAAGACGGATAAGGACTTTCCAATACATTGTATTAAGAAAAGATGGAAAAGAATTTTTTGAGATAAACTGAGGCCCCTGATCAGATTGTGAGGGGGGGACATAATAGGGAAAACTGAAAAAGGCTAAAAGATCGTTAGATAGGAACTCTATTTTCTATCTGTTGCATTATGTGAAGTTTGATTCAAAAGGAAAAAGTCAATTGAAAAAAGGAAAGAAATAAAAAAAAGAGAGAAAAAGATCTATCAGGCCTTATTAGAAATGAGGAACTGGTGTGTATGTCAAATTTTGTATTTTTTTTGTGTTTCATTGCATTGGATGAAGCATAGCACAACATAGCATAGCATAGCATTGACGCCACCAATATTTACACTTTCATTTCATTGTTGCCCAAACATGGCTAGTGTGAGATGGTCCCTGCATTTTAATCCCTCAAAGAAATTGTGGACGTAATGATTCGTTTACATTTTTTTTTTTAGTGCTCGCTTTTAGAGCCCAGAGTCCAATAGGAACGGAATGCCTCCACGTCTAAACAAAGACATCCCATATAATGAGCTGGGGCCTTATCTACTTGCCCTGGGACCCTAGAGCCCTTGAATTATTAAATGTTTTAAAAAATTACTAATGAAGATAGACTAAACCAGACATCCAGAGACATACACAGTAGATCTCGATAATTGTGCACTTTTGTACAATTATCGAATTTGTTATATTTCTCGGTCATTGATTGGCTAAGAGTCTTACTCTTTTTAAAAAAAAGTATTCTAAAAAACCCACACTCGCTGGAGTAGGGAGATCAGTAGATTTTTAGAATGAATTGTGGAGCTCTTAGCCAACCAATGACCGAGAAATATAACAAATTCGATAATTGTACAAAAGTGTACAATTATCAAGGATCCACCACTGTACAGTCGCATGTTTTTACATCTTTACATGTTCTCACCTTGTGAAGCATGTAGTCATTCACACACTCAAATATGTAATAATGAACAATTCAAAATTACTAATTAATACTGTAATAAAGGCCGTAAATATATCTGAAAACCTGTTTGTAAAGTCACCATACTTCCCTAGAGTTCCCAGGCCAGTCTCATAGTACCCATCTAATCAATAATTTAGTCTCAACTTAGATTTCTAAAAGCTTGGGACTTTACTTAATTTAGAGAAAGAGGAAAAAAGAAAAAAGGATCCAGAATTGGCCTTTTATCCGTCACTACCATTCGCACTCCATAGACACCTTTATCTTGATATTATTATATAATATTCGTATTTTGTTTGTGTATACGTGAATTTGATAATTCTACCATTAATAGATTGTCTAGACGCGACCGATCTCTAGAGCAAAAAAAAAAAAAAAAAAAAAAAAAAAAACCACCTAGGAGGCAATAACTATGGAACTTAGGCTAAATGTACTCAACATGTTTGTGTATTAGCTAAGATTTGACATCTTTTTTTTTTTTTTTTTTTTTTTTTTTTTTTTTCGTTTGGTTAGGATCTATTCCAATGCTTTGGATCGGAACTGTCACTTCACTTAGCCCAGTCCAAAAAACAAAAGTAAACAAAAAAGGCCTTGCAGGCTCAACTTTAAGCTTCTTGTTCACTTTGTTCGCCCATCAACTTTCTTTCTTATTCTTCTTTATGCTTCCTTTCCAGCAATGCTCTCTCTCTCTTTTTTTTTTCCCCATTTTCTAGAAGTACACGCGCCCGCTTGGCAGTGCATGTATACAGTACATTGTATACTGTATACATCAGACGGATGTTAAAAAAAAGAGAAATTAAAAACATGACAATGGCTGTGAATTTTCTGAGCCGCGCAGTCTACATGTATCATCCTCATGGTATATATCTACTTATTAACAAACAAACAACAAACAACAAAAAAAAAAAAAAAAAGACCCATGTTTCCATGTTTATGTTATCAGCCAATGCATTGCATTGGTGGAGGTAAGAGGAAGGGTTCTTTGCATGGTTCTTATGCATATCCCTCATAGTCTACATTTGCATAACTGTGGACATGAATGATACCAAATGTCCACGGACATAAAAAAGATTACTCTGTGCGACGAGATTTATACATGAACAGTAGTATACATTTGGACAAATACATTTGCCCCCACTTTCTTGTCCAATTGCTCTCTTTTTCCCAAAGCTTTTTGATTACAGTTATGGCATGTGCACATTATTCATTATTCATTGATGATGGGAGGCGAGGCAAAATGATGGAAAGTAGAACAATAAAAAAGCAATTGACAGTGACACAATGCTCTCAAATTAGACGTTTTTTAGTATCTGCCATTAGACAATATGGAACACTGGATGGACACAATGGGCATAAATGAAAGATGAAGGGAGAGAAAAGGAAAAGTAAGGGGAAAGAAAAGAAAAGAGGAAGAGAAGTGAGAGTGTTGAATAAATGTGAACGAATGTGTAGAATGAACATGTGGATGTGCGTGGATGCGCGTGGATGTGTGGATGTGTGGATGTGTGGATGTTTCAACAAACATACACACACTAGCCAACACGCCCAATATTCAATAGTGGCTATTTAGGCATAGGTTTATATAAAGATCGATGGATTTTGCATTGCTCATGGGCCATCTCTATCCTCATGAAAATATGCATGTAAAAAACTTTACTTGGGTTGCCAGGCCATGTTGTCGAGTGGAAAGACAGACACACATTCATACAAACTGAGCTGCTCTTCCTTTCCTTCCCATACAACCTTTACACCCTTCAAGTACAGTAACTGTGCATCCTCCAACCACTCGAGAACATTGTAAACTCAAAATAGAATATGAAATATAAGAAAGCGCAACCGCAAAAAAAAAAAAGATCTGTTACTTTTCTTTCTTTGTATTGCATCTCATTTCAACCCTCCGCTCATTCTTCATTCTCATCTTGCTTTTACATTACAAACTCTTTATTTTTGATTTCGTGTTTATTTTTGTTTGTGTGTATCTGTCTATCTCGTTTTAATAACAGCCTTTAGTTCTTTTTTATTTTATTTTTTTACTCTTGTTCGCTCGTGCTAGCTGAGTGCTCCTCTTTTACTCCAACTACTCTGTTTTCAAGTCCTTCGGAAGAAAGGGCAGAACGTCCATCATTCCACTCTTCACTCTTGCCGCGCTGCTCCGCCAGATGGTTACACCATCATCTGGCGAACCCAGCAGTACTTCAATCAACACCATGGCTTCCTCCAATTACTCTTCCGACAGCATAAAACCCTCTGGTACTACTAGCTCTGGTATTACTCTTCCTCCTCCATCTTCTTTTTCTTCTTATTCCTCTTCATCATCATCTTCTCCTCTTTCATCATCACCATCACCACCGTCTTCATCACCATCTTCTTCTTCTTCTCCTGCTCCTTTGGGGCCAAAAGCGTCTTCCCCTTTCAAGGTTTTGATTGTGGGCGCAGGCGTTGGGGGATTAATGCTGGCCCTCTGTCTAGAACGAGCAGGAATCGATTATGTAGTCCTTGAAAGGATGTCACAACTTCCACTACCCAAATCATCGATTCAACTATCTTCCAACACGTTAAGAGCTATTGAGCAATTAGGTTTGCTTGATGATATCTTGAAGATTTCAAAGCCTGTCTCAGCAGTCAAATTGCGAAAACATAATTTGTCTGTTGTTGGAAAGATCGATTTTACCTATGTCAAAGAAAGGTAAAATATACGTCTATAAAAAAAAATTAAAAAAAAAAAAAAATTACGCCTTTTAAGGGAAGAGAGCACACTCTAGAGGAGGTATTTTAGTATTTTGACATTTTAGCATATTGTTGATATTCCGCTTTGTCTCTTAGATATGGTCACTACTCAATTCTTATCCTAAGAACAGAGTTTTGTCAAGTCCTTCTATCACAACTGCCACCAGAAAAGGTTCATTGGAACCGTTACGTTTTAGAGATTGTGAATGGTAACACAGGGGTGCAATGCCGATGTGCCAACGGCACGGTCGAGCAGGCCGACATTTTAGTTGGAGCAGATGGGTCTTATTCAGCCGTCCGACAAAACTTGTACAGAACCTTGCGGGAAAAGAATCTGTTACCTAAATCGGATATGGAGCCTCTCAAATATACTGCCAACACTCTTATCGGAATTACTAACCCACTGGATCTGGAAAAATATCCTGCTGCAGGGGCGCGGTTCAGTGAAGTCAACATTGTGGCTGGCAAGGATTCTCCTTATACATTATGGGTTTCTCCTACGCCCGGAAACAGGGTTGCTTGGTCCGTTGGTGGAGACTTGTTGACACCAGAAGGAAGTGCTAATGCTAACTTTAAACAGTCGGAATTTGGGCCGGAAGCTGTTGATGCCGCGTGTGCGCTGGTCCAGGATTTGGAACTTCCTTGGGGTGGAACATTGGCTGATATGATCGAGCACACCAGAAGAGATTTTATTACAAAGGTCATGGTTGAAGAGAAACATTACAAGACGTGGCATCATGGACGCTCAGTGCTCATTGGTGAAGGTAGGCAAGCACAGATACTTTTTTTTTTTTTTTTTTTTTTTTTTTTGACAAATCATACAAATGTTAACATTTTTTATTATATTTTATTCGATTGGGTGGAAATGATCGGCAAATTCTATAGCATGCCACAAGGTAAGACAAAGTGGAGAACGTTTTAGCATCAAGCAAATCCATTTCTGTCCATTGACAAAATCCTGTTATCTCCATCGACACTCTTTTTTTTTTTTTTTTTTTTTTTTGCAGTTTATACCTTACTCTGGACAAGGCGCAGAGCAAGCAATTCTGGATGTGATCTCCTTGGTCAACCTTCTCTACAAGATCAATGATAATCCTTGTCATAACGACTTTTGTAATGCATTTGAAGCGTATTACCAGGAGCGCAGTCCTAATGCCAAGAATGCGGTTGAGGTCTCCCATTTCATGTCTCATCTGATGAATACTCAGGGGTTTTCTGCTGATGTAAAACGGAAGGTTCTGTTCAACCTCCCAGAATGGGTCAAAAATTCAGCACTTGACAAGATTCAAGTTCGACCCTTGTTAGATTTCTTACCGGCGGTGGAGAATCGTGGACTGAAAAAGGCTACGAGATAAATACCTCCTCCTTCTGATATTAAGGGAGAAAAGGAAGGGGAAGGAACGGAGCAGAAGGAATAGAGAGAGGAGGTGATGGTGGTAAAATGAGTTTAATACCTTGTAACATTTTTTTTTTTTTTTTTTTTTTTTTTTTCGCCGATCCCTTTTTTGTTGGCACTCAAGCCATGTTCTTTTATATCTTAATGTGCCTGAAGAGTTCAAGGCTGTTCTTTTTTTTTATTTTTTATATCGCATACATCCTACATATCCCTTTTCATTCCGTGTAAAATAATAATTTCAAAATTCATTTACAAAAAAAAAAAGTAATAAAATAAAAATGGCAAGTTACCAATAAAGCGCCTTTTATCTTATAATAGCAGTTTCTATCAAGCAGATCTTTTAAACTATGTGTCTCCTTCTCTTGGTATTGATACCACCAATCGACTTCGCACAAACACAGGCCACAACCGGCACATTAGGAAAACCTATCATGATGATATGAATCAAATCCTCCTTTGCAGAAGCAGTCCATTCTTTTATGGTTATATCACGCGCACCACGCGCTTGGTCCGAGCATCACTCTGTCCTACTGTTCTTGTAATGCAGGTTTTTTCTATCTCTCTCTCTCTCTCTCTTTTTTTTTTTTTTTTTTTCTTCTTCTTCTTTCTTTCATCCTCACCCTCCTCTGTCATATTTTGTCCTTCTCCATCCTCATCCAATGATTGAAACAATGCTTCCAAAAACAAAGGCATCTTTAGTGGCTAGTCGATTACCACACGAACTACTCGTCAAAATTTTTTATAACTTGGAGCAACCACCTCATCATCGCTATCATTACTCTTCTTCCTCCTCTCTATGCCCCGGCGCTGCTTCAACATCCCTCACATCGGGATGCTCTGATATCCTTGCATGCGCACTTGTTTGTCAAGACTGTAAGAGATTGGAAAAAAATCCATAATTGACCGACGAATAAAATACTCATTCCATTTTCCTTATCATGTTAACTAATATTTTATGGCTAATATGCACCATACCGAAATATCTCCTTTTATTTAGGGTACTACGCTGCTATGGATACATTATGGCGAGAGGTCAATCCTCCGAGTGTAGAATCATTTGTCTACTTTAGTAGAGTACTCAATCCAACGTTCTTGTTTACAAAAGAGCCTTCTCTCCCTTCCCAGTACAAGGTTCAATATGTCAATGGTTCGCCAACAAGAGCTGTTGCTATGAAGCAGGAGCAGGAACAGGAGCAGGAACAGGAGCAGAAGCAGAAGCAGAAGCAGGAACATGAGCAGGGTCAGGATCAGGAGAGTGATCGATATCAACATAAAAATCAGCATCAACAAGGTCTTTTCAAAGGAAAGCAAAGATCATCTGAATACAAAAACAGCAAGTCGGGTCCATCTTTATCCTCGACTACAATGACGACCTTATTTTCTTTGTCATCTCTACAGCATCCATCCTCTCCAGGTACAGTTTTTTTTCCTTCTTTGCAAGGATCCTATTACTGCTACGATGAACAAAAAAAGAAAAGGAAGGAAACATGAGAAGTCAAAGTGATAGTTGAATAGGAGGGGAATAAAAAATAAAGGGACAGGGACAGGGAAAGGGACAGGGACAGGGGGAGGCAGGGGTAGGGACGAAATTGTATTTCGCCCTCATACCTTTATTTGAGGAACAATAGAAGCTTTATTTGGGTGACCTACTTTGGGTCAATATGAAATATGCTTGTTTGTTTGTTTCCTTTATTAAAAGGCAACATCTCGGCCTTGTGCTCTGGCGCTTTGATACTTGATGAGAATTCAAGTTTATTTGCCTTGTCACGTTCAACCTCGGAAATGAAAAAAGGAACAGTAACAATGCCAGACATGATCCCAAAACCCATTGTCCATTTTGTTCCAAGTGTAACTACATGATTGTATAAAGACATTATCTCTGTCAACAGGCCTATGGGAAAATAAAAAATGTTCTGGCGCTCATGAAAATTAAGCACCACATGACACCTGTGTGGGAGGCAAACGCTTGGGTCCCTTTTGTGTGTACCCCACAACACTTTAGACAGTTCCAGGTTGCACCAACTTTAAAAGAAAAAAAAATTGTGTCCACTTTTATACATTCGTGTTTATATCCATAGTCATATGGCATTCACTTCCTCCCAGTGTCGGCTGCATCGTCTGCCCGGGACAAAAAAAATTACAACCGGTCAAATGCAGAATGAAATGGAAGCTAATTTGTTTTTCTTTCATGTGCCCATATTTTATTGCCCTCGATAGGTCCTATTGGTTATGCGGGAAAGGGGTATGTTCGGTCGTTTTCGCTTGCAGGGACAACAGATTGCAGAACACCACGGCCTTTCCCCTACCTTCCATCTTGTGTTATGGATCATCACCTCATCGCCATATCTGACTTTTTGACTCATCTTACCTCGCTCTCATTATCTCATTGTGCTGCGCTCACTGATATGGCTGTTATCCAGATGATCACAGCATCGTCACCATATCTTCAACAAATCGACTTGACAGGGTGTCGACTCATTACTAATATTACTGTCGAAGTCATTGCGCAGTTGTGCGGGCATCAATTAGAAGATCTATCCTTACAAGGGTGTGGGATGCTCACAGACGATGCTATTGAAAAGCTTACCAGGCACTGTACTCGCTTACAAAAGATTAATGTTGTACGATGTCCACGACTTGGAGACCGATCATTGATGGCATTACTCCGGGCATCGGGTCGAATGACACAATCAACCTCGTCGCTATCAAAAATTCGGACTAGGAGTGCAAGATTGACAAAGTTAGGTATTGCAGGTTGCCGTAGTATCACTATGAGTGGACTGATGGCAATTGCAGCCCATCTAACCATAGGAGGATCGGAAATAGAGGCAGAGACGCAACAGCAAGAAGAAGCTTTTTACAATCATTCAACGTCATCACGATCGCCACCGCCGCCGCTGTCGTCGTCCTTAGTATCTCTGGAATTCTCCTGTCCTGTTTTCAAGGTCGCATCTAAAAACCAACAAACAGGACATCCTGTGTTGGCCAATGGGGCTTCGATGCTCAATAATACCCGCAGCCAGGCAAGGAGGTTTTTCCAGACACTTCCTACAACATTGAGGGAAATTATCATACATGATGCCCATATGTTAAGTCAAGACGATATTATCTGCCTTATAGACAGGGTGGGACACAGCTTAAAGACTCTTCGACTTGATAATGCCAACTCGCTCAATTCTGAAACATTGGGCCACATTCTGGCAACCTGTCCTGAATTAACAAATCTCTGCATCCCGCGGGCTACTTGGTTAAATGACGCCGGAGTAACTCAGCTCATTCAAGCTAAATGCGCACAGTCTCTTGTGGAGTTGGACATCAGTGCCTGTCATGCTTTAACGGACGAATGCTTAATCAAGTTAGCAACCGCAGACGCCTTTGACCAGCCTCACACTACCACTCTCTATGACACTGCTAGCATTAACTCCTCATTCCCGTCATCAATACCCCCTTCCATATCGTTATCATCATCTCCGCGAGCTTCTAAAGGAAAAGAAGTTCTTGTAGGAGCATCGACGTCAACGGATATATTTTTGAATAACGTTTTTCCAAACCTTCAACGACTGAACTTATCATATAACGACAAGTTGACATTGGCCGGCATCATCCCGTTAGCGATGTCATTGAAAAACTTATGTTCTCTGGATGTATCCTTTTGTGGTGAGGGCATTACCAGGCCATGGGATTCATCATTAAAGCGCATTAGAGCTGTTTTAGGCTCGGTAAGGGGTAGGTCTACTTATGGCCAATACGCCGATATCCTAAAGAAGGAAGAAGAGGGCTCATCTTCAGATAGTAGCTTATCTGGAGACGAAGAGTCTTTATACTCATGGGAACTTTCGCATCAACAGCAGGAGCAGCAACGAAAACACCAAGTTCAAAAACAATATATGCTATCGAGCGTTTCACTAAGAGCTCAGCAGTCCCTACCTGAAACCACGCAACAGCGCCTACAACTAACTCTAGTTTCTGCCGAAGCCATTCCATCATCGGAAGCAGTACCAGTGCCAGTGTCGGTGCCAGTGCCAGTGCCGAGCCGCCGAGGTTTGGGACATTATGTAGGGCCGCTACTCAGTTGCCCTGAGACGGTTAGTAGTGTATCTCTTGCTCCCGCGACTGCTCTTCAATCGCTACAACAGGATTTAACTCTGGGAAATCACTCAACTCAGGGACAAGAGAGGGAAGAGGAGGAACACCAACATGTCCGTCGTCGATCATCTGCATCATCAACGACCTCTACATCCTCTATATCGTCAGCATCATCCAGCTCTTCTTCTTCTTCTTTATCATCGACGGCTCTCTCCACCTCCTCTTCTTCATCGAGTGGTTGTATACATCCCGGATCATTTTCATCAGTCTCATCCTTGAATTCTTCTTTAAAGAATAAGCAGCTACAATCACCATCACCAATTCAAGGGAGTCGAAGCCAAAAACAGCAACGTTTACAAAGAGCATCATTGTCCAGAGTAGCTCTAGTAAGCCGTTATGATGTTATTGAAAGGGCTCCTCGCCATGTAGGTTTACCTGTCAGCTTTTTTGCTGATTCTTGGTTTACACCTCACCATCATCACCAACTTCAGGAGCTGCAGCAAATACAACGGCGAGTACTAGAGGCGCAACTCAATGCAGCAGCAATAACCATTCACCATGTAGGAAATAACCCAGGAGCACCAGTAGTAATGAATGGCGCTGGGGCAGAAGCAGGGGCAGGCACAGTTACAGTAGCAGAGGCTATTGATGGAAGCTCTACTGCTGTACCCATACTTCCAACGGAGTATATGGACCATCCTATTATGGGAGCACCTCGGATTGGGGTAGCCACTATGGGCTTTGGAGGTCGCGGTGGCCGCATTGGCCGTGGTATAGCAACCAATAACCAAACATTCATACGGAACAATTCTCGTCTTCATCCTCGCCAACAACAACAACAACAGCAACAGCAGCAAAGAATAGTATCATCCGATGATTTTGAGATGCAAGAGTTGAGTGAGAATTTTACTAGGAGCATGCGTCTTGAGCCAATAGCAGCAACAGAAATGGATGACACAGAGACTATTACTATGAATGCTATGGCAACTACTGCTGCTACTCCTACTCTACGTCGTCACCACCATCGACAATATCAACATCCACGCATGCTACAACATCGTGGTACCATTTACAGTAGAGGATCCCTCACTAGTAACAGCAATAACAATGACAATAACAACAGTAGTAGTAGTAGTAGTGGTAGTAGTGGTAGCTATAATTGTGGCCACGCTTTCATGGGGTACTGTGAAATCTCTTCATGGGGATTATCGAAATTAAAAGAAGAATGGAGTAGGATTTGAGATACATAATAAAACAAGATTTATACTGCTTTAAGATACTTGTGCTAAGATATGGTACATGAATGAGAAGCAATTGGAAGTATATACATTTGAATGTACATGTGTACTCATAACCCCAGTCTGATTCTATCCACTTTTTTTTGTGCTGCATTTCAAAAACGTTGAAGATGTTGGCCAACCAAATAAGCATGCCCAGTTTTTATTTGTCAGACACAACTCTAGCTCTTTACTCTAACGTGGTTACACGCCAACTCCCACGTTCCTCACGCGAGACTTTAGACACGCTAGATAATTTAAAGAGATATGTTTTTATATATATATATACTATTCAACATGAATGCTCATTCTTTTGTATACCCTTGTTTTTTACCCACACATAATTTAGATGGCGACTATGACGATAGAGTCTTCACCAGAAAGTCGTAAACAAATATATTTTTAAAGTACTCAATTTGAATTAATATTTGCAAAAACACAATTTTAAGTATGAAGCTTGAAAAGCAGATATTTCTTTGAATTAGATAAAATAGAAAAATTTTATTTTTCTCAAATTCTTGATGTCCAAAAAGGGAACTATTCTATTCAATATAAAAACGTGACAAATATATTTGTTTACGACTTTTTGGCGAGGACTCTATCAACAATGCAAAACACTAAAAAAAAAAAAAAAAACTGCTATGTATATAATATACACATGTCTGTTGAGGCTTCTTTTCCCTCTTTTTTGATGGTTGAATGCTCCATATTGAATGGGCACACAAGATGCTTCTGTTTCCTTGATGGAAAGAAAGATGGTCAAGGTGATCTTGTTGTACAACTCATCCCTAATCCTTAATTACTGCTTGATAAAATGGGAGAGATGGAAGAACTGCTTTGTTCGCTTGCTGACTGGCTTTGTGCATATTTTCCGTTAGACCAAGCGTGCATGGAGTGCATGTGAGACAACCCGCCCTTACTACATCTTATTTTCATCCATTCGGAAAGGAAATAATCGTCAGTAAATCAAAATAAAAAGGGCTCAATTGACATTGGCAAAAAACGCGGCGCTTTGGACATGTCACCAACGATATAATAACAATAATATGCACTATAACACTGCAAGTTTTTTTTTTTTTTTATTTTTATTTTTTTGACAACTGGGGCCCACGAGGTTGTGAAGGTTTATTAGGATTGGACTCTATAAATGGAATGCCCTATTGCTAGAGGTGCAAATAAAGCGGCCTATGATAACCTGTCTTGGCTACATCGTGGTACGGTCTACCATACGGCATTTCTATTCACAAACCATACTGCCTACCTGGCTTGTTGTGCACAAAAGCCATCTACCCATAGCCATCAAACTTAAAAAAAAAAAAAAAAAAAAAAAAAAGAAATTCTTCAAGCCGTTCTATAAATGACAATTCCAACTATTGCTGATAGGTATTAAGAAATTACCTCTGTTACGGCTATAGCGTTCCAAGAGCTTCAGCTTGTCTTTGGAATAGAAAGGCAAAGAAACCAAAAAAGAGCGCTTGCATTTCTTGGATGGAAGATCTTCTTTATTATTGTCTCCTGACAATAAAAGTATGGTACTTATTTTTTCTACAGAATGCATATCCAAGCTTCTTTCTCGTAGATCACAATCACTATTGCGGTGCTTTCCTAGTTGGATACGGATGAGGAAGCAACATATGCCCGATAGAATGAGAAAGTAAAAGCTGATGTGGTTTTCTGTAACATCGATCATAATATACACCGTATAGGTGCATCCTGGAAAAAAAAAAAAAATGGAAAAAAAACCCTCGACCAGGGCGGTTCTCGCTTTTTCCATGGCTGCATCATGCTGATCTGGAAAAAAACAAAAAAAAAGCTTTGACTCAAGTGCCGTGGTCTGAATTTTCGTGGGTAGGGGATCCAGCCAATCAATGTTGAGAATGTGTACATCTGGACAGAAAGCTCTCAATTTATACGTCAATTTAATAACGCTTATTCTCAAAAGATATGCTTAGGTTAGGTCGAGGGAACTCATTGACTTCAATCTTCGGGCTCAGGCGACTATAACCGTGGGTAATGACCCTATCAGCGTGTGTGCTGACAGGGCATGGCCACAGCAAGAGCATCGTAGTGCAGCTTAGACAACTAAAAAATGTGCACAAGGGAACAACCCTGCATGTTGATTGGCAGGCAACAGGTGGCACCAACAAGAAGAGCGAATCAAAAAATGTCATGGAGTCCTTCATCATTTGGCATATGGATGGGCACGATGATCGTAATTTCCTGCTCTTCTTTTGTAAGCAGAACATTAGTTGACTTTTTAGTTTGCTCTCATCATTCATAAAAGTTAAAAAGTAAAGGAAGCTCTCGATTCTTTATCAAAAAGGGCACGTTCATCCGTTGTTGGGCCGAGCTGGCCATTCACATTTGAAAGAAGCATCTCCGTCCACAAAAAGTGCTCATCCTTGCCGCACTTGCCCTGAACTACGGAAGAACAATGACATATATACTGACATACTTTAACCTTGACTTTCCAGAATATAAATACTCAAGGAACGCTCACTTTTTGCTGTTGATTCCTCAGTCCACCAACTCCTAAGACAACTTTCACCCGATTTTTTTCTTCCTTCCTTCTTTCCTCCCTTCTTTCCTCCCTTCTTCTCTTCCTCCTTCTGCATCTATCTTGCTATAAAATGGTTAAGATCTTCTCTTTGCTCTCTATTGCCACAGCCGTCTCGGCTGTCGCTGCTGCTGGCCTTGATCCTGCTGGTCAATTCAAGCGTCTTGGTGCTTGCCCTACCCTTGGATGTGTTTTCCCTCCAGACAGGTAGAGATTCATCTATTGTATCCATATCCTTTACATAAATTTCTATCCTATTTCATCATCACTCCCCAACAGTTGTTGACCTCAGTATTGCAAATATTACAACATCCCAACGGCCTTGTATTGAAATGTCATGAACCCTTTTTTTGTCAGTTATATTTTGATAAGCACATGTATACCTTATTTTTCACTCTAACAAACCTTATTTCAAACAAATAAATACAGGAGTGAATTTCTCGCCGGTGCCCACTTCGATGTTCGTGTTGAGGTTCATGCTGAAAATGATGCCAAGCCCAACACCGAGTACTCTTTGACTATTGAAAAGATTGGCAACTCCAAGGATAACAAGCACGGCAACAACGGTAGGGCTGTTGACTTCTCCAAGTGGTCCAGAATCAAACCCGACTCTCCCGAAGCCTGGGACTTCATTTACAACAAAGATGCTAGTGCTTATTGGAAGACTCAAGACGGTGATAAGAACGCCGCTACCCAGGTTCATGTCGCCTCCACTGCCTGGCGCCGTGTTCAGATCAGGGAGCCTGGTACCTATAAGGTTGTTCTCAAGTACAACAATGGCAAGACCACTGAGGCTGTCTGGACCGTCAACCCTGTCCAGAAGCGCAAGGCCAAGAACGTCATTCTGTTCATTGGTGATGGTATGTCTACTGCAATGCTTACTGCTGCCCGCTTAATCTCGAAGCCTCATATCAGTGGCAAGTACCAGAACCGCCTCCATGTGGACAAGTTCCCTTTCCTTGGTCACGTCATGACCCACTCTTTGGACTCTTTAATCACTGACTCCGCCAATTCCGCCTCCGCCTATAATACCGGTCACAAATCCTCTGCTGGGGCCTTGGGTGTTTACCCCGATTCTTCCCCCTCCCCCTTTGATGACCCCAAGCAGGAACTCCTTGCTGAACTTATGCGCCGCCGCTCCAAGAAGAACGGTGGCCCCGGAGGTGTCGGTATCGTTACCACTGCCGAGGTTCAGGATGCTACCCCCGCTGCCGTCTTCTCCCACACCCGCAACCGTGACGAGAAAGCTACCATTGTTGACCAGATGATTCACGGCCGGAATCCTGTTGTTGCTGATGTCATCCTCGGTGGTGGTGGAAAGTATTTCCACGCCAAGAATGGAGGCAAGTCTCTCAATGGAACTGACTATTACAGCGTCTATGCTAAAGAGAAGGGTTACAAGGTTGTCAACGATAAGGATGCTCTTCTCAAGTATAAGGGTGACGATCCCTTGCTCGGAATCTTCCACTCTGGCAACATGGATGTTTGGCTGGACCGCCATGTCTACAAGGCTAACTTGAAGAAGCAGGGCACTGATCCCACTGGTAATGGTGGTTCCGCCCTTAACCAACCTGATCTGGATGAGATGGTCATCAAGGCTTTGGAAGTCTTGGACAAGCGTCACCGCAAGGAAGGATGGTTCTTGATGGCTGAGGCTGCCTCGGTTGATAAAATGATGCACCCCCTTGACTACGACAGAGGTTTGGCAGATGTCCTTGAGTTGGACAACACTGTTGGCAAGACCAAGGAATGGCTCAAGCGCCACAAACTTGACAAGGATACCTTGATCCTCGTCACTGCTGATCACGCTCACTCCTTCGATGTCTACGGTTCCGTTGATACTCAGTACTTCAACTCCTTCTCCAAGACCGAGGAAGATGAAAAGAAGAACTCTATTGGTACCTATGAAAACTCTGGCTGGCCTTCATATGTTGATGCTGATGGCGATGGTTTCCCTGACAACTGGGAGGTCCGATACACTTTGGCTGCCGGTTCGGCTGGTTTCCCCACTCACCGTGAGGACTTCCAGGTCAATGTCAACGGTACCCGTGTCCCCGCTGTCGTCAGATCCAGCTCCCACCATCACTTCTCAATCTATGATGCTAACCCCGAAGATTCCCTCAACGGTATTCACAAGTCTGGCACTTTGCCTGCTAATGAAGCTGTTGGTGTCCACTCTCTCCAGGATGTCCCCATCTTTGCCACTGGTCCTGGTGCTAATCTTTTCTCTGGCGTCCAAGACAACACTGAGATCTTCCACAAGATCGCTCACCTTCTAGGTCTCGGCGAAGAGAACTAAAAAAAGAGTTTTGTATTTTACATAATATCATTCGCCTTTCGCATTCATTTATATACCATTTCTTTCCCTAATTCATATTAACTTTGAAGAGATGAAGAAGGATACTAACATTGCATAGAGTACTGCCAACCTTCCCTTCTCCACATTTTTAATAAATATAAATACTTGTACGTATATATTTATGCAACAAAATGGGTTTGCGAAAAATGCAGCTGACATTCATTGTATAATACCTGTGTATGGTATATTCGTATATAGGCCGTAGTGAATCAATCTTAACTTGTATGCCAGAGAGGCTACAAGGGCTAACAGTTGCTGAAGCTTCAGTATATAGATAGCTGCTTCACACTCAATATTTCAGTATATATATATAACGATTGTCCTTGATTGAGTTATCGCAACACCATAAGATAATTGCAGTAGTTTTGTGTCTGTTCCCATTCACAAGGACAAAAATGACAATAGCGAACCCGGAAAACTGATGGAAAGCACGAAGGTTTAGGAGGTCTTTAAAAAGACTTTAGCTTGCCTCACTCCAAGTTGTGCAAATGTATGCTTTCTTAGAACTTGACTTGACCAAGAAACCCTTGCATCTTTATAACATTGATGCTTCAGTTATTAATTTAACATATGAAGTGTACTACATGAGAGATACATCAAAGTGATTTTTGTCTTTAGTACTGCAGATTTATTTCTCAACAAAACTCTTGTTGCGATATTCCTTGCTGCGGTTCACCCTTCTATCATAATACACACCGACCGCGTTGTTTATCTTCAACCTTATTCAATATATTTACATAAACACAACCTCGTAAAGATGTATAAACAGATGAGAGCCTCCAAAGCAACTTTCCGATGCTTGAAAGGAAAGCAAACGAAACCCGCCAAGGTTTCGTTACAAACTTCCCAAAGTGTATGTAATTTTGTAAATTTTGTGGCAAAATTTATACAAGACCCTTTCGTACCATTATGGCTGATCTTTTTTTTTTTTTGCTAAAATAGGTAAAACCAATCATATTTGGCAACGCTTTTCCAGCCGCGTGGACGGCCATTATCAGTGCAAGGGCTGCACCACCCATTGCACCACCCATTGCACCACTTACTGCAGTGCTTACTGCAGTACTCATCACACTGCCCGCCCAGTACTCACGACAGTACCTATTGCAACACCTGTTGCATTATTATCACTGTCATCTGACGATGACAGTGCTATGGATGTTTGTGAGGATGAAGGATATATCCAGGAGGGCTCCGAATCCATGGATATCTGCGAGGATGACTATTGCGATACCGTGGATATCTGTGAGGATGACTCTATCCAGGAGAGCTCCGATAACATGGAGATTAGTGATGAAGAGATTAGTGAGGAGAACGATAATGAGGAGGAGGAGAATAGTGGGGAGAGGAAGAGTGAGGAGAGTGAGGATAGCAAGGAGAATGGTGAGGATGAAGATGACGATAACAGTGAAGATGGGGAGACAAGTGAGGACGGGGACTGCTGTGAAGAGACGGATTAGGAGAACTCACATTTATAGAAAACCATATACCCTGTAACATTGCCTTTTTAAACACGAGTAGATGAATAGACACGCAGACAATAATAGAATATATAAAATATAAAAATTATAGGAAAACTAAAAAACGAATGCTGAGCGAAAGAAGCTATTAAATTAATATTAAGCTATTCACGTTTGCTTCCTATGATCGCCCTTTCTTCTTTCTCCTTTCTTCTTCTTCTTCTTCTAAGGGTATTCAAAACCAGCAACTGTAGTTGCAGTTGAGTTGCAGACGGGTACTGCTCACTCATCTTCATCGTTGTCAACATCAAGATATTGCAGCTCTGATTTCAATGTCTCGGTCTCCGCAGCCTCGGCAGCCTCTGCATCACGCTGAAGCTGTAGTGATTGTTCCAAACACTCGACATAAATCTGATATTTGACCATTTCTTTGAGCAGATATCGAGACCTCCGCTCCCAGTTGTTAAATGCCTTGGAATAATTCTGCGACTTTGGCAGAAACTATTTGGTTGTTTGTATTACAAGACAAAAAAGTGTTAGTAGAGCCAAAAGAAGAGCTCCAAACTACCAAAGAGATTGCATGAACAAATAAATAGATAATAAAGAGCTTTCACTTACGAGTTTTAGCATTGGGCCACGATGTTCTTGGTGAATTTCCATCTCTGCTTCCAATCCTAAAACGTATCGCTTTAGATTTTCACATTGATCCTCTTCACTCAGTTGTGACATACTCATCGTTGGTAATGGTGATGTCCATTCAAAGAGTAAGACTCGATCACCCAATGGTACGCCAGATCCACCAGTTCCACTATGCTTAGAGGATGTTGATTTAATCGATGAAGCTCGGCCACTGCCGCTACCAGAGCTTCCAAACAAATGGCTTCCATTTCCATTGTGAACGCCACTCACGGAAGAAGACGGTGGCGAGGGTGTTACAGGTGGTGGCACCGGAAGAGGGGGATTGTTTAGGAAATTGGAAGACCCTGTATATGATGTGCTGTTCATTAATTTAGCATCCTCGTCTTCAGAGTTGGTTGAAGAGGGTGTTGTCAAGCCTATGGGTGTAAGGTTGCTACTGCTGCTCGATTTGACCCCACCGTTTGGCACGTTGGTTGCGGAGGACGAAGATGATGTCGAGTATACAGATGTAGTGGAGGCCATGGTATTGCTGTGAAGCCCTTCAGAAAGATTACTGTTGGCGAGCAAATCCAATGATCGACCCCATCCATAGTCCATATTAACCACGCCTCCTTGTAAAGGCTCTTTAGAGGTCCTCGCAGCCCAGTAGTTACATGTCCTTGCCCAATCCTCACAGTCACGAGTTGTCGCTGTCTGGAACAGATATACTCCACCCGTGTGTAATTGTACTGCAAAAACATGTCTCCTTGATGAAGAATACCCTGGAGGCGGGAGAATATTAGTAATCGTGTGTTGTAACGGAATCTCATCTAATAAAACCCCTTGTTCATCAAAGGCCTGGCCCTGTTGTCCGTCAGCTTTGAACATGGATAAACCACCTTGGTCAAGGACTACAAGGAATTGTCGCCATGCTCGATGCGATGCCTTCCTATCGGCTCGTTCCAACAGATGTTTACGATGGAGAATGCCCTCCATTCGATATCTAGCCTGATGGCCAGGATGAGATCTGATATCAGAATTGCTACTACTGGCTGTAATAGGCTGTATGCTTTGTGTGTCGTGATTTGAAAAGACACTTAATACAGGGGAAGGTAGCGGCGAGCTCATTAATCGGATAGGACGCGAAGAAGATGTTGGTGGTGTCAGGCTGGCTGGGAAAGTCTCTTTGCTACTGCTCATACTACTTTCTGGGATAACAGAATAACGTGTGGAAGGGCTTTGTGACGGGTGATGTCCATTCTCAGCGATCTGGGAATTTGGTCGTTGTATGGCTTCCTGACGCAACTGCTTTGACCAAACATTGAGAGAATTGCGACGGCCCATAGCTCCGAATAGAGATCCATTGCCGAGATTTGCTGGTGCTTGATGGCTAAGGCCAAATGCACCACCACCTAGTGAAAAACCGAATCCAGAGTCCGGAGTAGCGGATGACTGAGCTTGCTTAGACAACTTTGAGCTTGATATCCCTGAGGATGTGGAGGGAAGTAAGATTTGATTATGCTTCACAGCCGAATAGATGTCCTTCAACAACGACTCTAACTCTCCCATCCACCATTTGCCGTTGCCATGTCCGCCATTAGCTTTGGGATCTGCCCCCATCTTCGAACTCCTACTTTGATGTGATGTGCTTGATTTCCAACTCTTGACACTAGGTGTCCTCTTTTTGATCCCTCCATATACGCTTAAGTCTCCGGATCCAGTCCTTGCAAATGAAGTCCCGTGGATACTGGAATCCTCCGATGCTCTTTCCTCCATTTGCTGCTGCTGTAGCGTCTGTGCTTGAACAACCTGCAAAGTATTTTTGACAAAGGCGGATCTTGACATCTTACTTGAGCTTGACTGCTGCACTACATGAAGATCTGTGTTCAATAAAAGAATTGAATAAGAGATGGCATGGACCACATCCTTGGTGCCAAAGATTGATCTCGGATTACAATCCACGTAGCGCTGAGCAAACCCTTCCAAGACTCGGTCCACCTCCTGTGTCTCCCCTTTCAAAACTAGTTTTTGACAGAGTTGACGGAATGCTACATCTAACCTTTTGCCTGAAAAATCAAAATTATTCATATAGTGTGTGAGAACCATTCGGTTGAAGGGTTTAGCTTGTCCCAAAAAGATTGAAATTTCATCCCGTTTCAAAAAACTCTCATCCTCCTTAAAACAGAGCCTTGAGCTCCTCTGAGCTTGAGCCTCTAGGGATTCATCCTCGTCACCCATGTTTGAGGGCTTGGTTAGCATAAGTTTATTGGCGTCTTTGGGACTCACACATATCGTAGCTGGCCGCATTCCAGATCCTGTCACTGGAAGACTGAGACTGAGACCACTGATATTGTGGTCTTGCGGGGTTTCGTGTTCTGGTGTATCAGAGGAGCGACGAACTATAAGCGCTGGGCTGCTGTGAACAGATGAGTCTGGAGTGATTAGCGATGGTTTATGTGGAATCTCCTCATAGATGTCGTGGGTCGGTGTTTGTAGATGGCCATCTATTGCAACAGCGTTAGTTGGAGTGCCAAGTGGAACGAAGATCGAGACAGGCCTCCTTGATGATGGCTTCTCTTGATCGAGTCCAAATAGGTTCTGGAGCGAAGTTGATGGCTGCTCCTTTGTAGGAGATGTCATGAGCCCGAATTCCGAAAATCGAATAGAATTCCTGGCATTTGCAGACAATGCTGTCTTTACTGGTGCATGGCCATTATTGTGTTGATGCTGGACCTCGTCACCTGACAATTTACCAGATTGAGCCAGTTCTGCTTCAAGTAACTGTGACAACCGGTTAGAGCTTATTGTGAGCGCAGAGGGGATAGGGACCACTACGTCCTCACTCTCTGAATCGTCTTCATCAACTGTTGATGCCACAGATGTATCTGAAGGATGTCTCAAGCCTATAGACGGTTGCGGGTCCCTTTCAGTATTTAAGCTTGATGAAGTGATAGGAGGTTTGGATGTGGTATCGGTTGATGTAGGGATGTCACCAAGGTCTGATTGCCTCTTAAGCCATGATTCGACAGTCGATGCAGATGTCGATAATTCCAGGTCCACCTCTATGTCCAAATTCGAGACTCTGGATGATTTAGAGATGGAGATAGGCACCTGATGGGACACTACAGAAGAAGCTGGCGCTGAAAAAGGCGGCGATTTCTCCTGCAGTTTTTTTTCCGTTTCTTTTTCTTGACTAGAATGATGGTAAAAAAAGATTAATCCAATATTTTGGATAGCATGTCAAAATATCTTTCTTGAAGTGTACGTGCAGACTAAGGTTTATTTTTACCTCATAAGGCCATCCTGTGTTCCAAATCCCATACTACTCTTTGCTGACAATGGTGGTAGCTCGGAAGTGGGGGTTGTTACATTGGATACAGGGAAGTCGCTGTTGACTGGCGAAGACGACGGAGATTGGTGACAAATGTCATTATGTGCAGGCATCGCGGGAATTGGCGGCGCATCCTTGTCATCAAAGTTCTGTTTATTTTTGTTTTTAAGTGGAAAAATGTAAGATTGATTAGCATGTGAGTGATCAATAGTTGTCCGACTTTGACAACTAGACTGTAAAGCCTTTTTACCTTGGCCAATTTCCGCAAAAGATTGCTACTGCTCTTGCGTACCATCCTACTAATGGTTCCAGCAGTTGACTAAAGATACAAAAAAAAAAAAAAAAACAACTTTAGATTGCATCCAAATCAAGACGATCCAAAACAAGCACAGTCAAACAGTAGTTAAACGGTTCTTACTTTCAACCCTCCAATACTCTCACTGCGCTTCCGACGTTGCTGGAAGGAGCTGGCAGTACTTGAGGAACTATGTTCTGACACGTGAGCCCTTAATCCTGCTCCTGCTCCTGACTCTGGTACACTTCTAGATGACTTTAAACCCGCCCCTGACTCTGATGCTGATGTAAAACTAGGGTTTGGGTTGGAGTTTGGGCTAGAAACTGATTCCGCCCCTGAAACCGCTCCTTGCAACGTGTATGGTCCGAAGAAGTCATCATGTTTGCTAATATTAGTAAGGTTGGGTGTGCTGGCTGCAGTTTTACTACCGCTCCATAGACCGATTGACGCACGATTATTGTTATTGTTATTGTTATTGTTATTGCTTTTATCGCCACTGCTCTGGTTGTTCTTCGTAGACGATGGTGGCTTCAACGCTACTGAGGATGTTTTTGGTGTTGGGTTTTTAGTTGAATTATAACTTTGAGAAGCGCCGGAGACTGTGTCGGCGGACGATTGATCGCCAATCAGAGACAGTGGTGCTGTCGCGAGTAAGATAGTCGACGGTTGCCTGCGTATTGAAGCTGGCACAATAAACAGAACATAGAGAGGAAGAGAGAAAGAGAGAGGTAAATAAAGCGAGTGAGTTCGTGAAATGAGGATACCACACACCCCTTTAGTATCAAGCAGAATCGGGCAGCATGGCAGAGATTTTCTCCTTGTCCAATTAAGTAAAAAAAAAAAAACACCACACACGAAACTATGGAAAGCCTTATTGTTCTACTACCACATGATAAGCCCAAAGATCCCACGAATGTGGGAATAGTGGGCTTCAGAGCTTTGGCGTGCTATTGCGTGTTAAAGGCTGGTTATACAGATGTGTACCAAGTTGGCAAGCTGAGTTTCTAGTGTTGTTTGCATAATGCATCTCACACGAAGCTCGCTTGGTAACACGACTTTAAACCTTATCATTTAAACTAGATTCCCTCAGTATAGGAATTAGACTAATGAATTGTGGGGAGATGCCATTATTGCTCTGCAGGTGAAGTTGTGTACATGCATTTACCGGAGATATTTGATATTTGAGGGGGAGAGACAGAAAGAAAGAGGAAGAGAACGAACAAAAGAAGGATGAGGTAGAAGAATAATTGGATGATCATTGTTTTTGAATTTCACACCTGTGTTTTGGAAGCGGAGTAGAGGAAAATGACAAACATTGGGAGAGGAGAGAGGGTAAAGGAACCGGGGAGGAAAAAAAAAAGCGATAAATTGACCTACTGTTGGTGTCTGTTGAATCCATTTGATTAAAAAAAAAAGTTGGGTATAGATATAGAGCGAGTGTAGCCAAGGATGGATGAGATTCGACCGAGGAAGATGTTTTGTTTGTTTTGTTCCTTTAGCGATCCAAGGGAAGGGATGAACAGACAGTGAGAAAAGTGCAGATGAGCGATGTGGATTAGGAATGGAGGAGAATGTGGAGAAAGGGAGCGATTAAGTGAGAGAATGACGGTGTCAAAATGAGAGAGCAACAGGGCATAGATGGAGTGATAGAGATAAGAGAGAGCAGGAAAAAGAAAGAAAGGTCAAAGGCCAAAGGGGAGGGAAAGAACCTTTCAATAAGAGATGATGTTAGTGTGAATGAGGGAAGGAGTTGATTGATTGTGTAAGTGAAATGAAGTTATGCATGTGTGCCGTTATGGGACAAGTTTACCTGTGTAGGTAGTTCTGAAGTGATTTTATTATTATTTCTTTTGTTTTGTTTGTTCTTTCATATTTATCCTTGGGCATACCACCAGGGGCAAGATAAAGAGAGAGGGAGAGAAAAGAGAGCCGTTTGTCAGTGCCCTTTTTTTTAGTTCAAGCAAAGCATGCATGCCATGTTTTATATGAATGTCTTGGGCCTGTGTCGATGTACTATGCAGTTTGCAAGCTGTGGCTTTTTTTTTTTTTTTATAAACATCTTTAATATCTACACTCTCCGCCGAAGAGGAAAACGACCTTCACGTCTCATTTTACGTTTTACATTTTACATTTTACACTTTTTCGTTCACCCATATTTTGCATATTGAATTGCTTGCCTCTCTCATTTGGGCCCTTTCTTCCTCTTCAGGCTCACCTTGAAGCACACGAACTTTATATAATTCAACCATTTTTTTTTTTTAGTAATTTTATTAGTTTGTTCAAATTAAGAGCTGATCTACTAAAAGCTGACCATGCTCATACGCCGATTCGCCAGACCCTACTTCGGAGCATCAACAAAATGTCTCTGCTCCACACATTCTGATACCTTCTTCTCCTCCTTACTTCGCTCTCCATCTCGATTACCTCGATTACAACATATTCAAGCTCATCCTCGATTGTTCACAACAGCAACAGCAACAACCCAAACAACATGCATAACACCTCTATCCTCCTCAACAATACCAACCAAAACTTTATTAATGCCTGAATCCTCACTTCCTAAACGAAATCGGCCTCTCATTGCATTAGGAATAGAAACTTCTTGTGATGATACCTGTGCTGCCATTGTAACTTCGGATCGTCGAATTCTTTCTGAAGTCATACGAACTCAACATCATTTACATGAACCGATGGGTGGTATTGTTCCTAAATTAGCTCACCATGCTCACATGCGCAACCTACCTGAGGCTGTCAAGGAGGCTATCCAAAAAGCGGACTTAGGTGAACGGGGAATTCAGGAAATCGATATCGTCGCTGTTACCCGTGGTCCTGGTCTGGCTCATTGTTTAGGTGTTGGTTTAAACGCTGCAAAGACTTTGGCTGCTGCATTAAACAAACCTCTCATTGGAGTTCATCATATGGAAGCCCATGCTTTGACAGCTCGTCTGACAACAACAGCAACTCTAGATTCAAAATTCGATTTCAAAGAAAAAGATATTGAAAAGACTTTATCACAAAAACAGCAACAACAGGAACAACATGCTATTGAAGCTGATCCATATCCTCCATTTCCATTTTTGACACTCTTGGTTTCAGGTGGCCATACCTTGTTGTTAGTGGCTCATTCTGTGGATCATTATACGACCTTGGCGACAACAGTAGATGACTCCATTGGTGAAGCATTTGACAAAACCGCCCGTGAACTTGATATTCCTTGGCTGTCAGGTCGAGCTGGTGGTCCGGGCGCGAGTCTGGAACAGTTTGCGAAGGAATCAAAGCATCCTCACCGATATTTGGATCAATTGCCAATTCCAATGAGTCTTCGATCAAGTAAACATGAAATGAAGTTTAGTTTTGCGGGACTCAAGAGTGCTGTAACGAGAATTGTCCATCGGGAGAAGGATTCTGCTGCTGCTTCCGCTTCTACCGCTGCTGATAGTACTATTACTACACCTAATTCTACTACTACTACTACTACTGCTGCTGTCATGGACGAAGAAAGGAAAAGAGATTTAGCCGCAGGATTTCAATACTGTGCGATTGAACATCTTTGTCAAAAAGTGGAACAGGGATTACATAACTGTCACAAACAAGGCTTAGAAATCTCAAGTTTAGTCATCAGTGGAGGTGTTGGACGCAATGCCACGCTCCGAAGAAAGATGGAAGAAATATGTGGAAGATTTGAACATCATCATATTGTCAAGCCAGCAGCAACAGTAGCAGCAGCAACGGCGAATTCTTCACAGGCCACTATTGCCCCTGTCATCTTATCAGGAAAAAAGCGACACGTAAGAGTGATCTGTCCACCACCCAAGTTGTGTACAGACAATGCAGTGATGATTGCTTGGACAGGACTTGAGCGATATCAACGTGGTCTAATAGATCCGTATGATATTGATATTATACCAAAATGGCCGTTGGACATGCTTGGAACTGGAGTTGTTCCAGAATAAACGAAGTATGAAATAGAATAGCATGCGCACGTGATCAAAGTACACGTGCTATTTAACGCGTCTGCCACGTATATTTTATCTGCTGGTTGTCGATGTTCAATCGTATTTAGTTTATAAGAAGCTTTCTTCTCATCTTTTTTCTTCTTTCTTTTTTTTTGTCATATACTCTTTTTCCCTCAAGTCAAAGTTTAACATCATGGGTTTCTCTTCCAGGACATTGGTCATGGCCCTGGTCTTGACCCTGACTGCCATTCTTTCATCATCAGCATTCTTTTCTCGAGCCTACGCTCAGTCAAATAATCCTTCTCAGGACGTACTTCAGAAGAAAGTTTCGCGTCTACAAGCCAAGGCCATCAAGAATAAGGGCGTTATTGAGCTTGACACTAACTCCTTTGAAGAAGTTTTGTCCAAACCAAGAAATTATTCAATGGCTGTTCTTTTTACAGCCACTAGCCCTGAATATCAATGTGTGCCTTGCCTGTAACGTTTAATATTTTGCCTGCAAAGCGAAAACAAATAACTAGGAGGTTGGATTATATACTTATCAATTGCGAGGCTTTTTTTTTTTTTTTTTTTTTTTTTCTTCAAATATTAGAAACTTTGATCCCGAGTACAGGCTTGTAGCTGCTGGCTGGACCAAGCTCGCCGATAAATCTCAGTTGTTTTTCGGTTCATTGGATTTCAAAGTGGGTCAACCAATCTTTCAAAAGTTTGGCATGAATTCTGCTCCTGCTGTTCTTTTCTTCCCTTCAGATAAAGCCGCCAATCAAGCTCCAGAACGTTATGACTTTGCGAGAAGGTTAGGATGAAATTTTTTTCTTTCACTTAACGCAAAAAAAAAAAAAAAAAAATACACAAGTCTAATACATCCATTCCTTTTTTTTTTTTTTTTTTTTTTTTTTTTTTTTTAAAATGATAGTGGTTTTATTGCAGAACCATTTGCTAAATGGGTGAACGCAAAGGCTGCTACAGATATTCGTATTAAGCGTCCCATTGACCTTGTGGCCTTAGCTGTCAAGGTTTTAAGCGGTTTCGCATTTATCGGTGTGGGCTACTTGCTCTACAAAAAGGCCACTAAGGTATCAGGAAGCAAATACTTGTGGTCGGCCATTTCTCTGGTAAATATAACATGCATCCTACCCATTTAATTATCTTCGATAAATATTTTTGTTCGTGGTTCAAAACGTGTTAATTTTTTATTTTTATATTTATTTTTTACTTTACTTCTAGTTCACTATCTTTATTATGATCTCAGGACATATGTGGAATCAAATCCGTAATCCACCATACACAATCCCAGGACGTGGCGGCCGTTCAGGATTTATTGCTCAGGGATTCCAAAATCAGTTTGGTCTTGAGAGTCAAGTGATCGCAGTGCTTTGTATGTTTAATTCATTGCAATGTTTTTTCCCTCATTATTGTTGTTGTCATCACAAAAGATATGCTATTATAATGACAACAACAACAACAACAACAACAACAAAAGACTAAACATGATATTTGCTATGCTTATAACGTTATATAGATGCTGCTCTTACAGGATGTGTGATTGCTCTCATTGGAGTTGTCCCCAGGATTGAAACTCCTGCCTTGCAACGAGCTGCAGTTTGGGTATCCATGGGCCTTTTCATTTTCTTGTTTAGTCTTTTGATTCAGATCTTTAGAGTCAAAAACCCTGCCTATCCCTTCACTCTCTTGTTCAAGTAGAATCGGGAAGCAAAAAAAAAGTAGTAATAATTGCATATTAAAAAAATTTACAGGCAAAAACTGGTGCAGTTTATTTGAAGTTTACTTTTTACATTGGCTTTGTTATCGGACCTGGACGATCTATCAATTGTCTGAAGTGGAAGGCTTTTTATTTTTACGTCTTGGATTCCGCACGCCTACTGGATGATGCAGCATTTGACAAGATGACAGGTTCATTGGCATGGATAGTTGAGGCAGCCTCAGAACTAGAACCAGAGCTCGTATCGGCATTAGCAGTTACTATTGGCTTTGAAGTTATATTGTCTGCAGCACGCGTAGCAGCAACAGGAGCAGCGGCAGTTTGGATAGAGAACAGCTTGACTTTAGTGTCATACCAAGCACCAAGTCCCTGCCGACCTAAACGACCTCCACCTCCAAGAAAAACTTGACTCCAAAGTAGCGTTTGAAACCATCTCGCCAGCTTATCCCAAGCAAGCTTATGAACAACGATAGGCGGGCGACCCGCTTCAGGTAGACATTGGTGTAGCATTGGAATAACATGGCTTCGAATGTGATCGAACACTTGGTGATCGTTCAAAGCCTGGATGGATTCAATTTCTGGAACGATATGGTGCAGCATCATCAACAATGGCTCGAACCGTAGGGTCTTCATCCATGCTTCGACCTTTTTTTTCCCGACAGTAATAACAATAATAGCAACGAAAAAAAAAAATAAAAAATAAAATAAAATAAAATAAAATTAGTTAATACCCTAGAATATAGGGAACAATAAAAACATAGCAAATAACCTGCGCAACCTACCCACTCTTCTGAAGGCACAAAGTCCTTCAAACTAGTATTATTTGTCACTGTTGTTGTAGTGGCCTGACCCTGTTGATGGCTTGGATCAATGATGGATAGAGTCGCTGTTGTACTAGTTGTTGATCTAGTACTGCTAAAAGATCCTCCCGTTCTACTATTATCAAATTCACGCCGCTCAAAATCACCACTACATCTATCTCGGATGGATGAGTTGCTGTCGAGTCTCTCTTCTGATGACCTGTCTTGCGTATTGTCGTCAGGGATAGAAGGAATCACACGATCTGATTTGTCCATTGATATTGTTAAACATTCATTTTCAGCTTCAACGTCTTCTTCTTGCCCTCCATCACCATCAGGAAGAGCTACTGTCGGGGTCGAGTCAACATTCTCTTCATGTACAATGATGTCTGTTGATAATGGTGTACCTTTCGGATGAGCGAAGAGTGCGGATGTTGTCTTCAAGATTCCATGGTCAGAACAAAAATTGGGGTTGAAGCTCGGAGTGTGTACTCCATTCGACTCCTTTCGTTCTGGCGTGTTAGATATGGATGAGCGATGTGGCGGAGAGAAGAGCCCTTCTTGGCGGTTGCTCTGTCCAGAGTCCTGTTGTGGTATTGCATTTTCATTGTCATGCCCAAGAGAGATCCGTGGCTCGCTAGTGTCGCAAGCTGAGCTTGCTGAGCTTGCTTTATCAGGTTTACGAGAACGAAACTTGTTTATATCGCGCAGTCCACGTTGCAGTGTAAACCCAGCCATTGTTTGTATCTTGGGCTCATACTGGACAAGTGTATAGATCAAATGAGGATTGTCTATGTGTTTAGAAGCGATTAAAAGATCAGTATATGTTTTGCCTGGAGTTTTCGCTAAAATTTGATTTAAATATATAAACTTACAAGGTGCCTGATAGTAGAGGATACTACATATCGCATCGAGGAAGATTCCAAGGAATTCATGATTTGCCTCTTCAGCGAGCAAGTATGAGGAAGATGCAAACGATGTAGTCAGCTGTAATAGCCGACTTGTTGAAAGGAGCGAAAGATTCCTGAGATAGGGCGAAACGTTGGCAATTGTTGAGATAAGAGCAGAATAAAGGGATCTAAGGGAATGCTTTGTGGTGGTGATTAGGCTGTACACAGACTATAAAAAATAAAAAATAAAAAAAAAGACTGGTAAGACAAGGTTGCTAGTGGGGCGAAAATCACATATTAGATAACAATAACCTCAGATCCTCAGATCGATATAGTCAATTTACACAAATAAGATAGTCACCGTAGGTGCCATGAAAGCGCCGGATCCTAACATTGGCAGGTAAGGACGCGTGCCTATCGAAAGCTTTGTTTAAGCAATTACCGAATGTTTTATCCTTGGATAGGGTCTGAAGCATATGTGCACACATCTGAAGAAGGCCAATTTGCGCTAAAGAAAGGATGTCACACCAAAAAAATGTATTAACATCAAATGAAGCAGTCATAATTACATCGATCCACACTACATCTCATGGGCTCCCTAAGTACATTACATGCTTCCTGCTTGTTCTCAAGCGAGAAATATAGCAAAATGATTACAATATCTAAAACCCGGTTCGTTTGGTAAAGATAGTCGCGGAAACGCTATTAGGAGTAGAGCGACAACTAATGGTGTCAATGGTAATGCATCTTGCAAGGGCAAAAATTATACAACACTACCAACACTTTTTTTTTTTTTTTTTTTTTTTTGCATTTCGCGTAGAACACCCTCGCGAAACATATTTCGGGAGCAGGGCTCACCTTATTGATCTCCAATGCTTTCCAGCATAGCATGAGTGTTTCATGATGACACTTGGCTTGTTTTGTAGATCCTGGAAGGTATGTGCTACTCGCCTATGTTGAGTAATGAGGGGCTCAGTCCACGGGCGTTTCAATGGCTTTATACGTTCTGCGATTATCATTTTGTTTGGTTTTACTCACGACCATCGGATTGCTAAGAATACGGTACATTCCATCAGTTAAAAACAGGAAGTCTTGCTCACGATGCAAGCGGGACAGGTAATGGCAGAACTGATTTTTGATAGCATGCTCAACTGACTTTACTGAGGACTCAGTCGTGAACGAAAATTGTGAGCTTGGAGAGCTCACATCTATGGTCTTTCTCTGCTGTTCGCTCATCTGAGCATCCACTATATTACACGGATCACCTAGCGGCTTCTCAATCACTCGATAATCTAACAGCGCCACAATGGTTTGCAAGCAGAGCATTGCAAGTAACTCTCGTTCATCACTGAACATGACATGATTATATGGTAAACCCCAACCAGATGGGTTGTATTTAAGAGCAGAATTAATCAGACTGCAAAGAACGGCTATTGTCCTCTGACGGTCTAGTCCAGTCGCAACAGTATTGATCCAGTGGTTTTCCGTTGTAGCAATATTGGCGGGAGAAAGGTACATGGATTTTGAAAATAAAATAAGAAGTAATCGTAAAACTTCTGTCCTATTGTCATCTAGCTCCTTGGAAGTACCAATCGGGTTTGACGCTCCAATGCCAGTTTCCCTATGAACGACAGGTGTACAAATGAGATGAGCAACATGTCTTGCAAGAAAAGAATAAGCCGGTGAATGAGCTGCTGATAATTAGTTATGAATGTACCATATGACGTAGCTCACACGGGTCCGAGTTTCCAAAGCAGTAGGAAGAGTGAATCCGGAGGTGAAGAGCAGATCCACTAATGATTTGATTAATAGCTGTCCATATGTAGGCCCTGTTCTTTCTTCCTGCTTTGGCGCCTAGACAATATCAACTGAATATGTGAGATATGGATTCTGCGGATCATACATTTGTCCTTGGGTTTTTGCGGCTCGCCATGAGGCTCTAGCTTCTACTACCCTTGGTCCGCTTACCCCCTGACTTCTTCCTGGTAGGTTTGGTTCAGACTGATCTTTGTAAGGCGATAATGATCGAGACTGAATCTCATTCTGTGCAGTCGAGACGGAAACACTGGATGAACTAAGATGATGCGAGTACATTTGATGAGTATCGCTCATTGCAGTATCAGCAGATCTCCAGAAATAGTGTTCTTCCCAATCCGCCATGTCCTCAGATTCAAAGATAAATGGAAATAGTCGGGCTAAGATACGAATGCAATTAAGGACCTGAATCGCTGGTGCATCCTCTTTCAAAAAGTCTCTGGAATTGCATAGCCAAAAGAGTCGAGCGAGCACCTGTCAAATCCACAATTGGAATCCGTGTTAGCCGCTGTGCTAGAGAGACCGTAAGGACATTATTATTTGAAATCTCTACTACGTGGTAGATCGCAATTACCTTTCCAATAAGGCATTTTAGGTTTTCTTGGGCATTATCTCGTACGCGTCGTATGTCCTGCGCTCCTACGAGCAAAAAAACATCATCGGCACATTCTGGCAAAGTCCAAAACTATATCCATCAGAATTGTGGCAACGTTTATGTTTAATGCATAGAATTCACGTGAACAGATCCAAGCGTGGGGTAGAAGAAAAGGGGAAGGAAGAGGAAGGTTATTACGAAAGGGGCCAGGAGCTAAATACTTACCTGTTCCCAGTAGTCGTTATCACAAGATGGAATGTTCTAAAAAGGATATGTCATTTCCAGAACAATGCAGATACTGTTTAAGCTTAGATGTCTATCTATGATGGGCACAATGAGCATATTGATATTTCTCTTGGACATCACCATACACGCTCTTCAAATAGACGAAAGACGCATTTTTTGAATGCTAGTTTAGAGTCAGCCGCTCCCATGACGAGCCGTGCCTCTTATGGAATGTTTTCGGTGAGAAATGGTTCAAGTAGATGCAATGCGAGAGTAACAGAGTCGGTTAAGGAACAAATGCAGAAAGGTGGGGTTAGAGCGTGCGAAGAATGAGTAAGAGAGAAAGAAAGAAGAGCCGCCTTTCTGAGGAAAGTCCTAGACCCTGCAAGCATAACTGAATAACTGATAGTGAGGAAAGCGCGCTGATTGGTGTTACTCAACAAAGTCGAGCTTATTTATCGGACTTATGCACGTGACAAACCGCCTAGACCCAATTCAGATAAAGTCACATCTAATGTACACAAACATGAAAAAAAAAAAAATAAAAAAAATAAAAAAGCAATACCATCTCATTGGTCTGTCGAAACCAGGACACCTACATTAATTTCATTCATATACTACTCTCTAATGGTCACTACGCGCAACGGAAGCAAGAATGCAATTGCCTCACGGGCACAGCCTCAGGAACTATCTTTACCCACACGTTCACGACGTACTCGACAGACCAAGGCCAAGACGAAAGAGCTACTCGCTGTAGAAGGTGAAGGATCAGAGACTGTGGAGAGTTCCTCCCCTACATCCTCACCAGATTCTGGTAGTCCGCTACAAGACGCAATAGACTATCCGCTGATCGACGACCAAAGCACAGAGCGGACTTGTGTACCCATTTTAGAAGAGATAGGACATGAGGGGGAGGAGGCAGAGGATGAACGCAATCACAGCATGGATAAAAAGTCAGATATACAGAGCAAAGTCTGCATAATTAAAGCTGGAATAGAAGAGCATGAGCCAGACAATGCAGAAGAAGGAGAAGATGATGATGACGGTGAGAGTGATGAAGAGAATGAAGAAGAGGATGACGATGAGAAAGAGAACGCGGAGGAAGCAGAAGAAGAAGAAGAAGATCTGGATCAGTTACTTGCAAGAGCACAGGAATCTTTGAAGCGGAAAGCCATGTTTGAGGAAAAAACTGAGGAACAACAATTCAATTTCCCAAAGCTAGAGACAGGTCTAAATACCAATAATACGTACTTTAAGCAGGATGGAGCAAAAGTTAAGGTGGATAAGAATACTGTTGTAGTAGTAGAAAATGGTACAGCTGCATCAAAACCCAAAGCTCAGTCAGCTCTCGAAACCTGCGAGATCAACATGAATGCCCACAAGGTACATGTCAGCAAGAAACAGAAGCAAGAGGTAAGATAAACGTGTCTAGCGTTTTACGAAGGAGAAGAAAAAGTTTTAAGGTTGCTCATTGCTATTATTACTATTACTTTTAGGAAAGAGAGAAGACAACAGGAAAGGGTTGGTTCGATCTTCCTCAACAAGTCTTGACGCCAGAATTAAAGCGTGATCTCCAAATCTTGAAGCTTCGTAATGTATTGGATCCAAAGCGATTCTATAAGCGAGAAGATAAGAGCAAGGCTAAGTTCCCCAAATATTTTCAAGTGGGTACAATCATTGAGGGAAATACGGAGTTCTATTCATCTCGGCTGACCAAGAAGGAGCGTGCCACCACCATTACAGGCGAGGTTATGAAGGACTTGACTGGTCGCGATTACTACAAGCGCAAGTTCAATGAGATCCAAGAAGCTAAACAAAGTGGAGGCAAACGCTTTTATAAGAAAGGCAAAGGGAAGCAGAGCAAGAGCTGGCGTGCTGGTAAATAATAAATAAAACAAACGCGATGATTTTCCTCCACCATGCATGGATTGTTATTGACATCAAAACTCCTCTCTCTAATGGTGGATATCAAGTCTGTGCTGTGCAAACAACATGTACACATGTGGAATGGGAAGAAAAAAACGGTCGAAATGTGGGCTCAGTTGGACCAGGCACCGCCCCTGTCTTTTTTTATGTTTATGTTACTCTGTGCCTTTTTATTTTTCCTATTCATCTTTCTTACTCCAAGATTTTGTCCTTCATCTTCAACTGATTGATCGTCTTTGCCTTCATCATCAACGACATCAACATCATCACCACCAATCATCTAGAACTTTACATCTTTTAAGGTAAGGAGACAAAAAAAAAAAAAAAAAAAAAAAAAGTGCGTTGCGTGCTCTTTTGAGAGCTCGTGGCATGGACATATTACAAATGAGTGCCCCTGTCCATGGATATAGGAAAAGAAAAAGAGAGGGAGGTGGACATGGCAATTTTCTTTTTTCCGTCTATTGTTTTTTGCGCACAACAGATTGAATGCAACTCCTTGATTAAAAGAAACAGTTGGATGCCTCCTTGGCATGGGCCCTTGTGTTTTAAGTGCAGAATATCGACATTACCTTTATTACATATTGCTGCCACTCTTCACTTTCATCTCCTCTCTTGCAGATTTATAGAAGGAGGGAGTAAGCACTAAAAAGGGGAGAGGGAGCAAGGGAAGAAGAGAGGACCTTGTTGTTGATAAAAATGCTATTACTCGAATTTGTGCGTGAAATGAATGATATGAATGACATTCCAATGGGTATCTGGGTTTTTCACATTTCAGCGTTGCAATAACTCTTCTCTTTTTTCAATAACCCAACCTCAACTTCATTCCATTCGCTCATTTATTCATTCAAATCATCAAACCATCATCAGTTCGTAATTGGTTAGAAGAGGAATTTTTATTTTCTTTATCTTATTTATCTTATTTTATTTTATTTACATAATCTGTTCATTCACATAGCAAACTTACGTACTCATTCGTTGTGTCCTGACAATACATCTTTCATCCGTGTTCATTCCGACCTTATAAAAGAAAGAAGAATAATAACGTTCGACCTTTCCTCGTGCTGTTTTCCAACGTTGCTTGGGATCATAGGATACAATCAAAGAAAATTAAGCGAAGGAGTCATCGCGTCTATTTGACAAGTTCGCATATTTCTCCATCCTTGGTTTTCTTGTTGAATTGGTTGCTTCGCCAAACAAACCAACATACAAAGGAAACAAGTTGTATATACAATATATATCCCTGCACAATAAACCCTGACAGCTGCCAATGATGGCTCAGGTCAAACCCCATCGTGCCTCCCTGCAACACTCTGCGATGCCTCGTTCGCAATCCTCCTCCTCTTCTCTCGTCTCTACTTCATCTCCCACCCGTCCCCGCCGCATCAATGTCAACTTGCCCAAGCACTCAGCCACGGCGGAGGTCTTTTTCGCACATACAACAGGTCCACGCACCCTGTCATTGGAGGCAGTCCAAGAAGAACGTGCTCGCTACGCAGAGTTGGTTCTGAAGAATGCTACTTCAGAGGTAGGCATCGATGTTAATGCTACTGGCGTTCATCATGTCTGGGTTCCTATTGTTGTAGTTCCTAACCTATCTAGTTCCTGAAGCCTTTGATTAAAAATACTTCTCCTTGTCTCATCCTATTCCTTCTATAGGCACTCTTGAAGATGCCCAATGTAGCAACAAAACCGAGAGCTGTTGATGACATCTTTGAGGTGGATATTTTCGGCAATCCCTCGCAAAGTGGCATTACTTGCAGACTGCCCTCTACGCCTCCTACGCCCTACTCCAACATGAAGGTAACTATTGATGCAGGCAGTCGTTTCTCGTCCCCAACCTTCTCCACACAGGTAAGACCCTTTCCCTGCAATGCGAATATGAAAAAGACACATGGTATAGATTAAAGGAACATCGTGGAGCAAACGATGAGAGATGCATGGCTGATGTCACACGTTGTGAGCGAGGAATGCTTATCCACACTAGTCCAAGTCCTTTCCATCCCATTGAAAAAAAAAAAAAAAAAAAAAAGTGTCGCATGTTGAGATGGTTGCACAACAACTGACCTTGTCCTACCACATCTAACGTTGCTAAAAATTGTCTGTTACTGCTTACTGCTTCAAAATACCCCAACTACGACCCCGTTTGACCTCTTCTTCCTTTTTGTCTCTTATGACTATAGCGCCCAGGCATGAGCCGTAAGCGATTCAGCCAGGTTCCCAGTACCCATGGTATGAGCATCGGTAAGGTTATTACATCAATGTGCCCTGACCTCTTTTGTCTGTGCATTCTTTAACCCGCCACTATCCACTGCGGTTATTGGATTGTTTTTTTTTTCTTCGCGTGTAATCTCCCATGTGTCTTTTAATGCAGATCTTCCCGTTTCCATTCCATGCCTTTACTTTTTATTTTGGATGTTAAACAAAAAAAGTGTGTTTTTGCTCATCTTTTCCCTCTTGTTTCCCCCTCTCTTTTCTTTTCCCCCCCCCCTGGTAGTTTTTTTTTTTTTTTTTTTTTTTTTCTATTTCTGTTCCCTCTCTTTTTTTTTTCTCTTTTTCTTTTTCTTTTGTTTTTTCTCCTTTTCTCTTCTCTTTTTCTTTTTTATCTTTTACTTCATCTATAATCCCAACCCCAACCCCTCAACCCCCCATCCTACTGGTCCCTTTCCCTCTACAATTGACAGCTACCTTTGTATTTTTAAAAACCCGATTACCCATTTACATTTTACATTTGCACTAACAATCACACCTTGATAAACACACTCTCTCTCTCAAACCAATGGACAATACCGTGATAGACACTGATAAGGACGATGTATACTCCAAGCGTAGAAGCAGCATGAACCCTTTGGCTGCCACATTTACCCCTACTTTCCCCAAGCCAACCCTCTTAGACTGTGCTGCATCTGACCACGATAGCGACGTTGGTCCTTCGTCAGAAGTCTGCATCTCGGATTCACGGGTAAGAACTAGTCTCCGTAGTCTCCACATGACTCCACTGAAAACAAGCGAATTTTGAAACACTGGTCTATTCCTGTATACCAATTTAAACTTTTTCTTTTTTTACCTTTGTCTGTATGTCTGTATGTCCTTAGGAGTCACTCGTCAATGGTCTCGGCATATCTTCTCCATCGGCCTCCATCACATCTGGCCAACAATCACAACACAACTTGACTGAGGCCCTCTCACCTACTGCACTCTTACGTCAAGATCGTCCCATATTTACAAATGCTTCGCCTATGACTACTACAACGGCCTCCATGTCTACCACCAATACCACCACTACCACCACTGCTGAGTTTGATCCAGAAGAGTTCCGAATCAGCTTGATGCGTCAAATCTCTGACAAGTTCTCAACCTTACCCTTGTCCCCTACCGTTTTGGATCAGAATGGCTCCCCTGTATCGAACTCTGGTTCCAACAATGGTAATGGCAATAGCAACACTCATGCTCTCGAGACAACAATCATTCAACTGAAAAAGACGTTACGCGCTACAAACACTGAATTGGATCGACTCAAGGACAAGAATCAAGAGCTACTTGAAAAAAACCATAAGTTGGAGTTACAACATCTTGAGGCCACTCATCAAGTCGCTAGACTTCAAGACTTTGAGCTGAATAATCAATTTCTACTATCAAGAGTCAAAGAGTTGGAATCTTCTACAGGCTCATCCTTGGATTCGGCTTTAGAAACTGCATCGATGAGTGGACGTCGTCAGAATAGCACTTCGATCGCACAAAGCCAAAATCAGCAGCAGATCCAGAAACTTTTGCGTGAAATCGCTGCTCTTACACAAGAGAGAGATGCACTCAAGATTCGGTCCTGGGAACTTGAAAAAAAACCCTTTGCGCATCAACACCAGCATGAGGTTCGCTCCGCTCATTTTATTGATCTTGAGAACGAGCGCAATCGCCTTATTGAGGAATTGGGCCAAAAAACCGTTGCCATGGAGGATCTTTGGAATAAGAATGAGGCCTTGACTTTGCGAGCGAAGGAATATGAGAAACGAGTCTGGGAACTAGAAGGTCAAGTCGCTGCTCTCGAAGCCGATTGTGCTTCGCTGCCACTGATCCGTTCAGAGTTGGTTGAAATGGAAGCACGTGCAGAGGCTGCAGATGCGCTCGTCGAAAAGTTGCAAGATTTTGAAGGCCAAGTCGCACTAGTGAAAACCTTACAAGAGCGTATTAATGAATTGGAAACAACCAATGCAGAGCTGGAACATTCCAACCGAGATTTGTCAGAGAAACTCAACTTTGCCAACAATCAGCATACATTGCTTGCTAAAGAATTCGAATCATTTAGATCAAAGGATAAAGATGATCGTCGACTCGAATATTTGGTTTCACGAAACCGAGAACTTGAGACACTTCTGGCAGAGCAGTCCAAACTATCGCCTGATTATAAGGAGGACTACGAAAAGCTGTCTGCAGAGATGGAGAAGCTCAAGCTTAGGGTGCCACAGCTCGAGGGTCAAGCCAAGCAGGCTGCTCTATGGCGAAATAAGTCATTACAGCTGGAGAAACAGATCAAGACCATGGAGGAAAATGAACCAAGGCTGGGAGAGATGCAACAACTTCATGAACGCAACATGTTCTTGGAGGGTGAATTGGGTGAGTTGGAGCAGTTGAGAGCACGTGCGTTGGAGCTTGAACATGAGCTTGAAGGAGCTAAAGCAAGATTAATCCAGCTTGAGACTAATAAGTCAAGAATGAACTCGGTTTCAGGTCTCAAACTTCAGTCACGGGCACGTTCTGGCTCAGTGGCTCAACATGGTCCACCAAATCTTCAACCTCAGCTACAACTACTGCAACAACAACAGCAGCAGCAGCAGCAGGCTCCGCTGGCCCCACAGCTTCAAACCCAAACTCAGCCATCCGAGGAGAATGAGGCTGAGAAGGCAGCAGCTGTGAACCTGAGGATCAAGACTGCAGGAAACACGCTTAGCCATCATCTTACGCGTTCCTCTTCTCAATCCATTAGTTCTATGGATGGTGTCCTGTCCTCTCCTAGATCACCAAAGCGAGAGTTCCCTGCTGCGACGGTAATGGTTGGAGGTACACCTACTCCAACGACCGCAACATGGCCATCAGGACGTATGAGTATGAGCAACTCGTCTCATAGGATGAGTACCAGTTCTAGTACGAGTACGGCCACGGTCGTGAGCAACACAGGTAGCCCGGGTCAACATCTAAAGTCTCTTCAACATGGCTATTCTGCACCGGTGAGTCCCGATGAGTCAGAAGAGGAGATGGATTACTGCAAGAAGGAAGCAAATGCTGCTACTTCTGCTACTGATGGAGCAACAATCTCAGGAGCAATGTTGACAGAAGAACCCAAGTCGTTACCTATTACTTCAGAAGTTAATTAGATTAGAAATGTAGACTGACTGAAGTTTTACTTGACATTATTGTTTATCATCATTATTGCCTTTTTTTTTTTTTACAATTGTTGCTTTCATTATTACTATGAGTATGACAAAAAAAAAAAAGTTGAATATACATATTATACATAGCTATACTACAGATACCAAAAAAAAAAAAAAAAAAAAAAAATGAAGAAAGAATTATCATGACAATGATGCGCCAAAATGGTGTGAGAGAGATGTAATACATGCATGAGCATGGGCCTTTCAATTCTCCTTTTTTTTTTTGCGAAGCACTCCCACAAAAAAAAAAAATCTGCCCCTAGACTGTGCAATGAGATAGGGTTGTATGTGGTTATGTGCATCCTTCATCAAAATCTGATTAAATTCAGAGATTGATCAAAGAGTAAAAAGAAAAAGAAAGGCTCTGGGCCTGCCTTTAATGAATCTCCCCCAACATGGCCATAATAGGATACAAATAAACCTTCAATGATTTGACCCATGCATGCTATTCCATGCCATGCTTATTGTTTTTTTTTTTTTCTTGGATAAATAGAGACCAAATCCCCTTTCGTTTTGCTACTGCTCATCTTTGTCTTTGTCTTTATCTTCCACTTCCTATCCCTTCCAGTTTATCACTATCCTTGTTATTTGTTCTTAAAACAAAGGTAAAGAAGGAATACTAGCCCACATCCTGGCTGTCCATCTTTGTTCATATGAACCAAATATGCTTTCTGCTTAAGTTGCCAGGCGTTATATGACTGCATTATTGCTTTTATTTTTTATTTTTTAGATATATTCTCTGATATATTATTCTCGCATGCATTGTATTGATGTTAGAATATACTTTTTCTTCTCTTTTTAATATAGTAAGATCAACATGGATTCTAGGACATTGACAAAGCTTCCTCGAAATATGCTCTACTGTGGATTGGTAGCATCGCTGACATCTTTTTCAATCGGATACGTGATCGGCTCACCCAACATTCCAGAGAACTCCATTCGAGGCAAAGATGGTAGCTGTGGACCTAATCCTTACACAATCCAAGCTGGTTTCCCTAATTGTCTAGAGTTTTCTGATCTCATATGGGTAATACTCTGGTTTTTTTTTTTTTTTTTTTTTTTTTTTTTTTTTTTGGAATCTAACCAATCTCTTTTATTTTCCTCATTCATCGATTGGTTCCTCCTTTAATACGATTCTCACCCCATCGCCACTTTAGGGATTCGCAGTGGGCTCGTTCTGTATAGGAGCCTGCATAGGAGGATTTGTCGGTGGGGATATACAGAATCGTGTCGGACGAATCAGATCGTTGATGATCACCAACTTTGTTCTCATTCTCGGCTCCCTTATCCTCAGCTTAACCTATCATCAGATCCAATTTATTGTCGGACGTATCGTCGTTGGTTTGGCTTGTGGATTGGGCAGTGTAGTCACCCCTACTTATTTGGGTGAGATCTCGACCACGTCTGGCAGAGGCTTCTTGGGTGCTCTTTATCAACTCTTTATTCTCATTGGATTGGTTCTTTCCAATTTTATTGGTCTAGCGTGGGCTTCACCCCCAGGTTGGCGCATCGTCTTTGCTGTGAACGCAATCCCTGCTCTCCTTCAAGCTTTTGTCCTTTTCACCTTGGTTGAAAGCCCTAGGTACCTGGTCTCGAAACAGCGCCTTGAGGAAGCCCATCTATCCCTTCAGAAACTTCGAGGTCCTGTTGAGGAAGTCGATGTGAGTCAAGAGTTGGATGATATGGTGCTCTTACTTCTAGGGATTCAAAGCAAACAAGGACAACAACAGCAACAGCAACAGCAACAGCAACAGCAACAGCAACGACGTGAAGAGGGAAATGGAGAAAAAGACAAAGCAACCTCCTTAAAAGATACAGGCTCATCAGAGAAAATTCACCATTCCTTAACGATTACAGAGAGCGAATCCAGTATTTTACATCTCTCAAAACCAACGACTCAAGAGTCGTATGGAATCTTTCAGCTCCTCCGATCCGAGTGTCGTGGTTTAGCCCTGATAGGCGTTACAATTCATTTCCTTCAACAAGCATCAGGCATCAACGGCCTAGTGTATTACTCGACTTCATTCCTTGCTAATGTCTTTGGATCAGAAAATTCAAAATATATCACCATTGGCATTTCCTGCTGTAGTTTACTAGTCTGTATCTTGTCAGTCTATCTAGTCGATCGATTCCCCCGCAAGTCTCTCATGCTCACTTCCTTCATCGGTCTCAGTCTGTCTGCGATCCTTGTTATTATCAGCACATACTTTGATCTGAGTTATCTTATTGTCGTGGCCGTCTTTATGTATTTTATCGCCTTCAATATGGCTTTAGGCCCTATCCCCTGGTTATTAGTGTCAGAGATGCTACCAACGTATGCGTTATCACCTGCGTCCAGTATAGCTACAGGGGTGAACTGGGGGACCAACTTTATCGTCGGATTAGTCTTTCCATCCATGACAAGAGTGTTGGGCAATGGAACATTCTTTGTCTTTGGTGCCTTTAATATCTTTGGTATTTTTTATGTTTGGTATATTGTTCCAGAGACGAAAGGTCGCTCAGTCGAAATGGTCATGGCAGAAAAGGGTGTTGCACCACGTGTAAAATAAAACGAGACGTTCTCTCTTTCTTCACTTGCTTCTTTTACATTATCAACAATACATATTCATATCCATAGGAATGCTAGCAACATGATAAAAGCAACACAATGATAATTTCAGGTACCAAAATCTCCTTGGAAGGATACCTAGGTCAATTAGAGTCAATCTTTTTTTTTTTTTTTTTTTTTTTTTTTAATGTGTTGGCTGGCACATTTTCTATGACATTGGTTTCTTTTTTTTCAGTCCCAAAATTCAATAACTAGGAAAATCTTTATCAAGTGGTTTTTCTTCTTTTTTGTTTCCCTTTTTCTTTTGTTATCCAAAAATTCAAAAATCGAAGATATAAAAAAAAGTGAGAGAGGAGTGTAAGGAGAAAAAAAAGAAAAAGGATGAAAAAGGAAAGAAAATGAGCCTATCCCTTTCACTGTCTAGTTGTAAATAGTTTTCTCTCGAAGATGAATAGGGGTGCCTGCTGCATCAGGAATGACCTTCTCGAGTTTCTATTGTAAGTTCATATATTTTATAAAAAAAAAAAAAAAAAAAAAAAAAAAAAATGGATTAATAGAACTATTCACTTCACTTCAAAAAGAAGCTTTATCTCTTCTCCTTCATTAAATAAAGTGTTTGTGGATACGATGACATTACAAGCTTTGAAAAAACACATTCGTTAAAGGTCCTCTCGGGCTTGCGGCATGCATAGTAATGCTGGTTGTGCTTTTCCAAACACTTGTAATGCGCCTCCCATTCCTTTTCACAGTTCTCCCTGAGCTTCGTGATCCTACAAGTAAAAAAAAAGAAAGAAAGAAAGATAGAACCATTATAAGCTCGTATCAGCAAATGTTTTATAAAATAGGCAATTGCCTCAGTAAGCAGCAATTGACTTTTAACTTCTTTGTGTGAAAATGTACAAATTTGTTTATGTATTCATATCCATAAATATGAAAAAGAAAGGAAAGGCTTACAGGTCCATGGCACAACGTGTGACCTTACGACCCTCCTTCAGACAGTGGGCTGGATCGTTGTTTTCTTCTTTACAAAGCATGAAATCCTCATTATAGTCCTTGCAATAGGCTCCGATGAAGAAAGCAGCCGACTTGAGAGGTGCAGACGTTGCACCCACCTCTGGATGGGCTGCTTCTTCAGGTGCGGGAGTAGGGTCAATAAACTTGCCCGTGGTGAGGAATGAAGCTTCACGATGAGTGGCCATTGTAACAGCTGGATGATTATAAATTAAAAAAATAAAAAAAAATAAAAAGAATGGAGAAATGATATTTTTTTCATGTGGTAAGCATGCCATTGTATATCATGATAGTTTGATCCATTCAAGACGCGTGTTGACTCCTATGACTCCTATGACTCCTAGATCTCTTCCTGCAGATACATACAAAAAGGTTGAAAAATAAATGGGCGATTCCTGCAAGAGAATGAAATAAGAAATTAAAATATAAAACTAAAAAGTGAGTGTTTTAATTCCTGCTGCGTTGCTGACCAAAGAAGGGAAAAGGGTGAGTGTGTGATAGGGTATTTGGAGCCAGATCCTGGTCGGCGACAGACGTGATGTTGGATAATGAAGGTATCGCTCAAAGGAAATAGATCAGTTCGGAGGAGGAAAGGCTTTTTTTTACGGATGCGATAAAAACCACTTTCGAAGACGCTCTGTATCACTTAATAGCGATCTCTGATTGGCTGAAGAAAATAGTGAAATACTCAATCTCTCATTCCACCCACATGTTGAGTGTTCCTGAAAAGTCAGAGCTTCCAAAGTTCTCTCTTTCTAGATTCAATAGTTTAACTGGATACCAATATACTACAACAGTATTCGAGAGGCTACCCCAAGTAGGGCATTAATCTATTTTTATTAAAGATCAACTTTGTATTTCTACTTCTTGATGCATATATTACTGCTGTTTATTGTGCTGCACACAGCGCAGAGGCTTTCTGTATGGCTTGTACTACTTCTCACATCTCGATGCTTTCTAAGCGAGCCATGCCTCGTCAGTAGTGTCTAATAATCTGCCTTGCTCAGTCGCAGATACCCTAGAAATCTCAGGCTCCTCATGTACCAGCTCCTCTAAAAGCAGTTGTTCTCAAAGCTCTCAGTGTCCAGGATAAAAAAGAACCGATATAAGGGAGCTCTAACGCTGCTAGCCAATATGCTTGCAGAGCATTTTTCGTCGAAATATTTCAAGTCATGTACACCGCAGAATATCCGAAACAGAACTTGTCTCTCCATTTCCTCAGTTCCTGCAACTATCATAGCGACGAAACTCCATGCTAGGGGCCATTTCCCTTGTCATAATGGGTAGAAAGGCCTTGCTTTTCCTGATTTCCCATCCAAAGATGTGTGTCGAAATGAGTGGGTCTTTCCCCTTCCTCTTCTTTTTAACCGTTATGGCGTAAAGGATATTATGGATATCGCCGTAAGCAATGAAATCATCACTTGATTGTGGTTGGTTTTCATCCTCGTCGCTTAAGAGCATCGTGAACTTGGTATGATCCATTGTTTATTGGTTCATAGTTATAGGAATCGATATGCCCCTTAGAATCATAGCCCTGGTCTTTGCTTGGTCGCTTTGAATTTGCATTATATACCGAAGTCATTTTTGCTGCATGGCTTATGGTTATGCTCCAGGAAATACTCAATTCGGTAGACAGTATTAAATCAGGATACGCACTTGCATTTGATCGATTTCTTTGTTATCCTGCGATGCCAGACTTCCCATCAGACACTCGCCCTTTGACCACTTTCTAACTCCTTCTACAGTGACAATAGTGCCTGATTATAACCTCACCAATTCTCTCCTTTACGGCCTCATTGGTATATTTGGCGGTATCTGTGGAATGAGGTCGAGACTTGGCATGGGGCAGAAAATTGGTGCCAATGCAGGCTTGGTATCATAGCCACCAATCATCTAAATACGTCGCACTGAGGGTAAAAGCCAGATAATGCTTCTTGTACCATTTAAAGCTATGATCATCCTGTATTCCAAGTTCCTCAGCAGCTATAAGAATATATGAATCAAAAAAAGGGTTTTCTTTGCTGCATTCGTCACCTTCTTCTAGAGTTCCATATCAAGATCTTTTGCAGATCTTTGATTATTTTGGCATCGTCATCACTGCCATCCCAGCATTCCACATCGCCTGTCTTTCCAGCAGCAAAAATGGCATCACCTCCAATATCATTGTCTTCAGTGTCGTCACGGTCATCCATGCATATTTGCGAAATACTATGTTCCACCTCCTTACCTTTTTGTCTGCACTATCGCTACCTTCGCTAAATCTGACTCTATTTGACCCATGATCAAGCTCAGCTAGGCGAAGCTTCTAAATTAAATCAAGTCAGCTCCTGATACTAAAAACACTATCACTACTACCATAAGAAAATCAATCCATCGGATTCTTTGTAATGCTCGATATAATTCCCAAAAATTTCTCATCATGAATCTCATACGAATCTAATTGATTTACTTCAGGAATAATTGTTGTTTATGAATTGAAGCCGCTGTAAATCGGAGCCAAAAATTGATTGACATGATAAGTGTTCTAATCTCTTAGTGTATTTCAAAGTAGCAGGGACCTTGTACATTAAGGAAGGGCTTAGCACTAATAAAATACAAGGAATGTCCAGTAGAGATTGGCAAGTACACGTTGGTAATTAAATATTTTAGTCATCCTTGTGTATAATTTTTTTTTTTTTTTTTTTTTTTTTTTTTGGCTTAATTAATAGATGTAATGCTATGAATGCTATGGTTTTTTCATTTTTATGGCGAGAAAAAAGTGTAATCAGAAATCCAAATCAAGCCATTTTGCATAATAGGCACAGCCTGCAGGATTGACAGGCCCATCCTCCGTGCAGAAATCAGCAACAGGACACACACCACAGGGACAGTCCTGCCATGCAGACTCAACCTTCTTATCCCGTATAGCCTTATAAACCCAATCCGATTCTGTATCTCCGTCTTCATCATCCCAATCTTCATCTACTTGTGCCATAAACCGCTCAACCTTGCCATCGTACACTAGAACATCCAATAACATCGTGATATCATCCACACTCAAATCCACTTGACTAATCCTCTTTTCCATGATATGCTTGCGAACAGCTGCGGCAGAAGGATAAGCTTTATGAGATGGTGTATAGATCGAACTAGAGTCTCTTGGATACGACTATTACAAATTTATAAAGCAGTTCGATATAGTTGTATTAGGTGCTTTTTTTTTTCTCTTTCAAGTTCACACTCAATCAAAAAAAAAAAAAAAAAAAAAACACACACACACACGCAGACTTCAAGTTATCATTCATCCGCATACCTTTATAAGAATAAACTTGTAACACTGATACGTCAACTGCTCAACAAAATCCACATCCAATTCTTGATCTGTAAACCATGGTCCTCCCGTGACTTCGACAGAGGGTGTCAACTCCATTAACATGTACAATTTCCTGGTTGGATGTTTGACTGATTTTATAGCCTTAACAAGTGCTTTCTGCTCCAGCACTCTTAAACATCTTTTGATCACAGCCTCATGTAGATTTGTCTTTGCTTTCAAATGTTTTGTCCAAATGCCCTCGTTTCCAGAAGATCGAATTGTGTTGTATACAACTTGTTCCTCTCCATGTAATGCGCCTGCTCTAAATATATTCACAATATTAGAAGGAAAAAGAGAGTTTACTCCAGTTAAGAGGAAAGTAGATTTTTAGTCGAAATAGATATTGTCATGTGGATCAAGCCAAAAAGAAAGCTTACTTTCCAACATCTTCTTTCTTTAATGCCTTATAAATAAGTTCGCCTCTGACTTGAAACACCTCAATGTATCCCTACAGATCATCACCAAGAGTAAAATAAATTCTTAATTTGTGTTTATAAATATTCCGGAGTCAGGAACACTTTTTTTAAGAAAAAGAAAAGGAGTACCTTCGTTAGGAGCGAATTTATAGCAACTCCTGTGTCTTTTGGCTCACATTCTGCGTGAAGTGCTAGAAAATCTATCGTTGTCAGTCCCTATTGCAAGTCCAGCAGTAACATTATGAGCAGCGGTTGGTATCATTTACAAATAGTGTTGATAATACTGGAATAGGAGATTAAACGCCTGCCCTTGCTTCAAAAAATAATATAAAGTAAAATAAACCTACGTTATTTCCTGCTTTTAAGCACTCGTTGTAAAAGAGATCTTCCATCCCTTGAGTGTCGGCCATTGTATACAATGTATGAAAATAAATGAAATGTAGATGTCCTTTGATTCCTGTAAAATGCTGGTATTATTTGTTTGGAAATGAATTACCTTGTTGGTATGCCAACTTTTACATGCAAGTCAAAAAAAAAAAAAAAATAGCATTGTGTAGCAGTTGGTGGCTTTGAATTTAGTTTTTACTCCATTCTGTGAGATGGTTTTTATGTAAAATGTGTATGTTACACTATGAAAAAGAAAACTTCAAATTGGCATTTTTTTTTTACTTGGTTGCTTCTTTGCCAGGTTTTACATCCTTAGTCTCCTTTCCTTCCTTAGCATCTCCTTCTGAAGTTGTGTCTTGTTTTCCATCCTTATCAGCATTATCCAGTTCCTCCTCTGCTCTCTTATTCTCGATCTTATTATTGATAAGATTGTGCAATGCAATGACAGATCGGATCAATGACGACAAGTAAATCACCAACAATTGATCGTTTGTCTTGACGGAGAAACTCTTGATTGTGTCTGGATCCTCAAGATTTGGAAGACGATTGAAAATGTCCTGAAGGTTGTAGATAATTTGATGGTTGATCGGTAAGGATCCTGCAACAACCTTACCTAGGTACTCCTGGATCTCTTCTAATCTCTGTTGCAAACCCTTCAGAGAACGCAGCTGGTCTCCAACACGGGTCGAGAGTGTACCCACAACGTTATCCTTGATATCACGCAACAAATGCTCGACTCCAATCTCCTCTGCCTCCTCTGCTTCAATTTCCGAAGGAACATGGACAAAAGTCTTTGTCGTGGCAGTTCCGTCCTAGCATTAACAATATATCCAGAGTTATGAGATTAGTCTTTTTTTTTGCGTATGTTGTCACCCAATAAGCCCTTTATTGATTCACCCCAGTCATAATACACAACGGTATTAAACAATAACAATAACAATAATAACTTACATCACGAATCTCTTCGACTGCAAAGTAAGCATCAGTTGGGATCTCCAGATCTGTAGGCTTCACATCAATGATGACGAGTGCTGGGTTGGGCGTGTACTTTTTGAACAATTCGTTGATTTCAAGATCAGAACCGCGTAACTTTGGGCCACTGTGATACCAGCCGACCATACGCTCCTTTGCTAGCGTTTCATTAGGCATAATCGAATCAACCAATAAGGAGATCAATAACAATATGTGTTAGATTTCATTTTAAAAAAATAAAGTGGCGTTTTGAACATGTCAACTATTATTTTTAAAAAAAACACGTTTTTCATAGTGGCCACTTACCATTGACTTTACGGAACATATCGTTCATTGCTTCAACATAGTTATGATCCAAGAACCAAACCGACGGATCTTTGTCATCTTCCTCAAAGGGCACTAGTAATATTATATTTTTTTTAAAAAAATAAAATAAAACGAGGGTCAATGAAACAAAAGCGAAGTATCAATTGCTGATCAGGTCGGGATTTCTAATATTCCATAGACAATCACGTAAACCAATCTATCAAGGTATCTTTTCCTTTTTTTTTTCTTTACCTGCGAAGCTGTTGGCAACATTAACCTTATTTCCATTGGCCTGACCCAAAAGGACACCAAGAGCACGCTTTTTTGTATTCTTAGCTACACGATTATAATGGTCAACAACAGAAAGAAGGACCAAAGGATGTACTGTCACAAGCGAGTTCTGGACCACAGCAGCAGGAGTGTTGTTGCTGTTGTTAGCAGTGGCGCCGGCCGTAGTAGTTGTGGATGTGGTAGGTGACATGGTCTTAAGAGTGCAAATGGGCTTTCTCCTGAGTCGGCGCTAGTCTTTTCCAAAGTTATTTTTACTGGATTCTGGCTGTAATGATGAGTAAAAGGGGAATCCGGTCAGCGAAAAATGAAATGTAAATGAATGATGCGTCTTTCTCTTTTGGCATGTGCCTATTTCCACGCGTGCGTCAGTCCTGCTTGCACTACGATTATATTTTAAGCAAAATGGTGGCTCAATTACGTTGCAAATGTGGCTGAACTTTTTAGACTTTCGACCAAGAGCTCGAACGAATCTAAAATCTGCACAGAATATCGAACTGGACGGGGATGATAGAATCCAATGGCTGCTTGCCAGCGGCTTTATGAGCATGAGCAGCTAAATTCAGTGAGCGTATGGATAGCGAGGACCTGACAGAAGCATTTTTTATTTATTTATATGTATATTTATTGGTAAACAAACAGTCTTGCTATTACAGCTTTTCACCGTTGTACCCATGCTTAGTAGAAATAACCAACAAAGCTACCTTCACCAATGACACCAGAATGGGTGAGAAGATCAATAAAGTATTTTAAAGGGATTAGGTAATATGCAAAGCCTGCATATGTTGAAGATTTGGGACCCAGTTCAACGGATCTCTATCATAAACGCGACTCATCTTCTGAACAAGCCAAAATTTGCACAGCATCCAAATAAAGTATTTCTTTTGATTCATAGGCGAAAGCAACAAGGAGATCCGTTACTCACAGAATAAAAGGAAACAAGAACAAACATCAGCCATCAAAAGCAAAAGTCTGCTAGAGATGAGGCCTGAATCAAGTATACTTCATTAGAGTAGAAACACTAGATCTTTATTTCCGACCATCATTGGCTATATGGTAACGGCAGGTCGTGTTTACACCCTCGTCGTTATAAAGACAATAATAACAAAAAGATATGAAAGAACAGTTAGTGCAAGTGTTGGATTACTCCTATGAACCATCATGTAAATCATATACCAATCAAATAATAATAGCACATCCACAGATATACTTAAACTCTTGCCTTTTTTTCACAAGTGTTCGAAAGCGAAGGTGTCTAAACGTCCTGGAGACACGCCTTTGAGACAGGGTCGGACATCTAATGGTGTAGTCTTTCTTGCTTTCTTGTCCCGCCCTTCACTTTTGTTGGCCTTTTCTGCTACTTCTCTTCTTCGTTGGTACTTTTGTTAACTTCTTTTTTTTTTTTGCATTTTGTTGTTTGGTGCTTTCTTTTCTTTCTTGTACTTTCATTGACTTCTTGGTACTTTTCTTACTTACCTAAGACTGTCGCCCTACCACCCTATACAGTCCCTTACCCTTGAAGAAAAAAAAAGAAAAAAAAAACCTTCTTTCCGGTATTTGCTTTCTTTCTTGTACTTTCATTTGCTTTCACTTTCTTGCTATGCTTCCGTTTGTTTTCTTTTCTACTCCCTTGCCATGCTTTCGTCTGTATTCCTTTAACGCTTGTTATCTTTTCACCCATTCTCCTTTGATGGTTCGCTTTCTTGCTATCCTTTGATGGTTCACTTTCTTGCTACACTTTGGAGATTCATTTCCTTGTTATCCTTTGTTGGTTCACTTTCTTATTATCCTTTGCTGGTTCACTTCCTTGTTATCCTTTGATGCTTCACTTTCTTGCTATCCTTTGATGGTTCGCATCTTTGTAATCCCTTGATAGTCACTTCTTTGCTATTCTTTAGTGATTCACTTCATTGTTATCTTTTGGTGTTTCACTTTCTTGCTACCCTTTGGTGCTTCACTTGTTATTCTTTGCTAGTTCATTTCCCTGTTATCCTTTGATAGCTACTTTTTTGCTATCCTTTGGTGCTTCACTTTCTTGCTATCCTTTGATGGTTCACTTCCTTGTTACGCTTCCATATTTTATCCTTAATGCCTCACTTGGTTGCTATGCTTTCATTCTTTCCTTCCATGCTTGAGTTTCTTGTTATGCTTTCATCTCTTTCTCAGTCCTTCACTTTTATTATCCTTTCCCATGTTTTTCGGGACGCATCTCTTCCGTGTTATGTTCTGTTATGCTTTCCTTCTCGCTTTCCCTTTATTCTCTCATTGCTTCGTTTCCTTGTTATTTTTTGATTTGCTTCTCTCGACGCTTCACTTTACTATTCTATCCTCTGTTCTCTTTCGATGCTTCACTTGTTACGCTTTCTTTCTTTCTCGTTGCCTCACTTCCTTATTTGTTTTCCTTGGCGCTTTACTTTTTTTAACATATTTTCATGTGCTTCTCTTCGACGCCTCACTTCCCAGTTATCCTTTCCTTTGTTTCCCTTCAATACCTCGCTTTCTTATGTTGTCTTCATTTGTTTTCTCCCCTTCTTATTATAACTTCCTTTGTTTTCCCTTGTGTGTGTATATGTTTTTTTTTTCCTTGTTATACTTTCATTTGTTTCCCTTCTGTGCTTCCCCTCTTATTATACTTTCATTATGTGCTTCTATTTCTTATTTTGTTTTCTTTTTTTCTTGTTTTCACTTACTCTTCCTATGTACTTCACTCCCTTAGTTTATTTTCATTCGCTCTTTCTCAATGCTCCTTCCTCTTTCTTATTTTTCTTTCTTTTGTTGGTTACTTGCCGCCTCCCTTCCTTACCATACTTTCCCTTACCTCGTTTTCTCGCTGCTTACCGTCCTTGGGGGTTACTTTGCCTTTGATATAGTACGGGGACAAAGAGTGTGTAGTTTAGTATAAAGTAGTGAGGGCAGGAGAAGACAACAGCCGTAGTTGAAAGAGAGTGGGAGATGACATAAAGAGGCACATGGAGAGGCAGAAGAAGTGTTTGCGCGTGTGCTTGTGTGTGAATGTATTTGACAAAGGGCTGCGGTTGAGACTTACTTTTCAAGAGGTAGAGAGGCGAAGAAGTGGAGAAGTGAAGAGGTGGAGAGGTGGAGAGGTGGAGAAGTGGAGAGGTGAAGAGAAAAAAAAGAGCTTAAAAACGAGAGAAGAATGTCTTTCTGCCCAATCCCCTCGTTGCCACCATTTTTCCTTATCTTTGTTGAAAGCGGACAAAATGTATCCTAAAATAGGCAATAGTTAGTCGCTATAAAAGCAAAAGCATCATCCGTCCGCACGAAGGGTCGATGTCATTGCCACATGAAACAAAAAGAATATTGTAAGTGAAGGCAGAGAAAGGTTAAATTGCGGAGAATTAAACAGAATAGCAATGAAAGTGTAAAATTGAAGACCCTGAAGGGCCTGCAGACCTTGGATATAACCAAACATTGATATCTCCCTCGACACACACATCACATTGCATATTTTTTTATGTGTTGCTTGTTGTTGCTCTCTCTACCCAGCAGACTTGTGATTTCAACAAGATAGTCATAACATAAAATAAGACAGGCTTGCTTTTGGGACATGGGCCAGAAAGGCGATGGGCTCCGTGAAAAGCATCTACCAGATACTGTAGCAGATCAGAACATACAGACACCTCCGCTTTCGAACACTTGTGAAAAAAAGGCAAGAGTATAAGTATATCTGTGGATGTGCTATTATTATTTGATTGGTATATGATTTACATGATGGTTCATGGGAGTAATCCAACACTTGCACTAACTGTTCTTTCATATCTTTTTGTTATTATTGTCTTTATAACGACGAGGGTGTAAACACGACCTGCCGTTACCATATAGCCAATGATGGTCGGAAATAAAGATCTAGTGTTTCTACTCTAATGAAGTATACTTGATTCAGGCCTCATCTCTAGCAGACTTTTGCTTTTGATGGCTGATGTTTGTTCTTGTTTCCTTTTATTCTGTGAGTAACGGATCTCCTTGTTGCTTTCGCCTATGAATCAAAAGAAATACTTTAGTTGACTATCCCTAAAAAAGACGAGTCCATTCACACTATTCAGCATCCACACGTTTGTATATGCATATATTCGCTGATCTCCTTTGGTGTGCCAGCATTCAGTCATTTAGATTTTTCATGTTCAAAGAGTAAGGAGAGAAGATAGTATAGAAAAGTAAGCGTACGGTATGGACATGTAGAGGCTTCCTCTACAAAACGTCGGATAGATCTGTGTGTTCTCCCATTGTAGTGATTGCCTGTCTTCTTTCTTTATTGGAGCATTTTATCGCCCAGGTATCGCTTTTTCTAATTTGTCTTCGAGCGGAGTCTTTCTTTGACAGATCTTCTCTTTTAAGGAAGCAGGTCACTTCGCTCCAATTCTTAAATTACCGTTATTAAATTATACATCTATGTATTGATGATACTTTTTTATTGGGTGTCAACATGTTGAAACAAAAATTACAAGCTGAAAGATAAACTGGATATGGCTGAAAATAAATTAGCCGTTACTACATGATATGGTTAATGATTAATATGCTGTTGTTGGCTGCTTGCACTGCAGCCTTCTTTTCTTCTTTTTTTTTTTTTTCCTTTTTTTTTTTTTTTTTTTTTTTTTTTTTGCACAAGAAAAAAAAGCAGAACGGATATAAAATGTGAATTGGATATGATAAATGATAATGAAGACTAAAATAAATGGGGATGGAAATGAGAGTATGAGAGAGTGAAGGAAAGGCTACAAATATGTGTTAAAGAGGAGTGATCTAGGATTTAGCTTTGGCTGGATCCATACCAGCTGCTTCGAGGAGTTGTTCTGTGTATTTGTATGCATTGGGAACGTCGATTGCAGTGTCAGGCAGGAACTCAAGTGGGTTTGTAAAGCCTTCTTCAAAATCTTCTGGTGTCAAGACCTTCTCTGACAACAGCTTCTTGAAGATGTCGGCGATACTATCGACATCTGACTGCTTCATTTCCATAGCCTGAGTAACAAACACTTCGACAAAAAGTGGCCGATGGGAATCATCCAGTTCCTTGACACTCAGCAGCAATTCATTCACGTCCTTCAATGATAAGTACTCCTTCAGCGTATTCTGGATACTGCGCTCAGCCTCTTCCTTTGTCTTCTTTGGAGCACTTGGCTCCTCTGCTTTAGGCTCCGCAACAGTGGCGGCTCCTTGATCAGAAACAGGTGTCGAGCGAGGCAGCAGCTTCAAGGGCCTTCGTTCAGCAGGCTTTTCAGCATCAACACTACTACGACGATCACTGCTCTCTCCTTCCAAAGCGCTATAAAAAAAAAAAAAAAAAAAAAAAAAAAAAGAAAAAGGAAAAAAAGGTATTAGATAGCTTATTCTTACCAATCATAATACATAGTAGTCTCGATGGATATTATCACTCTTTGTAGCAACATACGCAAAACTGTTTGTAGAGCTGAGTTGGCGACTAGCTTCATTCTGAGAAGCAGCCTTGGCCTCGCCACGCTTTCCCTTGGAAAGAGATCCAAAGACAGCGTTACTGGGTCCGAGACTGGGCGGACCACTAACCTTGGAGCGACTGGTGTTTCCGAATGAAGAAAGATCTCCAGCTTTCTTGGTCACAGCCGGTGCAACAGTCGACCAGCCATCAGCGCCAACTTGAGGAACGCCACCCATATCCTGGCGAGCATCACCAGAACCACGGAAGGAGGGGCCACGGTTAAGCTGCTCACGACGATTAGGCAGGCCACGAGCACCGCCAGAAGAAGCCGTGCGACGCATCATCTCCTTCTCCTCTTGCTGTCTGGCAGCTTCTTCGTGAATGGCTGCAATGGTCTTGGGACCGGCTGCAGCACGCCTGTTGACCCACTTGTTGGCACGCAGATCGATGACGTCTTGAACCATAAAACGAATACGACTAGGAAGTTTGTTGTTCTTGGTCAGTTCAGCCATGCGGAAAAAGTAAACATCCATGTGGGGCTTGGCCTCAGGTCTGTCAAGCTGCAATCCGACAGTTGTCATAAGCTTGCAGAGACCCTCAGTCTCTTCTTCTTCCGGCTCTTTGACGTTGGCCAATAGCTTCTTCACACACTCATGCATAATCTTTTCTGTCAACATATTAAGCTTGAAAAGCTCTCCGATAAAATGGATAAGACCCAATCCTTGACGCTTAGCCTTCATGAGGATATAGTACTCATCAGACATCAGATCAGGACCATCCTTGTCGTTGAGTGAGACACCGCCAGCAGAAGCCTTGTCTTTCCAGCCACGCATAAAGTCTTCTTGGCATCGATGAAGGAGATATTTGCGGAAAAGCTTTCCTCCATTTGAGCCTTCAACAGTAACGTCCTTAACTTCGGGCGTGATCTTATCCATAAGCTTCTGACATAACATTGCATAAACACTTCCAAAATTGGGCTCATCCGTCGCCTTTTCGAAAATGAGCTTAATGCAGTGCTTCAATGTGGTTCCATCCTTCTCCTTGGCGCTCAGATTGGCAATTTCAAGGACCTTGTCCGAGATACTATCAAACTTCTCAAGCGTAAGCTTATTGAGCAGACCCTTGACCTTGCGGGCAACAACGTCCTGGGAAATGGGCTCATCAGCAGAAATTGTGGCGGGTACTGAACTGGTGCTCACGTTAGGGGTCCATGCATTCTCAGTCTTCTCAAGAGGAGCAACATCTGCAAGAGGAATTGTCAATGCAGGTTCTTGATGCATACGGTCGCCACCGCGGCCCTGTCCACCGCCACCACGCTTACCGCCGCGAGAGCTGCGCTGTGAAGGAGGACGTGGCATACCATTGTTTCGAGGCAAAAAGCTATTATCGCTGGGTGTTCTGTGAATGCGGGTATCACCACTGGGGTTGCGCATACCCATAGGCATACCCCCGTTGAGCTTCATGTTGCCAAGATTGAACGAACCCATAGGTTGAGTAGGCTTGGGACGTGCATTACCCATGGGGGCACGACCGCCACGCTGTGAACCACCAGGCGACTGCATGCCTCGGTCATTACCATCGGCGCCCAGGACATCAAATGGAGGTAGGGAAATGGGCTTATCCGTGCAGACATTCATGAATTGCATCAAAAAGTTACGGTTGTATTTGAATTTGCCCTGGCCATCAGCATTAACTGGTGATTGGATATGAGATGGATATTCGACATTATTAAAATTTTCAATACGTGCTGATGGAGTTGGTGTGGGCGCAGACACGGTGCGAGCGAGGTCAACAGAAAGGCCGGATTTGGCAGAGTCTGCTGGCTTTGCGTCGGCAGAGGCAGTCACTTCGGTCTTCTCTTGCTTAGCCTTCTCTGCAGCGAGTTTTTCAGCCTCGGCTTTCTCCTTGGCCTCTTGGTCAGTCTTTTCTTTCTCAAGGCGAGTCTTTTCAGCGGCAGCCTTCTCAGCAGCAGCCTTTTCAGCAGCAGCCTTTTCAGCAGCAGCCTTTTCAGCAGCAGCCTTTTCAGCGGCAGCCTTTTCAGCAGCAGCCTTCTCAGCAGCAGCCTTTTCAGCGGCAGCCTTCTCAGCAGCGGCCTTCTCATGGGCAATGCGCTCTTCCTCTTTGCGCTTACGCTCTTCCTCTTCTTTGCGCTTACGCTCTTCTTCCTCTTTGCGCTTGCGCTCTTCTTCTGCACGTTCTCTCTCGAGACGTTCCTTCTCTTCTTTTTCCTTGCGCTCACGCTCTTCTTTCTCTTTGCGTTCAAGTTCTTCTCGTTCCTTACGTTCGCGTTCTTCCTTCTCCTTGCGTTCTTGCTCTTCTTTCTCTTTGCGTTCACGCTCCTCCTTTTCCTTGCGCTCCTGTTCAGCACGTTCAGCCTCAAGACGCTTCCTCTCTTGTTCTTCGCGAAGTCTTTTTTCTTCAGCTTCCTTGGCCTCGCGCTCTTGACGCTCCTTCTCTTCGCGCTCCTGACGTTCCTTTTCTTCCTTCTCCTTGCGAGCCTTCTCTTCCCGTTCACGCTCGTCAGGGCGAACAATCTTGATGGCGTTCTTGCCGGGAGGAGGGGTAATGATGTTCTTTTTCTCATCATCGGGACTCTTGATGTCGATGACTACAGGGTTCTTAGATGCCTTACTCTCGCTTGTGGAAGAAACAGCTGTAGGCACAGGCACCTCAGTCTTAGTCTCGGGGTTGATGATGGCAATACGTTTCGAAGCTGGGGGGGGAGTGAACGAAGGCGCGGCAACATTGAAAGGTCTGGCCATAGTGGGGCGCTGTTGAGGAGCAATGTAAGGCATCTGTTGCTGGTACATCTGACTTGGATAATAGTTTTGTGCAGCATATTCGGGATGCATATACTGGAAAGATTTAGAGGACGAAAAGAGTATATACTAATTAACAGATGCTTCGATAATTCAATTTTAATCCCCTAAAGACTTGGAAAGTAATAGAGTACGAACTTACGCCGAATCCTTGCTGAGTCCATGGTTGCTGGGGATGCATGCCGTGGTGTTGTGCCTGAGGGTTCATGGGTCCCATGTTATGATTCTTGATAGGACGCTGAGGAGTGAAAGGCGCAGCACTAGCCTGGGGAACACTCATGGCTGGCATCATAGGACCCTGTGAGAAAGTTGATTGCACTTGAGTGCGGTAGTGAGGAGGCTCATTTGTGTGTGCTGAAGAAGTTGAGTCTGTGCGCCTATGAGAGTGATGACCATGAGGCATTTGTGGATGAGAAACATGTGGGGGAATAGACTTGTACGAATTATGATGTTCAGCAGAATGAGATACAGGCTGTGCGGCTTCCTGTAAAGTCGCAGCAGGTGTTGGTGCAGTAGCAGGAGTCTAAATAATCGTGATAATAATAATAATAGATGTATAAGAAAGTTCGGTCAATCTTTGTTGCTTTTTCTGTAACATATGGATCGAAATGCTGTTATATTGTGATCAATCTCTAAATTGTAAAGCTTGAATAGACATACTTCTGATTTAGTAGGGAGAACTTGTGAGGCTGCAATGCTTCCAAATGTCATGCCAGTTGTGGGAGCAACAGAGGTAACTTCGGCCACAACTGGGGGCGTTGATCCGGACTCTGGCTCGTTGATTGATCCAAAACGGATGGATGCAGCTGCAATCATGTTGAGAACAATGTGATAAAAAAAAAATAAAAAAAAAAAAAAAAAAAAAAAAAAAAATAGTAAGTGATGTAAACTTTGTGGATATGACCTTATTATTCCACATATAATTTTTTTTTTTCTTTCACTGTCAACAATATACTGTAACATGCTCAGGATTTAATTTACATACCTGGGCTGCCAGAGACAGAAGAGGATGAAGGCAAAGGAGAGGCAACAGTAGACGTAGGCTTTGCTGTAGGGTAGCCTTTTACAGCAGCAGCAGCCGTGGGAGCCTGTGATCTCCTGTTGTTGGCACTATTGATGTCATATAGAAATAAAGGAGAAAGAGTTCAGGTCATATTCATAGTAAGCGTCATGCTGTCAAGTTGCACATGTTGCCGAATGAGAAAGTATATGTTTGTATGTGATGGTTTTCGGATAAGTAGTTGATAGAAACACTAAAGGCAATAATAATATATCATTGATGAGAGTGATAAAAAACAGTGAATAGGCCACAGCAAAGTCTATTCATATTTTTTTGACAATCAGCCAAAAAGGAAGATTGATCTCATCCGATCTGTGCCATCCGCAGTAACAGTCAAAGAAGGAAATAACAAACACAACGAAGCGGACAGGTCATATGCAAACAAGACGAAATAAATCTCACAAAAAAAAAGACGGAAAGACAGAGAAGAGCATAGATCCATGAGTAATCAAAGTAAATTTTTTTTACGTACACATGATTAGCCTTGGCGGCTACAGCAGAGTAATTGCCATTGGCAGTGGAGGGAGTAGCTGGCTTTGAGGATGGCTGCTTTGGTGCAGAGACGGATGAGTTATTGGTTGTTACTGCACCCTGACTTCCTGAAGAGGGCGTTGTGGCAGTCGAGGAGTTCTGTGATGCTACTGGTGTTTGTACAGAGGGTGTAGTAGACTGCTGTTGTTGTTGCTGCTGTTGTTGCTGTTGTTGTGTCTGCGTTGGCGGAGGATTGGCTTTGTTGGTGTTTCGCTGGGCAGCGGCGGCAAAGCTGATGGGTGGAGTACCGGATGTAGGTTGAGTAGAGTTCTTTTTCATAATAGGTGATCGATTAATACATAACCCACGGGAAGGGAGTTAAGAATGTAATGGATTGAAGTGAGGCAGGAGAGAAAAGTGATGGATTAAAAGAAGAAAAAAAAAAAAAAAAAAAAAAAAAAAAAAAAAAAGAGAAAGAAAAACCTTTTTATTTGCGAGAAGAGGGGAAGAGAATTATAAATGTCAAAAAAAATAAAAAATAAAAAAAAAAGAATAATAAAACAAATAAACAAAAAGAAAAAGAAAAAAAAAATAATAATAAAGGGTGGATGGTAAAGATTAAAAAGGTGAAGAGAAGAGGGTGGAGGAGAGAGGAAGAGTAGAGTGGAAGAACTTTTTTTTTTACTTTTTACTTTTTACTTTTTGGATGGCGTATCTCTTCCAAATAACTGTGCACAGGCTTTTTTTTTTTTTTTTTTTCAAAAGCTTGGTTGAGTGATGTGTGGATTTACAGAAATCAAAGTTTTTTTTTTTTTGCTTTGTTTACTTTTTTTTTCATTCACAGCCTTTGCTTTGGAATTGTGACGCAAGGGGCACGTTCGTTTTATTTTTGCCCTTGCACCACAGGGAGAGAGATGATAGAAATAGAAGAGAAAAGGAGGAGTGCAGTATTTTGGGGTTTGTGTGGCCAGCAGGGGCAATCCTGGGTTCTGTTTCAACATGCAGAACAAGTAATTAAATAGACTCTGTCTTAACTACATATTAATTACAGATCATCTATTGTTATCGCATTAACTTCTCAAAAGGAAGAAGGGGGTAATCAAAATAATCGATCGTGAACAACCAACACAGGCTTCTTACCACGATCACACTCATTCATAAACCTGCTCCTGATCTCTCATTGCTTTATGGGTAAATATGTAAATATGCAAATATATCCCTAAAACAGATGCAGCTACATGGCATAGCAAACATTGATCCACATCCATCCGAAAAAAAAAAAAAAAAAAAAAAAAAAAAGGGGTAGACGTAATAGGTCGGAGGCCGTTGTTTGTTTGATCCTGTTCTATCTCTCCTTTCAATTCACCTTTTACTTTTCATCACTTTCAATCTCAATTTCTCTGTTTCAAAGGCTTTATTTTTTATTTTTTTATTTATCACATTTCAGATAAAAAAAAAAAATAAAAAAAAAATAATAATCGAGCTTATACTTTTCCATAGAGTCTCTCCAACTCTTCTTCTTCTTCCCGTTCCCGCCTTTCTTGTTCATCGTAATATCGATCACGCTCCCTTTGTCTCAATCCTGCTTCCAATGCTGGATTACGTACATCCATCACTCCTGTCCGCCGCATCTTGTCAAACATATCCATCAGCTTGGCTGCCTCTTCTTCCTTCTCTTCCTCAGTCATATCTGCCATCGCAGCCCGAATGACTGACGGGTCTGGGTAATAGGCTCCCGTGATCGGATTAATGCTGGAACTAGAGAAACGACGACTATGGGACGTATTCAAATTGGATGTTGCTGTTGCCGTCATCGTCGTCGGAATCGTTATTGTTGGAACAGCTGTAGTGGCTGAGGATAATGTAGATGATGACTCTGAAGGCGTTGACGAATCTTCATCCTCGATCTCTTCAATTTGTGCTCCGTTGACAGATGATGGAACACCTAGATTTCTATTCATAAGGAATCCAGCTGCATTCCCGTATCCCACATGCCGTGTCAGAATGGCAGCTATGGTTTATTAAAGTAATATCAAAACAAGAATCATGTCAATACATCTTTGATCAGCTTTCTTTTTTTAAAAAGATTTTGTACGTGATCAGTAACTTACGGTCTTCATCACATAAAACAAATAATAATTGGCTGACAGTTTCCTTGATACGCGGAAATCGTACCGAAGTCATGCGTCGAATAAGTCTCGCTGAAAACGAATCGCCCTTATCCAAGGGTTTTGACCGATCACTAAAATGTTTTGTTGGATAACAATAGCTTCAGTCTGTAAAATCCTAATCATGATCCATATTGATGGCTTTTTTTTTTTTTTTTTTTTTTTTTTTTTCAGTAAATAAACTCAGTAGCTTACACATCATCTGGTAATAATCTAGCCTTCATTGTTGCCTTGCCTTCGCCTCCTGCTGCAGCAATATTAGTCAATACAATAACCAGCGGTGGCACAGTCTCATCTAGTTCAGTTCCATTGCTTAGTCCATCCGTAGAAGCTTCTTCGTCCGTGTTCAAAGAATGTTTGAGAGTGTCATCTAAAATCTGGATTAAGACATTAAGAAGCGTCGCCTGTTGAGATCGAGTTATAAGAAGCGCTGAAGCTGTGACAGGGAAATTGAGAAGTACGTGGATGGCATGAGAGTGTGGCGGTTCTAAAGGGTTCGGACTTGATGGTGGGATGGCAGTCAATATAGAGACAATTGTTGGAAGTAAGCTTTTTTTTTTTTTTTTTTTTTTTTTAAAAAAAAAAAAGAAAGAAAATATTAGCTTTTTGCACGTAGTTCTGGCATACTAGGAACATATTGGGAGCATATTAGGTATGGAGGGGAGGATACAAACCTCTGAAATCGTTTTCCTGTTGCCTGAATCTGTTCCTGCTCTGTTAATTTGGTCTCCGTACTCCGTTCAACTTTGGGATCCATAAGTATTAGATTAAAAAGGTATTTCAAAGCCTCACTGAGTACCATAGATTGTACAAACACACTGCCATCCGGTGATCTCGCCAATTGAGTCTTAAGAATCTAAAAAAAATAAAAAAAAAAAAAAGAAGTGAATATGCCATTATAATACATCTACCTTATATCTGCATCACTTAATCGTGTAATTACTAACGTACTATGCCCAGATTATCCACAGCATTGTTCTCATCGAGCAAGCTTTTAACAACCGAGGTTGCATCAACAGTCATCAAGAATAAGATACGACAGAAGAGGAACTGAGACTCATTAGAGAGATGGGGCCGCTAAAATGCATTTATTGTTTTTCAAACAAGAAGCATATACAACAAATTAATATCAGGAACAAGTGTATAAACATTTTAGATTCCTTCGTCTTGATTTTTTTTTTTTTTTTTTTTTTGTTACCTTCAAAATTTGACAGCATTTGACGTGGCCCTCAAGCCGCTCAAAGATAGGTTTGGTTGAAGGTTTGAGTAACAAAGCATTGGCGAGACATTTCAGGGCCTCTTTGGAACTAGGCTTGTCAATTGTGTCCTCAGTTGTTTTGTGAAGTCCAGAATGATACATTAAAGTACGAATCCCCTATACGCGCCACAGAAAATAAATTTAAAAGAAAGCGTTAAACGAAGATAATTCTATTCTGAAACTGCTGAATGGATAACTTTAACGTGTACATGAATGGCATTGTTGCAGATGCTTGGAGAACTCAGTTCTGGAAGAAAGCAACTAGCAATTAATACAAATTTTACCTCTTCCGTGAAGATGCTATCACACCCATCCGTTGACCTGCCCAAAGTCTTGAGGGCTTGAAGAGCCAGCGTTCGTTCTTAATGATGATATATTTGTATCAAGTTTAGTATAGAAATGATAGACAGAGCATTGGCAATTTTTTTTTCAGACGCATACCATGTCATATCCTATTTCACTTTTTAAGAAGAGAGAAGGATAAAAAAGGGCACTCACCTCGCTCGTTCCAGTTTCTAGATATACTACCCTCCTTCAGGTCATTCACGAGGGCATCCACGACCTGCCGACGTTCGGAAGAATCAATGGATATGTTGCCTGATAAGGAATGAGAACAAAGTCTATGGTTAATGTTACGAGTACTTTGAGTTTTATTACTTTATTGTTTTTCTAATTGCATCATGCAAAAAAAAAAATAAATAAAAAAAAAGATGGTGGGACAATGTACCATTTATAAGACTCTGCAATACAAAAGTGACATTTCTTCCTATTGAGCGTTCAGTGATGGTGTGGTAGGCCATTTTAATATACTGATTGAGATGAGAAATTGAAGTCGATCAAGTTTAGACCAGAAGAGATGAGACGAATGAGACGAGGGAATTCCGCGGGGGAAAAAAAAAAGGTTTTTATAAGGGCCATGTGGGCGAATTAAACAAGGAATATTTTATTAGACCAATAAATTTTGGATATTATAAATGTATATTTCTTTAATTTTAAATCGCTTAGAGTGATAGCCTATTCATATCAGCATTTGCTTGCATCCGAAGGGCAGCAATACGTTGCTCTTCCATGTGTAACTGTGCCATCCTGTGCTGCTGAACTTTAAGCATTTGCTGCGCTGCCTGAAGCTGTTCCTGGTACAACGTCCCTGCGTTTTTAATGCTAAAGTAGAGAGGAGATGGTGAAGGGGGAAAAAGAAAAATCAGGGTCTTTCTCAATTATACCAGAGTAAACACAATTGGGGTCATAAAAAGACAGCGATATGAAATATAACTTACGTTCCCTCAACAACTTTTGTCAAGAGTTTCATTGGTCCGGCAATAGGGCTGGGAACATGGATTGTACCTGGTAGCTGTAAATTGTGGAAAACAGGAATCTTCCGCATAGTGACCCGCAAAATTTGATCTAGAAAATTCGTTAAAAAGTGAGATTTTTGCACTTTGCGAAAGGGGGCTCTTCATTTTTGGAATCAACAAAAAGATCTTTTTTTTTTTTTTACCATTGTCAGCTTTTTTGCCATTCAGATTGTCAACAGCTGCCTGTGCGGCAGCCTTTCTGGCATAGGTGACTTGTGAGAATCCATTCAGGCAGATACAGGACCGGATCTCACCGAAGCGGGAGCATACAACCTATGGTGCATTATGTAAAATGATATAAAATTTCAATTGTAAAGAGGAAAGAAAACAATTAATAACAAGAGTATTTCTACTATACTTTCGAAGAAAAAGCTGGGGTCTAGGTTCATACCTTCACATCCTCTGTTGTTGTTCCAGGATCCAAATTCTCGATTTCAATTGTGGCTGGTCCTTCAAGCTTAGTGTTCAATTCTGTTCCTTGTGGTGCAATGCCCTTGATAGAAAGTGGGCCATCATCGATATCCATTCCTCCTGCCGATGTTTGGTGCGTAGCCTTTACCACATTTTCAGAATCTGTCCTCATAGTCTCCAGAGACGAAGACGATTTCTCAACTCCATAGTTGTTAATTTCCATTCGCGACGTATTGCTACTTTGGTTGTTTGACCTGCTATTAGCATCATTATCGTTTTTATCCTCATCCTTACTGGGGATGGTCGGCTTTATATTGGCATCTGTAGTCCGTTTAGAACTCGAACTTGGTCGATAATAATCTCCACTACGATATACTGAGCGTGGACTACGGCTCCGTATACTGCTGTAGGATGGTGTGTATGAGTCGCCTTTTCTTATTGATGGCGTAGTTGATGATCGAGATGTAGATGAAGAGTCAGATTCAGTATTTTTTTTGGCTCTGATCGCCTCATGGTTGATAGCAATGAGTTTGATAGGGCCTGTTAAGGGCAGATATCTTGAAGTAAAAATCTCTTTGACTGGTGCCATGTAGTCTTTGTAGCTCTCAGTGAACAGTGGACAGCTCTTTCCCTTAAAGACGTTGTAGACATAGAGGAAGAGGTAGAGGCGAAAGAGAGCGTTTGAGGTGTTAATAAGAAACGACCAGCTTTAATAAACACAGCCGCCTTAGGTGCTTTTACACATTCTTAATTATGAAGGCTATAAGACATACAGAGTTTGGCTTTGATATCCGTCCTGTTGTGGTTCCTTTGAGAACCGACCTTGACCTTGGCTTTGAGCGAATAATGGGGTCATACGTTTTCTTCCCTGCCAGTTTTTTCGCTGCAATGATGTCGTCCAGACTCTGATCGATGTGATCCATTTTTAAAGTAAAGTGAGTATTGAATGATGAGAAAGAATGCAAAAACGAGAGAATGATAGAATGGAAGAATGAAAGAGTAAAAAAAGAGAATGAAAATAAAGAACAAAAAAAAAACAATAAAAAATGTATTTGAACTCAGTCATTTGTCCTGGAAGCTTCGACCAAACAGCTTCCACACATTTACGCTCGGATCTGTATCTGTGTAGGGACTGTCTGGGCTCAGTATGAAACCGTATAGACATCTAAACGCTGCCAAATGCTATTGACAACCCTACGCTCCTTGAACAATATTGCACTTTCCGAAGGGATGGATCAGTGCTTTGACAAACATGCATCCTTTGATGGTTATGTCGCAGCCCATGGATCGAGAGAGAGCGCTGGAAATATATGAAAAGTGGGGCAATGTGTATTTACTGATAACTGGCGTAACTTCAAAAAGCTTAGCTCAGGGAACAAACTCTGCATCTTCCAATACATATAAGAGACAAGGATATCTATTCTGCGTCTCAGTAGCTGCCGCAACTCTATTGAAGTGTCTTAAGGCATTGTTTTGCATCACATCTCTAGAGTTGACTGACTATCAGTCAAGCTTTATTGTTTTAAACGATGTAGTGAACTCTGGCGATTCTAACTAGTTCCTCTGGATGGTCATTCAAGAAAAACCAACCAATTTTGTTAATTACTACTCAGTCTAGGCAGACATGGAAATACAACAGGCACCGAAACAGTCGCTCGTAGCAAACCAATAAAAAAAAAATTCATGGCTTGAGAGTGACTGGTAACTGAGCACTTTTTTTTGTCGCGCATGTTAATTCATTTCTCACATTCCAACATCCAATGCATGCCAGCTTTTTAGCTTATATATAATGCAGACGAGACGACAGTCGAAGCGTGTAAAGGCAGGGACGCAACAGGGTTTGCAGAACAGAGCTAGCGAGGATATAGATGTGGACGGCTTGAGTAATACAAATGATAAGGACCAAGACCAAGACCAAGACCAAGACCAGGACCAGGATTTGAAGGTGCCATCAATTGGCTCCCAACAAATGGACATTTCCACTGACGCTGCTACAAGGCCGGGAAAACGGAAAAAAACGACGAGAGCTTCAAACCCTGCAAAATCAAAAAAATTAAAAATCCCATATGCAGCAATGTTACCCCGGATTGTTTGGGTGTTCGACAAGGAATACAAGTGGTGGCCAGGAACTGTAAGTTTGGACTACATATATATATCGTCCGCGATTTACAAGAGCAATTCTTTTATTTTTTTCTTTTATTTTCCTTGGTATGGCAAGATGAAGAGGCCTTCACCCGCTTCACATTATCGCATTTATTTGTATGTAAACGTATAGATCACGCAGTATCCACCAAAGGATAACAAGGCGACAGTGGCACGATTCGGAAAAGTTGAACCAGAGTAATGACTGCGTTGTCCTCGCTTTAATTTAACGACTTTTTTCTTTTTCTTTTGCTCTGGATACTGGATTGAGTGATTAACCAGGATACGTCACTTCTCAGAAAGATCATAGTGGAGTGCATTGAATCAAATATTCTTCCGTTTAGTGGTCAAGATAAAGATCTTCACCGATTATCAGATCCAAACTTGCTTCATTCAGAGGCGTTCAAAGACGCAGTAAGGATGGCGAATCAGGCTAAAATCAAGGATGACGATGATCTACCTAGTTTGGACGATGTCATGAACCAAATATCCTTTCCAGCCGAGCCTCCATCCACAAAAGTCTCAGCGCGAAAATCGAGCAAGAATCAGCCGTAAGATTGAGATAAATAACGTAGATATATCTCTAGGTATAAAGATGTATAGCTAATTGATCTCTTTATCTTTTTTTTTCTTCAGGCTGACAGCGTTAACAACGTTCTTACCAGATTCCAGGTAAGGTGAACGCTGCGGATGATTTCAAGTTAAGTCCATCCTTTACCAACACAAACAGGGTATCATTGACTCAATCCTATTCTATTTCAACATGATGGTCTAATAGTCTAGCAATTCCTGGAGAGCTAGTGTTAGCTTGGTCCGATCGCTTTTATTATCCAGGGCGGATTGTAATGTTCAATAACAAGACTAACAAATACAAGGCAGGTCATCGCTAGATCATGCCTTCGTTGCAAAAGATGAGCTATGTAGTAGACTAATTGCTCCCGATTTTATTAGATTGATTATGCATCGGGCCATTCCAAGTCAATTGAACGCAAAAAGTTTTTTACAAGATACGAAAAAGGATTCCAGACTTGTCAGGTATTGCAATTATTATTTTTAAACGTAACGTGTTTAATGCCTGCATTCTAATGCTCACCGCCCATCGGACTAAAAGTTAGGCTCGTTGGCACTACCTGTGATAACAGAAAACTACGAAGACCAGGAGCTGGAATCTCAGGTGCGTGATTTGTATCCTGGTCTTTATAGGATTGTTGCTGGTATACCAGATGAGGGCGGTCGATTGCGATCATTTTTACAAGGAGGGAAGGCAAAAAGAGCTTTAGCACAGCGTGTTGGTCCTGGCACTTTTGCAAGAGAGGAATATGGGCTTATTGGGAGCTTATTGCAGTCCGAGTTTCTCCCGGATTTGGCTACAACTGTCCAAAAAGCAAAGCCCGTTAACCTTCAGAATAAATCCGGTTGTCCAATGAAACGCAACGGTGATGTCACGAAGGATTTTTCGGAGCAAATGCGCCTTCACTTCGTTACAGATGTTCTCCTTCCAGAAACGATAACAAGACTGACGATGCAAAAATATGGCCTTAATTATTCTGATGCAGAGCAAAGCATCATGGAATGTAAAAGGGATGATGAAACGGACACATGGTGGGTCGAAGATATTCTTGCAGCTCGCGAATCGTTTCTTGACGGACATTCTTCATGATTAAAAAAAAAAAAGCCACATTCTGAGAAACCTTTTGACTTTGCCACTTTGCCATTTTTTTTTTTTTTTTTTTTTTTTGGTCTTCCTTTCACAGAATTCATTCGATGCTTTTAAAAATTCTGTGAAGCAATTTATATAATACGATGGATGCATCAGCAAGGTCATTATTGATTGAACTAATGGCAAAGTCCAAGAAGGGACTTTCTCTGGCGGAGCAGCTCTGTAGTCAAGCACGCGAAGAGTTGGAAAACTCTCAAAGTCATTCAGATGCAATTGACCGAATTTATTCAAAATTATGTTTCATTTCTCGCCAAACAAAAGTTCAAATTGTGGTACAGTTGAGGGAAAAGAGCAGAGAGGAATTATATCCGTTGATCCGGAGTATAGTATACCTTTTTGTGGGGCTACGTGACTTGCTGACGACGAGGTTTATTTCTTATGTAGGACGTCGAGTCACTCTCGCGGATTGGTCGTTTTCGCTGTAATGAACTGTCAGAGGCTACCAAAGTAACGATAATTATTTTGATGACTATTTTTTATTTATTTATTTATATTTCTTAATAACTACGTAAAGAGTAAAGTGAATATGTGCTAATTGAGTTGTCGTTGCTTATAGGATTTGCAAAAGGATTTAGCCGGGGTATCAGTTCGGATGGAAAATGCGCTACGAGCATTACGAAACAGAGAAGTTGACCCAGAGATTCGGAAAGCCCGACAAGGGGACAAGACCTTTGAGAATTCTAAGGCAACAACCCTCTTTGATTTTTTGGATGAAGCTAGTTTACAGCGTTTACAGGAAGAATCCAATGGGAGAATGAGTCGAATTGAAGAAATCACAAACCGACTTCAAGAACTGGTTACGTACCTTATCAACCAAAGAACTGAATTCAAAGGCTATTTATCTAGCGCTATCACATTGGATGAATCCGCATTATCTTTTGCAAGAGAAAAAATGCAGCTACAGGAGCAGCATACTTTGACAATGGCAGATTCTTTGGTCTCCTTGGCCAATCACTATGATCAAGTCGCGCAAGTTCTGACGTAAGGCGCGTTGCACGTGCATCTCCGCACCCACCCCTCAAGGTGGATATCAAAGGAAAAAAAAGAGAGAAAGAGCAATACGGCTGAATTGTGCTTTTTTTTGTACATAGTGACAAATTTTCTAAAACACTCAATGCTCTTGTAGGGCTGATATCCAACCTACTGAAGAGGAGCTCTATGGTAAGAGCTTTAAGATACTTATTTATTGAAAGGCCTTTAATCTAAATCGCTTTATGATCTATGAGGAAAAAAAAAAAATGAAAATCCTTACTGAACATTTTTATTTTAAAAAATACTTGATTAGTACTAAAAAGCGATACCAATGAAGTAATGGTTATCATTGGAGAACTTCAGGACTCTCTTGCTTTAGTTCAGGCAACTAGGTAATGAACTTTTTTTTTTTGTCTTTTAACGTAACGTAAATGACGTGCAGCATCGTTGTTTTAACCTATTCACCCCCTTTTTTTAAGTGAAGAAATCAGCATCCGTGAGCATCTTTATGCAACAGCATACCAAGAAGCTGTTGCCATTTTTAAGAAAATCGAAGCTCTAGAACCATATTTGAGGTCATTGGTCGAAGTCTTCCGGACAGCAGAGTCACTAGATGAAGATTTCCGTTCGACTGAGAAACTGATTGCGGAGATCAACAGTCTAGCAATATGGTATGCCCGTTATCATCCAATGACAATAGGGAGTTGGGGTTCAAGTAGCACACTCCTTGCTTCCAATTTACATCAAGGACGCGCTTCCATTATACTAAAGTGTAAGGGATATACTTTTTTTTTTGCAGGTATGAAGAGTTCCACAACTCTTACGGAGCTCTTACTTTAGAGATTGTACGTCGACATCAGGCGCATGAGGCCCAACAGCAGCTTGCCAGAGACTTCATTGCTCGGATGGAGGCTTCTTACGCAGGTACGTGAGTGGAGAAGGAAGAACGATATTAATAATTGGATACACTTCCCGAGTAGAGCTTAACGATTTTTTTTTTTTTTTTTTTTTTTTTTTTGGAATCCATTTAAACAATAGATGAAATGTATAGTCGCGCACTATTCTCAGAACGGCATGGCAAATTTCTTCCAGTAGATCTTTGTCCTGCGTTTGCTGTACGTAACACGCGATAAATGTATTTGCATTGTCGGAACAACAGCAATCATCTAATACTTTGAAACTTTGAATGCCTTTTTTTTTAGGATCCGCCTGTTCAATATGAAGTTATACCACATGGAGAATGGCGTCTACCTATGCCCACTCGCGCCACTCTCCAACTTGTAGAGGAAGCCCGCAATCGAGATTATGATCGATCTGCGCACGCGTAAATTATTAGTGACTGCTACTATTGAAAGTAATGTTTTGAAATGCGAACGCGTAAATGAAGAATAAATGAAAAGTCAAAATGGTGGCAAAAAATGGTCAAATGAAAAGGGACATTTCTTTCAGTTGTTGCCCATTTGCTCCACTTCCTTCTTTCATTTCGCATCTGCATGCGTTCTAGTGTGGATCTAGGCAAAGTGTGAAAGGCAATACAAAGCATTAATATCTAAGCTCAAAAGTAGTCTTTTAGCATGTTTATTAAACAGGTAACAAACAGGCAGGAACACCCGGGGGGTTTTTTTTGGTGATCTGGCTAATGGAATTAATAACAGAATTGCTCAACTGGACGACTTTGTCTCTTTAATTCCAAGATTATTATTCAGGGTTTCAAGTCCTATAAGAATCAGACTGTAATTGAACCCTTCAGCGATCAACATAATGTCATTGGTATGATGTCTAAAAAAGAAAGGTCATTACACAATGAGATAAAGTGAAAACTTTCTCCCGCCCTTATTGACTTAAAGTTATATTAATATTATTATTACGGTATATGATAGTGGGTCGCAATGGTTCTGGCAAAAGTAACTTTTTTGCAGGCAAGTATTAAGAAATTGGAGCGTGACAAATACTCTTTGTAATCCTTTTACATGTATAGCATATGCTAAAAGTATCTATCTCTTGTATTATCTTAATATATCTTTATCCCAGCCATTCGCTTTGTCTTAAGCGATGCATACACCAACATGGGCCGTGAAGAACGACAAGCCCTTCTACATGTAAGATACCTAATAGGAGAAAAAAATAATTCAAGTTTGAGTAACTCTCACGTCGCTAAATATTGTATATAATAACCCGAAATCAATTACCAAAAAAAAAAAAAAAAAAAAAAAAAAAAATGGCTGCATTAGGAAGGTTCGGGTGCTGCAACAATGTCTGCCTATGTTGAAATTATCTTTGATAACAGTGACAACCGCTTTCTGGTAATGCAAACCCAACCTCTCTTCATTTGTGAATGCAAAGTTATTTCACGTTTAAAGTTTTATGTATTTACTGAGATGGTGTAGAACCAATTCTGTCCCATTCTCTCCTTTATATTACCATACATTATTAGACCGGCAAAGACGAGTTGATCATGCGTCGTACCATCGGCCTCAAAAAAGACGAATATTCATTGGATAAGAAGAGCGCAACGTAATATCTAGTTCATACTTTTTAGAACCAATTTTCAGATGTACCTTTTTTTTAATTTTTTTCTTTTATTGATTTTTAGAAAGGCAGATATTATGAACATGCTTGAGAGTGCAGGATTTTCTAGGTCAAATCCTTATTATATTGTTCCACAAGGAAGAGTGCGTACTACACACTGCTGTTCTAATATGATCCTCCTTGGTAATAAAAATATCTTACCTTTTCTAATTCTTATAATTTGCTTGCTAATGCTTCTGTAATTTAGGTTACCTCACTTACGAATGCTAAAGACAATGAACGACTTCAGCTTCTAAAAGAGATAGCAGGAACTCGAGTATATGAGCAACGAAGACAAGAGAGTTTGAAGATTATCAGTGAGACAGGTATATCATGGGCTCATGGAGATAAGGCATGGAGATCATTAAAATTCGATGTCTTGTTCACAATAGTTTAATTGTAACAACTTGTTATCTTCATTATTAGACACAAAACGACGAAATATTGAGGAACTACTTGAGAACATTGAACAGCGCTTGGAGGAACTAGAGGAAGAGAAAGAGGAACTAAAATTATATCAAGAGCATGATCGTCGTAGAAGATGTCTGGAATATAATCTCTACAGTCGTGAGCTGAAGGACGTTAATGATGCGCTTGAAGAGGTACAGTCATGCATCCACCCTACAGATTGCTATCCTGCAGTTTACGTTTATTTGACGAGCTTTACGATCTAGCTTAGAAAATGCATCCAATTCTCTATATCGTGATAATTAGATGGAGGAGAGTCATAGACAAAATCTGGATGGATCGAATATGCAGCGACGCGACTTTCAAGAAAAGGAGGCGCTAATAATTGCTCTAGAGCAGGAGATTGGCATGCAGAAGCAACATATCGAGTTACTGCAGGCGGAGAAGAGGCAGTTAGACTATGAACTTGAGTCTCAAATCAAAGCCAAGGCGCAGATCGAACTTGAAATCAAAGATCATGAAGATAATGCAGAAATGGGCACGAATACCAGAAAACGCAATCAAGAAGAGTTGAGGGTTGTTGAGCTTGACATTCAAGCAAAAGAACTTGAGCTTTCACAAGTCACCCCGGAGTTTCAAGCCCGCATGGAAGAGGAGCGTCAGCTCCGCGAGGAGTATGTAACATTTTTTTCTCATAACAAATATATTTTGTTACAATGATTCTGAACTAGTGCTGTACTTTCCTTATTTATCTGTTTGTTAATTATAGGCTACAGCAAGTAGACTTGCAGCGCCAAGCACTCTATTCAAAGAAGGGGCGCGCCGGTCAGTTTACATCCAAGGCCCAGCGTGATGAGTGGATTCGTACAGAAATGGAGGAAATCCAGCAGTCTCATAGTCAGTTGACATCTCAAGCAGCTTTGTTAGAGAAAGATCTCTCAGAACTCAGGTCACGACAGACGAATGCCACTGAGAGTATTCAGGCTGTACGTGAACAAGAGGCAGTGCGGCGGAATGAAAGCGAAAAGCTTGTACAAGAATTAGGTGCTCTAAAAACAGAACGAGATCAGTTGACAGACAAGAGAAAGTATGAATAGTCTATAGTCTATATGACTCTCTATTGTATGATAAATAGTGGGATATAGGGAGAATTTAATTACTTACCATGAAGTCATAATTTCTAGGGATCTATGGCGTGAGGATGCCAAGATGGAATCGACCTTGAACAATCTTCGTGAAGAGCACCGTAAATCAGAGAGAGCTCTGGGCGCTTCGATAGATAAACACACCAGTGCGGGTCTTGCGGCTGTCACTAGAATTGCCAAAAGCTTAAATCTAGATGGGGTCTATGGCCCTCTCTATGATCTTTTTGATGTTGAAGATCAATATGGCATTGCCGTGAATGTTATTGCTGGGGCTAGTTTATTTTACGTTGTCGTGGATAATGAGATCACTGCAACACGTGTTCTTGAGGCTTTGAACAAGGAGAAGGCAGGCCGTATTACGTTCATGCCTTTGAGCCGGCTCAACCCTAAATCATCAACCTATCCAGAAGCTAATGACGCAATTCCTATGATCAAGAAATTGAAGTTTGATCCCAAATACACAAGGGCGTTTGAGCAAGTTTTTGGTAGAGCATTGATTTGTCGCACGCTTGAGATTGCTGCCACCTATTCTAGGAGCTACGGTTTGAACGGAGTGACGCTCGATGGTGACCAAGTTGATCGCAAAGGAGCACTTACGGGCGGTTATCAAGATAACCGCAATTCACGACTGAACTTGATTAAGATTATCAAATCCTTCAATTCAAAATACCAAGCGGCTTCAGAGCGCAGCCAAGTAATCAAAAAGGAAATAACGAACCTGGATCAGGCCATTACTGGCATACTTAACAAAATACAACTGATTGATGTGCGCAGGAAACAATTGGCCGACAAACGTGAGACTCTGGCAACAGAATCCAGGTCGCTAATTAAAGATGAGGCATCATTAAAAGAGTCAATTGAAGCCAAGGAGAAGGCACACCGTAATCTGGTAGCTGATCTCAAGATTTTGGAGGCGCAAGTGGGAACCCTAGAGAAGGAACTGAATTCTGAAATGGTACAAACTCTATCCGATGCAGAAAATCGCTTGTTGAGTGAACTAACCACAAAAATGGATAATATGAAGGAGAGGCTCTCTGCATTTGCATCTGAAAGATCCAAGGTGAGTTCATGAACGTTATATTTTTCAGAAAGGGAGTTTTTTTTCTTGTTCTATTCACTGATCATAATAGCCCCCAATATCCATTCAGGTCGAAACTCGAAAAAACATCCTTGAAATCACATTGGGGTCAAACCTAAGGCCGCGCTTCAATGAATTGCAAGATAAGGTTGAGAGCGGCATGGCGTTGGACGACGACGCCCTCGAAAAGCATCGCCATGATCTCTCCTCGATCCTTAAATCCATACAAGAGATTTCTGATCGCATCCGAGGTAACTATTACAAGATTCGCTAGCATGTCTGGACCAACATCGAACGCATATTTTGACACGAGTAACCTCTGTTAATATCAAAATAGAAATTGATGATGAGCTTGAAGAGACTGACAAGACCGTTTCAGACAAAGAATCTGAATTGGAGAAGCTTCACACTGAACAACAAGAAGAATCAAGGCAAATGCGCAGGATACAAAAAGATGTTGAAAAGCATGCTTCCAGACGAAATCTTTTATTGCGCCAGAAGGAAGAGTGCACTAAGAACATTCGTAATCTTGGTGTCTTGCCAGAAGATGCCTTTGAAAAGTACAAGAACGTTGCATCAGAAAAGGTTTGTATTTGTTTTAGACTTTCAAGTCTTCGATCGTTTTTATTAATAATTTTTATGAAATAGAAAATATTGTATTAGTTTTGATTATATCTGTAACCACCATCTTTGTACTAATAGCTTCTCAAGCAAGTGTATAAAGTGAATGAAGAGCTAAAGAAGTATGGGCATGTCAATAAGAAGGCATTTGAACAGTACAGCAACTTCACAAAGCAGCGGGATTCTCTCAATCAACGCAAGGACGAGCTGGATGCCTCAGAGGCTGCTATTCGTGAGTTGATCCAAACACTAGATCAACGCAAAGATGAAGCAATCGAGCGTACATTCAAGCAAGTCGCCAAAAATTTTGCGGATGTATTTTTGAAGCTCGTACCCGCTGGTCGCGGACGACTGATCATGCAGCGCAAGACGGATCGACAGGTAAGGCTCTTGTTGATCGAGAGGAAAGAGAGGACTTGTGTTCTTAGTTGTCAAGCTGCTCTTATACATGATTGAATATAGTTAATAATATATGGGCTTTCGCTCAACCGTGGCTTGATAGGCAGCAGACATGGACGACGAAGATTCAGACAGTGATGGGGACCATGAAACATCTGCAATTGATAATTATACAGGCGTTGCAATTCAAGTGTCATTTAATAGCAAGATGGATGAAGGATTGAGGATGCAACAGCTCTCTGGAGGGCAAAAATCGCTTGTGGCTCTCACGTTGATCTTTGCGATCCAGCAATGTGATCCAGCACCGTTCTATCTATTTGATGAGATTGACGCTAACTTGGATGCAGCCCATCGCACTGCAGTGGCGGCCATGATCCATTCGCTTTCAGAACAGGCGCAATTTATCACTACGACATTCAGGCCAGAGATGCTAGCAAACGCGGATAAGTTTTATGGTGTTAACTTCCAGGACAAAGTATCTGTAGTGAATGCAATCACAAAAGAGGAGGCGCTTAACTTTGTCGAACAGGAACAAGCGCGTTAAAGGGGAACATTACAAGTGCTACTGAACATTAGAATCCTTTCTACATTTGTGAAATAAATTGCTGCTTTATTGCGTTGTAATGATCACAAAAAAAGTATTCTGGTTATTTTGCGTGGGAAGCATGGACAAGATATTCAGATTACCGTAATACTAAGAAGGATAAAAGACTTTTCTTCAGATTGCCTTTACTGTTTTTTGCCTGCTCTAAGTAGTACTATGTATTAATGCTTTATATCCTGAAAATAAGATAATGAGGCATGTTTAGAAACAAATGAAAGCATTACAAGTAAGTAAAGCATTACAAAAACAAGCAATGAAAGTATAGCAAGAGAAATTATAATGAAGATAACGAAAGTAAATGCTGAAGAACATCATAAGGAAGAATACACCACTAAATGTGGACTTTGTCAAGGAATAACCCTAAAGAATCATATGGACTTTTTAGCATTCGAACACTTGTGAAAAAAAAAAAAAAAAAAAAAAAAAAAAGCAGGTATATCTATGGATCTACATTGGTTGATACAAAGGCACGGCTTTTTATTTTTTGGCCAGTAGAAGGGTCGATGCAAAGGCAGTTTTGGCACGATTGGATCTAAGGATCTGTCACAATATTTGTTACACGATATTTCGATATTTCCACATTGATTTAAAAGAGAATAAACATTCAATTGAAGTAAACTTGAATGGATGTTCACCTAGCTATCAGCCCCTATGAAACCGTCAAATGATGATTTTTCTTAGACATTGGGACATATTTATATATAATTTATCTTCAATGGCTACCCTGCCAGATGTTTGATCGATTGCACTAACCATCAGTCTGGGTTTTTTTAAAGATCGCTTTAGAAAGGATATCACTGACAGTTGACAGTCACTCAAATAATAATGAAAAACACCACGGAATAATTCCAAGTTACTATTTTTTACTCTCTACATTACAACCATGCCCTACAGGAGACGCGTACCCGAGTTTCAGGCCATTATCATGGCTGGCTACGGCAATGGGTACGCAGAATAGACATGACGTTTCTGACCGTTTTCATTTCAAGGGATGACAGGAACGATGTTACAACATGACCTCAACGACTGAAGCTCATTTCAATTTCATTGCTATTAGACTCTATCCATTGACTGAGGAGAACAACATGCCAAAGGCGCTCTTACCAGTTGTAAATCAGCCCATGATCTCATACCAACTTGCTTGGCTTGAATCCTCAGGAGTTACAGGTCAGTTGTTGTCAATGCCATTATCTCATATAAATGGATATTTCGTTCCTGCTTCTCTGACAATCACACGCTTGTGGGTTTATTTCCTGTCTAATAGATGTCATTGTTGTGAGCCTGAATTCGGGATCAAAGAAGCTCGGGCATTACCTGGATAGAGTTTATGAGGGGCAGCTACACATCACTTTGGAAGTAGTGGACGACAATACAGGAACTGCGGACGCATTAGCCTCGATCAAGGATAAAATCAACGTTCGTTTTTTTTTTTTTTTTTTTTTTTTTTTTTTTTTTGTTTTTTTGTTACGTTTGGAGAAGTCTTCTTGGGACGTGACATATTGAATGGGTCAATAGTTGGCTTTATTACTATTCTAACTTCATGTAATGACCATTGGCCAAACTATTAACCTTAATTTGTCCTTTTTATACTATTCACGAAAATACCAGACTGATTTCATTGTCATCAGCTGCGATCTCTTGACAGCTCTTATACCCCATCAATTCTTGGACATGCATCGCTCAGAGGACCCCACGGTAACAGCCTTGTTCTTCGAGCCCAACAAAGGAGAAGGTGGACCTACAGGATCAACCAAGGTCAAGGGTAAGGTGCAAAGACTATAAACAGTCTGCGTTTTTTTTTTTCTTGACATCAAGACCATGACTCATCTAGACTCATTGATTATTTTTATTTTATTGTTTCTTTCATTTCAATGGATATAATGGCTATCATATCATCACCCATTCACACCACTAAAATATAATCATCTAGAGGTCACTCAATATGTTGGAATTGATGCAGTAAACTCGCAGCTTATCTATCTGAACAATTCTGATGATATGCACTCAGATGAATTTTCATTAAGGATTTCATTATTGGAAAAGCACCCTGTTATGAACATCAGCCGACTTTTGCAGGACGCCCATCTTTATGTTTTTAAACGGTGGGTCATTGACTTAATTGCTGAAGTGTCCAACAAAAGGACCATGGCAAGCATTAAGGAGCATGTCTTACCATTATTGGTCAAGTCCCAACATCAGCGTGTTTTGGCAGATCGGGAAGGTGTTACTAGAGGTGAGGATTATTGTAACAAAGTTGCTCGGTAAAGGCGGCTCGAGAAGGGCACAATCGGCAAACATATGATGCTTTACTCGCCAAATAACCTCTGGTCCTCCAATTTGATTTCTTATCTACTCTCAGCGGTCGAGGCAGCAGCTGCCGCTAACTCAAGCACGCAAAAGTTAGCGCTTGAGCTGTCGACAACTCAGCTCCCAGTGAGTCAGAATAATGTAGATGGTGAGTGGAAGAGCCCTGTGAATTGCAAGGCATTTGTCATTCCAAAGGAGATCTACTGTGGTCGTGCCAACACTATTCCTAACTACTTTGAGATCAATCGCTACGTAAGTTTCTCGACATTGCGAATGGAGTAGCGGTTTTCACGAATGTAACAGAGAATTGTGGCACTAATTATTGATTCATATTTGTATTGGGTAACTTGGCATTACAGTATACAAAGATCACGGACAAGGCTAGGAACCCAGGAGCAACAAGCCAGGTCCAAACTCAAGTTGGTGCTGACTCTTTAATTGGCGATGATACCAAAATTGGAGAGCGCTCCTCAGTCAAAAAATCGACGATTGGTTCACACATTACGATCGGCAAGAATGTGAAGATCGTGAACTCGATTGTGATGGATCACGCAATCATTGAAGATAACGTCAAGGTTGAGGGATGCATTATCTGCTCAGGGAGCAAAGTCTGCGAGAAGTCCATGCTTAAGGATTGCGAGGTTGGTGGTGGCTTTAGGGTAGAGAAAGAAACCACGGCAAGGAATGAACAACTCGTGGACTTCCAGGAACAATAGAATCAAATCAAGAGGGAAATGTCAGAACCAATAAGGAGGCAGCGAATGTAGACATTTAATAAACAAACCTTTTTAATTCAGCCGGTGATATGGCCTAAATCGATTGTTTGGCCAACGAAATGTTTAAATGGCTATGGCACAATAACATGATAAAAAAAAAGGATGTATAATCCGCCTTTCTGCATTGCTGATGTTTTTATACCTCGTAATACAAAAAAGAAGGGGACAGATGGATGAGGTCGATGATGCTACTTTTACAAAAAAAATTGAGGTTGATGATGCTTCAAACCAGGCCAATAAAGAGTACATTCAAAACGTACAGGGCAGTTCATGACAATGTCATTGTCACACCATCTGTAGCCGGCTGTAGAAAAATAAAAAAAAAATAGAACGGCTTCTAGGGATGGAGATATGCCGGATTGCTTGTTCAGCAAGCCGCGCGAGTTAAAAACAAACTGTGCTTCGCCCACTTCTGGTGACATTTAGAATTCAATATCCTGCTTTGCGGATGTCACATGTTGAGTGGTCCCTTTGTCTCTTTAATTGAATTACAAAACCTTGGAAATGACGATCAGTCAACTTTATCAATTGAAAGCAGCCAACAGATCTTCACATCCTGCCCAAACATGAACGGACTAGTTAAAATAAAACTGGTGAGCGTCCGTAGCGGCGGACTACTTGTGTTCGCTTTGCAAAGGAATTTCGCAAAGTCAAAAAGATTCCAGTATTAGATTGCACTACCGAACTAGATTTGTGTAATGAATATATCCGCTTAATAATGTAGTAGATCACTTGCATCACAATGCCTACAAATATGAATTTTAGGAGCCAGCCAGAGGTTTATTGTTACATCTTTTTCAGGCAATGTAGGGAAACAAAATGTTCGAGAGCTTTGCTGTGAATGCCACTATTTTGGAGATTTATCCCATGAACATCTATACATTCAAACGTGTGACTATAAGAGAACAGCTGTCCTCGCGGTTTCTGGCAAGATCTGGAACATGTGAACGGAACCCTTCGTTTGTTTGCTCTGTCAATATTCAGCCATCTTTCGTCTAACGGCCAGTACTGTGTAAAAGGCCGATGGCCGCTACAGCATAGATATTAAGCGCATGTATTGGATACATCTTTCAACCCATTACCACATAAGTAGGAAGATAAGAATGTTAACCCAATGTCACTTAAAATAAGCATTAAAGAAGTTACTGGGGCTGTTTCTTGTCTGTTAAATCAGTTCCAAAGAACTTTATTGCCATAATTCCCCCACAGTCCTTGCACAAGGCACACTCCTTCTATCATTTCAATTCTAGATTTGTCATTAGGCGAAGCATTCATCAAACAAGGGGTTGAAGCTCTCATGCCACAAAGAAACAGCCCATCGGACTTTGAGAAGATTAACAATACGCCGCATCCGCGAATTGCTTCGCCACGCACACTTTTTCAGGTGGAGGCTTCTGCACCTCTTCGGAAACACATGGCCATCTTGAACAAGGATGAGACAGCACCAACAATCATTCGATTGAGAAATTCAGTTTCAGCCTGCGGCAGTTTAAGCAACAAAACCCCTCGACACCGATCATTATCATCACCAGATCTCTTTGTTATCGAGCAGGAAGACATGAATCAAAGTTATTCTAATAAGGCTGAAGGTATGGATTTTTTTTTTTGAAAGTGTGCTATTTGGTACCATTTTTTCTTTTATTTCTTTTTTTTTTTTTAGACAGTTACGTATTGACTTTTTTTTATCATACTTAGAAAAGACGAAAGTAGAAAGAGTAATTGCAGATACCAGCAACGGACATATTAACAGAAGGAAGGAGAAATTAATGGATATCTGGAAAGGGCTATCATATCCGAACAGCGAAAGAGCTTCATCTACTTCAACAGTTAGATCATCAGTATCAACTACAAAAAATAATAATGTCATCATTATTGACCTTGACGACGATGACGACGACTGTGGACAGGATAATAAAGCCGGTGCAGAGGAAATGCTCCATTCGGCTATACCAATGAAACGAAAATTGCGAGTTAATGATGATGAAGAGAGTATACTAGTGACAATGGAGACAAGACGCGGATCTCCTCAAGCACCAGCTGCGTTTTCGACCGTTCGATTAAAACAAAAACACATATCTAAGCATAGCCGTCATCATCAGGAAGAGGAAGATATTCCTTCCGAAACAAGGCCCAGGCTAGAGTGCTCTTTAACGTCAGCAGCTACTAGTGCAAGTTTGGGTTCAATATACTGTCCTGTTGAATTGGACAGCGACTCTGAAAGCGATGGTCTAAAGCCTATACTATCGCGACCTGTTAAGAGAAGAATGAACAACGATGCCGGATCAACAATTCATGAGCCTATTTTGATCACAGCAGAATCAACTCTACCAACCATTGATAGTGAAAATAATGGTGATAACTTTTATAACTGGTCGCCAGGGTCATTGCAGAATGTATTACAAGGTCTCGGACATAAGGATGCTACAAGTACAACGAGTGCCAAAAATAGTTTACAAGAGCAGCTCATATTGTATCGGCTGCTACAGAGAGTGCAATATCAGACGGAGCAAGGAGCAGGAGGAAGAAAGAGAAGTACAAATTTGCTGGATAAAGAGCGGTCACCTTCAGTAGACGATCTAACAAGACTGGCTTTGCCAGGAAGGAAACTTGATAGCGTCATAGATAGTGACCAAAAGCAATCTCAAGGCTCATTCGATCTGTTTGGCAGGATTAAAGAAGGTTTCGTGTTATCTGAGGCACAGCAGCTAGTGATTGAACAAGTTGTAAATCATGGCAAAAATGTGTTCTTCACGGGCTCTGCGGGGACAGGAAAGTCAGTTTTACTGCGAGAATTGATTGAACGACTGAGAGCTAAGCACAGCCGCTGGGCCGATTCACCCGACTGGGACTCACTAGCAGCAGAGAAGGTGGCAGTGACAGCATCGACCGGGATCGCAGCTTGTAATATTGGAGGATGTACACTTCATTCTTTCGCAGGGGTTGGTTTGGGCCAAGATACTTTGCCAAAGCTTCAGATAAGGGTTATACAAAACAACCGAGCTGTGCAACGATGGCGGAACACACAGGTGCTCATTGTGGATGAGGTATCGATGGTCCATGGCGAATTGCTAGACAAGCTTGAGGGGCTAGCTCGATTTATCCGGGGAAATAGCAAACCTTGGGGAGGCATTCAGGTTGTTCTATGCGGAGACTTCTTCCAGCTGCCGCCCGTAGATAAAACAGGGGCGACCAAGTTCTGCTTTGAGGCTAAATGCTGGGCCAAGACAATTCATGCGACATTCGAACTTCAGAAGGTCTTTCGTCAAAAAGATCAATGTTTGTATCTGACCTCGCTGAACAAGTTGCTTACTGTTTTGCTTTCCCCCCATTCCTCAGCTCCTAACCAGATTGGTATTTCGCTTCCATTATAGCGTTTGCCGAGATGTTGGATCAAGTACGCATTGGTAGAATGTCTGCTGCTACAATGAACTGTTTCAGAAGATTAAACCGTAGCATCCCAGAGAATGATGGCCTAAGACCAACCGAGCTGTAAGTCGTTTATATCGATGCTAATATGCCTTGAAGATGTCGAACTTTTATATACTAACTTCTCCCAACCTAATATAGTTTTCCGCTTCGGAAGCAAGTTGAGAATGCAAACAACAATATGTTACATAAACTCCCAGGAGAAACATTGGTATTTATGGCGGAGGATCGGGGTAAACTCAAGGATAGAATGGAGCAGCATTGTATAGCACCTACAAAATTAGAGATTAAAGTCAACTCCCAAGTTATGCTTCTCAGAAACCAGAGTGGTGGACCAGGTGGACTAGTGAACGGTAGTATTGGAGTAGTGATCGCGTTCGTCACAGAGCCTGCTCAGAACATTTGTTTTGGCCCTAGGGGAGAATTATTACCATCGCTAAATATGCCGGGAGAACGTTTGCCAAAGGTTCGATTCAAGAATGATATGGGTGACGTACGCGAAATGGTTATTGGACGTGATGAATGGAGAATAGAGATGCCTGACGGAGAGTTCTTAGGTGGACGTATTCAGATCCCTTTATGCTTGGCATGGGCACTAAGTATCCATAAAAGTCAGGGTCAGACAATACCTAAGGTCCGAGTTGATCTTGGAAGGATCTTTGAGAAAGGTATATGGGTGCATCTATTTATTTCTGACAATTCTGTTTTGAAAAAAAAAAAAAAAAAAAAAAAAAAAATGCTGATATTAATGATCTCTTGTTTTACAGGTCAAGCATACGTTGCCTTGTCGCGTGTTACGACCGTACAGGGGCTACAGGTACTGAACTTCGACCCGCAAAAAGTTATGGTGCACCCCAAAGTTGTAGAATTCTACGAGCGTGTTAAACACGCGACGGAAGTGGCCCAAGTTACACATTAGCACTCTCTTTCCCTTCCTCTCTCTTTTTTTTTTTTTTTTTTTTTTTTTTTTCTTTCGCGCCATAAAATCTGCTTTCGATCCTTGTATCCTATATTATTTGTACATATACTATATAGAGCTTTAAAAGGCCGCCCCTTCGTCATATAAGACTTCTAAGTTACTCGTTCTATCTTCTGTTATACCACGCCGCCGAATTGCGCACTGTTACGCAATAGTGTCCCAAATGCATGGAGATGTATGCACGCAATACCAACCTACCGATCTTCAAGTATCGTTGGCTCTATACACAGAGTTATTACACCGCTAGATTACTGACTACATAATGTCTAGTTACAGTATTATGTGCTTCAAGCAAAAGCCATGACTCTGGCGTCGATCATCATGGTTCTGATGCCAGATGAAAGTGCTGATTGAGCTCTATCGTTCTGCACGGAGTCACATCTGTCCCGCGGCTGCCACAATGTATAATTGTCAATCACCAGCACAAATGGATTTTCCTTTATATTTTACGAACCAGCATCGAATGTCGGCATTCTTTCTTTCCAGACCATGATGTATTCAAGCATTATGCTATTCAGTTATCTTATGAAACATCTATAGATTTCAACTGTGGTGGTTCAAATCATTGTAAGTTCTTACTGTTACTCCTCATACATAATTCTTCAGTTTGCTTTGCAACGTCCTTCAGTACCTGGATCATTGTTTTCTTTACTATTGACTCGTTTTGGCCCCTTCAACATATTAGGGTCTTCCCTAAAAAAGTCAATGCACCAAATTCCAAGTAAAACAGGTCCAATGGTGTAGGTCAGCCAAGGAAGCACGTCCTACAAGTGATAAATCACATTCTTGTTGATTCACTATATATCATGTGAATAAAGGCTTCATATGACAGGAATGCCACGCGTCATTTTGATCTCAATCTTTGACACAAGGTTCCCAAACGTTTGGCAGGCCAATGTCACGTGAAATCTTCTCATGTGCATATCAACGTCCAGCTTTTGATATAAACTAGCCGTTCTTTTTCCTTTTTTTTTTTTTTTAACCTGCACCTTACGAGAAGTAGCTATTCATACTCTTTGTCTCTTCAGACTCGCTTCTAGCAAAGACATATAGACAGCACATAAACACTTATACAATCTCTACTTCGAGGAATAATTCATGACAAAGGCAAAGTCACCAAAGCGGTCTTCACCGCCAACAAGCAATGGCAATAGTCATCACACACATGCAGAGAAGGAAGTTGATCCAATTGTGGCAACAGCAGTAACTACAAATGACGAGAAGGGACCTGGGTCTCCTACGAGTAGTGGGAAGACATCGGGAAATAGCCATGGAAATCACCACCACCATCACCACCATTCTTCTGGGCCGACTTCAGCTTCAAAAGAGGTAAAACTAAGATATTCATACTCAAGTTTTACAAGTCATCATACATTTATAACTTGATAAAGGGGGGGAGAGAGAGGGAGAAACTTGGTTTTATCGATGCCTGGTAGTATCAAATGATACCAAACGGAAAGGAAGGAGGGGGATGGAAGGGACATGCTGTGGTTCTTTGGATTGGATGTTGTTGTTTTTTTTTTTTTTTTTTTTTTTTTTAAAATAACTATGTCGTCACATAGAAAATACATGGATTGCTATGACGCTTAGTGAACAACATCCTTTAACGAATGATCATCTATTGTTCCTGTGTGCAGAGCGGGGAAACTGTTTATCCAATGAGCATCATAAACCTGTCCTCTCCGTATCTGCACGAAGATCTATTAACTTTATAAAGAGTTTTGAGCGATCAAATAATCAGGACGTGTTTTTCTAGTCTTGGTTAAATTACGAGTGAAACAACTGTCTAACACTCTTATAAACACTCCTTATTCGTCGAATCGCTTAATAGCCTGTAGTCTTGTTAGCAGATCAATCGGCACAGGCTAAATGGGCCAACTGGTCGGTTCGCACTCTATGGACTTTGATCATGATCGGAGGCTTCTTTGCTTGTGTTGCTGCAGGGCCTTTGTTTGTGATTTTGTTGGTCGTCGTGGTACAAGGCTTGGTTTATAAAGAAGTTATTTATCTGGCTGCTGTACCCAGCAGGGAAAAAAAATTGCCTTGGTTCCGCGCCATGAATTGGTATTCCTATTGCCATGAAAGCAGCTGAGCTTAGTTTTAATAATCGTTGATGAATGAACTTATTGAGCATTGTCTTTTTTTCTATGATATAATAGGTACTTCCTCTTCAGCACAAACTATTTTTTCTATGGCGAGAGTTTGATTCATTATTTTCAACATGTTGTTTTTGTCGACGCATTCTTACTTCCTTTTGCTACTCATCACCGCTTCATTTCCTTTACACTCTATGTTATCGGTAAGTCACTTCATGATCCACGGCTTAACAAGTTGTGTCTGCTGTTTCTATACAGAATATCAGTGAAGGAAAAGAAGAAAGAAAAGGGGACCTAACGTTACTGTGCTGCTTTCTACTTGATAGGTTTCGTATTCTTTGTTGCCAACCTGAAGAAGGGTCACTACCGCTTCCAGTTCTCACAGTTTGCATGGACACACATGACATTGTTATTGGTCGTCTGTCAGAGCCACTTTATCATCAACAACATCTTTGAGGGTTTGATCTGGTTTTTCCTTCCAGTTTCGTTGGTTATTGCCAACGACATTTGGGCATACATCTTTGGATTTTTTTTTGGTAAAACCCCATTGATCAAGCTTTCGCCCAAGAAGACTGTCGAGGGTTTCGTTGGTGGTTGGATCATGACTATTGTCTTCGGCATACTGGTAAGTACTGTGATCACTGAAAATTGCATTAAAAAAAAAAAAAAAAAAAACAGTTACGAGAAGATTGGAAAGATTTATGAATTGATTTTTTCTTTCTTTCTTTTTTTTTTTTTTTTTTTGTTCAATGTCTCTTCTAGTTTTCCACCTTGTTCTTAAGATACCCATACATGATCTGTCCTGTCAAAGATCTGCGTTCTACAGCGTTCAGTGGACTTACTTGTGAGCCCAACCCAGTTTTCATTCCTGTAAAACATTACCTCAAGCCATGGATGGTGGCTCTGGTCCGTCATCTAGGAATGCGCAGCAACTATGTAATGATTGCACCCCTTCAATTGCACACCATTGTCATGGCATGTTTCGCATCACTGATTGCACCTTTTGGAGGATTCTTTGCCTCTGGTTTCAAGCGTGCTTTCAAGATCAAGGATTTCGGTCAATCGATCCCTGGTCATGGAGGCATCACAGATAGAATGGATTGTCAATTCTTGATGGGGTTGTTTTCATATATGTACTATCAGAGCTTCATCAAGACATCTGCTGTCACAGTTGGATTTGTCCTACAGAACGCCATCAACCTCAAAGCACAGGAGCAAATGGAGTTGTTTGATCACCTCAGACAGTACCTTATCGGACAGGGCTTATTGGATGAGGATAGCTGTGTTATTATGCCTCCTAAAGAAGCATGGGTTTCATGAGTGCTCCAAGGGATTTTGGTGCTATAAGGTCACTAGGGTAGCTCTCAATCCACAGGTCTTGGAAGTTTTAGTCTCTTTTTTTTTTTTACTTTTCTTTTTAAAAACACTCTCCATCATCGCATCCATATATCACAACATATAATAAAAACATCTACTTTTGCCTCATTTGTAAATGATGAGGCCCCTTTTTTGCGTGTGGGACTGCTTTCTACCAAATAAAGGCGCTTCTAAAGAGCGAGAGCAATTGGTGTCGCAGCATTCTCAAGTATAAAAGTTTATCTCTTCTTCTCCCCGGACGACGTCTTTTTTTTTTTCTTTTCTTTTTTAGAGACGTTCTGATTCCAACTTCATCTGTATTGGATTCTGTTGACTTAGATTTCGTAGGGCCCCGCATCTTTCTCATTCCTCAGACCCGCTACATCTTTTCATTTAGAAGCTTTTTTTTTATATATTTTTCCGCAAGTTGCCCATTGGGTCGCTTCAACGCCCATAAAACCCTTTATCAAAATTTCCTGATAATTGACACATTTCCCGCTAAAAGCAAAATATTTCTCTTTCTCTCAAAAAAAAAGACGCAATTGTGAGCAATCGAGGGAAGTGAGAGGATATTACGTGAGTGTGAGTGTGAGTGTGGGTAGATAAAAGAAAAACGTGTAGAGAGAACGACACCTCACTTTTGGTAATGGATTTGTTCCCAATTTCAGGAACATCCAAGGCTCCGGGTAGTAAATCATACCTGTCGCCCATTGATGCCACCTCACCTTATCAAACCTCGCTCGAGGACAATAAAGAGGGGTTGCCTTCATTGCCGGATCTCTATGCAGAAGCCTATCCTCTCGCACTTCAAGCAGTTCAAGAGGATGCCAATGGTGATCATCACACAGCACGACTCCTTTATTGCGAAGTTTGCGAGGTAACAGAAATGCTTTTTTTATAAGTTTATATTTTTCATGAAGAGAAAGAAAAGGAAAGAAAGGAAATGAAAGAAAAGCTCTCCAAGCAAATTGATTAACACTCTGCTGACAAAGAACTTTTGTCTTGTTTTTTCTTTTGGCCCAATTATTTTAGATATTTACAAAGATTATAAACTGTAAGGCGATTGCTTCGAAGAATTTTTGTTTATGTTTCCTCGAATACATTCAATGAAAGCGAAAGTGATTGGATAAAGTTGACTGGGAGATTGTCATCCTTCGTGTATTGTATAGTACTGCAACCAGGAGAGGAACGCGAGCTCGTGAATCGGAAATTGAACCAGTACACAAAACGCGCCGAAGCAATTTGGGAATCTAGAAGCGCCAGCACAGTTCCGTTAAAGAATATTAAAGAGCTATCTGAATACGAAAAGCTTGCGCAGGAAGCACAGGTAAAAAAAAAAAAAAAAAAAAAAAAAACAACTTTATTAGTAGTATTGCTATGTCTTATCGCCATCGATGTTTCAATGGGACTATTCTAGTTTGCATATGAACAAGGAGTTGCAGAGCAGGAGAAACAGCATGAGCAAGGTGCATTGGATTTCTATACAGATTCTGCAGATCTCTTTTGGCAGGCATGGAAAGGTAAAATTAATGGATTCAACAATATTCTTCCAAAAAAAAAAAAAAAAAAAAAAAAAAAAAAAGAGGGCTAAAAGATTATATATTATGAACATTATCAACGCATTGACAATGCCTCACTCTCAAGCTGCTCCGGAAGGCCCCACAAAAGAAACTCTGAAGCAGAGGCTAAACGATGTAATGGGTCGAGCCGAGGATATTAAAGGGGTTCATTTGAATACGATGCCGCTTTTAAGTAAGTTTATGGCCAAAAGAAGGAAAGAAGTCCAACGATAAAACATGTACTAACACATATTATGTTATATCTCTAAAATTATACATGGTGTAACAGAAGAGAAGCCAAGTTATACACCTATCATAGCTGGACCCTCTAATTTGACACCTCAGGAACTTCGAGTCCTCAAAACCACCATGGTCATCAACAATAAAAGATATCATCCATGGAGCGATGCAGATGTCAAGGATTTACTTCGAGAAAAGGGGCCTTTTACAGATCCAGATGGGATGCTCGCACTCTCTGATAAGCAGACTGCCAAGTTTGGGTCTTGGAAGCGTGTCTCCCAGATCATGGAAAATCCAAAAATGATATGTTTGATTTCAAGCACAAGCATTGTGCAGGACATTGTGACAGATTGTTCATTTGTAGCGAGCTTGTGTGTTAGTGCGAGCTATGAAAGGCGATGGAAGAAACAGGTAAGGAAAAAAAAGTGCTCCCATTTGAATCATATAGATTATCTCAATAATCAAACTATTGATGATCTTATGGTTATTAATCAATTGCTGTCTCTTCTATAACATGACTATAGTTAATTCGAGCATGTATATACCCTAAGAACAAGTTTGGCGAACCCTGCTATAATCCACATGGGAAATATCTTGTCAAGCTCACCTTCAACGGCATTGCTCGACGCGTTGGTAAGACGATACAGTCAATAAAGCAAAATGACCTCACTCAATTGTTCGCATATAATCTACGACATCTTATACTCCGTATTCCCGCGTAAAATTCATTTGTATAATCTTGAAGCTCCTTCATTACATAAAGTGAATAACCGAGTAGGGTCAACACATTGGTTATTCTCGTTACGATTAAGGCGCCATTTTGCTCATTAACTATCCATTGTGTTTTTCTCTTTCATTTTATTTTATTTTATTTTTTCTTTTTGTATGGCTTTTTTATTCCAATTAGTGGTCGACGATTACCTACCAGTTTCCAAAGCGGGAACTTTAATGTGTACTTTCTCAACCAACAAGAACGAGCTATGGCCTAGTATAATTGAAAAGGCGTACATGAAGTTGATGGGTGGTTACGACTTTCCTGGCTCGAATTCTGGAATTGATCTTTAGTACGATTTTTTTTTTTTTTTTTTTTTTTTTTTTTTTGAGACTATTAACTACAATAGATCGGGAATACAAGACAACATGTAATGGATATTTCCTAGCAAGAGAACTTACTTTAACTCTTTTGAATATCAATAGCGCTCTGACTGGATGGATACCTGAGCATATTTTTATCAAAGAAACTAATTTTGATAGCGAAAAGCAGTGGAAACGAATGATGGATGGACAGCGCAAGGGTAACAAGATAATCATATAGCAATTATAGTCATGTTATCCGATATACCATCCCTATTCATCCCTAATTTACATATGCTCTTGCCATTTAGGTGTAGCGCTAGTAACTATTGCTACGGGGCATATGTCAGATGAGGAGGCAGATCATTTAGGACTTGTGCCTACTCACGCATACGCTGTATTGGACTTGAAGGAAGTTCAAGGTCTGCGGTTACTACAAGTCAAAAATCCATGGAGCCATAAACGCTGGAAAGGGCCGTTCAGTCATCTTGATGCGGATCATTGGACAGAAGAACTGAAGAAGGAGCTAAATTTTGATCAGTTTGCAGCGCTGAAGAATGATGATGGCATTTTCTGGATTGATTATGAATCTGTTTGTTCGACATTCGACACCATACACATCAACTGGAACTTGGAGACTTTGAACTACCGAGCTGTGATTCACGCGTAAGTAATATAGTGCTGGATTTAGCACTTTATTTCTTTATGTCTTTGCAAACGGATAATGATGTGCAGATACAATCAAGAAAGTCGTCATTAAATAGCCTCCCCCGAATTCATCAACATAGGCCTTGGCCATGCAATTATGGGCCAAAGCGGGATAACTACAATCTTGGCTATAATCCACAGTTTACGCTGATAACGAACGTCAAGGGTTCTCGACCATGTGTGATTTGGCTGCTACTCTCAAAACACATCACCAAGACAGAGGAAAACCGAGACTTTATCACGTTACATGTCTTCGATGTTCAAAGACAGGTACAAAACCAAGCTATAACATATATCCCTGCAATCTCTTTATCCTCTGCTTCAGCAAGTACATCTACATCTCTCGCTTCATTACCTGGGCAAGCAACATCTTCATTGTCCGTTTTGTCAGCCCGTAGTCAGGGTACAAGGATTTATTATGAAGGTAATTCGTTGATCAAGGGTATGTATGTCAACAGCCCTCATATTTTAGTCCGCTTCGAAGTCCCTTCAGGCCAAAGCGAATACACGATTGTGTTGTCACAGCATATCAAGACTCGAGACCTTCATTTCACATTAAGAGCATATGCCATGTGTGAATTTGAGCTTCGAGAAATACCTAACAAATATGCTATTGAGCGGAAGGTAAGAGAGGTGACAGAGTTGCTATAGTATCTCTTCCTTTTTTTTTTCCTTCTGTTTTCACATTTCAATTATTGGTTCTTCTTTAGTTTGAGGACGAGTGGACGGAAGAGACTGCAGGTGGAAGTGGCAATAACGCCAGCTTCCTAAACAATCCACAGTATCGTTTGGTCGTGCCTGTGCCCCCAGCACCTCAAACGGCAACATCAGTCCTATTCATGTTGGAATCGCCTACGGATTATGCAGCACATGTACAGCTGGTGAACTCGCAGGGCAAGCGTGTTTCATGGTAACGCAAAAAAAAAAAAGAGCGGTGATAATGAGATGTGCTAGTCGCTTAAATTCTTCTCTTCTGACGATCCATGATCTATTTGTCTTTTTTTTTTTTCAAGTGTTTGGACAAAGGATATTATCGCACAGTCTGGCGAATACCGCCATGGGTTCTGCTATTGCGAAGCTACTGATATTCGACGTAAGGAGCATCACGCAATGAAGCTTTTTTTAAAAAAAAAAAAAAAAAAAAAAAAAAAAAAAAATGGCCACAGTTCAGAAAATTGACTGGAGTTTGGCTTATTAATTTTTTTCCCTTTTTTAAAGCGGGGCAATATACTGTTATCGTGTCAACCTTTGAACCAAATCAAATTGGGAAATACAGACTAACAATGCAGTCCCATATCGAGCTATCGTTAACTCCCATCCCTATCGAAGGGGCTGTAAGTCCTTAGTTTGGATTTTGTTAAAACGTCCTGCTAGGCTTTCCTAGCTATTTTATTATTAATTTTTTTCCCTCAAATTTTGACTTTCGAACGCTTTTGTTCAATATCTACAGGGAATGTTTAAAAAGACTTTGAAAGGTGAATGGGTCCTAGGTGTCAGTGCCATGGGTTGGCATCACCATCAAAGTCTCAGCTATGCAAAGAACCCACATTTCCTCGTTCCTATAACAGAGATGACGTCGTTCAAGTAAGTCCAAAGAGTTCTTTGTGTTTGCACTTTACATTATGTAAACCTTTGACTTACAAATTTCCTGGTTGTCAGGGTCCGGTTACAAACTCCCGAGATGACTAACCCAATGCCGAAGACTAACATCACAGTCTTTGAACGGTTGGATGAAGGCATCCTTGGACGAGAAATATGCTCCTCTGGGCCCTACGCTTCCATTCCTCAGGGTGTAGCCACAGATACAATCACGCTCTTGCCGAACCAGCATGGGTATCTAATGGTGGTATCGACATTAGAGCCAGGGATTGCAGGCAAATTTGTGTTATATGCCTATAGTGACCGTGCCCTGGACATTAAGCCTGGCGGTGGAGCGGCGACGACTGTGAACGTGAACATTGATGGGACAGCATCTTCAATCAGATCACTATCGCTGTCATCCTCTTCTGGAGGCTCCCCATCACCAAGTATTGCTAACTATTCACCGTTATATTCGCCATCAGGAAATCCAAGTGGAGGAAACTATGCGAATAATCGGCCATCAATGAGGTTCAGAAGACAGACTGGACCTGGACCAGGACAAGGTTCCACAGGTGGAGGACTTCTCTCGCCTTCAAATTACTAGCTTTTTTTTTTGTGTATATTTTTGTATAAAATCCTCCTAGATCGCTTTTCTCAGGCCCGAAGTTGTTTTTTTTATCATTCATTCAACTCCTCTTCTCCCTCTTTCCCCTTTTCCTCTCTTCTTCTTTCGATCAAAGTTTCTATCAATGGACGCTGTTGCTTTAGATACACCGTCTTTGATATACTGGAGGGCTCCATGCAGTATATGTATTTTAAAAACATACGAACCCAAGCATTTCTCTTGGCTGTTTCTGCCTTTATCTATTCATATTGCCTTGGAAACCATTATTCATTTCTCCTACTGCCTAATATATTCATTTATCCTTTCTTTTACTTTGGCGAATCCGAATGCTGCTGGAAACAAGATGCAGGATTGGTTCGATTAGGCCACCATGCACTAAACAATCAGGAGCCTACCAGCGATATGCAGGTTTTTGAGGCTGTTGTCATAGCAGTGGTGGCAATGCCTATTGAGAGTAGTAATATCCGAATAAAGCTGAGTTCTTACCATAAGGACATTAATATCTTCAAAAACTTCCCACTGAGCAAGAGAAGATCCAAGAAGCTATACATAAGGCAGCCTGATGACCCTTTGGCCAAAAAGGTTCCAATCTCAAAAGCCATCAACACTTAGTTTTTAGAAATTTTGAAAGAAGCAGGAATTTGCTATTGAAGGACTGCATATAGATCGGGCCAATTGTGGCCTAGGCTTGCCTTATCATAGTGTATGCCCATATCATGCGCGAAGCCTAATATGGACCTAGAACAGAAATACAATGTTTCTTCAGAAGATAATTAAATAAATAAATAAATTAAGGTATACATCGAGTTCTATCCTTGCTGCATGTCCATGTAAACACGACCTGCCGTTACCATATAGCCGATGATGGTCAGAAATAAAGATTTAGTGTTTCTACTCTAATGAAATTTTACCTATCCGTTCAGATCTCATTTCTTATGCTCTAGCCAAAGTGTGTGCCTCCTTGGCAGTTTGCGTCTATCAATTATTGCATCAGAAGAAAAAAGAACCCTTGATAAGAGGACATGCAGCAAGGATAGAACTCGATGTATACCTTTTTTTATTTATTTATTTATTTATTTTTGAAGTTTCGTAAACCAACCTAAACTCGTACTCCGTAGGTTCTGCACGACATGAATGTCTGTCTCTTATTGATACATTTAATAACATTGGTTTAATCGGCTTTTAGAATGATATTTTAGGCATCTCTTATGAATAAATTCTGTTGTAACCTAGGCTAGGCTACCAATAATCCTCAGAGCTCATACTGGCAACACTCATGCAGTCGCTGGCCATACCAGCATCTTCATCTCTGGTTCTCAGTTTTTGGTTTCTTGAACTCAGGTCCTGCTGCTGATTTGACGTCAGTGGCACGAGTTCTTCCTCTTCTGTACCATGTGTCACATCGTTGTCTATGCATGTTGATACTGAAGCCCATGACTCCGGTCGACTTACTAATGATACTTTGGGCCGCTGCATAGGTTGTTGGAGGTCCTTTTGAAGCCTTTTCTTGGACTTATCCGACAATTCAGTCTGTTGGTGATGACCAGGGGAGGTAGACGTCTTTTTGTAGTACGTTTCCCCAGCTTTCTCAGGCTGCAGAATCGAGGTTTCTAAGGAGCTTGCCGAGCCCTTGCGCTCCTTCTGGGCTATATCCTCATCGTCATTCATATCATCTTCTTCATCAGAATCGCCGATCATATCTTCTGACCGCCCTCCAATCAATAGCGCAGTAAATTGGCTAGCCTTTTGTTGCCATGTCTGAGGGATGATGTATCCTGGAGAATAGCTCTCCAAGCGACTTGAGACCTTTAGACGACGGCCTGGTGTAATACTTTCAAACCATCCCTTCTTACTCTTGGTCCTTCCAAGAGATGTCATAGATGGCTTCCTACCGAGGCTTTGATTATCTGTGTTCTGGGTAGCCCCATGATCATTTTCCTCGTACTCTGATAGTGGTAACCGCTTGTATGTACCGTCATTATGGACCTTAGCCTTAGTAACCAGGAATAGGTTTTCTAGTCGCTGTCGTTCAACTGTCGACAATTCAAGTTGCCTCATTCGCTGATCCCTGGACATTCTTTCAAAGACGAGCTCGTTCATAAATGTATACATCCTATTGAGGACACCAATATGCATAAACCCTGCTCGACCGCTCTTCTGCCAACATCCATGCTTTTCCAAAAAGCTCTCCAGCTCTTGCCTTGGCATGGGCCGATAGCAGATAGACCCTGGAAAAGCTGGTGAGAATTCCTTGGGAGTCAACTGAGGTATTTCCTCGTGGTTCTTACGGTAGAGATCGTCCCAGAAGAGATACCACCATTGATGAATCCGAGTTCTGTTCACAGCTGCCATCCGTTCATACAGGAAATCAATGGCCAGAGTGACGTCGGTTGAAGGGAAACGGACCTTTGGGTTTTCTTCGGTAGCCAAGACAAGAGCTTCTAGGTCTTTCCGCTTCAAGGTAGGATTGTCATAAACATTAATAAAGAAATCATAGGACAGAGTCGCGTCTTTGTGCTGTGCTTCGTGCCGATAATGAGCTTGGTATGCCTGCATAACTCGTTTAACCTTCTTGGTGCCTCTGGACACGAGAGCATGATTATCACGAAGTAGTCGCGCCAATGCTGGCGTCATTTGAAAATCTCTGGTAATGCCAATGATGTCGTGGCCAATAGTGGTTTCGTGCGATAGTTGAGCCGATCCTTCGGGATCCTGAACTTCTCCATCAGAATACGTGATTGTGACAGAGAATCCGGGGTTCATGTTGTGCCCTTGCCAGCTAGACATCTTCTTCCGATGAATAGTAAATAGTCCACGCTTGTAACTAACAGGGGCGTTTACTAGAGACATCTGTTAAAGATACCGAAATAGATAAATCAGTGGTCCTGCATCTCATTTGACCCGCTGAACCAGACAACAGAATTGATTTTCCCTCCTATAAAGTGCAATAAGCTTACCTCCATGGTGCCATTGCTCTCTCTACCTCTATGGACGCCTCTCATCTCAACAAATGGGCGTATAACAAATTTCCCATCCAGTGCTCGGAGTTGGTACCTTAGTTCCCTTCGCCTTTGAATCTCAGCATCTTGGTTCTGCTGGATGTAGCGATCCAGGTCATGTTCTTTGACAAGAGTCACTACAACAGATGATTCATCATAAACAAAGACCACGGAAAACGGGAATGGGACTACGTAAGCCTTTCCGAAATAAGTCTTGATGTTGGATGTCATAAACTCTGGCGCATAATACATATCTGGCCCTACAAACTCTTTTAAAATAAGAGTCCGCTTGCGCACCATGACGGGCGTCAGGAATTGGCATGCTTGCGAGTATGATCTTAGGCCAATTTGCCTTACAATACGGAGGTTCTCCACATGGCGCTCTGCAACTGTACCAGCAAAGTTGAGTAAATAGGGCGGTCGATGTGGCGATTGACTATATGCCACAATCTTGTTCTCAGGCATCTTGAACGAGTCATCAATAAGCAAAGTTGTCGTCCATGTCTCCTGCCAGATACGTCGCTTAATATGCTTGAAGTAATTGAGTTTTGGATTGAATATCTCAAGTGAAAAATCAAGTCGTTGTTGGATCTGCTTGAGCATGATCTGGAACTTTTGAGTTTGTCGGATCACAAACCAAATGACAATGACGCACATAAGGATATACGCTGCCACCAACATGATTCCGAGTGCATTGACAGATAGAGGGCCAACTTTTAGGACGATGAATAAGCCAATTACGCTAGTGACAACGGTGCAAGCTCGTGACCAATACTCGCTTAGGTTCTGAGAAGCGTATAGGAAAGGTTTTGTGCGGTAGTGTCGATATATTAAGCTGACTGTGAAGACTATCTGAAGCCCCGCACGGGTTGCCTCGATAGTCCTGCGTTCGTAGCCTCGGAAGAGGCAGTTATCTTTGGAGAAGAGGACAACTATGACAACAGCAAGGAGCTTATTGAACATCACAACAACTTTGTACGTCCCTTGCTCCCTTCTGTAGCCTAATAAAGTGGAACAAGTATGCATTAAACCTTAAGTATAAAGAGTATAGTTATAAGGGTCTAGAAAGATAGACTATAGCTTTGCTTTCATAACATTGACCTCATACCGTTATAGAGGAAATTGTACGGACAGTTATCTGAGTTGGTCAAGCGCTTGTATTCCTCATCTGGGTCCAGCCTCCGTTCACCTTGCTCAGTATACTTGTCAATCCTCGGCAAGTTAAGGATTACTAATCTTCTGATTGCCAGCGGAAAGTATAGTGTGTTTACACAAAGAGTGAATATTGCTAATGGGATGATTACATATGCAAAATTGAGGTCTTGGATCTTCATAGATGTAACATAACAAAAATCAGACGGATTTCGATAAATGCCACTAGGTCCAAGTGGTGTAAGGACTGGGAAATCTACGTTTTTATAGGGATTCGAGGTAGGCCACATAGTATCGGACCAAACTAAGGCGTCGAACGACAACTTTGCCAGAGGCAGATATAATGTTGTTAGCAGGAAGACAATGGAGATTGTTTCAATACGCTGCTTTTTTGAGCGAAGGCTCCAAGAGGATACTTCAAGCCCCTATTACCATAGTAGTATAAGGCTGGTTAGTATAGAAAGCATAAATGCAAGCCAATTCTGCTTTTTTCAAAGCATTTAACGCAGGCACGAGCCTTACTTCTATGTCATCATTAGGATCAGTCTTGGTCATAATCTTGAATGTATACAATCCGATACAGCAGACCAAGGTGAACAAAATCAAGAATATCATCCCATGACCCAGCGCTCTTGGGAAATCCAGAGATAAAATAGCAGGGATGATGTTGACAGTGGCATAAAGCCACTTTTGGTTGATGAATGTGTTACCAGAAACAGAGAGGTATAATCCGACGAACTGTAAAAAATCGCGAATGATCTCAAGTCGCATCCATGATATGCCAATGTTCGAAGCTTCACCACTCATGATTCCATCTACTGCTGAGGATAGGAGCACGTTCTGGAGCTCCTGATCAAAAAATCCTGGGGGTTTGGTCACATTTATCTTCAGCTGATCGAGTGACACGCCTGTGGGGACTCTTCCCAGTGGAGGGAACATGCCTTCCTTAGAATCTTGTGCTTGCTTTTTCTTTTGCTTTGCGGCTTGTTTGGCTCCTGTTTTTTCCTGTTTGGATGCCTCTAAAGGCTCCAATGCGGGGGAGAGCGGTACTTTAGAGAAGTTGGCTGGTTTTAAGGAAGAAAGATATGCATCAAGAGCTGGATAGGTAATCAGAGGAGCGCTGGCTTGGAACAGGGCATCAGCGCTATTAAGTGAAGAATTCTCTGGTGCACTTCCTGTACGTGCAGTCCCCAATGGAGTACCTCCCATGTATTTTTGAGAAACTTCCAGTTTGTGTGAGGCGTTTGTTAAGGTTGACTGTGAAGGGCGTGTAACAGAATTTGAGTTAAGCTTCTCTACGATTATTGTAACGTCGGCTTGGGTTGATTTGTTCTCGTTTTCATTCTCAAGTAATCCGATCTTTTCCTTGTTACTACTATCGTCAGATCGGAGAGAATCCTCCTCAAGGTCCGAATCTTCATCCAAACTACCGAAAGATAATGCTTTGGGGGTATATTCCTGTTGAAGCTGATTGGTTTTCTCAATCGTTTTGTTGTCCGCTTGGATCAGAATGTTCTGGCTATCTGATCTAGTTGTTCTGCGTTCACGACTTCGCCCGGTAGACACAATAGTTACTGCTTCATCTACCACGCGGCTGACGCTTCCGTTATTGTGGCCACTATCTGATCTATCCTCGCCACGGTTTTTAGAAATGATCACAGTTCCTGACCCAGAAGCCCCTACAAGCTTGGGAATAACCGGTCTGGCGGGAATGCCTTTTACAATCGCATACATAATGTCGGGCCTTTGCTTCTTGTTACCGTTATCTTTATCCTCTCTCTGAGCTTTCATGCGTTCCTTCTCCTTCAAGTCTACATCACTTCTTTCTCGCCGTTGGTTAGCTGGATGTTGTTTCCGCTGTATATTCAAAATTGGTTCGGACGATGTCTTGGATCTTTTATTATGGGCTGCTGCTGTTCTCTTGCTTGAGTTAGAGTCAACTAAATCCAAAATTTTGTCGACTTGCTCCTGAGCACCCTGATTATCTTTAGACTTTGGTATTATTGTGGATATTGAGCCGCGACTATTTCCTGCTGTGTCCAGAGTGAGTTTTGGCTCCACGCTTGGCTTGACTAGAATCATTAATATAAAAAGAAATAATATTGTAAGTCGAAAGGTGAATGATTTTCGATTACACAGCCTATACTAGTGTGTTACATCGTCATACCTAGAGGCAAAAGGGCATCGATAGGCCGCCCAAGGGGCTCGGAGCCAAGCACGAGAGGATGATTTCGAGCAAGGTGTTGATGACGGTTCAAGGATGCCTCTTTAGTCTGCACTGGTGGTATCACAGCCAGCTTCAATATACCTTCATTTCTTTTTGTTGGAGTTGAAAGAGATGTTAGAGCGCGCGCTTCTTTGCCTGAAGATAGTCTTTGCCTTCCGGTATCGATTATAAGGTCTGGCTTTGGGTTGGAATGTCGTCGTGTATTATGTGTATTATGTGTATTATGTGTATTATGTGTATTATGTGTAGTTTGCGTAGTCTGAACAGTCTTGGGAGCAGTACTTCTGAAAGGCCGCGCCGGAGGTGGAATCGATGGCTGAGTTTTGATTGTATCTAATGAATGTCGATTTGATCCAAAGACGTGCCCTTGAGCTGGCGCTACTGATCGGAGAGGAAATAGAGGTGCATCTCCTCTTGGTCCTGACCCAGAAACAGAGGTCGATGGTAAAGCGCAAGTATTGACGGGACTAATAAAAGGATTGCTACCAGTAGATGATAATAAAGCTGGTGATGACCCTGACACTCTCGGTTGGGTAGCTAGGTGAGCTATGACAGGAGGACCTGCTTTGTTTAAGGAAGTACGCCGTGCCTGTGAGCGTGGTGTTTGTACAGGTGTCTCGAGGTCGCTCCAAAATGAAATCAGATTGTTGACGTTAGGTGATTTTTGTGGAGCATGGTTGGGCATCCTTGCGGAAGAGTTGTAGAAGGTATTTGTAAACTGAGATATGAGAGTTGGCCCGCAGCGAGAGCGGTGTCAGAGACAGAAGAAGTCGATAAGTTGATGTTGGAAAAAGAACAATAGCTTTAGTGGCGTACGAATAGAGTGAAGAGCGTGAGTATGTGTGAATGAGTGTATAAGTGAGAGAATAAGTGAAAATAGGAATGTAGGGCGAGAGTGAATAAAGAGGAGTGAGAGTGGTGACCAGAAGTGGCATAAAGAAAAAAAGACCAGGGGCGCAACGAACATGCATGCCACGATAAAATGCTGTCCATAATCAATTCAAAAAAAAGGGGGTGAAATGTTGTGCTGTGTGTGATATTTGCTCGAATCATCCCTCCGTCATTGATCCAAGCACAAGCCTGGTTATGGTCAGCATGATCATCCACACGCTCCCCCTTTTTTTTAAACTTTTAATTTTTTTTATTATTTTTTATATTTTAAATAATATTTCAAATATACAAACCTCAGGCCTGCGCCTTGCGCTTGGCTAACTCAGCCTTTAGGGACCTCATGTCTTGTCTAGTGAATTCTCGTTCCCGCTGTGCTGTCTTGAGTTGGCGCATCAACTCTTCTACCTCCGATTCAAGATCACGAATCTTCTCTTGATGCTCATTCGATGATGTATCTGGGCTCATACGCATGACCCTGGCTTTCAAACGTTGATTCTCTTCTTCCAACTCTGAAAGCAGTGCATCATTCTCCTTTTGAGACTGCTCATACCGATGTCGAAGATCTAATAAAGTACGCTCTAGCTCCACCTTCTGCTGACGCAGAGGTTCCAACGCCAGAATCGCCTCGCGATGAACTTGACCAGTACCTTCAAACACTTTAAACATTTCATCCGTCGGTAAGGTTCTCCCTTGGACATATTCTGGCTCAGATTCTACTCCTTGTTGCTGCGGTGGCGGTTGCTGTTTGAGATGTTGTACCTCTGTCTGTCCCTGAATCGGTGATTGCGACAAGGACGTAGCTGATGCTGAGGTAGATCCATCTGTCAATGTCGCAAGCTCAGCGGACTTTGTTAATAGCATCGCCTGAGCCTTCGCTAGTTGTGAGCGAACATGATTGTTCTCATTTTCAGATTCTTCAAGTCGCTGCTGCAACTCAAGGATGGTTCTTTTCTCTTCGGCCTGAAACTCATGAATAAATTGCCGTAATTTGAGAATACCATGTTCAGCTTTTACCAACTTTTCCTGCAGCTCTTTCACCTCCAAGGCGTGATCACTGGTATTCATAGGCTCATTATTATTGGATAGCAGTCCCGCATCACGGCCAGGTCCATCAATCTGCTGCGTCTCTCTCTCTACAGGTGCGCTTGCTCGGCTCTTCACTATAGATCTCTGGAGTTCAATTAGCTGAAGAGCCACTTGCGTCAAGGGCTGGATCGAATATCCCAAAAGCCTCACGTTAGTGAGCGTTGAAATAACAATTTCCTCTAAAGCATTCAACTTCTCCGATTCTCCTGGTAGCGGCACTAATTTCTCAAAGAGATCAACTATGAGTTGCGTTTGCTCTGACGCCTGCTGATGTTCATCCTGAAGTTTCGTTAAGCTATTTCTCAAGTGAATAACTTCAGGTGCCTTATCGGCAAACATGACTAGGTCTCCCTGTAACTTTTGAATCGTGTCCATTTGAGAATGGTTTTCAGCCTTTTGCATCTCTGCATAAACAATCTGTGAGTGAACCTGGGCTTCCAACTCTAGCTTCGACTTTTCCAAGGCCGAAATTTCTACCCTTAACCTTTTTTCACGCAGCGTTGCCTCATCAACAACTGTAGTATGCTTGCTAACAGTATCTTCAAGCTGACTCTGTAGTCGTGAGATAGAGTCCATATGCTGATCATAGCGCCACTTTTCCTCATCTTGATAACCTCTGAGGGCCGCCAGCTCGCTCTCTGCTACTTTTGACTGAATCTTTATCCTTTCCATCTCCTTTTGATTTTCCTGCAGCATGTCTTCTGCTTGTCGGATTTGACCTTCCAATGCATGGATCTGCTCCTCGCTCCCTCTCCTCTCTTCAACCAGCACTGTCTTGAGATGCTGTATCTCAGACATAAGACTTTCCAGATCGACATCATAGGGAGTGCCCTGTCCCTTCTCGGCTGCCTGCTTTAAATGAAGGTACTCTAAGCGTTGATCCTCAAGTTGCTGTGTGAGACTAGATAGTCGTGTTGTCCAAGTCGTCTTCTGATCCAATGCGGCCGCCACCATCTCTTCATGTTGCTTGCGCAGTGCAGCCAAGTCTTTTACAACTGCATCATGATCTTTAAGCTCTGCTTGAAGTTGCTTAAGACTACTTTTCGTCTGAACAAGTTCTTGTTCTAGATTTCTATAGAAACTAGATTCATTCTGAACCTCATCCTGACTGGCCTGTAGTCTCTCAACTTCATCCCTCGCAGCTACAAGTTCCATCTGAACACGATTCAGGAGCCCTTCGGTCCGCAGCTTTTCTTCTTGAGCCATAAAACAATCCTCTTGGAGCTTAATTATGCGTTCAGCCATGCTATCATATCCACTCTGCTCCATAGTAATATCTTTTCTGGTAATTACGAGATCATCTTCAAGCCTCATCTCACTGTTACCATGTACTCGTGCTCCTTCCAGTATATGTAAATCTACCTTGGGTGATTGTTCCAGTAACTCCGTGTGCTTCTTCATTTCATACAACTCCTGCTGTAACTTCAATAGGCGTGATTCCGAACGCTTGAGCTCCGTCTTGAGGCAAACTTCACTTCTTCTAAGTTCATCTACCTCCACACCATAGCCGTTTGCGTTTGCTTCATGCTTTGCATTTTGGTTTCTTAAAGCGACTAGTTCGGCTTCCAGCTGCACAACACGCTCCTGTGCGATTACTAGGGTGCACTGCTCAGTTATTTCCTCTTCAGCTGTAGACTCCACACCTCGTTCCGTCAACACCTGTCTCTCATTTACCTCCGTTTGAAGAGCCTGCAATTCCTCCTTTACCAAGTTATACCGATGCTCCAGCTTGGCTAGTTCAAAGGCTTGTTCATCCATATACTGAGCTTTTTCCTCTTCAAATGTATCGATTAATTTTTGCTGTATAACTCTGTAGGCATCGTCCTTCATGATCTGTTGACTCTTCAGTTCATTTCTATATCAAGTAAAGAATAGTTGGGACACTCTTTTTGTTCAGCGACTGCATAATGACAGATATTTTATTCAGCAAAAAAAAATAAAATAAAATAAAACTCGAAAGATGTAAACTGAAAACTATTGCTCTCTTACCGATGCTTTTCAGTATCAGCCAAGAGCCTCTCCAGACTCTCAATTTTTGAATTGAGATCACGCTTTTCAGTTTCTGAACGCTTAATTAAATCTTGCAGCTCCTTCATCTCTTCTCGTTGCCCTTTCAGCTGTCTGCGGAGGCCTTCAGCTTCTTTGGAGAGCTGCTCCGATGAATCCACTACTCCTCCAAGTGGGACACTTGACATTTGCTTCTCTAAAACGTACTCTTGTAGTTGATCCTGCGAGCGCTGGAGCTCTTCTCGAAGCTGCTCATTCTCTTCAAGGACTCTAGATAGCTGCTCAAATTTAGCATTGGCAGCCTGGGATTCCAAATAACTGTGTCGGACTTGCTCAAGCTCTGATTCAAGCTCCTGACATCTTGCAAGCAATTTGGATTGTGACTCGAAAGCCGCATTTGCTTGAGCGCTCAACAAGGCTTCCTGAAGGCGCCGGTTCTCTTTCGCCATAAATTCAGCCTGCTCTGAATGCCTGATAGAGAGTTGATTGAATGCAGCATTTGTCATATCCAGCTCCGTCTCTTTTCTAGCAAGTTCGCTACGCAATTCCAGAATCAATGCGCTCTCACGGTCTGTTGTCATGGCATTAAGTTGAGCCGATAGTGACGCAATCTGCTGCTTTAACTTTTCATTTTCCACCAGTGAAGTACCTTTTGGTTCACCACCGTTCTCGTATACAACGTCATGGCTTTGTGGCACTGAATTAGAAATATGCGCTGTGTTCTGATGGGCCTCATTTGGAGGAAGAAACGATGACTCTGACTGATAAGACTGCTGTGAGCAATTGAGATCTTTCTCCGTGCTAAGCTCGAAGGACGAGCGATGTGTCATAGTTGATAGGTTACCGAATATATCACTGAGGTTTGCTGACCTTTCCTGAGCCAAAGTTACCTCCTGCTTATGTTCAATGACCGGAGAAAACTGTGATGGGAGAGTGGTTGATTTAGATGACGGTGAGTGAGGATATGATTTCTGCTGACGCTTTTCCAATAATTCCCGGCCTTTCTCCAAAAATCTCTGCTTTTTGTCCGGTGTTGCACGAACAGTGAGCGTTCCTGTCTTCTCCAAAGGTGGTGACACCACTGCTTGTTTTTGGGGAGTCACAGCTCTGTTCAGAATATTGGAGGTTGAAAGTTGGGAGTGAGAGCTTGATTTACCGGATGAAATTCCAGCCTGGTTACCGCTAAATGAATTTTCGTTAATCCTATAAAATGGGCTCTGCTCGACAGGAATATCAGAAAAGTGTGTTGGTATTGCACTAAATTCTAGAGCTGGTAACTGTGGAGATTTTGATGATTGGGAACCTATAATTTGCTGATTCTCTGCGCTAACGCTAGCTGAGGTAGCCAATGGTTCAACTATTCCTGGATAGGCGATGGATGTTGCGGCCACAGCTCCTGTTTTATCAACATAATAGAAAGAAAGAAAAAAAAAAAAAAAAAAAAGTGAGCAAATGAAAGCATTTGAAAGGTTTAACCTCCAAGATTTTAATCCATACGTACCCAGACATATCCCTGAGGCATCTGGATAAGATTCTTCTGCTTTTTGGGTCACATCCAATGTATCAATGTTCTGAGCGATATTCCCAGCAGAGCTCGCCAACTGTATTACTTCTATTTGTGCCCGGTCTTCATCTCTTAAAGATAAAGAAGCTTGAACTACAGAGCTCTCCTCTTTGATCACAGATGAGATTGCCTCTTTCATAGATAAGGTAGCAGTGGGTGTAGTGGCGATAACATCATCCGTAATCGCCATAGCCTGATTTTGATCCGACGTTAGGTTAGATGGTAATACATTAGGACCATCAGGAGCGGATGCTGACAAAGTAGCTGCTCCCGACATTTCATCTATATGAGGACCTGCAACCATGTAATCAGCCTGAGGAGAGGTTTGGACCTTGCCCTTGCTTGCAGAATCGTCCCCCGGTAACTGCTTGGGCTGCAACTGCGAAAGTGATGAGGAAAAAATTGACGTTGCACTACTTTTTACACCTTTAAATAACCGTGACATGCCTCGTTCAAACGCGGCGGATTTTGGCATGTTCAGTAGATCCTCAACAGCACTTAGCGTCGAGTGGTCTAATAATGAAGTCAATCCACGTTCTTTCGGACCAGGACCTGATATAGGAGAAGTTATAGGTGTGTGTGTAGTGCCGTCTTCCGTTAGAGAGACTTGATCAAATGTAGATGTCTCGACGTCAATTTGCTGTGTTCTCCAAGGCAACGAGTCTGACTGTGAAACGGGATGTCCATAGCTGTCATGGTGCTCATGAATTAGAGGCGTCTGCTTTGCGTAAATAAAATAAGGTGAGTGAGCCGATTCAGCATTAAGTTCCAATATAGAATAGCTGCCTTGTGGTCCCATAATACTGCTCTCGTGGGAAAATTGACTGCTAAAAGTATTGGTCAGATCGCGATGAAATGTAGGGCTGCTAGGGCCCGCAAGGTTGTCATCAAATGAGATGGGTTGACTATCAGAAGACGCTATTTGGACTTGAGACTGATGTGTATCTGGTTGCTTAGTCTCATTTTGATTACTTCGATGAATATCTTTAACAGAAACCGGTGGTTCATCGCTTGGCTGCAAGTCATTGCTGGAGCATAGAGGCGAAGTCGCAGGTGGAATGAAAACTGGTTCCTGTGGGTACATCGAGCTTACGTCTGAGGATGATTGATCATTTGATGTCTGATTTTCTGTAAGAAATCCCGTGAAAGAAGACAATTCAGTTATTGCCTTGGGCCGTTCAGACCCCGAATTAAAATGCGGGGAAACATCAGTTGATGGTTGAGCACCAGGTACGTGATGGGACAGTCCTTGTGCTTGCCTCTGATGATTGCGTTGATCTTGAAACTGGTTCCGGTCCACGCTTTGAGGGATTTCGTCCACCATTTTAGGTGTATCATTGGCATCCAGCCGGGATTGGCCGTGCTGAGCCGTTTCCGGCGATAAAGTGGGATGCATGTCGGCATGAATGCTATCCTGCTCACTATTCCTCTGTAGAACGGCATCAAAGTCGGCGTCCAAGGCGTCCGGCAGGCGATAACTCAATGGTAAATTCTATAACCGAAATTGGAAATAATCAAAAATAGAAAAGTTAGGTAAATGAGCTACATAGCTCTCAGTTTGATTTGATCGTAACAGAGACAAACGTCTAAATAAAATTCATCGTGAGTCAAGCAATACTTTGAGACTATCTCACTAAGACCATCTGAAATTGATGATTAACCATTATCCATTGAAAGTATCACTTACCTCTTGGGGTTTTTCTGTTGTTGCCGGTATGTTCCGTGACTCTACTGACTCTACATTTCTTGCATTCGCTCCTTCATTTTGTTCCTTCATTAGTTTATCCGACCAGCTGGCCCCGGAAAACTGATCGGATTCCAATGTTAAGCCCTCTGCAGAGCTTGCTATAGCATTGAGCGCACCATGCAAGTCGATGTCCTGCATGATTTGTGGGTAGCTATATTTTGACTGCTCTGAAAAAATGGATTGGTTTTGATGAAAAATGTGCGTGAAAAACGCGCTGGGGTCCACGGCTGTAGTTCCTGAAAAAAGCTGCGATGCATCCATTTCTGATGATTCGGTAAAAACCGGGATTGGATCAAGATTTGCCGCAACCTTTGGCTGCCCGCTGTGTTTGTCATCTAGTAAAGGCGATTTTATTTGATGTATGTCATCTGTAATGAGGTTCTCCTCTTTAGCGACATCATTTAGAAGTGGAGAGCCATGTTGGCTGAGACTTGCATTTGGTTGTGGTTCGAACCTCTTGTCTCTGGGCGATGCTGTTTTTACAGGAAAGCTCTGAGTTATTGGAGCGGAATGCTTAGTTTCCTGTGATGCCAACATCCGGGACTGAGTTTGTTCATTCTGTGTTATATCTGCCTTCATAAGCTCATTAGGAGGACCTGGAAACAATGAAGAGGTATCAGTAGCACTACTATCTATCATTTGAGCTCGATAGGACTGAATTTGAATTTCAGAAGTCGATATTTCCCGCTCTGTTCTCTGCGGTCTGAACTCTTGTACAATGGATTGTTGGGTATTTAGAACTGAAGGCTGGAACAAATCAAAGGTCGAGGAGCCGCCGAAAAGTACATCTGCAGAAGGTAAAGTATCTTCGATAAGCCCGTCAAGCGGAGGTTGGGCATATTTTGGTTCCTCAGTGATTTTAGTTTCGGGTGGATTTGTTCTCAAAATTGATTGTTGAGGGTTCTTGAATGATGAGATGTCAGCATCAGATTGGCTCTCTTTGGTGTCTTGATGCTGCATGACTATCTGATGGTTTGGCCTTTGGGGCTGTTCTTGTGGAGTCGAAGGCGGTCGTGAAAGTTGATGAGGTTGAAGCGGAGGATGGTGGCTGTTTTGGTGCACCAGAAACTGGGGTCGAGGAGCCACCGCTGGGCGCAAAGGCGGATTCATGGATGCGTTTGGAAGCATGTGGCTAACTTGGCGGTGCCGTTGCTGTTGCTGTTGCTGCTGCTGTTGTGGCTGCGAGGATCCGCCTGTGGGCCTAATTGAAAGTCCAGCTGGAGGTCTGATTGAAGATCCAACTGGGGGCCTAATTGGAGATCCGACTGAGGGTCTGACCGAGGGTCCGGCCGGAGGTCTGACTAGAGATCCGACTGGGGGCTTGACTAGAGATGGGATTGGGGGTCTGGTTAGAGATGCGGTCGGGGGTCTGGTTGGGGAACTGGCTAAAGGCCTGGCCAGGGATCCAACAGATGGCCTGACTGGGGGTCTGAAAGGAGGAGTGCACGCTTTAGTCACGCCACTCCTGATTCCTGATGACAGATCTTGGGAATATTTAGAACCTTGGCCACTGACACTGGTACTTTCACCGAAAAGACTATCTGCAGTAGGTAGTTCATCCCCCTTTATCCCGCTGAATACATTAGTTGTTTGTTGCTCGTTGGGTAAACCCTATTACATCAAGACATTGGTATTTAAAGAAAAAAAACAACTTTTTGAATAAACTTGAGTAAATGAAAACGCGATGACAAATGAGCTTTTATATGATTGATTTGGTCATACAGACATGATGAGCGTAGCGTGCTCGTGAACCGAAGAGGAATATATATAAGACTCGAGGTTATATCAATGGTTGTCCGTTGTTCAAGAGTTTTAAACAAGAGTAAACTAAGCATAGTTGATGATGAGAATGAAAAAGTAGCGAAGGACACCATGTGTCACAATGCCCTGACAAGCTGCTAAGGAGCCACGTCACATTAGCGACCCTTGCATACTTTTTTAAAAACTAAACTGAGTCGCTGAAAACTTTGTTATTCGCAATAATGTTTGGAGCCAGTCATTTCAACACCAATACCAAAAACAACAACAATAACAACAACAACAACGCAGGTAGTGGTAGCAACAGTAGCAATATCAATACCAACATAGGCATTGGCACCTCACTTCCGAATGTTTTGTCAAATTCCACTCCTTTGAATACAATCAATACCCCAGATGGAAGTATTTCATCGTTAACTAACACAGTTCACATTCGGCCATCCACGACAATGATGTCTAACAACAATTTAAACGGACAGATGCAGTCCTTGCAACAAGCACAGGCACAACCAAATCATACTCATGTTCAACAACAGCCCCATCCTCCAGTTCAGGTTCAACATATGCACCTGCATTACTTACATCAACAACAAATATTACTACGGCAGCAACAGGCACAGCAGCAGGCACAACAACAGCAACTGTTATTGCAACAGCGCCAACAACAACAGCAGCAGCAACAACAACAGCAACAACAACAGCAACAACAACAGCAGCAACAACAGCAGCAACAACAGCAGCAACAACAGCAGCAACAGATACAGCAGCAACAGCAAATACATCAGTTACAGCTACAGCTACAGCAGCAACAGCAACAGCACCAAAAACAGCAACTGCAGCAGTACCAGCAGCAGGCACTCTTACATGCAGGACATCAAGGGTTGCAGGCACAGTCTATGCCTGCTTCAACGCCGCTAGGTTTCCATTATCAAGCACCTTTTCAGGGATCTAACATGGGCCCACCAGGACATCTAAACACCATACAGCTACAGCAGCAAAAACAAATGCATTTGCAACATCAACAGGCACGGCTACCGCAACAGATTATCCATCCAAATCAATTGCATCAAGCGCAACATCAACAGCAATTACAGCTTCAGCTTCAGCATCAGCAACAACAACAGCAACAACAACAGCAACGACAACAACAGGCCCTCGAACAGATGCAACAGCAACAGCAACAGCAACAGCAACGTCAAGAAATTAAGTCTCCACAACAACCTCAGCTTCAGCATCAATTGCAACCGGAGCAAATAGCACCAAAGCAAGAATTGCAAAGGCATGAGCATTCGCAGAAAGGGCCACAGGACCTAGAGCACGAAACAAATGAACAGCAGAAGCAGCAACAGTCGAATCAGTCCCGACATCCTCAGAATGAAGAGGGCCGACAACAACAACAACAACAACAACAACAACAGCAGCAGCAGCTTCAACGGATAGTTCAGCAACTCCCTCAACAACAACAAGAAGGACAAGACCAGCCTACGTCATTTATGACCCACCATCAATCACAACCTCAACATCAACTGCAGCAATCGCCGATGCAGTGGCAAGGAGTCCCATTCGGGCATACAAGGTATTTTTAACATCAATAATATGTTTTATATTTCTTAAATTTTTATAAAAACGGGTGATATAAACTGTTTCGGAAACTTACTAATCCCCACTTTTAATGATTAAGCACACTGCTTTCTCATCCTCCCGAAGAAGAACAAGAGCCGAAAGCTACTCTGTTACTACTGCAGTATTGTCAGCAACTGATTCCCCATGATGAGGTACTTTATACCTATGCATTTTTTTTTTTTTTTTTTTTTTTTTGTTTTTTGTTTTTTGTCTATATTATATCGTTTATAATTGGGCTTGGATGCTACTCTAGGAAATTGACTTTTTTTTTTTTTTTTTTTTTTTCAACATATGTTAGAACCAGACGATTCAGTACTGGCAAGCTTTTGTCAACAAGTTCTATTCTGCTGATGGTAGCCAAAAGTATACTCTTTTCAACCCCTCCAGTAAAGAAACCAAAGTGTTTGGTATGTATTCAACCTTAAATCACTACCTTAAATGTAGCATGCATGCGTGAGTATTGTGTGTTTTTATTTGAAATATCGCCACTCACCTAATATTATTTCATAACAGAGCTGCCTGTAGCACTATTAGCAGAGTATTACTCTGTGAATTATCAAGCAGGTGTCCGGGAAATGAGAATTACTTTAGACGGTGCTCTCGAGTCAGTATCAAAAATACCATTAGTTATGAAATGTCCTAGAGTATCCTTAATATCAGACTACGTTAACGGGACAAAGGCAAGGGACATTTACTTTACAATAACATTTTATGTCCAGCGCAATCTTTATATTATTATCGCTGTTGTTATTATGGTTAACCAGCCTCGAGGAAACATTTATAGGTCGTGATGGCTGCCGATCTGAAGGTCGTGTTCACACCAGAATTCAAATTCGAGAGAATGGAAATCACGGTATCAGGCTTCCAGGAATTAGTTCCTCGTCCAAAGGATGAATTACCACCCAGTCCAAGTCTTGATGCAAAAACGGAAATCAAGAAGAAGTCCAATGCTAAACGCTCGCAGACTGCTCTGAGAAACGTACATTACACTATTCCGGACAGCATCGTAAATGAGTTTGGGGTTGCGAGTAAAACCATGGGAAAGCTTGAGGTATGCCTTTGGATTGCAAGCGCAAGTAAAGATATTTTAGAAAGCATTCATGTATTTTTTTTTTTACCAGCAAACTTGTTATCTCAAAGCAACAAAAACTCAATACGCTTCAATAGATACTCACCATGCGATCTAGAATGCCCAAGTTGATGCAACAGTCAGGTATACGGATGACAACAGGTAGAGGGTAGCCTTTTGTTTTGTTTATTTTTTTTGTGAGTTTTTCCGAAACTGGCAACTGACTGTTAATTATTTCTCCAAATAAGACCCTACACAGTTAAAGCTACAAGCAACGCAGGACAGTCAACCCTCCGTGAAATTGGAAGACAACACTTCTCAATCTATATCAAGCCATATGGTCATGGAAGGAGCCTCAAATCAAATACTGAATGTCAATGGTCATGGAAACACATTACAACATGATACATCAATACCCTCAACAGGAATAAAACGCAGGTTATCCATGAGTATTCATCCAGGGGCTATATCCTCCGAGAGTACTCAAGCATTCTCCACCAGCAGCACAGATATACCTTCGATAGTCCAACCAACGCCAGGGATCAATTCTGCAGGCTCAACAGCCCATATCCAGCATGTGGGTCCGGTTACCGAATTAGGACTATCTGCATCGCCAGCGCCACTAGCATCTCCCTCTATGATTTCACCCGCAATCCCTATACAAAACATTAACAATACCGCAGCTATAGTAGCGCCTTCAAATACCAAGGGCAATAAGCGGGCACGTAATGCTTCTTTGGCCACAGCATCAAGTAGCAACAATTCTGCTAAAGGATCAACCCCAACTGTATCATCCACAGGAGGTGGAGGGCGGAGCCGAAAGAGTAATGGGAAAAAAGATGGGAATCCCAAGCGAAAAGGAAGCGTGGTGGATGAAACCGTGAATGGGTCATCCACAACAGTCTCGACAGTTCCTACGATGGCAAGTCCTGCTGTAAATCCTGGCAGCCCCATGCCCATTACAGCGATGCCAAGAGCACCTATCACTATGGAGTCACCTGCATCAATGTCTTCACCCATACCAACGCCCTTAACAACGGGTATTGTGCAGGCGGCAGCCGAAAGGGAATCAGGTGGATTAACTGTGTCGGGATCGAACGCGACTACGTCTACACCTGCTCACGAAAGCAGCAATCATACGTCAGCGAACTTTTATTCCAATTTTATATCCAACCAGGCGCTATTGTCATCTAATGATGTCTCTGGGGGCCTTAGTATGGACTCCATTCTCCAAATACCCCCCGATAACTATGGTCAAGCAGGCGAAAGTACGACTGGCAGCACCCTAGGTGAAAACGATAACTGGTCTAGCTCATTAGATTTTTTGACTGATCCCAAGGCTCTAGACATTGAGTTTATGTTTGAGACTCCATATGAGAGTCAGGAAATAGACTCGGCGATGGGATCTGTCTCATCAACAGCTCAAGAGAGTCTTACAACGTCAGTGAATCCATCCCTACTCTCTTCTGTCGGGATGAGTAGCGCTACATTGTGATAATTTTACAACACAAAAAGAAAAAGGAAAGGAAAGGAAAGGAAATGGAAAAGGAAAGAAAACTTTATGTGATGATTATTTTATCAATTTACTCATCGTAACCACATGTACCCAATAAATGCATAATGATCCTGCAAAACCACCATTCTCTTATGCCTGAATTTCTTCAATCACATCCTTGTTCAAGTGGAAGGCTAAAAACCACAAATTTTTTGTTGTTGTTGAACCTATTGAGAGTTTCTTTTATCAATGATTTTCTTCCAGGTATGCGGACTGAATCATTAGGGTATATATCATTCACTTTACAAGCATTTTCCTTGTTACATGTATTATATGCATGTATATATAAATGTACACTAAAAGAGGCCTGTTAAAAATAATAACTTTTAGTCGATTATTTGAAAATGCAGTAAAATATGAATAACTGATAGATATAACGAGGATCATTAAAGTATCGCTAATCGAAGTTTCTCCAGTTATGATTTCTTTTTATAGGACATTCAACGGTCTCACTCGTATATCCACAGCAGTTTAATATGGACCTCTCCTTCATTCATTTACTCCCCCTCCTTTGGAATTATTAACCAAGACGTCATATTTCCTCCTTTTTTATATCTCCTTCATGACTGTAATTAAGGAGGACATGAAAAAAAGGGTCGAAAATTACAAACATGTCATTTGACGAAATTAGATAGTTTAGAGAACCTTAAAGGCTGTGGGGGGAGGTCAAGAAGTCATGTGGATGGAATGTATTAATAAGCTAGTGGAGAGCCAGGTCCTGAACAAGCACAAGCAATAATGATAAGCTTCAAATAATCAACCACAACATCAAAATAGAGAAGAAAAATCAGAATAATGTTTGACTAATCTAAAATATTGTTTATTGCCCCATATTCCTATGACAGAGGTGAGGAGAGAGAGAGGATTAAAAGAAAAAAAAATGCAAATATATCAGAAAAAATAAAAAATTCAAGTATTATTGCTGTTCATCCTCCTCCTCCTTATCAGCACCACATCCACGTTTGTCATGACGCTTCAGTTTGTCTAGCCTTCCAAACCGTTCTCCACATTGATTGCAGCCATAGCGTCCAACTTCCTCATGAACGTTACGAACGTGACGAACATAGTCTGTACGTCTCTTAAAGGGACGTCCGCAAATACTGCACAAGAATGCTGGGACTTTAAGATGGCAACGAGAGTGAGACGCAAGTTCACCTTTTGTGGGGAAAGCCTTCTCACACTCAGGGCATTGGAACCGTCTGGGTGGAGGCGTCACACCTGTCAAACCATCTGCTGTCCTTGCTGTGCGAGATTCATATGGTGCTTTGCGTGTACGGACATTGCCTGACCGGTTAGGACGAGATAGGGGCTGAGCCTGCAATGCAAAGTGATCTCCATATAAAGACATGGCTCCTGTCTGATAGCGGTTGTCGGTAGGGGCTGAGAATCCATAGTGTGGTGTTGTTGGTGGTGTTGGTGTGAATGAGGCTCCAGCCTCTGGGGTAATATATGCAGAAGTATATGGACCATTTGCAATTGGGCTATGAGAACCAACGCTGTAGGGCGAAGGCATTTGATGTTGAGCATGATAGAAAGTTGAAGGCGGAGAATCTGGTGTAGGATACTGATGATCGACCAGTGCGTTCATGCTACGTTGAGGGAAAGGAGCGAGAGCGGCGGGAGATCCGGACGGGTCAGGGCTCTGGCTACTATAATGATGACCCTGAGGAGAATGGCTGTGTGTGGCGTCTGTAGAGAATACGGACTGCTCCAGTGGCCGCGCATTTCCAGTGTGCTTAAACGAATATGCCTGAGCAGGGTACTGAGAGATGTTGTAGGAGTAGGGCATCACGTCCTCGAAAATCAAATTGGGTTGGCTCATAGTCGAAAACGAAGTCATCGGGGACATGGACGACGACATGGTAGCCAAGGTTGGGGCAATACCAGAAGGAACTGGCGAGCCATCAGGGGTCATTGGCGACAAGGAAGCAACAGAGGTCACTGGGAAAGTGGAAACAGGCAGAGATCCAGATGTTTGAAAAGACTGCAGAGTGGGCGAATTATCTTGGCAAGGGTAGCCTTGGTATTGGTCAGCTCCACTCTGTTGCTGTTGTTCAGAAGCGTTCAGAATCCTGTTAAGTCTCATTCTATCGCGAGGCTGCTTGGCGCCCGGTCCAGCCGAGGCGAGGTCCTTGTCATCCTCGACGTAGAAATCTCTTGGGTCTGATCCTAGCTTGGGGATCATGAACATCTCCTCTGCATAGGCCCCACCACTGCAAGTCCGTTGATGAAAGCTTTGACGTGAGGTCGGGGCACCAAAATCCATTTCACGCCCGATAGGCGCAGGTGTAAAGTAGGTTGTACCGAAGGACATTGTGTGGCTATTCATTCAATTATTGGACACAAGAAATAAGGTCAATTACAGAGGTCTCGGATGGAATGTCAATCGAATTACGCTGATTGAGACACAGCGTATCAGAATTGTTCCTTTCTTTCCATTTAATTTTATATCTGCCCAAAAAAAGAAATGACGAATGAAAATAAAGGAAATAAAAAAAGGGGGGAACGAAGGGGAAAAAAATAAAGTAACGCTAACAAACTAGTTTACTGCGAAACACCAGGCACAAAACAACACGGAGCCAGATATTAACAAGAAAGGGAAATAAAACAATAATAATAAAAAAAAGGTTAAACATGCTTGAATGGTTAGTCTAAGCGACCGATGTTCTTACCGATGGTTTAAATATAGACAGAGAATGAAAGAAAAATAAAGTGTGCACTATAAGAACGAATTTTCTTTTTTTTTTTTTTTTTTTTTTTTTTAGAAAAAAACAAAACCAGGGGTGGTAAAAGATATGTAGTGTGAAGAGTGTATAAGGGATTATGGTCGAAAAGATGAGTGAGGAAGAGGAAAGAATCAAATATGGGGAAATGAGCGTTAAACGTTGAAGATACGTAAGTTGGAAGGGTAGTGAGTGAACACTATAGAAGTTGCAGTTGATGCAGGGTTGGGGTTCGTTAAAAGAGAAATAAGAGGTGTGTAAGAAAAGACTAGTTCTCTTGGCAGACGTTTAAAATGTATCAAAGAGTGTGTTTATGAATGACTATTTTGAATATTTTGAGGAGGGTGGAAAGACTAAGGGTTCATGAAGGCGGTGGAGAGGAAAGAGGGAAGGATTGCCTGAGGCGTTAGTAGGACAAGGATAGGGATGGGGATGATTTTAAAATGCACAGAGAAAAAAAAAAAAAAAAAAAAAAAAAGAAAAGAGAAAAAAGAAAAAGATTGGCAAGACCAAGTTTTGAAGAAAAAAAAGTTGACACCAATGATACACAAACACAGACAAAAATATTATTTTGGCGTCTTTTTTTTTCTCCTTGTCTGCGCCTTGTTACTTGGAAATGTAAAATAAGACATAAGCAAAAAAAAAAAAAAAAAAAAAAAAAAAAAAAAAACGGAGGAAGAACGAATGCTATATCTGAAATCAAAGTACACATCCATGTAATAATTTTTTGCATACACTGTTGTGACAAAGACATGTAAGCAAGCAGGCAGCTGTGTGCTTGTTGTATCTAGTCCACTAATGGATGCATGGATCGTTGAATATCTAAATGTAATAGTCGATGTATTGGATATAACCATTACTGCACTCCGTTTGTCTTTCTTCCCCCTTTTTCCTTTCCTCCACTGGCGCCTTTTTGGCTACAGTTGGGTCCAGCCCAGACAATCACAAACAACAAAACAAATCCAAAAAACAATAAACAAGCAGATGCCTTGTTTTTTTTACAACTTTTATATACAGTATGAATTATTTTCAATGCTGATATATATATATATATATATATATATAATATATATATATTTGTATATAGATGTTTTTATTTATCGTATTATCCAGGTTCCTCATTCATTGAGCACTTGAAAAGAAAGCTTTTTGGTTTATGGTCTATAATAGCGGATGGAGGACGATGGGTCTAATGCATGTATGTAATATGGCAGGAACACAATCATTCATCGAGAAGCTGCAATGTTCCAATCAGATGATGATTGGCTCAGGCATGACCCCTCCCCTTGTTTTCTTGCTTTTTTGCATGCAACATTGTGAATAGACATCGGTCTTTCTGTCTGACGCAACCATCTCTATTGAATAAATTGATTGTATTACATTTTATATTATATAAATTTTTTTTTTTTTTTTTTTTTTTTTTTTTGCTGCATGTGTGAATTTATAATATAAACATGCACATTATATCTTCACAACAACAGGAGGCATGGCAAGAAAATTCATCCATAATAAAAACAGCAGCAGATGGTGGTGCAATCAACATCAAAAAAAAAAAAAAAAATACAAACACAGAACCTTGCCCATGGGTTAAACTCGAGACTTTCCACTTAATACACCCCTTGCATTTTCTCGATTATTGGTTTGTAAGTTTCTAGGTGGTATTATATATACTTCTGCACATCTGGGGTGCCAATAAGGGTGTCGCATACAAATAATTCAATACGAAGCGTGCGCTCATTAAAATATATGTCTCCAATTACTTCCGAATACCGGCAACCATAAACCATATCGACCATCTCAGCTGCGGCAATTAAGTTTCAATGGCTCAATTGTTTAAACCACTAAGGTGTATATGAATAGAAATATAAAATCCGTATTCACCCCCAAGGCGCATTCACTTCGGATATGTTGTATTTAGTATGAATATGCAATCATACAGAACGTTGGAAAGCTACAAGCTTTTTTTTTTTTTTTTTTTTTTTTTCCTCCTTGTCACTGTTATTATTGTTTAAGGGAACTGAAGACGTAAAGAGGAACCATAAAATTAAACACATAAGACAAAAGCTAAGTGATATAAAAATTTAATAATTCAAAAGCTGGGCAAGGTTCTTCAGCTGAAATAAATAATCCCAGCGTCCGCCGGTCCACGAAGACCAACCCCTTCCGAAACATATTGAATGTGAATATGTGGTGTACACTTGGATTTGGTGGCTGTGAAGCGAGCTTACATGAGGTGATGAACAAGCACATCATTTTGTGAGCGCTCATCTCAATAGTTAATTGCACCTCGACATCCTATTCGCTATGATACTTCTTAAGAAGTTCAGGGCCACATTTTGAATATCGCCTTGGACGTTGAACAAATGGAGTAAAGAAGCTCTATCACCGAATGATTGATGCAGATGAACCGTTGGGAAGAAAAAAGCCAGAGGACTTGATAAAAGTAGCAAGGACGCAAGGGCCTTGCCGCGTTATCGGGAAGAGAGCGCGGGAGGATGCTTCCCAACAAGGAGAACAGATCGTGGCCCACACCACACACAATGCGTAGAACTCTGTGTTCCGTTCTCCCTCCCTCTTCCCTCCCTTCTTGTTTTGCTTACATATTCTTGTAATCTACCTGTGATCTTGCTTCTAATTCATCAAGCAACGCTGCATCCTTTGCATTCCAACACGAAAGATCTCTAATTCTTCGAACCATCAGCGAGAATAATAACACAAGAGGTAGTAGACCATGATTCCTCTTGATTCGACTTTTATTCAATTTGATATTAGGTCATAATATTAAGTAGGCATCAGGCACGAGGGATAGCCACTAACTTTTCAAAGCTGCTGTTTAAAAAGCTGAAGCAACTGTCCACATATACCATCTGGGCGTTTGTGGAAAGTACGTTTCGTCATGGAACACGTAGATCGTGGTTCTGTAATAGACGTCATGCTTTTGAGTGAAAACAGAAATGGTGTTGGGATTCCAAACACCGTATCGGACACGCCTTCGGCTACAGTTGTTATTAAGCGAGGACGCGGTCGGCCAAGGAAATTCCCTCCGATTATTTCTGACTCTTCCTCGCATCTAATTCATACAACGCTTTCATATAAATCTTCCCCAAAACCGCGTGTTGATCACGACACGTGTGGACGAGAGGCAACAGAGACAAAATGTGAATCATGTCTAAATATAACAACACAGCTTTTCAAGTTTGGGAAACTTCAGCTGTGCAAGGACTGCGAAACTCTTATGCGCTCAGTTGCTGGTAATAGTCGCCAACGCTCTAGGCAGGCCAATGTGAATCCATCATTAAATACTACGACATGCGTTGAAGCAAGCCCATTTCTAGAGATAAAGACGAAACTGGGTCAAAATGCTGACCGCCTTCAAGAAAAAAGTATGGGTACGTCCTCATAGACTGAAAGATGCGCATTATGGAACCTCTACTTCCACAAGGTCGGTATTAAAATCCAAAGTCCTTTAGACTTAGGACAATCCGAGCGGGCACAGGACACTTTTGCATCCAATAGACCTGCTGGACCGACCCAAACTAAAGGAAATGCTCTGAAACAAGGACCAGTTGAGGACGCCATAAAGAACGTCGCGGCGACTCCTATTGAGTTTACTGAACCACTTCCAAAGAAGAGGGGCCGAAAACCGACGCGCCTTCATTCCAAGATAGCTAGCAGCTCGGTTGCACTTACAGCTTTGGGTAAGAATTTAAAAACAAACAAAAAAAAAAAAAAAAAAAAAAAAAAAAGTACACTGCGAAATTATAATCGATTTTGATAGCTTATAGGGACGCTGCCGCTGATCAGGTACTTTATATAATCATCTCGCTACTAGAAGGCGATTTCAATCCAAGTGTGTTATCAAAGGCGGCGCTTCCTCAATTCTATTCATCATTTCCGTCTTCCTTGAAGAGAAGCGAACAAGCACGAAACTCTAAAAGCCAAGCGCTATACGATCGAAATAAGAATGATCGACCAACAAACTCTTTTTCCAACTCGACTAAAGATGACAATATGACATCCTGTGGCTCAATTACGGAAGCTCTATCCAATTTTCACACCACGGGAGCATTTCTCACAAGAACTGCCTCAAAGCTCCTAGGTGGCCAAGCGGTCAAAAGTGTAGATTTTAACATCCATGGATACGCCCAGGGTAGGGCTGTCAAAGTATTAAACATCGATGGGACATGGTACTTCGGCTCCATGGTTAACCTGGAAAACGGTCGAATCAAAATTCATTTCGATGGATGGGGATCAGAATGGGATGAGTGGATTGCCTCTGACAGCAGGCGACTTAAGGTGTTGACAGAAGAGGAAACCAAGCAAAGAGAAACCATGTTATATGAGCTAGAAAAAGAAAGTACTATGGGTGAATTAAGCAATCATTCCCCAGCGCTTCATCCGCCTTCAAAAGAGGCTTCCTCAAATGCTAATGTTCGCTCAACTGTTGGAATGGGTCCGACATTCGTCACAAAAAAGTATGGAAAAAAGGTATTGCAGCCCGGCAGTCGTAAGACTCTTTCAACTAAGGATGATGCCCTATTGAGCCTTTTCACTGACCCAGCTGGCCAGATATCGTCAGTCGAACCAGCCTTGGATAGATCAAGAGTATCCGTCAAAGCTAAACAATCAAAAAGATTCTGCGATCCATTGACAAAGACAGCTTCATCAATGCCTACGTGCTATCCTGTCCAAAAGAACAAAAATGAGTTCAATATTAGCGCTCCTATCCCAGCCTCTCTAGTGCCTTTGACCAGACAAGATGGCACGTCTAATCGAGAAATGTTAATGCCGCCAGCTACTCAAAGAAAAGTCCAATCGCAGGACAATATGACTACATGGTATGAATCTTTTTTTTTTTTTACAAATCATTGCTATCTTCGTATAATGGAGACCCTAAAATCAACGTTGGATTATGAATGTTAGTGTCGAGAAACGAAAATCCTCAGCGGCACAGCGCAAGTTTAAATTGTCGTTAGATCAATCAGCAGTACAGAGAGAAGGGTTCACAAACCTAGAAGATCAGTTTGCAACATTGTCAGTCCAGTCCTCTGTTTTCGAGTTCCCCACCCTAACTTCAGACATGGGGTTATCAGAGCATGATCAGACAACAATGAACTATGGGGATGCAAATATTACTACTAGTAGCCTAAGTAGCATTTCATTCAGCAGCGATGAACTTTCAGATCCGTCGTCCACACCACTATCAATGGGAAGCCCAAAAGAAGTGGATAGTGCCCATTACAAGAGCCTAGATATTGGAAGTCTTGAGCAAGAGGACAACAACGAACACTGCAAGGCCCTGACGTGCCCGTCACCCAAAACACTTGGAAATCCTATACATTTAGGTCTGCTACCAATGGAAGTAACAGAATTCGTTTATCAGGACGAGGAGCAGGCAATCTTAAGCGTCATTCATCGAGTCTTAGACACAGGACTGGTCATCAATCGGGTCGTAGAGTACTCCCCAGAGAGCTTTGATCTTGCAGAGCACCGCAAACGAAGAAAAAAAAAAAAAAAAACACCGTCACCACTTAAAGAAGACGATCAAGCAAAAAAAGATGGCAAAGAGTGCAGCAGTAGTAGCAACGAGGATGATGGAAACAGCACTTGTAATGATGACAATGAGCCTCTGCAAAGAACATTTAAAAGGACGAGGGATCGTTTTGCAAACATATTGGAAGCTCGACTAGGCACAAGGCTCGATCATCCTATCGAATCCGTTGTTAAGAAAGACGCACAGGAATTGCAGGAAGCACGGCGGCTAGCAATGCGGAATATGTCTAGTACTCCCTTGTTCCTTTTTGAGCGCCAGATCGTCTACAACGAAGCAGATAGGAGTAATGCATTGAACAATAAGTATGAGGTCCGCAAGAAGAAATTGGAGAGAGCATTGTCAATGCGCAAGTTTGCAAAGCAACGGCGATTTGTTCCTCTCTCGACAAGAATCCTTGGGGTCTCAAACGCTTCGAATGTTCTCGGAATCACTTTCAATGAAGCAGGTCATATTGAAACAGCGACCACGGGCAAAAATCATGGCGCTGTAAAAGCTCAACAAAAAGCCACAAAGAAGAGGAAAGGCTCTCGTTTTCCAAAAGTTATTAGCGATCCCAACCTAAGTGACGATGAAAATTCGACTGACAAACGAAAGATATTTCAAACATTAAGAAGTCTTACCCGCACGAAGAAGCGTAAAAGGCTTTTGGCCGAAGACCACATTTCTTTCTTAAGGCGCAAAATGGTACCAGGGACAAGGATCAGAGCTCGTGATAGACAGATGGACTGGTTAACTGGAATCATTCGCGATGTCAGAAATAGTCGAGTTCTTGTCCATTATGAGGGTTATCAAGAATTTTTCAATGAGTGGATCGACATCAACAGCGAAAGGCTGCGTTACGATCCCTCTCTAGAGCAGAATCAGCCAGCACAAACAGACCAAGGCACTATTGAACCTACTAAATTGAACACCAAATTAAACAAGGTTAAGGAAAGCCCGGGTTGCTTGATCTCTTCAAACCAAAAAGAAGAGGGCATGAGCGGACAGCATTCTGCTTCCTCAGATCCTAAGGGTGAGGCCACAATGAGTTCCCTATCGTCGGAGCCCAGCGTAATCCAGGTCCATTGCGTTCAATGTCAAGTGAAAATCAGCCAATTTCGGTGTGTTCATAAAATATACTTTATAAACAGCACTATACCTGTTTTTATCTCTAACCTCCTAAAATTCACTATTCCTATAGCATTTATTGTATGTATTGCGAAGTAGAAGCCAAGATGCCCGATACTACGCGAAAGCCCTTCAACCTCTGCCTATGGTGTTTTTCCAACGCATTCCCAGAAACTCACGACCATCCTCGATCGTCATTTGCCACTAAAGTTATTGTGGGGCCACGTGGCGTGCATCCTGTTAAGGGCGGCATCATTACTCGTTTTGAGCAAGACTTTTTGGATTTGGAATTCAATGAAGCCGATCTCCCCAATCCCTTGGCAGCGTCAGCCACGCATACCGGAGGCTCGATAGGTTTGGAAAGCAATCAGAGCCTTGTCTATATTGATCAGTGGAGAGGACGCAAAGTGTGTGCATTCTGTAATGACGATGGGGTATCCAGAAGCCACTTTATTGGACCATATCCATTTTTATTAGCATCCACGAATCGGTATGGAATTACAAAGAAGAAGCGCTTTTGGGCCCATGATATCTGCGCCCGCCACTCACCTGAGGTTATTCAAGGAAAGGATGGTTCTTGGTATAATGTTTCGGTAGCAATGCGGCGCGGTCGAACAGTGGTATGTAGTACTAAGGTGGTTTCTATACAAAAAAACAAGTGGTAGTTCAGTGCTTCCTTTAAGCGAATGCTTACTTATTTATTTTACCCTCCTTTGTAGAGATGTTCCGCCTGCAGGGAGAAGGGTGCGACCATTGGATGTTTTGATCCTAAATGTGGCAAAAGCTTTCATGTCCCTTGCACAGGCAAGCCTATGTCCCATTTTGAAGATGGCGTGATATTTTGGTGTTCACAACATGAGAAGGATATTCTGCGGCGAGGTATGATGCTTTAGTGCGTTTTCAGTCTTTTTTATTGTATATTTCCAATATTAATTTATTAAGCGACATGTTCTCTGACCTACATTATTATACAGACGCTTATGATGAGACATTCAGCTGCGATAAATGCGCAAAAATCCTTGGAGTCAATCCTTGGAAAACATGCGTTAAATGTAGTGACGATTACTTTCAGACCTATGATTTGTGCCAGGAGGTATGATACCTGACAAATTGCTGAGCACTATCTGCTCTTTGATGGCATGCTATATTGACTTTTATACTCTCTTTTTTTTTTTTTTTTTTTTTTTTTTTTTTTTTTTTTGTTTTTTCATTAAAAAAAAAAAGTGTTTCTCTGCTGATAATGTTTGCCATGAACATCCTAAAGAGGATTTTCGAACCACATGTAAGTATCCCAATTCAAATAAAAGAGTTTTTCTTCCGTACATAAGTACTAAGAGCTATGCTTCTGTAACTATCTGCTAGCCCTCGAGATCATGTATAACGAGCAGGTTGAAAGAGAGTCCGCGCAAGTCTTGGAGCAGGATGAAATGACAGCAACCAAAAAGAAGACAACAAGCTATAAACCTAAAATGAAAAGTATTTCTCGAATGGTCTGTTCATATTGCTGGTCTCCCACTTCCAACAAATGGAGAAAAGGTTAGTGAAGATCGTATTCGGAAATTTTGTTGTTTTATTGATGGTTACTGCTTAATCCATACAATCTCTTTTTCTCTCTTTCTCTCTAGGGTATAATGGCGTGCTAATGTGTGAGGATTGTTTCCTGGCCGGGCCTTTGAATGAGGTGCCAATGCAACCTCCGCTCTGTATCGAAGGTAGCTCCGGGATTCCTACATCTACGCTATCGATCAGCGTGTCTTCAGCATCGGAGACTAGCCATCGTGGCGTTGGAACGTACGCGACATCTGCAGAAGACTATTCCCATAGTCCTTATTTGACCCGTACGGCTGTATCAGCGGAACGCTTCGACCATTCATCTTCGCAGGCCGTATATCTTGACTCCTATGGACCAGCCGAAAATCAACTGTATTCCCTCCCAATTGATACAACCTATTATGACATCCCAGGCCGTGCGCCTCGATGTAGGATATCATAAACACCACTGAATGATGCATGTTCAGCGTTAATCACATGCAGAATCAGTCATTGTTTTAACACTGAGATCTTGATAATAGGGGCTACGCATTCTGGTACCGACTACCATGGGACTTGGCTTCCTCAAACTGTGCGAAGGTACCTTTTCTCTTCTTTTCTTTTATCTCAGCCCTTTAGCCTTACAGTTGCTTTTAAATGACACTTTGCCCTACTGAATTCTAGAGCGGTAACCAAGTACACAAGACCAAATGAGAAGATCCTTTCCAATTTCCTTGGCCGTGGGACAGACGCCATCGAATGTTTCCTCTTAGGACGATGGTAAGTCGTATGCTTAGCAATGATTCGCATATAGAGATGTGTAAATAATGGATGGCTCCCCACTATATTCTATATTTACAAGCTCAATACGAATACCTAATTAGCTGCACAGCTGTTGATATTAATCCAGTACGATATCCTCTCCGATGACGGATGCTTGCCTCAGCGAAATACCTTTATGTCATGAATTCAAGCTTATATATATATAAATATATATATATTTTTTTTTTTTTTTTTTTTTTTTTTTTTTTTGGGGGGGGGTTGGTTTATTAAAATTGTTATGCCTCTGCAGGCAGCAATCACGCTTTCAATTAGGAACTGCTCTTTTGCTATCCCCCCAAACGGGACTTTCAGAGCTGAGCATCGCCCGACTATCTTACAAGGAGACTCACGAAAACTCGTTGGACCACTTTTTGAAAACGAAAGCTTTGATCATGTCCTTTCTCATCCCCCGTATAAGGATTGTGTTGCATACTCTACGCACATTGATGGTAAGGCCCCCCCCCCCAAAAAAAAAAAAAAAAAAAAAAAAAAAAATCTGTTGACAATCACTCATGAGCGATTTTTTTTTTCTGAAGGCGACCTTTCTCGTTACGGAAACGCATTGGAATTTCAGCGTGAGATGACTTCAGTTATTCGAGAAACCTATCGGCTTTTGAAAATGGGTCGTCGTTGTACCCTAGGCATAGGAGACAATCGTGAACACTGTTTCTATATACCTGTCAGCTTCCAATTGATCCGTGAATACATCAATGAAGGCTTCGAGCTCGAGGAGCTGATTGTGAAACGCCAGCGATACTGTGCCATGTTCGGTTTAGGTACCTATCTCTGTGTTCAATTCGACTTTCTGTGTTTTACGCATGAGTTTATAGCCACATTACGAAAGGTGCCAAAGGAAGAGGTTGACACTATGATCTTGGAACCAGGTAAAAAAAAAGGCCCCATTGATACAAAAAAGTAAAAAATAAAAAAATAAAATAGTGGGTGCAAACGCTGATGCGACAAACAATATCTTTAGACTATACGTTACTCGGGAACGTCAATATTAAAAGCATCGACAGGGCCATCCCTAGTTGCCCAATAGAGCGTAAGAGCGTAGTGATGGGCTCTGTATGGACTTTTAAACCGACAAAGGAGTTCGACTTCCCAACGTTATGTGTCTCTAGAATGGTAAGCAAAATCTTAATATTCATGTAAAATTGGTGAATTGGTGTTCATTAAACATAAGTATATTGGACTTAAGCATTTCGATTACGTGGGATTGAAATCCGATGGCGTTTGGGGAAAATAGGTGGAGCGATTTGGGAAGAACGATGCAAATTGGAAAGAATTCAAGCTAGAGTTCAAGATGAATAATGCTGAGGAGACCCCGATCGAACTGTGGACAGAACAAACAGTGGGTAGGTCCCCTTTGTATGTCTATTCTTTATACAAAAATGGAAGTATTCCTATAGTCACACATTGATATGTTGAATGCCTATCGCCTCTGATGATAGAGCATCTTCCACCCAAGGAGGAGGAAATGGTATCTTATGAGCGAGATCGGCTCAACCAAATTCAAGAAAACAACAGAATGCTACTCGCCTTGGTAAGTGGTTACCAATGATCCTTGGTGCTTCTTTTATTATTATTGTAACACAAGTTCAAATCTTCTTTTTTTGATCTTGGCATCAAACGGAGTAGGGCTTGATTACAGAATTGAGTGAGACTTCGGACGATGTGGGCCATCAAATTAAGATTGCAAAGGACGCACCCTGTTATCCACCACCGGCGGAGACTGCATTGCATCTTATTGCCCATATACCAGGACCTAGTCTCAAGTCGCATGAGGTTTCAACATATCGTACTACCATCATGCACTTGGCAATGAATGCTCTAGCCAATTTGCCTATTAGTGGGGTGTTTATTGTAGGAACACAGGATATCAGGACCGAAAAGGGAAAATTAATTCCCCTTGGCATGCTAATATTGGAGGATATCATTCGGGTCGTAGGGGAGGACTGTTTGAAGCTGAAGGAACTTGGTATGTTAATAGATCCAGCTGATCTTCACTGCCATTGTGGTTACAAACACATTATTAGATCGCTGACTACTTTATTGTTCTCGCCTGCTATTCTGCTCAATCTTCAGTTGAAGCGGTACCAGATGGATATCAAAAAGATCGCCGTAAAATCACATGTTTGGATGATTATAAAGAAGAGGTTTGTACTCCAGACGACGAAATACCTTCCGAGCATCTTCCAATTGTACATGTAAGTTGTTATTGTTTATGATATATCCTAAACTTTCTATCACTTGTAGCTACCTATGGGCTCTCTCTGATATCTCACACTTCCCTTTCTATATTAGGCATGTTACCTTGTTTTCACCAAGGTCAAGCATAAAGTGATCTTGGAATAGGTGGGCATCATCAACGACATGTAATAAAAAAATATAAGTAGCATCTCGTCTTAAAATTCTGTTGCTGAAGGTAGACTATTGGTATCGTTGGCCTGTATGGCGTTCAAATTCCTGTAACAACTCTGTCCTTTGAAACAATGGCGGACGGCCCCTTGCTCTGGACATCACCCTATAGCCTCGTTCAATCCAGTCATCATCTTCGTCAACTTGGTCCGCATCAGGAGATATATTCTCCTTTAGAGAACCCTCCTCATCTCCATCACCATCAGTTCGTTTGTGGGTATTCACTGGATCAAATGTATGATTTCCAATTCTTCGCCTGTCATGCGACAAAGGGCCTCTACGTGCAACTGCTAGCGTTGCTGAAAATGATAATGTGCCACATATAGAATCGTGCTTTGATGGGAGTCGATGAAAATGCACGTCATCAGGACCTCCTCGGCCACGAGCTGCAAGTGTGGCCGCAGCAGGAGCAGCAGAGGATGTGGATGAGTAAGTCGAGGCGAAAGGGAGGAGGCCTACACGTCCAAAGCTCTTTCTACTCTTGTCCTTGTTTTTGTCCTTGCTCTTACCCTTGCTCTTGTCTTTACAAGCAACACGAGTACTATTTTCGCTAGAAGAATTGGCTGAAGAGCCCTTTATCCTTTTCCAGGTTGATGATTTCTGATTGCTCGAGCTTTCAATTTGCCCTGGGCTCCCCTGTGTGTTCTGCTCGTCTTGAAGATAAGCAATAATGGATCTAGACTTTGATTTGTTACGAGGTGGCCACGACAATACGGGTTTCTTGGGTTGAAATGGGGTTAACGACTTGTCCGTATTTTTCTCCATTTTGTTATTCTGGATAATCACACAATCAGAAGTTCTCTCTGTGCCCGGGAGGCTATCATCCGCCTTTTCTTTGCCCTTTCTTCCTTTCTGTGTCATATCTGGATGATTGCCGTTTGTTTCTTCATTCTCCTTTAAGCAATCAGGAGTCTTTGGTTTGCTTGATCGTTTTCCTAAAGAAAGAACTTTGGATGATCGCATCTTAGACAGAGGGCCAGAAGGTATGGGATTTGGTTCCGCAACGGCAGGTGTGCATGGCAATGCAAAGAACTTGCCTGCATCTTTACGATGCTGGGATTCAGCGGCAATGCACTGCTCGAGGAAAGCGTCCGTGATATCAAATTCTACTCCAACTTCAAATTCACCTCGACTACTGTAACCCCCACCACTCATACCATTTGAATAGCCATTAGAATGTGTGCCATTTAAACTCTTTCGGCTGGATTTTGAGACGATAGAATGAATAACAACGGAGGTTGGTCGTGAATTCACAGGCTCGTTTGCGAGAGCTGAATTCATGGTCTCAGGGCAGGGTCTCAAATGCCCTCCCTCTTCAAGACGCTCCTGAGTTGGATATCGTCGAAAGGAAGGCCTTGATAGTAAGCGATGGCTTTTGCTTCGTCCTACACTGGCACGAGGAGCATCCTCACGATCCTGTCCTCGGTCATCATCACCTTCTTGCTCCCCTTGGCTTAGGTCGCTATCGCTCAGGCCTGCAAAGATATCGGGCTCATCTCCCCAAGCCTCATCTAGTGAGCGTTGAGAATAATTTGTTTGTTTCTGTCGAAGTCTACGAGAAATATACTCTGGATTAACAACCCAACACATCTTTGTAGGATCAAAGATCATTTTCCCCGCAACCTGTGTTCGTTGTTTCGTGTACTGGCTCATATTCGAAATCAAAGCAGGCCGATTGACGCCTAGAAGAGACGGGGCTGGTAAATAGGAATGGGATGATGGTGAAACAGGAGCAATAGCATCATGAGGGGTTGATGTATTTTGATCATCCTCAAAATCGTCCAAAATATCATCATTGCCATCCCACATCTTGTCTTTGGGGTTATAGATCATTCCAGAGACCTTGCGCACTCGGGATTGAGACAAATCTCGGATCAAGGTTGGACCATTCGACATTTTACGCCTCTTCCGTTGACTTTTTCCCTTTTCTTCTTTGTCCTATGTAGATGAAACGTATTGAATAGGTACTACTTAGCTTTTTTTTTCTTATATCATGATGCCTTCCAATAATGCTCCAAAATGTTTTTCATTATTTTTCTTTTCCTGTCTAAGCTATAAGCTGTACCTTGAGTTGGTCCGCTCCAGTATTCTGCCCAAAAATATCAAATAGGGATCTGCGAATCGATTTAGATTTACGAATTTTGGATAATGAATTTGAGTCAGGTTGCTCGTTTGTCTTTGCTGCGAGATGTGAGAGTCATATAATAATAGTAATAAAAAAGAAAGACAATGAAAGAAGAATGATGTCAATATAAACATTAAATGCCAGTATTTGCTGATAAGAAAAAAAAAAAAAAAAAAAAAAAAGTGGTTACCTTCGGTCTTATTAACATCCTTAAAATTGGCAATTGATTGAGGCTTTCGCAACCATGCTGCTACTCTGTCTGTCGACTGCCTTCGAGCTTGTGCTGCAAGCACTGTTACTCGTGCTCTCTCGTCCTCATACAATTCCTGCGGTCCATACGTTGGAAGGTTGTCAAAGCGATCAAGCTCTGAGCCATCTCCAAACATGCTATGCTTCGGTGAGCGCTTCAAGAATAAGCGGCGTGAAAACCTATCTGTGGCGGCAACAGGCGTAACTGACTCTCCAATATCCGTAGTTGAGACTTCTGAGATACCCCCCAGTGAAACTAAACCCGCCCTTGAAGGTGAGCGACTTTCCCTGGTTGTCTCTGTAGATGCGAGAATAGAGCTCCAGTCTGTGTAGGAAGATGATCGGGAATGAGGAACCTTCGAGGCCTTTGCCCTTGATTCGTCTTCATGGTTTGTGAAGTGGGGCTGTTCAGCCGAGCATGTTATTTTGGGAGGCGCAGCAGGCTCGAAAACAGGAATTAATCCTCTCGTTGAAAACCGCGGCCGCGCGAAATCTAACTTCTTGACAAGCATCCGAAGACTAGGGAACCCTTTACTATTACTTCGAGAGCTTGCTGCTGCTTTCGCTTCAATTGGAGGCAATGAAGATGGTGGCGAAAGAACTAATGACGTTGTAGGCATTGGTTCTTCCTGTTGTGGCGCTTCAGTTGGTTCATTGAAGCTAACAGAGCGTATGGCTAGTGATGATCTTTTGAAGGTTGGAAAACCATCCTTATTTTGTAAGAGTGAGTTTCTCTTACTGGCTGGGATATTGGATATTGTCGGGGTTGGAGCTCGAGAAGCAAGAGGGGAAGAGTATGTGCTACTAACATCACTCGATGCCAATACTGCATCAGAGCCAAGGAAAATTAGCGACGATCTAGCTCCTCCATCCCTCTTGGAAACACTCGTACGTTTCAATCGCGGAAGTGATGATTTTGATTTGAGATTCCGCAAAGGTAATTCAAATTGGGTGGAGTGCATTCGAGAGAGGCTTGGCGCCGGCGTAACAGGCCGTGAAGTATCGCCAGGCGCACGACAGAGACGTGGAATTCTAGATGGTAGTGCTACAAAATCTTTCAAAGGCACTACTTCACGTTGAACGCGTGAACCGCTCCTTTCTCGCCCTAACGGCACGGCTCGCACAATAACATTTTTGTTCCAATTCTTACGGTTGAATGCATCATCACCGCCAATATCTAGTCCATCCCAGAAGTCATCTTGATCCTCCAGAAAATATGATTCCTTTCCAAAAATAGATGGCTCTGTCTCTGGACGATAAGGACGATTAGTAACCAGTTGCAGACTCTCCATAGCCTCAGGAAAGATGATCCCATCCAAAAAGCTCTCATCATCTATACTGTCTTTAGAGAGCGAAGCAATACTCGAAACGCTGTCGTTATCCAGAGGCGTACTAAAATCAAACTCATCCATGTCTGATCCAGAGTCCTGCCACTGCAACAAGGATGACTGTCTTTTGAGAAGACTACTCTCAGCTGAAGTTGAGTTTCTTTCATATCTTCGTGCCTCCGTATGGAGCCTAAGAGACCCGAAATCCTCTGGGAAATCAAAATCATCATCAAGTGTTTCAATAGTGTCTGGTTCACTCATTACATTCGATCGAATGTTTCGACTCCGCGTATTACCGCTGTCACCGGATCTACGAAGGCTATTCATTGGCGGCGCTGCAGGATCCGCTCTGATTTGCGGGGCGATACTAGATAACGGTAAAGATTTTAGCTGCATTCCTGCGCTGAAGAAGTCATCACTTCGAGATGCGGAGTTTTCACTGTCAGTGTCCCAGCTGTCAGCAGACTCCAGTGCTTCAACCACGGTTGATGAAGACTTTTCGAGTATAGAACGCACATGGTTAAAATTCAACTCCCCCTCAGGCACCTCCAAGTCCTCCAAGTCGTCGACCCATGCTGCCACGCGTTTAATAGGATTGATGGGATTGATGCGAGTGATAATCCCCGTGTATGCAGGAAGATTGGATTGCATCATCTCCTGTGTGATGGTCGTCATCGCCTTTATTGACACCGAAGGGTTTTCATCATGGCTCTTATCTTTCCTCTTGTCTTTGTCTGTCTGTAACAGCAACCCTCTGGTGGTGACTACAGTGGAGGGAGCTGTAAAGGATGTTGAGATAGCACTAGGTGTAGATGACGTTGAGGATGCAGGCGATGATGATGTCGAAGAGGGCATGGATAGCTTTTTCTTCGATAGCCCTTTGTCAGAGCTGGTGTCGGTCACACAAAGAACTGTTCCGCGTGCGCTAGACGCGGGTGTAGGTCCATGGTTTCCTCCCGCTGCATCTGTTTTACCATTGACAAAGCTATTGCTGCTCATAAAATTGAGACCAGTGCTAATGCATGCTTCTGCTGTTGAGTCAACGAGGCGCTGAAAAGAGTTGTGGCTAGTTCCACTGTCGCTTCCACGGCTGGCCAGGATGCTCCTAGAAGACATGAGTGTCGTAGCAGTGGTAGTAGTAGGAGGGGAGGGTAGAGCATGAGTATAGGTGGGAAACGAAGTTCTACGACGTGAGGTTAATTGAAGAGAATTGCTGGGTCTACTGCCTGGTGTGGTTGGAGGTGTGAGTGACTGTAGATGTTGAAGCTGCTGCTGCTGAAGTGCCGTTACAGACCTTGACGATACGTCAAGTTGGAAGTAGTCGCCCTGGTCAGAATTATCTGAAAGTGGTGAGCGAGGAAGGTGACGGCGAAGCTGATCAAAAAGATGCTCTAGTGCATGAGGTTCATCTAGATCAAACGCATCATCCCAACGCTCAATCTCCTGACTGGTATCAATTGAATCAATGGCTGTTGTAATTTCTATACTGCGATCATCCTGGGTAGGATTTACTAAAGGCTTTGTAATGTCCTGGACGTGTCTAGAACGGATTTGTGCCTGTACCATATGTGTATGTTAATGTAAGTGGATAATAGTCGGGATTTAGGAATCAAGGAGACAATGTCAAGGAGGATGGAGCAGAGCAACAGAGCGAGAGAGTGTGGGAAGGATAAGAGGAGTAGAGATCTAGCTTAAAAGAAATTGTTCAAGGGCCATTACAACACTCTAAGGTAATTCATTACTCATTTGTGAAAATGAAAGATTCCTTGTGTGTAATGGAGAGAGGGGGGTTTGTCAGGCGGACAAAAGTATCCTTCCCTCGTACAGAACTGCATAGGGAGAGAGCAAATGAGAGCAAGGCAAACAAACACTGTCTGTTGTTTCTGTCTACATCATTTCTCATTTCGCCATGAATGCCCTTGCTACGTTCCTCAAGTCTGCATTGCATCTACACCAGACACCTGCTCAAATACCTCCAACGTCTTCAACTGCTGACTCCGAAAAATCCGATGCCCTTCTTTGGCAGCCAGAGATCCCTTTGTCCAAAGAACCATCACAGTCTTGGCAAGTGCTCTCCATCTTTATTCCTTTGTGATTTTCCCGCAATCCTCTTCACCCCTTTTTCTCTCTCCCATCCAACAGCGCCTCTCAGGGACGCGTGTTGTTGTGTGATTGAGATGATCATGTCTAGGTTCTAGGGGATAGATAAAACGGATTCGTTCTCCTTGGGCTGTGAAAGTTCAGTAACAGCTGCACTGTTCCTGCTCCTGAGGCTAGCATATTGTTGTTGCTATCCTTGGTGTTAATATCTGCATGCTAACCTGGCCTCTTTCATCCTGCATCCATGGCGAATGGACCTGCCCTTTTAGGGTCACGATGACTGAGCTTGTGCTTCCATCTCATTGTGACGGAAGAGGATTTTGTCTTGGAGGTAGACTTTATTTAATAGCCCTCTTGTTCATGACATCCTTCAATGTCTTGATTATATATATTTATATATTTTTTAACATATTAGGGACAGTTCTTTCATGGATTGATATCGCTGCTGGCATTGCTGCCAAAAAGCATGGTGTTTATCCAGCAGTGAGTACCTTACTATATTTTGGGTATTGTCTAGACGACCTTCTTCAATCGCTTTAACTCTTGTTAGTTGCGCCTATTCCTTCAATTTGATCATGTTAGGTGACAAGAAGTGTGGACGCTGTCCATTTTCTAGGCCCAATCACAACCCAGAACATTGTAATCATCCAGGCCTCTGTCAATAGAGCTTGGAAAACCTCAATGGAGGTTGGAGTTCGTGTCACGACCGAAGACTTGCTATCGGCTGAGCAACGGTATTGTTGTCATGCTTATCTAACATTTGTGGCACTGCCACAGCCACCTTTGTCCACATTGACGTCAGCTCCTTCACAACAACAACAGCAGCAGCAGCAAGGCCAACTACAACCACAAGATGCAGCTGCATTAAGAGCAGCACTCTCAAATTCGCCTGCTGCTAGGCGATATAGCTTCTCCTTGCCAAGTGCAAAATCTAGCTCTAAAAACAAAGAGGACCAAAACCAACGCCCTATTCAATTGCCAGCCATCGAACCCGTTACGGCTGTCGAGATAGAGCGCTACACGATGGCTCAGTTACGCCGAGAAGCCCGTCTTAAACAATCGCTTGAAGCCAAAGAAGAAGACCAGCTACTAAGCGATGTCCGTGATCAAATGCGTCGATGGAATGTCACGCAGATCAAAAACCCAAAATTAAACCTTCCACTTTCAGAAGACGGATCGCCCAGAATTGCCATGAGAGCTACATTTGCAGAATCGGCTCAGTTGGTTTTGCCACAACATGCCAACTCCTTGTCTATCACCTTTGGCGGTCAAGTGATGAAATGGATGGAGAATGTTGCTGCGGTCTCGGCTAGCCGTTTCTCCAGAGTTCCCATTGTCACCGCAAGGTAAGGTTCTTTTCACTGAAGCATATAGAGACGTCGCTTTTTGTCTTTGCGTGCTATTTTTGCTGTATTTTTGCTGCTCAGCTATCATCTAACATTCTGTCAAAACACTTTAGCATTGATTCATTGCAGTTCCACAGGAAAACTATGATCGGTGGGTAGCGAACTAATTCGAATAACATCTTGCTAAACTTGAACTTCATCTAAACAGTTCTTTTTCTCTATTTCCTTTTTTTTTTTTAAAAAAAAAAAAAAAAAAAAAAAAAAAAAAAGGCGATTGTCTTACAATGCGTTCCGTTGTTACACGCGTCTTCAAGTCGTCCATGGAAATATATGTCTTCGTTGATAGCGAAAACCTTGTCACTGGAAAACGAACGTTCACAAATGAAGCCTTCTTTTCCATGGTTGCTTTACAACCCTCGCCTTCTTTGCAGCCTATTACTGTGCCATTACCTCGCCTTATTGCAGAATCAGAGCTTGAGGTCGCTCTCTCAGAAGCAGGAGAGAGGCGCAGAATTAAGAGACTGCAGCAAAGGCGTGAACTAGCGGAGCGTGAACTAGCGGAACGTGAGGCTCGCTTACTTGCGCAACCCCCTGCTGTGGAGCAGCCCAATGCAATGGAGTATATCAAGTTGCATGTAAACATCACCAATTCATGAAAATTTTCTCAGTCGCTGTAAACATTTTATTATACTCTCTACCATGAAACGAAAATTTGAAGAAATAAAGCAAACAGTAGACTAGGCCCTCCTTTTCAAGTTTGGGTATCATCATTACCAGCGTCTCGCTTATGCTTGACGGATGACCAAACCCCAGATTGCAAGCACTATATTTCAAAATTGCGGAAAAAAAAAAATAGTCATTAGAAATAAATAATAATAATAATCATTGGAAACTTATGTCCAAACTCAAATATACCTTTTTGACAGCTGATGCGACAGTGGCGGGCACGGTCAGAATCCCATTCACCTGCTGCATAGAAAGCTCGTGCATGCTTGAGGCAGGATTCTTCATGGAATTTCTGATAAAGACGAGTGTTGATAGTTTTCTACAAGAAGGAAAACGAATCATAAAACATGTCAGTAAATGAATTACTAGGACTACAGGGACTTCATAACATTTTGAAGGAAAAAAAAAAAATTACCTCGCGCTCGGTCAGTACTACCTCCTTGTGGTCGCCACCGTTGATGGTAAAGTCCTTGGGTAGGACCCAGAAATCAGCGCCACTCAAATAGAGTTCAAATAGACATGCTGCCTGGTTATTACCGAATCTCTCAGGGCACCAGAGCATTTTATCCCTGCGCATGATGACTGAAGGCGCAAAGTAAGGATCATAATTCTGAATTGCGCTAAGTCTCATCTGGTTTGCCCAAGTGTTAAAGTCTACGTTCCTGATGGTTCGCTTCCATGTCTTTTCCGACAATACAACCTGACCATTGTGGACCAACTCAAGCAATGCGGTCTTTTCTCTTGGCAGCTGTGAAGCTTTGAGTACAGGGACTAGCCCTGGTGCCGAGTCGTCCTGAGCTGTCAATGCATCGTCGCCTGCAACATTAACTGGTGCTCCCAATGAAACATTAAACCCAGGTAGAACAAACACATTCCCTGCTCGAAGTTTATCCATCCACAGAGGATAATCCTTGAAACTCTTGGATACATCTGTAGCAGGTAGAGAGCCATCTGCGTCTAAAAGAAGTACAAAGTCAGTCCTTGAAAAGAAGCGAGCCAAGTTACGATGAAGATTGGATTGTTGCTGGACAGTTGATGAAGCGGGACGGCGGTGAGTCTGTGGTGTCGTGATGAGATGAATGTCCACCTGGCTGCGGATCTTTGGATTGCTGTTTCGCATCGTATGAAGGCGAGCGATAGGATTTGGCGCGCCTGGTTCATTCGAAGGAGAATCGATATGCAAAACGGCCGAAATGGGCCCTGTTCAGGAAATAGATAGCAAGCAACGTAACGCATGCCAGCAATTTTATAAAAGATATAAAATTAAAATTAAAAAGAAATTAGCATGGTAATCTCGAACGATCCTGATTTAAATTTTGGGGAGCAAAAAAATATATATCTGAATACTAATCTAGTATACGCACCTGGAAAGTAGTCAACAAGCTTGATCAACTCTGAAAGTTCATCTTGCTGTACAAAGGTCGCTAAAGTGATCTCATCTGGTTGCGGGGTTGACTCTGAACGGACAAAGAATGGTTGAATGTTATCTGTGATATCAGGGCTGGTGAATGTGAACATTTTGGAGAGGATTGCGCCAGGTGAGAGTTCAGATACAACTGAATATGGCAAGTCTACACATGAAGGAGCAGGAAAATACAAGATGCATAACAAAATAGGAGTTAGTCCAACCAGAATTATGTCATTATAAAGCTCAAAACTTTCACTTTGCTCCAATAGTAGGTCGTCAGATAAGTATGAGTATGAAATGCACAACCGATCTAAAGTCGGGCTGCCCAAGCCATGTCTCTACAGGATAAATAAAGTAAATACAATGATGATAATAGTTTTCTTACCAGCATCATAAGTTCTTTCAAGTTCATAATGTGGATAGACCACAGTCTCTGGCCTAGATTCATATGTAAGGATGTGCTTCAATGTAAAAAGAGCACAAAATCCGACATAGGCCATGAAGATGGTTCGGATGACCCTTGACTTGATGATGCGTGCAAGGATGCTGTTGCTGGAACGATATGTAGGTGAAGATGATCCGGATGAGCCTGCAGTCGGCAGTAGTGACGACGGTGGTGATGACTTGTACATAGTGGTAGCAATGATTGTTCTGGCCACTTGGTTACTGAACTGTCTAGATGTGAATGAGGTCCTGATGTAATGCTGCAAATGCAATGATTAGAGTAACAATGAGTGTGGCAAAGAATAAAAGTAAAAAAAGATTGAAGAGAATAAAAGGTAAGGAAAGAAAAGTTGAAGGGGGAAAGAGAGGAGAGCTAAGCAAAAATAGATTAATGACAATATTTATTATTATATATCTTTTCATATTCAAACAACCTTTTCATTATCAGTGGACATCGATATTTTTACAGATAGTAAAAATAAAATAAAAATATATTGATAGTTATTGTATTCAATGTTAAGACAAAAATGAATCCTGAATGAATAGACTGCTATTGTTCAAAAACGGACTCCGCTCACTTGCGGTACTTCTGGTGCAATGAACCCTTGGACGTTCTCTTAGTCTCGCTCGTCATCGGAATTCGGCTAGGAAACACTGATCCGCTACCAAAATTGCTTGCCCAGCTATCACTACTGCTGCCGATGCCAAAGTTTGTATTAAACATCCCAGCTGCGAGGAATGGTGAAGAGGAGGACGACAGGGATGGTTGGAATGCAAAATTACTGAACCCTGCCGCAGCCATATCTTGCCTCTTCTTTTCAATAGCCAACAACTCCTGGATCCTCTTCTGTTGCAAAAACTGCCCAAACTCCTGCTGCTGTGCCGGTGTCAGTATAAGGTTTAGACCTTGTTCAGGCCCTGCAGTGCTCAATACCCGTTCCATCAGTTTGGGATCTTTCTGCAGTGCAATCGTAATTACATCTGCTAGATCTAGTCCGTCGTCTCTATGGTTCGTACCCATTCGGAAGCTGGTCGCTCGAGCATGTTGGCGTTTAAGGAGCCATTCTTGCAGCAGTTCTTGCATCTCCTGTACGTGTTCCTGTCGAGATTGCATCTCTCTAAATTGTTTAAATTGGTTCAACTCTTCCTCTTGTTGACGACGCTGCTCTAGCTGCAACTGATATTGACGCATCTCCTCCTGACGTCTAGCCTCTTCACGCTGCTGGTTCATGACCTGCTCCTGGTAGCGGATATAAGCCTGAAGCTGCGCAAACTCTTGCGGAAATTCGGTCGCAAACGCGTTCATATGAACCAGATAGCTATGTGGATTCGTGTGATTCAATTGATGAAGGAACTGCAGGTATTGTACTCGAAGGTCCTCCTGTTCCTTCTGCAAGCGAATGGCCTCAGCTGACATCCATTGGCCCGTACCTGCAATACCGCTGCCAATGATGGATGCTGGTAGAGGGCGAAAGAGAGAAGGAGGATCATCAAAGATAGAAGATGAGTTCTCAAAAGGATCTGGCGTTGTAGGATCAAGCCTCATCAGGTACTGGAGATCGACGTCCATAAAGGACTGCTTTGTCATGCGTCGCAACATCCGAGGGACCGCAGGGCAGGCCCCAGGTTGCTGTTGGCCGTTGGCAGCAGCTGCACCATTGACTCGGTGGCGACTCTGAAGAGGCTTCTTGGTTGACATCTGAGGCTTCATCTTGAATTTAGGGTGATCAGAGTTATTCAAGGGTGTTAGTTGGCTGCAGGCAGAGAAATATTAGATATGGAGGTGGAGTGACGAACTACAAATTTTTCTGGCCTCCTTTTTATATCAAATTCTCCACACTCTATGGCAGTGCTGCGTCAGTATCATTTGACACAACTATGTGGTATTAGTCAATTGATGATCAATTGAAATCGACCCTCCCAATATGGAATGTCACACAAGATTCATGCAGATCCAGGTTCAAGACTAGTCCAATTTAAGATTTTATCAATTTGCCATACACATTGCCTACAATGTTGGTGCTCCTGTTCTTGTTGCTTCCGCTACTGCTTCTGTATTGTATATAATGGTCGTTCGGATCCAAGTGCGCAAGTAGCTGCCATCGATAGTTCAGGAAGCCAGTATTTCCATATTTACCTCTGGTATACTATCAAACCCGATGGGCATTGATACTTGTCTATAATGGCGGATTAACTTTGTCAGACTGAGTCAAGCTGTGTGTAAATGATTCTCGCTTCTTGATCTCTATATGGCATTTTATAGGAAGCGAGGATAGTTGTTGGGTTGGATAAAGTATATATACTACTGCATCTATAGTTATTAGTTACCCACTGCACTTGCAGCACCCTATTTTTTGCCACTGTTTGCAAAGGAAAAAAAAAAAAAAAAAAAAAAAAAAAAAAAGAGTGGTATATTTAAAATATATTACAGAAAAAAGGGTTGAGATAAATAAGCCTTTATAAATGAACTGCTCTATTATTATTACTCATGGAAATATTTTAAGTGATGAATGCATGCTTTTAAATTGGCGAGACGAATGAGTGCTCATGCTTGTCAACGAGATATTAAAGGCTCTATAAGGTCCTTCAAAGTATATACCCTTAGCGTGCTTTGGAGAAAAAAAGGTCGCACATCATTATATTGGTTTTTGGTGAATTTCAGTTGCAAACGACGAGCCAGCTGTTCCGCAGAATTTTAAATGACGATGAAGGGCATCATTTCTCATAAACCCAGTCCCACAGATCTGACAAGAGTATGGCTTCTCTCCCGTATGAAGGCGAGCATGGCGCTCACAGTCATGCCGCCTCGCAAAAGCCAGGGGGCATACTCCACACACGAAAGGCCGTTCAGAAGAATGAGTTTTCATATGGGAAGTCAGATTGTAGGCTCTAACAAAGACTTTGTCGCAGCCTGGAGCCATACATGGAAATGAAGTAGGCTTAATCCTCTTAGGTTTCTTTATCATCGGGGGCCGGATACGTCGTCGGCGCTTCGTGACTGTAGTTTCATTATCAGCTGTTGAGAGTGTTGCCAATGGGTAAGTGGCTGTCATTGTTGACTGACTTTGTTCGATACCAGTAGAAGGCTCAGTGGAAGAAGGAGAGGTCATATGGCGCGTAAGGTTCGGGGATAAGCTTGGAGATGTTTCGCGTGAAGCTGAGGCGGATGCCCATGAAAGTGAAGGGGATTCCATGGAAGAAGAGATCGGCTTTTCAGTCTGATCCAAGAGATGGGTTTCATCAATGGCAGAGAGGTTTAAGGAGGACAATAACATCAGATCTATGTCTTGATCTAATATCGGGATTGTACTTTGAAGGGCCGGATTTCGTATGTTGAACATGGAGAGGTTTTGACCCAATGTGGTCATATCCGTCATCAGTTCTGCTGAAGGACTGGGCTGCTCCGTACAAGATACTCTATATGATGAAGCACTAGGATTGCATTGAAAATGCGATATTAATGTGCATTGATCTAGTTCTGGCGATCCCGGGGCTTGTGATTGATGTTGAGAGGCGTGCGACTCCTCTGCTCTTCGTTGTTGGCCTTGATGCAGCTCTACTGAATGAATTTGCAGCTGGGGGTCCTGAGGCTGCCTCTGAAGCGCTCGCATTGTAGGATATAAAGGCATAGAGACAGTTCTTTGGAGAACCATGGGATGATGAGGCCGTAGTACTTGGAGGGGTGTCATTGGTTCATCCTCAGGGGATGACTGCCGTTGGCGGAGCTGTTGTAAATATTGGAGCTGTTGTTGATGTAATCGACGCTGCTGCTGGCAGATCTGGCTATATTCTGAATATTGTTGGTGTTGAGACGGGAGGATCTGATGCTGTTGTTGACCTTGTTGACAGTAGTCTCGGTCATGGTTAGATGTACTAAAGGTATGAAACTCAACTCCTTCACTCCAATCCTTATTGGCTCCAAAGTCTCCGGAGAGGTGACTTCTATGAAATGGGTCGTTTGCCATGAGACTGTATAGGCTTAATAGATCTAAAGCTTTCAATTGCTCTGTTCTGTGTGACCAGGGTTTAAAAAGTTGGTAAGAGTAGTATTTTGTACTTTACAAAGCGAAATCAGAGTGTGACAACAAATCAATAAAACGGAGGGGCTCGCATATGAATGTGTTGAATTTAAACAACGATAATTGATGTATGAATGGATAACAATGATCGCTATTAGTGGTAGCAGACGACGAAATAAATAAATAAAAGAAAAAAAAGAATAAAGAATTTTTCCAGTCTTTGAGGAACGTAATTTATAGCAATTGGGGCAAAGTCGATTGTGTGGCAAAGAACAAATGTGGCGATTTTGAAGGAATGTTTTTTGAGTTATTTAAATAATCCAAAAATTTTGACGCGGGGAAATAGGCTAATTCCATCAAACAGTGGGCTATGTGGCTTCTTAACTTTGATAATAGTGCATTGGTCATGTTTTCTCTGTCATGAGCTGTCAAAAGTAAGGCTCATATCGAGACTGTGATATTCTATGATGAAGCCTATCCAACGAAGAACAATATAGAAACTTATTTGTCTATAATATCCTCACTACTTTCATAAGTCCAGCTTCATGGGAAACATGTCTGACCCTTCTACATCCAGCTTGCGTTTGCGCCACCATAATCTGTTTATATCATCCAGGCATAATCATGTAATCGAGCTGTTGGGGGAGTACTTGAAACAAAATAGTAAAAAAGCTAACACAGCCCTCTCAATGGGATGCAGGCTTCTCTCTACGCCCAATATAATGCAGGGACATTAAAAAGGTCACGTCCAGAAAAGGCGAACAATGCATCATAACGACTCTGCCGTTGATTCAAAAGCCCCTTCCCTTTATGACTGCTCTTGGATATTCTTAGAAAGTATAAATGTAAAGCCTTATGCTTGTGATATCATGACAATAGTTGCTTTGATTAACAAATTAGCGGCCGCAGTAGACATTGATGATATGCTGAATATATTTTATCCGTATCGTTTTATTTCGATCATTTTCAAGAAAAATTATTGCAGAGGCGCAGCGAAGAGATCTATTTAGACTGTCCTTAGCCGCGGTTATAATCTGAGAACGATTGAAAGCAACTTCTTAAAGCAAGAGGGTCGATTAAAGCATGACCAATTAATTTTTTCTCATATAGGATGTTACTTCGTATCAAACCAAGGATTTTTTTTTTTTTTTTCTTTCATAGTTCCCGCGGAGTCGTCATTTGGAACACATTACAGAAGATGCAATGTACCATTGTCAAATGTGGCTGAGTCGATCAATCCATTTCGCAAGTGGCAGTGCAATTAAGCATATTAAAGAATTAATCTATTTGACAACCCGGGTTGTCACGCAAAGAAAAAAAATTGAGAAAAATAATTAAGGGCGGGGGGTTGTCAAATAAGAGTGACAACCCGGGTTGTCAAATAGATTCACCCCATATTAAATATTTACATTAAGACGAGGAAGTCATGTGATGGGATTTTCAGTTAAAACGATTTTATTGCCTTATTTTATTATATACAGGTGATTTGAGTTAACACGTGGACAGTAAAAAATTATGCCTGAGGCTGGGTAGCAAAACGGAGGTAAGGCTTAACGACATTGAAACCAGGGAAGAGTTTCTCAGCCTCTTCATTAGTGACAGAAGGATGAACGATAACGTTATCGCCACGCTTCCAGTTAGCGGGTGTGGTGACACGGTGCTTGTCGCCGAGCTGGAGAGAGTCGACAACACGAAGAATCTCATCAAAGTTGCGACCAGTTGAGGCGGGGTAAGAAAGAGTCAAGCGAATAGTCTTCTTGGGATCAATGATGAAGACAGAGCGGACAGTGAATGGAACGCCTTTGTTATCAAGATTGGTGATATCCTGGTAATCCAACATATCGTAGAGGGTAGAGATCTTGCGATCAGCATCAGCAATAATGGGGAACTTAAGGTCAACGTTATTCACTTCGTTGATGTCCTTGACCCATTCATGGTGGGAATCGAGACCATTGGCAGAGAGACCAATGACCTTGACATTACGTTCCTCGAACTTGTCCTGGAGACGAGCAACCTCGCCGAGCTCGGTGGTGCAGACGGGTGTGAAATCGGCAGGGTGAGAGAAGAGAATAACCCAGGAGTTGCCAATGAACTCATGGAACTTGATGGGGCCCTGAGTGGTCTCAGCTTCGAAGTCAGGGGCGATAGAGCCAAGACGGAGGGGGTTGCGATCGGCAGACATAGTTATGGTTGGGTCTGTTGGAGAGTTGAAGTGAAAGGGGTTGAAATGAGTTAGTGAATGAGGAATGAGAAATGAGGAGGGTCTTTTATATCCAGTCCGCGGTTACGGTGGAGATGCCAGCGCGTTCTTTCTTGTTTGAGTGGCGAACCAACTGCCATCGATGGCGAAATCGATGGGCAGTCACATGCCTTGAGAAAAGATCGAAGGCACGAGAAGCAAGCTGTCTAGTCTATTGTACAACTTGTAGATACAAACAAAAAAGTCTAAAAGTGTAACAGAAAAGGAAGCTGAAAGACTTGATCACGCCATCGCACTTTTACTGGACAGCAGCTCTTACAACGAAATAAAAAACGCGATTTGCATAAAGCGAAAGGACGTTAAAGTTTTTTTGTTGTTTGGCAACTTGACAAAGCAGGTAGATGCGCAGTGTGGGTCTGTGAGAGAACTGCATTGACTGGTGAGTATTTATTCCTTAAAACAATTGGCAATACCATCTCGTTTTTGCGTATTTTAGATGATTGCAGAAAAGACAAAAGCTTGACTTATCAAGCAAAATATATACAAACCCTCCGCTTGATATAAATCATGGTGAAAAGCTCCTTAATGTCTAATTCTTAAACCTTACACTTAACACCATACTTCTTCTCTCTAAATATCTCTCAGCGAGAATGACTGACAATTTTTCTCCTACTTGGGTGAAATTGAGACCAGACACTTCCACCGCATACGTATAATTATATATAATCATGGTTTACTGCAAATGTCAGTCGCCAAACTTTAGATCAGTAAAAATTGAGCGATTTCATCTTTTCTTCATCTCCATTCACTCCAAAAAAAAAACATCTGCCAACTTTTCATCATGATTTTCAAGAGTACCGTTACATTCTTCGTTGCAACCCTTGCTCTCGCCCTTGCTGCTCATGGTAGCCCTGCGGTTACTAGCAAGGGTATGTCTTTTTTTTAGTATCTGTAGTGTATGGATGTGAATACCAAGATTTTAACAAATGTGTTTTTCAGTTTATTTTGACATCGAGCAGGGCGGTAAGCCTCTTGGTCGCGTTGTTATCGGCCTATTTGGCAAGGTAGGTGATGGAGCAGATGCCTTTCAATCCACCTCTTGTTCTAGACTGGATGATCTTGAATTATTGACTCTTTCTAATCTTGTGTCGTTTTCTCAATAAAGGATGTACCTAAAACTACCAAGAACTTTCTCGAGCTCGCCAAGGGTAGCCATGGTTTTGGGTACCAAGGCTCAACCTTCCATCGTGTTATCAAGGTATGCCTTATTTCTTTGCCGAGGGCATCAATGTCTGCCTTATTTTACTAAGATTCTTTCTCTAACGTTTACCTGGGTATATGTATATAATGTAATAGGACTTCATGATTCAAGGAGTAAGTGTTTACCATGATTGTAAGCCAAATTAAAGCCTCCTCTCTCCTGAGTTTTACATTTATTGAAGAGCAACAAATTGACACTGCTCAATTTATCAATGATTTGCATCAGGGCGATTTCACCAATCACGATGGTACTGGGGGAAAGTCTATTTATGGTGAACAGTTCGATGATGAGAATTTCAGTCTTCGCCATACTGGTCCCGGAATTGTCTCTATGGCCAATGCTGGTGAGGACACCAATGGATCTCAGGTATGGATTATTTTCATTTAGTTTACTTGTGAAGAATATGGCCTGCTGCTGACCTGCCTAATCTCTTTAAAAAGTTACCGAAACCATGCTTGCTCACCCTACCCGCATTATCTTATGACTTGTAATAGTTCTTCATTACCACTATCAAGACCGATTGGCTGGATGGTCGCCATGTTGTTTTCGGTGAAGTCATCGAAGGCATGGATGTGGTCAGAAAGATTGAAGATACAAAGACTGACAGATGGGATAAGCCTGATATTGCTGTCAAGATTGCCAAATCGGGCGAGCTTCGTGATGAACTGTAAGATTGAACGTCTTATGTAATCCACTGCTCCTCTCTATCTGTTAACAGAGGAAACAACCAGACTGTGGAGCCATGTAGGCTGGTTGTATATACCACCAGGCTGACTGGCTTTCTTTTTTTTTTTTTTTTTAGGTTCTGACCACAGAGGAAACAGTCATACCTTTTTTTCTAATAAACAAAAAATTATTCATTCTTTCTTTCGTTGCCTGCTTTGTTTCTTCGCGTTGTGCTACTAATGTCGCTCTTTTACAGATCGAGGAGCTCTTTCCGTAAGCATGTGTTCTTGCATTCTGGGGATATAGTATCCTGTCGCCGCATTGTCCGCATTCATTATGGTCAGCTGCCAGTCGTTGGTGCACCAGTGTCAAAAATAACTGTACACGCAGCCGCACCTCCTCCCGATCCATCGTCGTCAGAAAAGGCTTTGCCCTCACCGCATCATACCGAAAGTCAACTAAACATTTATGAAGGACCTTATGCGCAAACTGCAAAGCGACTCAAGCTATTCTCGGTCTCATCATTAGCTGCAACGATTGCTCTCTGCCCATTCATCTTTATTTTAGATGCAGGCATTTCGACCGGCATGCGTGGTGGACTTGCTGTCGCAGGTGAACATTGCAAAATGAATTCGGTTGATGGAAAATTAAAAATAAAAACGACTAAGAGACTAATAAGTGGCATGCCCGATTAATTGTCTTGTGATAATCTTTATGCATGTTGTATAGCTGTGGCGACGAGTGGGTCATCGACAGCCCTTGTTCAGTGGTGCCTAGGATCTTATGTTCGTAAAATTACCATCCCTAACCCCTCATACATTAAGTCCGAGACTGTTACAGCACCGAAAGCATTGCCATCTCGATCGACCCCTGTCTCTTTTGAGACACTTTCCTTCTGGGGAAGTAAAAGAATTACGACTGTCAAAGTCTCTGACCTAGAACCCAGCTCTGCACCATTTTCAACAATCCGTATTCGACCAGGCCAAAAATCCGTCGTTCGAGACGGAAAAGGCAGAGTTCTTGCCGATGATGACAAATTAAGAAAGCGTTTTTATTTACATTCAGAATTCACAGAAGAAGAACCTCTCAGGACTATTATGGCAGAGGTTCAGCAAAACCAACATTTGTCTACTGAAGCCCTGTCCATGAGAGCTTCATCTCCACAATCATCACTGTCATCGTCATCCGAGACTGTAGTGCAGAATGGTCTAAAAGAAGAGGGCTTACAAACGAGAGCACCCATGACAGAGGGCATGTCTGATCGTATTGAGCTGCTTAAACGGAAAGCGGCTGAGAATGCCAAGAAAGGAAAGCATTGACCGATGAGGAGAGCCTGAATGAAAAAAAAAAAAAAAAAAAAAAAAAAAAAAAAATAGAATACTCTGTAGTAATGTTAATGAAGCACAGGCATGCATTTTTGCAACTGTAATCAACCTTTCCTAGCTGCAAGGCATGTTTTTGTTCTTGGGACGTAATTGTTGGAAGGTACTAAAGTGCTTGCTGATCTCTTGTTTATCTTAAAGATCTTGTTTGGTGTTAACGGAAATTACACTTTCCATGACAGTGTCAGCTTTATTTCCGATGTGATATTTCATGTTGAGCTTAATTCAATTTCATGAATAGTGATGTTTATTCCTTTGCTTTAAACAGCGATCTGCTCATGAGTACTGGGATCTTTTTAGATGTCTGTTGGGATGTTACCGATAAACTCCTTCTTTTGCAATATGGTTCTGTATAAGTTACAGATTTTCATCACCTTCACGGTTACATTTCTGGTGGCTTCACTGCATAGGATACTCTCACTATTAGTCAGAGTTTTTTTTTTTTTTTTTTTTTTTTTTTTTTGAAATAGAGAAATGAAAATGCTGACATATCTTGCCTCAAATGAAGACGCTCACCATACGATGAATCACTTCATTTCGTAGGATCACTTGTAAAAGAAAAATACAGTTTTGATTCTTTCCAGTGTTTCACACGTTTTATTGTCGTTCATACTTTCTGAACATGGATGTTAAGTATATTGACGTTACTTCAAATCAGGAGCCACAAATAATGTCGGATACTTCACTAAAACCTCATCTTAAATCTACAAACCTTAACGATTGTCATCCCTTTGAAAGGCTTCCAATACCACAAGAGTGTTTACATTCCAAACATTTTCTATTAAACAAGAGGAGATATAGTCAAAGGATTCGCTTATGGGGATGACGACTTGATGGTCCTAGAGGTGTAAAGGTCCCCATTTCAAAAACTATTAGCGTTAAGACTTTAGAACTATTGAGAGGGTATTTGCCAACAATCTTCTATTGAAGAGCTGCATGTAGGTCGGACTCATTGTGATCTAGACAATTTAATAGAAGATCTAAAAATAATAAATGTTGCTTTCTTTCATGACTCATTTCAGCAGAAGAGAGTTTGGTAATGTGTGGCTCTGTCGTTGGCGTAGGTTTGCCTGTCAGGATGTACGAAGGGCCTAATTCAATGGAATCAGAACAGAAACGCGAGGTGCCTTATAAATAAAAAAGAAAAAAAAAAAGAAAAGCCGGATCAAAATGGCTGTGCGTCATAATTGTTTCCCATCCTTGTTTGCATGTTCTCTCATCAAAGACACCTCTCTTCGGATCTTCGGATATAATAATATTCACCTTGATGTCTCACTCACAAAAATAAAAGAAAACAAGAACAAACCATCAAAAGCAAAAGTCTGCTAGAAATGAGGCCTGAATCAAGAATACTTCATTAGAGTAGGAACACTAAATCTTTATTTCTGACCATCATTGGCTATATGGTGACGGCAGGTCGTGTTTACGTCCTCGTTGTGATAAAGACAATAATAATAAAAAGATATGAAAGAACAGTTAGTGCAAGTGTTGGATTACTCCTATGAACCATCATGTAAATCATATACCAATCAAATAATAATAGCACATCCACAGATATACTTATACTCTTGCCTTTTTTTCACAAGTGTTCGAAAGCGAAGGTGTCTAAACGTCCTGGAGACACGCCTTTGAGACAGGGTCGGACATCTAATGGTGTAGTCTTTCTTGCTTTCTTGTCCCGCCCTTCACTTTTGTTGGCCTTTTCTGCTACTTCTCTTCTTCGTTGGTACTTTTGTTAACTTCTTTTTTTTTTTTGCATTTTGTTGTTTGGTGCTTTCTTTTCTTTCTTGTACTTTCATTGACTTCTTGGTACTTTTCTTACTTACCTAAGACTGTCGCCCTACCACCCTATACAGTCCCTTACCCTTGAAGAAAAAAAAAGAAAAAAAAAACCTTCTTTCCGGTATTTGCTTTCTTTCTTGTACTTTCATTTGCTTTCACTTTCTTGCTATGCTTCCGTTTGTTTTCTTTTCTACTCCCTTGCCATGCTTTCGTCTGTATTCCTTTAACGCTTGTTATCTTTTCACCCATTCTCCTTTGATGGTTCGCTTTCTTGCTATCCTTTGATGGTTCACTTTCTTGCTACACTTTGGAGATTCATTTCCTTGTTATCCTTTGTTGGTTCACTTTCTTATTATCCTTTGCTGGTTCACTTCCTTGTTATCCTTTGATGCTTCACTTTCTTGCTATCCTTTGATGGTTCGCATCTTTGTAATCCCTTGATAGTCACTTCTTTGCTATTCTTTAGTGATTCACTTCATTGTTATCTTTTGGTGTTTCACTTTCTTGCTACCCTTTGGTGCTTCACTTGTTATTCTTTGCTAGTTCATTTCCCTGTTATCCTTTGATAGCTACTTTTTTGCTATCCTTTGGTGCTTCACTTTCTTGCTATCCTTTGATGGTTCACTTCCTTGTTACGCTTCCATATTTTATCCTTAATGCCTCACTTGGTTGCTATGCTTTCATTCTTTCCTTCCATGCTTGAGTTTCTTGTTATGCTTTCATCTCTTTCTCAGTCCTTCACTTTTATTATCCTTTCCCATGTTTTTCGGGACGCATCTCTTCCGTGTTATGTTCTGTTATGCTTTCCTTCTCGCTTTCCCTTTATTCTCTCATTGCTTCGTTTCCTTGTTATTTTTTGATTTGCTTCTCTCGACGCTTCACTTTACTATTCTATCCTCTGTTCTCTTTCGATGCTTCACTTGTTACGCTTTCTTTCTTTCTCGTTGCCTCACTTCCTTATTTGTTTTCCTTGGCGCTTTACTTTTTTTAACATATTTTCATGTGCTTCTCTTCGACGCCTCACTTCCCAGTTATCCTTTCCTTTGTTTCCCTTCAATACCTCGCTTTCTTATGTTGTCTTCATTTGTTTTCTCCCCTTCTTATTATAACTTCCTTTGTTTTCCCTTGTGTGTGTATATGTTTTTTTTTTCCTTGTTATACTTTCATTTGTTTCCCTTCTGTGCTTCCCCTCTTATTATACTTTCATTATGTGCTTCTATTTCTTATTTTGTTTTCTTTTTTTCTTGTTTTCACTTACTCTTCCTATGTACTTCACTCCCTTAGTTTATTTTCATTCGCTCTTTCTCAATGCTCCTTCCTCTTTCTTATTTTTCTTTCTTTTGTTGGTTACTTGCCGCCTCCCTTCCTTACCATACTTTCCCTTACCTCGTTTTCTCGCTGCTTACCGTCCTTGGGGGTTACTTTGCCTTTGATATAGTACGGGGACAAAGAGTGTGTAGTTTAGTATAAAGTAGTGAGGGCAGGAGAAGACAACAGCCGTAGTTGAAAGAGAGTGGGAGATGACATAAAGAGGCACATGGAGAGGCAGAAGAAGTGTTTGCGCGTGTGCTTGTGTGTGAATGTATTTGACAAAGGGCTGCGGTTGAGACTTACTTTTCAAGAGGTAGAGAGGCGAAGAAGTGGAGAAGTGAAGAGGTGGAGAGGTGGAGAGGTGGAGAGGTGGAGAAGTGGAGAGGTGAAGAGAAAAAAAAGAGCTTAAAAACGAGAGAAGAATGTCTTTCTGCCCAATCCCCTCGTTGCCACCATTTCTCCTTATCTTTGTTGAAAGCGGACAAAATGTATCCTAAAATAGGCAATAGTTAGTCGCTATAAAAGCGAAATGAAAGTGATTGGACGCCATTTTGAAACAGCATGAAATCTAAAGCAAGGGTGAATGGAAAACTGTCAGCTGGACAGTCCGGAAGCGATCCCGTTGCCCTTCGTCGCAACATCTTTCGTATCTGTTAACGCAATAACCGAAAGGGATACGGCTCTGAGAAGAACGAACCAAAAAGCTTCCAAAGTATTGAACCTGATGACCATGAGTATACGCTGCTCACACTACAGCTTCTGGCCTCTAGACTTACACGTATTTTTTTACCATCTCGTTTTCTTAAGAAACAAAAAAAAAAAAAAGGAAAATAGATAGAGAAGGATGCGTTCATTTTTCATGCATCTTTGGGAGCAACAAAGCCTTTCATTACATCTCTCTTTTATCATTTCTAAAAGTATAAGAGAGAAAGATCAAGGCATGCCATAGACTCTAGCACCTTCTAGTTTCTGGTTGAAAGGAACACAGTATGTTCTGATCTGCTATAGTATCTGGTAGATGCTTTTCACGGAGCCCATCGCCTTTCTGGCCCATGTCCCAAAAGCAAGCCTGTCTTATTTTATGTTATGACTATCTTGTTGAAATCACAAGTCTGCTGGGTAGAGAGAGCAACAACAAGCAACACATAAAAAAATATGCAATGTGATGTGTGTGTCGAGGGAGATATCAATGTTTGGTTATATCCAAGGTCTGCAGGCCCTTCAGGATCTTCAATTTTACACTTTCATTGCTATTCTGTTTACTTCTCCGCAATTTAACCTTTCTCTGCCTTCACTTACAATATTCTTTTTGTTTCATGTGGCAATGACATCGACCCTTCGTGCGGACGGATGATGCTTTTGCTTTTATAGCGACTAACTATTGCCTATTTTAGGATACATTTTGTCCGCTTTCAACAAAGATAAGGAGAAATGGTGGCAACGAGGGGATTGGGCAGAAAGACATTCTTCTCTCGTTTTTAAGCTCTTTTTTTTCTCTTCACCTCTCCACTTCTCCACCTCTCCACCTCTCCACCTCTCCACCTCTTCACTTCTCCACTTCTTCGCCTCTCTACCTCTTGAAAAGTAAGTCTCAACCGCAGCCCTTTGTCAAATACATTCACACACAAGCACACGCGCAAACACTTCTTCTGCCTCTCCATGTGCCTCTTTATGTCATCTCCCACTCTCTTTCAACTACGGCTGTTGTCTTCTCCTGCCCTCACTACTTTATACTAAACTACACACTCTTTGTCCCCGTACTATATCAAAGGCAAAGTAACCCCCAAGGACGGTAAGCAGCGAGAAAACGAGGTAAGGGAAAGTATGGTAAGGAAGGGAGGCGGCAAGTAACCAACAAAAGAAAGAAAAATAAGAAAGAGGAAGGAGCATTGAGAAAGAGCGAATGAAAATAAACTAAGGGAGTGAAGTACATAGGAAGAGTAAGTGAAAACAAGAAAAAAAGAAAACAAAATAAGAAATAGAAGCACATAATGAAAGTATAATAAGAGGGGAAGCACAGAAGGGAAACAAATGAAAGTATAACAAGGAAAAAAAAAACATATACACACACAAGGGAAAACAAAGGAAGTTATAATAAGAAGGGGAGAAAACAAATGAAGACAACATAAGAAAGCGAGGTATTGAAGGGAAACAAAGGAAAGGATAACTGGGAAGTGAGGCGTCGAAGAGAAGCACATGAAAATATGTTAAAAAAAGTAAAGCGCCAAGGAAAACAAATAAGGAAGTGAGGCAACGAGAAAGAAAGAAAGCGTAACAAGTGAAGCATCGAAAGAGAACAGAGGATAGAATAGTAAAGTGAAGCGTCGAGAGAAGCAAATCAAAAAATAACAAGGAAACGAAGCAATGAGAGAATAAAGGGAAAGCGAGAAGGAAAGCATAACAGAACATAACACGGAAGAGATGCGTCCCGAAAAACATGGGAAAGGATAATAAAAGTGAAGGACTGAGAAAGAGATGAAAGCATAACAAGAAACTCAAGCATGGAAGGAAAGAATGAAAGCATAGCAACCAAGTGAGGCATTAAGGATAAAATATGGAAGCGTAACAAGGAAGTGAACCATCAAAGGATAGCAAGAAAGTGAAGCACCAAAGGATAGCAAAAAAGTAGCTATCAAAGGATAACAGGGAAATGAACTAGCAAAGAATAACAAGTGAAGCACCAAAGGGTAGCAAGAAAGTGAAACACCAAAAGATAACAATGAAGTGAATCACTAAAGAATAGCAAAGAAGTGACTATCAAGGGATTACAAAGATGCGAACCATCAAAGGATAGCAAGAAAGTGAAGCATCAAAGGATAACAAGGAAGTGAACCAGCAAAGGATAATAAGAAAGTGAACCAACAAAGGATAACAAGGAAATGAATCTCCAAAGTGTAGCAAGAAAGTGAACCATCAAAGGATAGCAAGAAAGCGAACCATCAAAGGAGAATGGGTGAAAAGATAACAAGCGTTAAAGGAATACAGACGAAAGCATGGCAAGGGAGTAGAAAAGAAAACAAACGGAAGCATAGCAAGAAAGTGAAAGCAAATGAAAGTACAAGAAAGAAAGCAAATACCGGAAAGAAGGTTTTTTTTTTCTTTTTTTTTCTTCAAGGGTAAGGGACTGTATAGGGTGGTAGGGCGACAGTCTTAGGTAAGTAAGAAAAGTACCAAGAAGTCAATGAAAGTACAAGAAAGAAAAGAAAGCACCAAACAACAAAATGCAAAAAAAAAAAAGAAGTTAACAAAAGTACCAACGAAGAAGAGAAGTAGCAGAAAAGGCCAACAAAAGTGAAGGGCGGGACAAGAAAGCAAGAAAGACTACACCATTAGATGTCCGACCCTGTCTCAAAGGCGTGTCTCCAGGACGTTTAGACACCTTCGCTTTCGAACACTTGTGAAAAAAAGGCAAGAGTATAAGTATATCTGTGGATGTGCTATTATTATTTGATTGGTATATGATTTACATGATGGTTCATAGGAGTAATCCAACACTTGCACTAACTGTTCTTTCATATCTTTTTATTATTATTGTCTTTATCACAACGAGGACGTAAACACGACCTGCCGTCACCATATAGCCAATGATGGTCAGAAATAAAGATTTAGTGTTCCTACTCTAATGAAGTATTCTTGATTCAGGCCTCATTTCTAGCAGACTTTTGCTTTTGATGGTTTGTTCTTGTTTTCTTTTATTTTTGTGAGTGAGACATCAAGGTGAATATTATTATATCCGAAGATCCGAAGAGAGGTGTCTTTGATGAGAGAACATGCAAACAAGGATGGGAAACAATTATGACGCACAGCCATTTTGATCCGGCTTCTCTTTTTTTTTTTCTTTTTTATTTATAAGGCACCTCGCGTTTCTGTAAATCGTAAACTCGTAGGTCATGCATGCTGCGCAACATGCACAGCCCTTTACATGCCATAGCCACATGCTTATCTATCCGTTTCCGCAAGTATTTTCGCATGCCTTCCCAAGAGTACTGTCATTTGGTTTTTATTTACCGATAAAGTCTTGTTGTTCACGATTGAACCTTCATTTTCTAAAGTGTTTTGCACACGAATATTCGGTGGTTCTTTTGCTTTTTAATAGTAGATCAACCAGGTTTTTTGCACCTTTGACAGATCATTAATCTTATGGCAGACTATTTTGTCTATGATATTCCTCTATACTAGTACAGTGTCTGGTGTCATTACGGTTCGATCGAGAGAGAAATATATACATTTGTATCTAGCATAGAAGCTCAAACATTGACAGATGGCCAGCCATTGTGGTTGCGACCTGAGACAAGGTTGTTTGTGTACAAAAATGGACACATGAGGCAATGGTGGCACAAAAAGAATAAATGCAATCGAACTATCTTTTCCCCCACACATAAAGTTTTTCTCCATGGAACTGGACACTTTGTCTGAATGTATACATTTATAATGAATATTAATTCTCCATCAGGAAGACAGACAAATGGTGGATGAAACATGCGTCTGCATGCATTTCATATACACATACTCAGATATATAATATATATATACAATTCTTTTTTAATTTTTACTCTTTTTGCTCTCTTGCTTGCTCTTTTTTTTTTATTCTATTTTTTTTTTTCGAACTCGCTCCATCTGGACCCCACAAGACATTGCACATTCAGCTTTCATTCACATTTTTGTTTCACTCATTCTCTCACACTTTTCCTTCACGCTTTATCGCCGTCCATCGACTCTGTCTCCTTGATTTTCTGTTTACCTGCTAAAAAAGAACGCACTATCCATATGCACAATTGACGAACAAAGTGAGTGTTCATCCTTTCATCCTTTTTTTTATTGTTTAATCGTAAAAACCACCAATGTCACCCCTATCCCGTTCTCCCTTTTTTTTTACTCGTTGTTTGATATAACGATTTTCCGTCATTGTGCGTTGTTCTTGAATTTGTTACTGACAATGACACACGCATGCAGAATTAACTTGGTCTGACATGAGATGGCATCCTCCGCAAAAAAAAAAAAAAAGGATGCAACGCATGAGAGTAAAGAGTGAGAAACGATTAAAAACAAAAAAAAAAGCGTATATATTAGTATAATATAATATATACATATATATGTCGGCTTTTTAAATAATAACTTAAAGAGATGGACGTGGTCTTGTCTCGAGTGTGGGGAGGTCGTGTTGAATGTATGAAGGCCCCTGTAAAATAAAAATGTAGTCTATTTGTGTTCACAAGTTGACATGAATACATTCGACCACACACATAAAACGAGTCTTTTTATTTTATAAAAACCTGGTTGCTCTCTTAAAGATTCATCTTTTAGCAGCCAATCGAAAGGCTGGTGCCTGGCTGAGTTTGAAATAAAAGATTTATGAATATGTTATACAGAGACAGGGCGCCATCATTGGGGAGCACATGAACACTCATATACATTCGTACACATAACCTTCATACTTTCTTATGAACAGAGTGACAGTAGTAGCATGATGGTGGGTTTTGAGATGGTCTATCTGCTGTTTAATACTTGCTCTGTCACATCAAAGCAAATGGATGTTATTTTCTTGTCCTGCAGGATTTCTTTTTTTTTTTTTTGTTTGTCATCTATTTCTTTCCTACTCATTCCTCTTCTGTTCTTCTTTTTAATCTCTTTCATCCACACACACTCTTTCTCTTTCTCTTTCCTTCATCTCACTCTAACGATCCCTTTCCTCATTGATGTGACACGTCCATATCATTATTACAAGAAAAAGCTCTTTTCCCTTACGATTTACGACCTTTGCTTCTCGTCCCATACATCTCCTCGTATCACTTCCTAACGCATCCTTCCATCGTAGAATTACTCATTCATCTTTTCTAATTCTTTTTTGATTTCCGCTGTAAACGGTACATTTCTTTTTTATTTTTATTTTTATTTATATATTTATTTTTATTTTTACTTTTTTATCTATTTGGTTTTTGGCATCAACTTTGTGAATCGGGTGCTTCTTGGATTAGCTCAATTTTCACAGTGAGCAATATTAAGCCTATTCTCCATTCACACACTTAAAAGGCACAGGACCAGTATTATTAACGAACTTTCTCTCTCTCTCTCTCTCTGTCTTCCTTCTTTCTTGTCCTCCTCTTTTCATTTCCCATAGACCACTCTCACGACTTCTTTTTAGCCCGTTATTTCTCCTTTCCTCTCCTTCAACTTCAGGACAAACACTTAACGACCTCTTTCAGGAATAACCACATCCAACAATCTCTTTCTCTCTCTCTCTCTATCTCTTCTTCCATCCCTCTTTCTCTCTCCCACACTCTTTGAATCGCTTCGCCCCTGTATATTTTCCATTCTCTCTTCCAACCCCATCCGCTCTTCCAAGCTTTTTTTTATTGCACAGACTCATTATGGGTAACTTTCTGTCTCAATTTAACGACCTCATCAACAAAGATGGAGACTCGAAAGTACCTGATGTTCAACTTGACTTTGAAGGTACGACAAGCACAGCTTTTTTTTTTTTTTTTTTTTTTTTTTTCTTAAAAAAAAAAAAAAAAAAAAAAAACAAACAAACAAACAAAAGAAAATGTCATTATTGATTGTGGTGTACATACTTGAAAGAGAATGTGTAAAATGACATTGGTCATTTGTAGATGTAGATGAATGTTTTGTTACTAATGAAATGACTCGTGTTGTCCGGTCGGTGATTCAAACTAATAGATGCTTCCATGACAGACGAAGATCTCGAGTCTTACTCGAATGTGTTGAACATGCTGGATCCAACAGGTGAAATACTCGATCAACTGAGGAACTATCAAGGTTGTGGTGATTACATTCGTCAGGTAAGAAAAAAGCCTTTTTGGCATAACAAATCGTTCGCGACACCAACGTTTGGTATCACAACAGAAAATGTGTAACAGGATAAATTTGGATGATACAGGATATCACCAATGACAGATCGACTTACCAGCAACTCAACTTCAGTACAACAGAAGCACACGCGGGTTTAATGATGCATGTTGGATGCAATAAGAGTGAGCGAGTGTTAGGAGAGGAAGGGGAAAGGGGTAGGGAATGACCTAAAGGCTTTGAACTACCACATATTTTTTATTTTTTTTCGTGAATTTGTTCATTCCAGGAGATAATTTTAAAACGGAGGCCATGTGGTCATGACAGGGCTGAATAAAAGCCTCTAACATGACGTTCAAGGGTCTAAAAATTCAACCTGGCAGAGGTGACAGCCATGCAGTGATATGCTTTGATTAACCACGCACAAAAAAAAAAAAAAAAATATGGAAAATATCCCTGTTGGCTCAATGAGGAAAGTAACTCGGGGTTCATATATTTTGAATCAAGTTTGGCTCGGAAGCACAATACAATATAGGGGCTTTGTGAGAACCTGCAATCGGAGAGCTTCTTTACTTTGTCAGTGGTTAAAGCGCGGTGCGCATTCAATTAGGTTTTATTCTCTCTTGAATATGAATCCCCGTCAGCTTGCAGCTTTATACCCCAGGGGATTTGTTGCCCAGTTGATATTTTTACAACTGCCTTCGTTACAATGCATTGTGCTCTCGTGCATATCGTCTGTGCATAAGACGTTTGAGCATTTCTATCGTTCCGTTTCCAATGGTTTCTTGCAAGAGGTTGCGCTCTAATTATTTTTACGTTAAATGAACTGATATACTCATGGGGAAGTGTGTTATTTTTATCATTTGTCGTGTGAGGATTGGAATTGCACTCTAATCATTTGCAACAAGCTTTTTGATATGCCCACTGTCAAACATCTGGTTGCGACTGATTTGACTGATTGCTGCAGCAGTACTGAAGATACTCTTGTGTCGTATATTTTTAAAGTTATTTCCTACCTTTTTGGAGCTTTATTATTATGTTTTTTATTTTCACCTTATTCCTTTCACTTTGTTCACAGCAGTCGATCAAAGAGGTTTCGTCTGTTTGGTAAATTAGCAGGTGTTTATTTTTACGCCACGATCGTGGCTGCATTTCATATTGAGAGCCCAATTCTATTTTCAACTGTTGAGCAAGTTTGATGTTGGCTGGTGCAGGCAACAATGACTGGGATTGCTGAGTCAACACGATCAGAGTATCAGGAAGATAGACGACTTCAAATAGATAGTCGTATTCATGATTGTATCAAATGACATTCCCAAGGCGTATACACTAACATATTAATGACTATGACCGTCAACTTCCCCATAATCTCATATAGGCCATTGGAACACCTGGACCTGAGGCAGAAACTGAAGCTTGGAACCACGTGGTGCCTGCTGTTACCAAGCTCAAAATGTTTTATCAATACTCGACATCCATCGGTATGTGTGGCAATCATGTTTTTGTTACTCTGCTCTTATGTTGTATGGTTTTCTTATGCTCAAGGAAGCTCATCTTTTTTTTTTTTTTTTTTTTTTATTATTATTATTCAATAGAAACTTCTCTTCCTCAAATTCTTCAGACGCTCTGCATTGGTGATGTCAACAAAAACTTGGAACGGCATCAGGCTTTGGCTCGCATTTTGTGCCAGTTGCTTGATTTCGTCTTTGAGTTTGATTCGCTTAAAATGAAGACTCCTCAGATTCAAAACGATTTCTCATACTATCGACGCTGTCTTTCGCGCGGCAAACTTTCAAACGAAGTTGATCTGAAATCCGCCATGAATGAGGACGAACTAGCGAACCATGTCTCGATGTTCTATGCGTACCCAACTCCAATGTTGAAGACCGTGACGGAAGTAACGACACAGTTTGTTGCAAAAAATCGCGTGGGACGGAGTGTCTCGGAATGTCTAGCAACTCTGGCAGGTGTGTGCTATCATAGTGTGAGCAATAGTAAGAAGAAGCCACAAAGGCCAGAGACGACGGCCTTCTGCTTGCGAGTAATGGTGATCTCCATCATCATCTATGACCACATTGATCCACAAGGAGCATTTTCAAAGAGTTCGCCCATCAATCTCAAAAATTCCGTCAAGGCAATCCAGACATATGGCAATACAAATGATACACCCAACCTTATGTCCGCACTGAGGTATAACACAAAACACTTGAATGACCCAACGACCCCAAAGTCACTCAAGACCTTGATTACGGGCACAGCCTAAGACATAACCTTTATTGGGTTTTATCATTTCTACAATATTTTCTGCGCTTTTTCTTTTCTTTTCTTTTTTCTTTTCTTTTATTATTTTTATTATTGTTGTTGTTACTATTATTATTATTCGACATTCAAAATATTACCATAATTCCTCGTTTGATGTCTTTTTCGTCCTCTCTTCCGTAAACGATTCACGTCTGGAAATGACTTTCAAAACCAAAATCAAAACCAAATAAATTATGATAACCCTCTATAAATGACAGTTTTCATGTTTGTGAATTATTGAAATCATCAAAGGCTATTTTCCTTTAGATAGATTGGGCTCCTCCATACACAGGATGTGGTTCGTACAAAAACTTCAGCATGGCCTGGTCTGGCCCGGCCCAGACCAAGAGTCAAAGAGTCACAAGAAAAGAAGGCATGCATAGCCTCTCCAATTCTTCAGAAGAAAGAATGTGAATACAGGTGTGAAGCTTGATTTTTTTTTTTTTTTTTTTTTTTTTTTTCAATTCTGGCAACTCATCCGAATCTTCGTGGTTGCAATTAAGAATTGCAAATCATTTTACAGAACTATTGGCACCGAGTAAAAGTAAAAAAATAGACTATTTCTTATACCAAGCCATGGCCGACAACAACCCAGTCGTATACCAGCCTCCGCCCCCTTACTCTGCTACAGCTCCTGGCAGTCAATCTCAGCAGGCTATTTCTGGTGCTGTTCATGGTATACAGTCTCAATATCAGCAACAGCAGCAAGGTCTTGTGCAGCATCCACCAATCTCTCACGGTAGCCAGCTCGCGTACGCTGCAATTCCGGTGAATGCACAGTCATTGCCGTCGCCCCACATATCAGATATCAAACATTCAGCTCTGCTTTCACAGCAACCTGTACAACAGAGGGCAGGCCAAGTCTATGTCGCTCAAGCTATTCAAGCACAAGGTCAAGCTGTGCAACTAAACCAACCTGTGCAATTTCAACAGCAGACAGGGCCCTCTCCAGCTGCGGCACCAATGCCTCCTAATAGTACCGTAATCTATACACCCTCGGGCCACCAACAATATCAACCTCTTCACACCCAAGTGTCTGCAGCAACTGTAGTACCAGTGAGGCCAGTTCAAACCCCAATAATGGTTTCTGCACAAACACCGATGCTGGCATCCCCACCAACGTCTCCACCATCTCAATATCCCAATTCTCCAATGCAGTTCACTACTCGCCCGGCCCCAATCATTCAACATCAAAATCCAGTCAATAGTGCAGTCGGTACAGCTTATACTACAACAACAGCTGGGCCGACAATGATTCAGGTCATAAATCCTCCTCCTAAGACGACAAAGACGACGACAACGCATGTTGTGTCAATTCCCGCCACACCAGCGACCTTCCAACAGCAACAACAACAACAATATGTCCAGGTCCAAAATCAACCTTTGCAACAATATGTTGTTCAACAGCAACTAGTGCCAACGCAGCATCCCAGCCAACTCCAACTAGGCCAACCTCAACTTGTTCAGCCCCATATCCAGTTTGTTCAACCACAATTGGCGCAGCCTCAAGTTTTACAACCCCAGCGCATAATAACATCGACTCAACAACAAGTTTTACTTGTGAATCCAATGCCTCAGCTTGTAAACAGCAACTCAAATGCTAATAGCAATCATGGAACAGATGGTGTTTATTATCAGGCAGCCTATCAATTACATGGCCCCTTACTGAGTAAACCTGCCGGTGGTCGACAGAATAAATACAACCAAACTACGACCCATACAACTACGGTTCATTATGTACATTCGGCTAATCAGGCTCCTCCTCCTACGTCTACTCCTGTTGTTTTTACCACTCATCAGGGTGGGCAATTTGTTTCACCTGTAACCAACTCACAGACCTTTATACATCACACTCCGCATGTTCACCAGAATGTGCAGCAGAGACCACAGATTATTCAGCATCATTATCATCACATTCCAAGTAATAATGGAAATGGAGCCAACTCATCCCAGCAGATTACTATCGAGCCAAATGTGACATTTGAAGTTCAAGCAGGAGGACAGGTTGATCAATCAACCTGGGCTGATCCAGGATTATCTGGCACGGATACAGCAGGACTTGATTTGTCTGGATTGTCAGGTGTCGATTTATCTGGGCTTGTGGCAGCTAGCGGAGGGATTGACTTTAGTGGACTAGGAGGAGATTTTGGATGCTAATCGAGATGAAACCTATTTAAACTCTCTAGTTATAACTAGTCACCCGTAATACCCCATTTGCGTCTTTCTCATCATCTGAAAGTTTATTGGCATTTGCAGCTTAAATAAGGCTAGAGAAACTTTCAAGACGCGTTGTAATTTTGCGTTGACTAAAAAAAAAAAAGCTCCTTTATTTGAAAATGGTGAAAATAAAAAATTGCCTATTTCGGCGGCAAAGTCACTCTAGGAGTCAATTGTCTATTAAGATAAATATTCAGATGGTCTGATGTTTGTTTTTTTTCCCTGCATCACTGTATTAGTCCCAAACAGCTTTTCCCACACGAGACGCCCTTTCTTTTTTTTTCTTTCCTTTTTTTTTTTTTTTTTTTTTTTTTCTCATTTCCTTTTTCTCCTCTGCTTCCTTCTTTACACAACACACACATTAACTCAATCCTTCAATGTCCCCAGCCTTTAAAGCGCCTTACTCCTCTCATACTTGTGCAGACGCAGCTTCGCCATGGTGTGATAATAACGAGGCCAAAACTTCAAAGGACTCAAGCAGTTCAGTCACCGCTCGCCGTCCTATGCTATACAAATTTATGGATTCGTTAGAAAACTCCATCTTCTTTAGTGGAGTCGGGTCCTTGAGCCACGACGTCGAGTCGATGAAATTAAAATTAGCTGCAGATAATACCTTGGTTGCGAAATGTGACCAGACACCACAGCAACGTATACATTTCAAGCAGGAACGTGATCTTGAGACGAGTTTGTCTACTGTTGCCCCTCGAGCTGATGACGCTTTCTCTTGGCTCAACTGGCTGACCTCAGATGCCAATTCTATGGTTCTGAAGCGGTATAGGATCACAATCGAGGAGTTACCAGAGCTGGATAGACGCGATTGTGATGCTTCTCATACGAACGACAGGCCGGAAAGAAAGGGTGTTAAGCAAATAGAAACAAAGTCAGTGATAGAACACCAGCAAGGGAAACCTTGGGTTGCCACCGCTGTAACTAAGATGCCGCCGAGTATGATGAGCTGGATATTGAGATATACAATGCAAAATCCGTATCATGACAACGTGTCCACTTTTCATTATAGTACCGATGCTGACCATAATGAAGTTTTGAACATTCAAAGAGCTGAGACAACAGTCACCCCGCAAACTAAAGAAGATGATGCATTCAATCCATTAGAGGATTCCTTCATGGGTTTCTTGGCAATGGATAATAATACTAAGCAAGGAACTAGTAACACGAGCACTGAAGCGACTGACCAAGTTGGATCGCCACTAGATACTGATCATGAACTTGTATCTGCTGTAGCTAGTTCGACAGCTGCGATTGTCGCATCCACTTCAGCATCCGCTTCCCCCTCCATTCAGCTTTCAGCACCTGCAGCTCTTATTAAGGATACTGAACAGGGTGCTGAGCTGCCTCCTACAAAGCAAGAGTTGAACCACGGAGACCAGTCTCTACCGTGGTGGCAACTCCGCCGTCACTGTGAAAGAAATCTTAACAAACGATATGAGCAGGAGGAGTCCAGAGCTGTGCACATTCAAAAAAAATGGCCACAGAGGCATCGACCGCTGCGACAGGGTGAGGTATGATGATAACATTAAAAATAAAAAATTTAAGCTGATTTGTGAAAAATAATGACATGAAACCCAACTAATCAAGCCTGCTATTACCGGTCCTATAGTCCTTTACTCAGACGACCGTAACTCGCCCAGATGGTACTGTCGAATCCAGAATGGTGAGTTATGATCGAGAAACTGATATTGTGGAGACCCGGACAAGGGTCCAGTATTCTGATGGCTCCATTCAAGAATCGGTTATTCGTGAGGGCAGTCAAAAGCTCAGCTCGGATTCTTCTTCTCCAGCGAGGGTCTTATTTACAAAGCATCAGCAGAAAGGACAGGAAGAAAGGTCTGAGGAGCAAACAGCTGATGCATCGCAAGGAGGGCGGCGACAACAGCCGGTCGAAATACATCCATTCCGCCAGCAGCCAGACGAAGCAGTGACTTCACGAAGTTTTAGAGAGCGGATGGCTCAGCGACATCAGGAGCGTGCAGAGCGTCGTGCGGAACGCCACAGAGAGAGGCAGGAGCGACGACAAGAGTTGAGGGATGTAGAAGCACGCCAACGGGAAGCTATAGCGGCCGCTTACGGGTTCAATACCAATGCTAACAATGGAAACGGTAACGACCACCACAATGTAGGTGATGATAACGTAGATTCGGCCAGCACGACAGAAGATTCGCATAGAGCGCACCTTCATTTCCATCGGCTTCATGATCCACAATATCGAAGCACATGGCATCAACGTCATGAAGATCACGAACGTGAGCGTTCGAGACTGAGACGCCAACAAGGAGAGGAGGAAGCTACGTCTACAAACAAGGAATATCAAAACATTCGACAATCCTGGCCACCTCGTGGTTATTTGCGTAGGTTAGGAAAGGAGCAGGAGAATGGGCAGGAGCATGGATCAAGGCATAATATCTAGAAGAAAAAAACCTGTTAGTATCAAACCGCTTTGAGTATTTTGAGTTGACGCGAACCGCGGTTACAAGGTTATAATTCACATGCGAGGCATGTTGGTTAAATTATTTAATACAGAGAACACAGAGAGCTATGAAAGAGGAAAGAAAGAGAGCCCCTGTTGATTGTCTTTATTATTGTGGGCGAAGGCAGTGTTTTTGATAATGTCAGTCCTCACTCTTACTTCCCCCCACACTTTTTATTCATCTATAAGGACATGAGACCAACTCCTTGGATACACGAATGTCTGAAGAGTGTTACTGTGTGCACAGAACTATTTGCACTACTCTTTAATTTATATATATAAAAAAAGCGCCGAAGGCACAAGATATTATGACAAAGCTGAATTATATTCAGAATATGGGAGATGATTCTAACTTATGCAAGGCCTCAGCTACTGGTTCATGCACACGGCGGCTACAAGAATATGAAGCAATTTTTTTTATTTATATTTTAGTCATGCAAGTGAAGAGCGGTTTGTTGCGTTTTGTACAACTCCACGGAAGGTGGGGTTTGTGTTGATGAGCCAATAAACCTTAATGAGTACAGTTAGTGCAGGTGGCATATGAAATTAAAGAAATCAGAATACACACAAGCAATAGTTCGTCAGCTTCATTGCCCAACAAGTAGGCGCATGCTTCTCCACTATCTTCTCCACTACCTTCTCCACTATCTCCTCCACGTCCTTTTTGTGAGCCGAATACAAAAATTATCCCATTTCTTTATTTCTCTCCAACTTCTTTCTTTCTTTTTTTCCTTCCTTCTTCCCCCTTTTTTCTCTAACTAGTCGATCTAATATTCCCCCCATTGTATTTACTTTAAATCGACATTCATTAGTTTACAGGGTACCCTTATTTTGGAATTATCATAGTATCCTCGTATGCCACCAAGCGCCAAAACCGATAGCCAAGAGGGGTTCAACCGGAGCCAAGGATTTCCCGCTTTTAATGCCTCTCGACGTCGCCAACCGCCACCAAAGCTCAAGAAGCCAGTGCCACACTACCGTCATTTAGTCCGATGGAATGTAAACTCAATTGCCGAATCAATTGAAGAGCAACAAATGAACCAGGACCTCATAATCCTTCGTCAAGGTCTCGATCTCTTCTTAAACAATCAAATGGCAGAATGTGAGGCTATCTTGGCTAGAGGTCCTGTTCCTATATCAGAATATCGTGCGAACCCTGGTGATTACAAGGGAGCCGCAGCCGCACAGAAAGCTGCTGAGGCGCTAAAGGACTTGAAATTACAGGACCCAGTTAACTCCAGGAACAACAATAGCGACGCATCAACCATCAGCTCATCCTCTGCACCTTCTACTACTGATGACGCCACAAAGGCCGGCTCTGCACCATCAACTGCAGGCAGCAAGAAGGGCTCAAAGAAGGATAAAGCGCCAAAATCTATGTACTATGAGTTGGCGAAGGGCCTCATCCAAGGACTGCGAGCATTGGTCACATTTGACCCTGAAGAAATCGAATTGGGCATGAAAGCTTTTGAATCAGCCATCAAGACTGCAGATAAACAGCGCAAACCCTCCATCGTCGGCCTGGGTTCGGTCAAAGCTGTAGGGTCTTTCGTCGTGGGTAGTATTGGCGCCGGGTCCTTCAGGGGCATGAACCGAGTGCAGAAGCACGCTGTATGTGACTTGAGCTTTATATACTTTCTTCCCTTCTCCCTGTGTTGCTATGTGTACATTTGCTAATGCTCTTTTGATCCCACTTATTCAATATAGGAGCTGATTTATGCTGAATCAACGATTTTGCGTTCGTTGTTGAGTGTCCTATATCATATTGACTTTTGGATGATTTTTGAAGAGTGTATCAATCTACGCCACGCCTTCACAATTATCCAGGGCCTCAAGTCTTTCATGGATAGTGTCGAGTCCGAGCTCCGAGCAGGCAAAAACATTGATCATCATCAAATTGATGAACATCTTGTCTCAGGCGTCACGCTCTCATATTCGCTCTATAATATCATCATTTCATTTTTGCCTGATATCATTATCAAAATGCTACAATTTATCGGGTTTCCTTCCGACCGTGATTGGGGCATGGCAATGTTAGGAGCCTGCGGTGATTGGGATCCTATGGCTCCACCAGAGACTCCTGCAGAGCATGCTGAACGACTGGCATCTTCTGCTAACGACGGTGTCCGACGACAGTTCTGTGACATGGTGCCTATTATTTTTCAAGTCATTATTTCGTCTTTCATCCCCATGAATCATATTGATCTGGGTTACGCACAAATGATCAACGACTACAATTTGGAACTCTATCCTGAGTCATGTTTCTTTTTGTTCTTCAAGGGACGCCACCTCCAAGTTACTTCAAAGCTAGATGAGGCTGTGGCCACATACAGATCTGTTCAGGTTGAGGAGCCTCGGTGGCACAACTTGGGTCACATCTTTGTCTTTGAAGAGCTGATGTGTGCCATGATGCAAGGGGAGCATGAGACAGCTTGCAAGAACAGCCGTCAACTTTTAAAGGAGAGTCGCTGGTCTAAATGCTGCTTCCGATATCTGACTGCAATTACAGGCTATGAGCGTGGCGACTCTTCAGAGGAGAAAAAGATTAATACTCTGATGGGGAAAGTGGAAGATGGTATGCAAAAAGTAGCAGGAATGAACTTGTTTTTTGAAACGTTCTGTGCTCGCAAATCCAAGCGTTTCATTAAAGAGGGTCATTTGCTACTACCCAGTTATGATTTCATGTTATTGTGGAACACTTTCGACATGATGCCCCCCAAGGTGCTCCAGAAGGCTCTTATGAACATCTCGTCCGAAGTCCGTCGTTTACAGGCTCTCCTACCCCAAAAGATGAAAGATCGCGAGGACCAACCTTTAGCTGCAAAGGACCAAACCATCGAAGCCTTCTCGGGTGGATATCTCGGCGGCATGTTTTCCAACAAGAATGCGATTATCCGTGACAGCAAAGTGGACAATTATGAAAATTTTTACGATGATTACTGTCTAGCATTTTTCCTTCAAGGCTTGGTAGCATACCACATTGCGTTCTTCCCGGAGCAGGCTTTCAACAACGAAATGTGTAAACTGGCATTGGAGTCCTTCAAGACAGTTTTCCGATATGCTCCTTTGATCAAGGATGATACATACACATATTATTTTGCACATTATTACAGAGCCAAGATTTGGATTCACCAGGGACATTTGGATGAGGCCCAAAGCCGTTTCAAATACTTGTTGGGTCTCTCAAATACAAACTTGATAGGTCTTCCTGCTTTAATGGGAGGCAAGGGCAAGAACAGTTTGGAGTTTTTTGTGCTGATGAAGGTACACAGTGGTCTCCTAGATATCGAGACAGTCAGATCTGCAGCAGCTGGGGCAGATGGATCGAGTATTCGATCTGACGAGCAGTGAGCAAATTACGATAAAATATTGGATAGATAAAAAAAGTTATTAAAGTTATTTTGTTGCAGAGAAATTTGACGCGTTATTCCTTTTTTTATTTACTTTTTTTTGACTTTGGTTTTTTTTTTTTTTTCTTCTACTTCTCATTCTACTTCCTCTTGACATTCATCAATCAATCGCTTTCTTGTTCTCATACTCATTGACTGCGATTTTACCTCTTATTTGTAAAGGAAATATACTCTTGCTCCTACCATGCTCCCCAAGAAGAAAACTAAGGAGCTAAAACAGACTAAATTGTGCTTCTCCCTTTCACCAGCAAAAAAAACAACAGCAGCGGCAGCATCACCACAGACACTGTTCACCGTGGAAGCACCATGTTTGGAGCCTCATGTTGCGATCCTCAAGTCGAAACAAGATAATCTTAACAGGCCTGCCGTAAACAAAAACACTACCCCTTCACTGACTTCATTCTCCAACTTGTCAAAGACGCCACAAATTAGTGACAATAAAGATTTAAGCAGTAAAAACAGCCAGGCGTTAACTAATGGTAGTTCGGATTCATTGTCAGTTCGAGGACTGACCCCGTCTATACCTTTATCCAAAACAACGTGTGGATATGAGACTACTACAGGTGAGCGTTGACGCGAAATCCTTCACCAAGAAAAAAAAAGTATCCAGTGCTAATATTAAAACCACTAATGGCTCTTCTAGTGAGTGGAGAAAATTATGAATACATATCAGAGTGTATCCAATCAGATTCCTGGACCGATAAGAGTTCATCTCGCTCTTCAGTAGGAGGATTGGTAAATGTCTCTGAAGATGCTTCACAGATTATGAGCGAGTCACGGAAACGGAAGGCAGCGACAGAGCTAGATAGACAAATGTTAAGCCATGGATCAGGCATGAAGCTGGTAGAGCTGGATTGTGATTCGGAAGAAGAAGTACGTCAAAGTTTAAAGTCATCATCATCAGTATCATCTCACAAAATAGTTGGATCATTTCCTGGGCCGGGATCAGTATCAAAAATGTCGCTTCTGGAACAAATGACTACACCGAGAGGAACTCGGCCACTCCCACGAACAGCAAACCTTTTGAATGCTAGAGGACAAAGTATGGGGAGTGGACGGACATACAGTCGACCAAGCTTGACTTCATCAGGTTCGCAAGTCTCAGATGATGGTTTTACCTCTGCATCTAGTTTTTTGGATAATAAGATGCAGGGTTTTCTAGGAAGCCAGGAACCAGAAATACTACCACCTTTGTCTCAGATCAGCTTAAATAGAGACACACATTATACACAGAAGCTTCTACAATCGTTGCCACAAACATCTTCTTCACAGCAACAGCAGCAAAGCCAACAAGGTACTGGCTATAGCAGTAGTCAAGTCAAGACCCAGGACTATAGTCAGAATCGATCTGGTGACTTCACGGCTCTCAGCAAGGGCGGTAACAAGAAACGTGTGCTTCCGCCATCCATATCAGGATATCAGACAACGCCATCGATACGACCTGGTTTTCATCTCAACTCCAAGGCTTTGAGTGCGTCTGCGAGGTCCAGATCCTCTTCACCGGCATCATCACCCTTGTCTGCGTCTTCTTATGAAGTCATGCCAAATAGTCAAGATACCTCTTCATTCAGCCGAACTAAAGATGGGATGCTTCTTTCGGATGAACAGCAGTATGTACTCCAGCAAATCATAACCTATAATAAGAATGTCTTCTTTACTGGATCTGCAGGAACGGGGAAATCAGTACTCTTGCGTGAACTGATATACCGGCTTCGGAGTAAATATAACAATAGCAAGAGCGGAAGAGATTATTGGGAGTCTGCCAATGATTCTGTTGCTGTAACTGCCTCAACCGGGATAGCAGCTTGTAATATTGGGGGGTGTACGTTACATTCGTTTGCTGGAGTTGGGCTGGGCCAAGACACATTACCATCGTTGCAAGCCAAGGTGCGAAAAAATAATACGATTGTTCGACGATGGCAGGATACTAAAGTTTTGATCATTGATGAAGTATCAATGATCGATGCAGACTTTATGGATAAGCTGGAAGCTCTGGCGAGATTCATCCGAAGGAATGAATCCCCGTGGGGCGGAATCCAGGTAGTCCTGACAGGTGATTTCTTCCAACTTCCACCAGTAAGTAAAGGAGGGAATGCTAAATTTTGTTTTGAAGGCGAGTCATGGTCACGATCGATTACGGAGACAATTCAGTTACGGCAAGTGTTTCGACAAAAGGATCAGGCGTTTGCTGATATGCTGAATGAGATGCGATTGGGGCAGATGTCTCCAGGGACGTTGCAGCGTTTCCGAAGTCTGGCACGTGAACTTCAAACAAAAGATGGTCTTCGACCGACTGAATTGTAATACCAATGTTGTCGAGCCTTTCTCTCTTTATATATATATGTGTGTATTATAACAAAAAACTGAAGTAACATTCCTAAATCGACACTCTTTCAATATTTGTACGTCATAGGTTTCCATTGCGCAATCAGGTGGAGGAAGCTAACAATCGCATGTTGAACAATCTCTCTGGAAAAACTGTTGTTTTCCTTGCCAAGGATCGTGGTCCCATGAAGGAAAAGATGGAACAAAATTGTCTAGCACCTACAACACTGCATCTGAAAGTGAATGCACAGGTGATGTTGTTGAGAAATCAATCAGGAGGTGCTAGTGGTCTTGTTAACGGTAGTATTGGTATTCTGGTTGGATTTGTTACGAAACCAGCAGATAATGAGAATCAAGTTGGATCGGATGGTCTGCGCAGAGGATCGCTTAATACACCTGGCGAGGAGTTACCACTGGTCCGGTTTACACTCGAAAGCGGCGCCACAAGAGAGATGGTAGTCGGAAGAGAAGAGTGGAAGATTGAACTGCCCAATGGAGATCTCCAAGGGGCACGTGTTCAGATCCCACTTGGACTTGCTTGGTCGTTAAGTATTCATAAAAGCCAAGGACAAACACTACCAAAGGTCCGAGTAGACCTGGGGCGGGTCTTTGAGAAAGGACAAGCGTATGTGGCATTGTCGCGAGCCACGTCTTTGGATGGACTGCAGGTTCTTAATTTTGACCCTAAAAAAGTCATGGTTCATTCTAAAGTTGTAGAGTTTTATAGGAACTTGCGGGTATATGTTAAGGTGGATACGAAGAGAGAGGAGACATAATAAAAGCTAGGCACAACTGCTTTAGTGTGATTAAAAAAAAAAAAAAAAAAAAAAAAAAAAGAAATGTTACTTCAGTCACTTTAACATGTTCATTATTTTCTGGATAGAAACGAGCGTGATTGTTTCATGCCAGTTTCATGGAAGTTGTTTTGCATTATGGCGTTTGGTTTCATTCTCGCTCACCACCAACTGAGCAGCATTTCTAAGCATATGGGGAGCGGCGATAGAAGAAAGATTTGTGGAAGGTACAAAACACATCCAAAAGTAAACATTGAAATATGTACTGTATAAATATCTGTATTCAATGCTTGATGCATGTTTACAGTTGTCGCTTTGTTTGTTTATTTCGCCTGCGCACACACAATAGAAGGTCAATCATCAATCATCTGGACAATTACACCAGATCAAGCTATATTTTGCATATTTGCAATAGTGACGACAGGGCTCATTCATTTCTTTGGATCTCAAAGAGTATTTTATCCGGGAAAGGATTCATCCCATCATTCTCACCATCGCCATCACGTGTAGAGGGTACATGAATGAGCTTCTGTTGGATCTTGCCCGTGCTACACTATTTTTTCTCCTTTCTTCTTTCTTTGTCTTTTTCTACCTTTCATTACTCTATCTGTCTGCCTTTTCCCTTCTTTCAACTAACCAGCTGACCTGATTCTTTCATTTCATTCTGGTCATTGTCTTAACATTTTGAATTGGATTCCATATTTCATACATTTCATTTTTAGCCAACGTCTTCATACATTATTGGCTGTACTTGGTCCGTTCACTTGAGCATTCCTCCGAATTATACTTTACGTTGACAATATCATGACCAAATCGAAATCACCAAAAAGAAAAAATACCAACAGCACCAACAGCAATGGCAACCCTCCTGGCACTATCAAGACTAATCTGTCTGATGCCGCTGCTGCCTTGCAGGCTGCAACGATTGACGCACCTAAATCAATAACCTCGGAGCGACCTATTGCTCCTTCAACATCGCCTAAACATAACAAGCGTTCAACACCAGTCAGTCCCCTCAAAACTCTCAGTCCTACTGGACAGGATTCTGGGACTAAACACCTCGAAAATATCAAAGACAAGGCCATGGATGCTCTGAACGACGTCAAGGATGTCGTACAGCTCGCGGCCAAGAAATTTGAAAGTGTGATTGAGAATAAACAGTTCGCACCCATGGAAACCATCGCAGAAACCAAACAATCGGTAAAAGAACAGAAACTGCTGTCGAAACCTCAATTGCCATCTTCTGCACAGTCAGCATCAGTAAACAGAGCAAACGTCTTGGCCCCATCTGCGTTGTCATATTTGAGCCACAATCTATTCGACAACCTTCGACTTGATCGCAACAAATACAACAACAGCAAAGAGGAGGAGGATGAGAGCAATAGTGAAACTGAGAGCAATGATGACAGTGAGTTAGATTACAGCAGCAGCAGTAGTGAAAGCAGTAACAGCGTTCATACTACTGAAGATGAAGAATCTGAAGAAGAGGACTTCATAGAAGAAGAGGAGGAGGACGAGGACGAAGTAGAAAGAAAAGAAGGGATCGACAGGAATATTCTCAAGCTGAGGCGGCAGCCGAGCACATCAAGCAATGTATCGACTGTTTCACGAAAAAAAAAGCAGCAGCAAAAGAAACAACTACAACAGCAACAAGAGCAACAGCAACAACAAACTGTCTTACCAGAGTCCCCAACTCAAAAGAGGTTTTGCCTGAAGTCTCAGGATGAACAGTTTCCTCTTCATACAGGGCAGTCTGTGTTGACCCAATCAGCAGCTGAAGTTACATCGCCTCGAAGCCGGAGTCCTAGTCAAAATCACCGTCACCATCAAGCAGAGGTATGTAGCTCAACATTATTGAAAGATCTAATTGTCGGACTTGAGATCCCCCACAAACATTGAGCGCGGATCCCTCCCCCTTACCTTGTGCTTGTTTATTTATCTGTTTGGTCTTGTGGAGACAGCTGAGTACATGAATGGGCGTAACAGTAGAAAATGAAAGATTTCCTCTTCTTCTGCTGAACACGCATAATATTGTCATTTTGTAAAGGGCACAAGAAGAGGGGGGACGAAATGTTGTTGGCACACAGAGCACATGAAATGTGAGAGCATGGTATCACAACACTATTTGTTAATATGATACTTTAGCCTGTAGTGTTGTTAGCAGATCAATCAGCAAAGGCCAAATGGGCCAACTGGTCAGTCCGCACGCTATGGACATTGATTATGATCGGAGGTTTCTTTGCATGCGTTGCAGCAGGGCCTGCCTTCGTGATTCTTCTAGTTGTGTTGGTCCAAGGACTTGTTTACAAGGAAGTCATTTATCTTGCCAACGTACCGAGTAGAGAGAAAAAGCTTCCCTGGTTTCGAACGATGAACTGGTATGTCAAAATGAGACACATCGATTTTCCCCTACAATTTAATGTGTAATTTAACGCTTTAAGCAAAATGGCTAAACCTTTCTTTTGTGAATTTGCATGGTCATAATAGGTACTTCCTCTTCAGCACAAACTATTTTTTCTATGGCGAGAGTTTGATTCATTATTTTCAACATGTTGTCTTTGTCGACGCATTCTTACTTCCTTTTGCTACTCATCACCGCTTCATTTCCTTTACACTCTATGTTATCGGTAAGTCACTTCATGATCCACGGCTTAACAAGTTGTGTCTGCTGTTTCTATACAGAATATCAGTGAAGGAAAAGAAGAAAGAAAAAGGGGACCTAACGTTACTGTGCTGCTTTCTACTTGATAGGTTTCGTATTCTTTGTTGCCAACCTGAAGAAGGGTCACTACCGCTTCCAGTTCTCACAGTTTGCATGGACACACATGACATTGTTATTGGTCGTCTGTCAGAGCCACTTTATCATCAACAACATCTTTGAGGGTTTGATCTGGTTTTTCCTTCCAGTTTCGTTGGTTATTGCCAACGACATTTGGGCATACATCTTTGGATTTTTTTTTGGTAAAACCCCATTGATCAAGCTTTCGCCCAAGAAGACTGTCGAGGGTTTCGTTGGTGGTTGGATCATGACTATTGTCTTCGGCATACTGGTAAGTACTGTGATCACTGAAAATTGCATTAAAAAAAAAAAATAAAAAAAAAAAAAACAGTTACGAGAAGATTGGAAAGATTTATGAATTGATTTTTTCTTTCTTTCTTTTTTTTTTTTTTTTTGTTCAATGTCTCTTCTAGTTTTCCACCTTGTTCTTAAGATACCCATACATGATCTGTCCTGTCAAAGATCTGCGTTCTACAGCGTTCAGTGGACTTACTTGTGAGCCCAACCCAGTTTTCATTCCTGTAAAACATTACCTCAAGCCATGGATGGTGGCTCTGGTCCGTCATCTAGGAATGCGCAGCAACTATGTAATGATTGCACCCCTTCAATTGCACACCATTGTCATGGCATGTTTCGCATCACTGATTGCACCTTTTGGAGGATTCTTTGCCTCTGGTTTCAAGCGTGCTTTCAAGATCAAGGATTTCGGTCAATCGATCCCTGGTCATGGAGGCATCACAGATAGAATGGATTGTCAATTCTTGATGGGGTTGTTTTCATATATGTACTATCAGAGTTTCATCAAGACGACAGCACTCTCTGTGGGGGTAGTGTTGCAGAGTGCGATTAATAACCTGCAAGGACAAGAGCAGATGGAGTTGTTTGAACATATGCGACAGTATTTGATTGGGCAGGGTCTCTTAGATGAGGACAGCTGTGTCGTCATGCCGCCCAAGGAGGCATGGATTTCATAAAAAAATACTTTAATATAACGAAGCAATGTTTCACTTTGCATTACTTTTTTCTTTAAAAAAAAAATGTATGTGGTCTATTTAAACAATTGCACAAACAATAATCTATATTACTATTTCTATCCGATCTTCATCAACGACGATCTTGACCACGCTTTGATGGGTTTTGATCCAGTTCACGTATGCGACGATATCCGATTTGAAAGCCCTTCTCCTGTGGGTGCTCACCCTTCCACTTGATAGCAGTATTGCGGAGGGCTTTCTGATGTCTTGTTGGTCGCTTATCCAGATATTTCAACAATATTGAATCATCATTGTTGCTGTTGCTGTGAATATCTTGGCTCTGTCCACTGTTCGCATCATTTACAGAGAGTGATGGAGTGACACCAGACCGGCTGTCGATCTTTCCATGGCATAACCGCAATAAAAGCTTACGAGCTCCTTCATTCTCGAGCTCCCAGGTTTTGGTGTAGACAATAGGAAAATCTTTGAGTTGTGGATAAATTGGTAGAACAGATTCTTGGTGGATGGGGTCCAAAAATGACAGTGAAGACGGGATCTCGTTGTTATGTGATAATATTACTGATGTAGATGATGATGATTCTTGTGATGCATATGTTGATGCTGATGCTGGTGATGCTGATGATGATGATAAAATATCAAATGCTGATGTATTGGATGGTCTTGCTGTAGCCGTGCACTCGATCTCTGAGCGTAATCGGGTATTTGGTGGAGTAGCGGCGATGGAAAGCTCTTCTAATAGTGCAATTGATTCGTCTAGATAATTCATCCTAGCCAAAAGATTGATCATGCGGTTGTAACACTGATAGTCCGGCCGACGAGTCGACTTTTCGGTTAATTTGCCTGTACTCTTTCGCCATGATCTCCAATCCCGAAAGACCTCAGTCGCAAGCTCAACATTCTTCCAGTCATAGCATCCTTCTAGCATAATCGCGTACGACCAACTGTCGCGCTTCTGATGGAAATGACTGAAGTAACCCCTATAGATCTCTGTTGATTTTTCCATGTCAAGATGGCGGACATACATGGCAAGATAGGCGTTCAAGAGTCGAGTCCGGATGGGTGATCTGTATGCTAGATGTGGAAGAGACAGGCTTAAAGATTCCTCGTTATCTATAATGGCAACATCTTCAATCTGCGAATCCTCTATTTGCTCTGATTCCAGGCCTTTACTAGGTTGAAGTTCTGAGGTTCCGGAGGCAGGGAATTGTTCCGCACAGCGTGAGATAAACCAAGAGAAAACCAATTCGCCCTCAGCCAATGCTTCATGCTCGTCCTTTGGAGGCCTCTCTGGCAACATAAAGTAGCTAGGGATTATACTAAGCTCTGTAGTTCCTGCTTTAGGGGGTTCAGCAATCGAGCTTAACGTTTCCTTTAACTCTGTTGTTTTGGCTCCCAATGATGATGAGGACTCAATCTGGGCCTGTGCCGGGTATCTCGAACGTTGTTTCATATTCCGAATATGCTGGTCTTTAGTCTTCCAATAGGTCACGCACCATAAAAAGTTCGTTACTGTGATGGGATCTAGTTTCAAAGTGCCTTCACTATCTAGTTGCACGATCTTCTGAAAAATTCTACGAGCAGTCAGTAGTTCTTGTCGTTTGGAGCAAGCAAACAACAATGTATTGTATGTCATAATATCCGGCTCGAATCCGTAAATGGTCTGCATCTCATTCAGTAGTGCAAACGCGGTTGCAAAATATTGTGGTCGCATTGCACAGGCATAAATCAAGCTGCTGAATGTAGCTTCTGTGGGATGCAAGCCCCGACTTGGATAAGTTTTGAAAATATCAAGTGCTTTCTCCACCTGGTCCGTCTTTGCGCAAGCATGTATCATAAGGTTATAGGTGCTTTCGTCAGGCGTTGCGCCGCTCCGTTGCATCTGTTCAAATACTTTCCAACCAAGGTCGTATTCCCCTGCTCGTAAACATCCCTTGATCAGGTTGGTGAATACATCAACATCAGGGTTATGGTGTTGTTTGAGAGCTTCGAATACCTTAAAAGCACTGGCGACATCTCTCCTTCGCGCATGAATCTCCATCAGCGAGCTGTATGCTGAGGTTGAAGGCGTAAGCCCATCTGTAATAAAGATAAAGTGAAGTGCTAAAAGTAAGTACGGTTCTAAGATCAATGGAAACATAAAAAACCATCCTTCATAGGACTTACTTTTCAACATAAGCTCAATAGTGTTATGGGCCTTTTTCAGCTGATCAGACTTTGCATATGCCTGCATGAGATGATTGAAGGAAGTCATGTCAGGTTGAACCCCGACTTCATCCATGAGTTGTACGACTTTCTCTGCATTCTTGTAATTACCCTCCAAAGCGTTCACATATATTAGCGTGTTCCAATGCTCGATGGTCAACTTTTGGATACGCTCGGCTGCTAAAGGATTCGCATCCTTGACCATAGTTGCCAAGGAATCTGATGCTGGTCCCTTATTTATGTCCTCTGATGGCTTCTCTATTGTTGAACTTGGCAATGCCGCCGCATGAGTATCCTCAGCTGAAGGCAAGATATCCTGGAATCGCTTGATTGTTTCCTCGTTTGAGCCTTGAGAATCAATAAATACAAGTTTCAGATCTTCTAGGATTCTGTCCAGAAGGTATGGTTGAGTATAAACATTTCCTGGAATGCGCTTAGTTGGCGACGACGTAGAAGCTGTGAGAGGTGATGTTACGTTCTGATATACAAGTTTCGCAGACTCTGATCTCTCTTTAGCTTTAAGGATAGATTCTTCGTATGCTTTTTGAGCTGCCACTTTGCGTTCCTGATCAACAATAGCCCGTTCCAATTGTTGGATCTCTCGTTCGAGCTGCGACGTTTCGATTGAGAGCCTGGTTTTTGTCCTGCCAGAAATGAAAGAAATATAATGGTGGAGAAAAGCAATCCGGCGATCGCCACTAATGTTAATAATCTTTTATGCTTTGTGATATGCTTTGGGACTGGCACGATTATTTTTTTTCCTTGACTTACTTGCGAGAGTAGGCTCGAACTGGAATGTGGCTCAAACTATTTGGCCTCCAGTGACAGACTAGTCTGGGCAAGCCAAGTGTGCTGCTATACTGGATAGCTTTTCTGTTTATTACAGTCGCCAAGTGAGCCATCGAATTAGAAGAGGGCGTTGGCGATGTGGTCAGCGCTTCTTTTTTGAGAAAAAGGAATGCAAAAGAATGGTCATTAACAAGAGACCGCCGTCGTCTGAGTGTATGTACAACGGTAGCTCTGTTTTCATTTCAAGCGATAATAAAAACAAACACTTATTTCGGCAGTCCCGCTCAGGTGGCTTTCGGTGATTCCAAGGCAAAAAGCTGATTGTAGAACTGTGCATCATGACACCACAGGGGCCTATCGACCTTGGAAAGATAGTATAAAGCTAAAACTTTATGTGATCAGTCATCCGCATCTCATGAAAAGAGCCGTAGATATATTGCATTAACTTCAATATGTGTTTCTAATCGTCATTGCCTCAGCCATCTATGCTTCGTACTATTATTATCTTTAGCGGTAGTCATTTGTTTAAATGGGGCTTCATTCACATTTCTCATTGATAAGTATGAATTTGCCGTTTGTTTTGCTAGCTTACTTCTTTTTGTTGGTTTCTCTAGAACTTTTCTGGTCAAGTAGTAGAGGCAGCAAAAATAGCATTCTTCATATAGTTCGTATTTATTGGCACTGAGCAACTTATGGCAAGAAAAGTCAATATGAAAGGCCATGAGGGTTATTTGTGATCAGTTTAAATATATGAACCTTACCATAGTCAAGGAATTTGAGAAATCTCTAATATGAAAGCAGAAGCCCACAGCACATTTTGCTGGGCAATTTATTAACCAATTCAGTATGCTGGGCAGATATTCTTTTTGGCTATGCTAATGCTAGATGTTATCTTAGTAGGCTATCTGATTTTTAAGCAAGAGACATCATTGGCTTGATCTGGTAGGCCTATTAATCGTGTGTACTGCAGACGAAATAAAAAATAAACAAGCGCTATCCTAATGTAGCACGAAGTGCGTCAAAAAAAAAAAAAAAGGCAGGCATCAACACATTCACTGCTGCTCTTGTCAGGTCCAACCCCTGCTCTTTCTCTTTGACCGCGCCTTCCTTGGTTGCTCACCACTAGCTCGTCTGTATCAACGGCTGTCATTCACTATGACTTACGATCTTACATCGAGGATGATCCCATTCCTGGATCTCCATCTCGTCTTCCCCTTACTCGAGTTCCTCCTGATTGAAGAGGTACTTTAAATCTATTCCATTATCTATTATGGGTAAAGATGCATCAAGGAACCAACAAGAACCTGATTCAAGCGTTATGTCCGCATACCATACGCAGCAACTACATAAACTGACATACTATTGCATATTTGAGGCGCATCTAATCAATGATTTCAAAACTCGAGATTGATTCAACGTGGCAGGACAGATAATTGAGCTTTGATCACTCCTTTCGATATTGAATTCTTACCTATTGTGTATTGCATGTGATGCGCATAATAGCTTTACACCCCTGTAACCTTGCTCGAGGCTCGCTATGAGCTTGCCAAGAAGACCAACATGATTGACTTCATTGAGAAGCTCGACGATGACTTGAAGGATGCTGGCGTCATTCCAGCAGGTTCGTTTTTCACTGTTTAGAATAACAAAAAATGTTTAATGATTCGCATAACCGGTATTTTCTTCATTTCTGGGATTTTGAAAGCCAGATGAGAGATGACATCGAGTACTGACTATACCATCTTTATACGCGACTACTATGGGGATTTTTTTTAGGGGGCGATCTTATTAAGAGACGTGAGGATATTCTGGAGCAGTTGCAGAATGCGCAGTTCGAGGCTCAAAAGGTCATGGATGTGATCGAGAACCCTGATGTCATTGCAGCCCTTCGTCAGGACAAACTCCAAAACTTGCAATTTTTGAAGGATAACTACGGTGTACGTATCGTGTTGGCCGTTAACAAGATTGCATTCCTGGGAAATTATTTTGGAGCAATGAAAGGAGAAAAAGCCTCACACTCTTAATTATTGTTGGACAATATTTCTGCTTCTGTTTTCAATAGATGACGCCCGAGATGATTCAGACACTGTATACTCTAGGTCAATTCCAGTACAGCTGCGGAAACTATGGTGGCGCTGCTGATATGCTTTACCACTATCGTGTCCTGGTAAGGGTTCTTCAGGAAAAAAACGCCGTTGAACTTTGACTTGAAACAAAAAGCTAAATACATATTCTTTTGTTCTTCATAGTCGACTGATGACAATCTCAACCTGTCCGCTCTTTGGGGCAAGTTGGCTTCTGAGATCTTGGTCGGAAACTGGGAAGTCGCATACGAGGCTATCCAAGAATTAAAGGAAACTATTGACAAAACTGTATGTGACTTTATAGGTGTACAGAGTTGTTCTTTCCAGTGGTCTGTACTTGCTGTTAGAATGAAACCTAATAATTTATTATTATTATTTCCAATGGACTACATTTTTGTATAAAGCACTTCCCCTCTCCTCTTCACCAATTGGAGCAACGCACCTGGTTTATCCATTGGTCGCTCTTCGTGTTCTTCAACCACCCCAAGGGCGGCGATGCTCTCGTGGACTTGTTTTTCCAGCCTGCTTACATCAACACAATCCAGACTTCATGTCCATGGATTCTGCGCTACCTTACTGCTGCTGTTATTACCAACAGACGCCGCAAGAACTTGCTTAAAGATCTTGTCAAGGTTATCGAGCACGAATCTTATCAGTATAGGGACCCTGTTACAGAGTTCGTTGAGGCTCTCTACATCAATTTTGATTTTGATCTTGCCAAACAAAAGTTGATCGAGTGTGAGAAGGTTTTGGAGGGTGACTTCTTCTTGGTTTCAATCCAAGAGGAGTTTATCCAGAATGCTCGCTGCTTCGTATCAGAGACATACTGCCGTATCCACCAGAAGATTGATATTGCTGAGTTGTCACAGACTCTGAACATGAGTAAAGAAGACGGTGAGAAGTGGATCGTGAACCTGATCAGGGATACTCGTGTTGATGCCAAGATCGACTATCAGGAGAATACTGTCCTGATGAACACGAACACAACCTCAGTGTACCAACAGATCATTGAGCGGACCAAGGGCCTTTCCTTCCGTTCGCAGGTGCTTGCAACCTCGATTGATAAGCGTGAAGCTGCTCAGGCAAAGGCTATTGCACACGAGAAGAATCATCCTTCTTCAGAGGCAGCTTAGGGCAGCTCCTTAGATCTGTAGTGAAATAATGGAGGGATATTAAATGTTGAAGATGACTCGTTCAAGGACAGGAAGGGGATGTTGATTGAAAAAATAAATAATGAGCATTTGTACCACCCGTTTGGGGTTTGACCAAAAAAAAATGTTTTGGTCGCACACAAATGTGTTGACACCAAAGTCAACTTTCGGCTATGTAAATCCATATTATGTTATGCAATGCCATGCTGTGCTTTGACTAAGATGCTATTCTGCTTTGAAGAAGTTGCTCCGATAGATTCATTTAGGCGACTGTTCGATGCTTGTTGGTTTTCCAAATCTGCTTTGATTTCACCATAATTTAGCGGAATTGATTAGCCCTGAATAGGTGCTGCCATCCAGAGGGACAACTTCGAATGGACAGGATTTACTATGTTGTTCAAAACAATAAAACTTGACTGAAAGTCTGCTAATTCTCAAACTATGAGGCAAATAATGCTTCAATAGGATTATGGCGAGCTTTTGGGGTGCAGAAAAGACAAGATTGTCTCTTTTGAGCAATCAAGGATATAGGATTTGTTCCTTGGAGGCACCCTTTTTTGAAACCACGCTTGTTGCTAGTAAATACACAAATGGTTCCCGTTTTCCGCATACTTTCAGCGCTTCCACAATCCAAGGGCTGTGATGTAGCCATTAAATGTTACATGTTTGTCAAAACATTGGCACATCCCTTGCAAAAGTTCAGATGTATGCTAGGAATATTGTTTAAGGGACGTAGAGTAGTCAATGACATGTGGTAGTGTTCAGGTGTTTATACAGTATCATATGGAGTCCGAACAGTCGCCTTAGATCTGTGACAATATGAGAAAGTGTAATAGAATGTTTTTCTTTTTTTTTTTTTTTTTTAAAAATGTCTCAAACCAAAAGAACAATTCGATTGTGAAGTGTCGTATCCTCTTTTTTGTCTTTTTTGTTTCAACCTCTTCCAAACACATTCCTTTCCATTCCTTCTTTTTTGCTCATTCATTATTCATTATTCACTTTTCACACTCTCTTTCTTCGATTCTTTTTTTTTTTTTTTTTGTAACTCAAAGCCGTCACTAAAATAAATTGGGTAAGGGCTCTCATTTCTACATCATATTACTTCCTGAAAATGGGTCCTAACACCAAATATGTATGAGAAAAAGAATAAGGTGGTCGCTTCTGTCCATTGTTCGTCTAAATTCTATCAAAACACCTCAATACTCTTGTTTTCATGGCATGGTGACGGACATGAGATTGTTGTATACAAATCACTTGTCAGTTCTGGCGGCTATGATATCAACAGATGTTAGCGGAAAGTTTATATTGCAGCATTAAATTGTCATCGTTTGGGGGGATGGAGATGCAGTCAACAGTTGTCGACGAAATATAACAAACTAATACTCAGTGGCTATAGTGTTTTCTGATGTCTTTCGTCATTGTATATGTATCGATACAACGTATATTGACAACAAATGAGCATCTCAAGAAAGTGCAATGGAAAGAAAAAAAAGAAAATCGAAAAAGCAAGCCAATTCTCAAAGGAAACGTGCTGTATATATAATACACATTACACTTTATATCCTTGCATGATGATTCAGATGCGGGCAAGGGCATTTACTCGATACCTATGTCGATTATTTTTCTTCCTCTTTTGTTTGATAAACTGTCTCTTGTAGTTAAGAGCAAACTTGTCGTTTGTACTCACACTTTGAATCCGTTAGAGTTACATTGGTTATCAGGAACAACAACAAAGGCCACGGTCTGGACGAACCACGATCCAATTGCACTCTTGCATGGTATGTCGAGATATCTTTACACGTCGCATAAACAATGAGCGCACTGTGCGCGCATGGCTTTAGCTACTCTTCATCTTCTATTTCGTATTTCTTCGCCATTTAACATCCTGCTGCAGCTTTACTCGGCTTAAATGGCGTTGTGTATTCCTCTGGGTTCAACTAGACTTGCCTTCACTTTATTCAGCTTTGTTTCTCCTCTTTTTTCTTTTCTTTTTTTTTTTTTTTTTTTTTTACTTTGTTACTTCATTAAAGAACTTCTTTCCAACAACAAGAGTGGTACAGGGTGAGCAAAGTGGATTACACTTAGGCAGCAAAATCTCGGAAGCTGTCTTATTGAAGAGTGCTTTACAAAAGGTCTTTGAAGCATACACGATCTAATATGGACAGCAAAGAGGCTTTAACGCGAAAACAGGATGAGATGCTGACAGAACATCTCTCCAGTGTTGGAGATTATCATGCGTCACCGGCAAGGACTAGCTTGCCTTCAGAATCACCACTATATTTGCAATCACCCAAACCAGAACAGACCTATGCTCCTTCACGACATACAGTACAGGGTCATCAAACTCAACAGCAGTACGTTCAGCACAGACAAGACCTACAGCAGTCTTCCCAGCGGCAGCAGCAACAGCAGCAACAGTGCTCTCAGCATATCTCTCCAAAAAGACAACATACAATCCATCACGGGATACAGATCCCCCATGTTAACCAGCAGAACGGAATGCATTATTCTGGCCAGCAACACATCAATATGAGATCTCAGGGAGGAGCGCCAGGAAGCGCCATTTTGGGCCATGTGCCGGACACACAACCAAGTGGACAGGGTATCGGTAGATCCAGCAGTATGTATATCGCCCCTGGAGTATCATCTGGGATCGTACGGCATCAGCAAACTTTCCCTCGACCACAATTTTCAAGATATTTAGAGCATAATTACCAGGAGCTGCAACAGCGACAATACGAGCAATATGCACAACAAGCGCGTTATTATAGAGAGGCAAACGCTCAACATGACAACATCCCCTATTTGGAGTCCTATGGCATTCCTTACCAACCACAAAACTACAATGGTGCACATGCTGCTTTAAATGCTCGACTATCTCAGCCTACACATATACAGCCTACACATATACAACCTACACATATACAGCCTACACATATACAGCCTACACATATACAACCTATACATCAAGTCAATGCGCAAAGGTCTTTACACTTAGGCAGCCTCCCTCCAAATCACTTCTTGCTCTCTCGTGATCAGCTGCCAACAGCCCCCTCCCCTTCAGTATTCTCTGCTACACAGCCAGCACCAGTTTACCCTGAGTCTTCTATAACTGCTTCACAGAGTACGAAGAATCCGCATGGATCCAATCCTGATGGGTCGAAAGCAATAGAATCCTTAATCACAACAGACACAGGCAACATCGCCAATTCGGTTTCGGGGGATTATGTTGCGCAGCAATCCAATCGTAATAGCACCTATTCCGCCTTCTCATTAGGCTCGCCGATAGCCTCTGAGAGGACAGCAAGGCCGCTCTCTGGGATTCAAGACCCTACTACGCGCCTTCCACCCTCGCCTACCGGTAACAGCCATCACAATACCAGTCCAACTTCACCCAACACCCATACTAGATCCAGCTCTGACCCTCACTGGGATCCGGCTAACAACATACTTGTGGCTCAGGCAAAAGCAAGAGCAGCTCAAAGCTCAACCTATTCGCGCCAAGTGACTTTATCGTCCATTCCACCCAACGAAGAAGTGCCTCCAATGCCTGGAAAGACGACATCCAAAACTGGGAAGGTCCGTATCCAATTAACTTTTGATAGGCCGTTCTTCAATGCTGGTGGAGAGCTTTCAGGAAGGCTAGAGATACAGTGTTCGTCGTCACGATCGGTTATGCTATCAGATATGGTTATTGAGCTTCTGGGATATGAAGGTATGAGAAATTATATAACGTAGCCTCTAAATTATAAATGAGATGTGAGTCCTAACCGCTCTATGACTTATAGCATTGGCTAAGGATCACCTTGCGCCAAAAGTGTTCCACAAGACAGTGCTTCGTCTTCAGGACATCCGTCACCCATCCCAAGCAGTTCAGGAAAACATTGATCCAGGTTTGTGGATTATTGATGAAAATACCTGCTCCAACCTTGCACCCTCTGAAGCTTAACCTCTAAAACAAATACTTATATTTTTTTAGACTCGGAAGGATACTGGATGGCAAGGAAGGGCCGGACTATATTTCCTTTTCGGCTCAATATTCAGGATACACTTCCCAATTCGTATGACTCAAAGCTTGGGCAAGTACGATATATAATTTCTGCGTAAGTTGAATCTTACATAGGCTTGGATGAGTAAATAAAGTAAGCGCTGTGAAAATTTTGGTCATCCAATTAACTAAATAAAGCTGTCACTCGACTGCTGAATAGTATTGCCCTTATGAAGGCCAATCACCATAAAGAGGTCGTACACCACACGCGAGAAGTTTGTATTTATGAGACCTGGACTACAGATGACATCGCGCAGGCGCGAAGAAGATCGGTCAAAGCCGACACGAGCAAGCGGTTATTTATGGGTGGAGAAGGTAGCCTTGAGATGTATGCAGAACTAACGAGGACGATGGTTAGTTCTGGCGGCATTGTCTATGTTAATATTGGGGTAAAGAACTTCACAAAGAAAAAAGTAAGTAGCAGATATACTTTATCCTACACCAATGATTTGCAACATTGAAGCCGTGGGAATTTAAGCTACATGATGGACTAATATCTTTACTTTGCCATAATAGATTATGGGTATTAAGCTTTCTCTTTGGCGGCATATTGCCGTGACCAGCATGCGATCTAGTATAGGCTCATATCCAACTACTTCAGGAACCCGCGATCAAGACAACATTAAGAACTACAGCGAGATCATTTACAAAGGCGAGGATTTTTCTTTTGATGATGATGATCCCAGGATGGTGGTATTACCGGTTTACATCCCTTCTGGGATTTATTCTTTGCGCAACACAAACTTTCTTCATGTTCAATTCTTTGTTCAAGTGAGTTTAATGGCATCTATGAGCAAAGCATTGGCGGTCGAGCTTCCCATATATATCACCCATGCATCATCGTGGTCTGATCCCCCTCCAAGGATACCTAAAAACTTTGTGTTCCCTCTACATGAGGATGATCCGGTCAAAAAGAATAAAACAGGAGTCTTTTCCAAAAGGAAAACAGTTTCCAACTCTTCACAGACTAACAGCTCCAATACCAATATTAAGACCTCTCCAAAAGCCAGCAACTCTAGCGGCTCAGGCATGATGGCATCTTCCACGAACGGCGTCAGATCCACAACCTCGACTGTACCAAACATAAACATGAAGACTGGAGCTGGATCACGTACTGCTATGCAACGCCCTATGCAGAAAGATCCCGACTCCCCAACAAGTGTCTTGGACTTTTCTCAAGCTGGTAACCTCTTCGTTGTGAATCCTGATATGTCTAGCATCCATACTGGACCAGGTTCCATGTCTTTCAAACAGCCTGCCCTTGTACAGTCCGCATCCGCATACCCTTTTCCATTATCAAAACCCGCGATTGCGTCGGCATCTCCACCACTTGATCGATCAAAACCATTGGTGCATATTGATCAAATGCCTTTGAAACCTATGGATGATCTCAAGCCTGTAGTGGAGCCTGCGGCAAATGCCTTGCTTGAGGAGGAACGTGACTTTGATATGAGTCGTTCAGTTGGCGCTTCGCAGAACAGCTCACCTAAAGCAACGGAGCATGACAAGCCAAAAACTATTAAGCTTGGTCTTCGTAAGAAGCTGGCAAAGCTTTCGATATCGATTCCCAGCCATACCTCAAACAGTTCTAGCCCTAATAAAAACTCACGTGTTAGTCCTCGTCTTCCTCCGGCAACTCCTCGATCTACTAAAAGCATCATTTCAGAGAGTCCTGGAGATATGACATCTAGTGGTTCAAGGAGTCCTAAAGGGGCAACGTCCTTGTCACGTCAATCAAGCGGATCGAGTCTTAGCTCTCTAAAATATATGTTCGACAACCGGTCTCGAAAGTCAAGCATAGGATCCACCAGGGTTGTTGCTTTCTCGCCAGGCTCTCTATCACCCAGCCCCAGTGTCCTTAAGATGACCAAGTGTGCTCCTTCGGAGACTGGATCGCCAGAACTCTCCACAATGATATCCAATGGGCCTTCTTCCTTAAAATCGAGAGCATCTACGCCCACCTCTCAAACTGACAAGCTAACCGCGGGAATGTGCGAGGATCAAGCTCATCAGGGATACCACCATGACCTTAATCGGTTTAGTATGACTCCTACGATACCTGATACTCGATTTCAGGGAGACGTCCCTGTGCTCGAGAAGAAGAGCCATGAAAACTGTCTTGAAAGTAATGGTAGTACCAGTCGGCCATCAACCCCCAGCCCTTCTAGAAACGAACGGTCAACAGGTCAATCATCCCCAAAGAGTTCTAAATCATTCCTCGGATCATGGGGAAATATGTCCTCCCACTTCAATTCGAGAGTCAATTCCACGACATTGGACGTGAACGACAGTGCAAAGACAGCTCAAGAGATTCAGAAAGAGTATTATTCAGAGAAGAAGGGGGAAATCGATCCATGCCAAATCGGAGGCGAAGTTTCTGAAAACCAGGCTTATAGAAGAGAGATTAATTCAATGTCGTTGGTTTCTGCACTCCATAGCTCCCGAGGATCACAGCCATCCTTCTATGAGGGGGCGAAATATGGATACCAGCCATCAGAGCACAATGCAGATTTCTCTGATTATATAGGACATGATTCGGTTTGGAACCTGGAGCACGACGTTGCTGCTGCTAATGCAGGTGATTCGTTGCAATTGGACCTTGATCGAATGTTAATCCCAGAAGAGAGTCGGTTACGCTCGCCGTCTGAAATGACTATGACTTCAGAACAGAGTATTGAGATATATTACAGTCAGGATGGGTCTCCAGTGCAGCATTGCAGCGATTTAGCTAATCATTCATTGAGGCCACATTTAAGACCACCACCAAACCGTTCCTTAAGCTTCCCATACACTGAAACTAATTGTATTGGGCCGCGACGTCCTGCAATATCTCATATCCAATGTACTTATCAGTCCAACTCGGTGACGCAAGAACAACGAGAAGCCTCGTCATATATCAGAGGCAAGAATAATAATAGAGCATATTCAAATCCAGAATACAATGTAGAAGCTCAGCGCCAACAAGATCTTGGATTGTTCAGCTTCAACCAGCATAATGAGCAACTCACGCCGGAGATATATTCTACGCCTATGCTTCTACAGAATGAGCCTGTGATGAACGCTTCAATTGACCATCAGTCTTCTGAGACTAATGCCATTGCTCCACAATCCTTAACGCCTCCTTCAACCTCTGATTCATTCTTATCAGATCGACTCAGACTAACGCCTAACGACCTTGATATAGATAAACATATTGGTGGTCATAAGAAGATAGCCTTTATGGAGCGATCGTATGCTCCCACGCCAGCTACGACATTTGGCTATACTGAGGCTCAGATGTACCATGGAGAGCAGTTGGATGTCAGTCAATTGTCTGTAAAGTCGAGTCCGTATTCAAGCCAGTCTAACTCTCAATATGCTTCGCCCGTACAGTTGCATCGTGAAATGCCAAGCACAAACACACAACAGAGTTCATCGAGCATAGAGTGTGCCGAATGCAGACCTATAAATATGGCAAACGTATCTCAGTCATACCCGATACACTATGAAGAGGACATGACCTATTTTGGCCCAATAGCTCCAGTAGTCTCCTGGTCCTCACAGCATATGCCGGCATTACAGTCGCCTAACGGAGCATCTGCTGCATCTAACCCTCTCGGAATCAGCGTGGATGAGGCGAAAAAAAGCGGAGTGGAGCAATCAAGGACTTTTTTTCCGTCGCCCAACCGCACTTGGGATCAACCATCCTCACCTCTGCCGAACGGAGCAATGGAGCCTTTCATGAATCATGTTGAGGTCTTGACACCGACCCTCGATCGGGAAAATCCCTGCTTCAGACATGATAATTTTGCACCTGAAGCAGACAAGTTCATAGTTAAAAAATCGTCGGTACATGGGCAGTTGAGATCTAGCCAGGAAGTTACCGATGTTAGGGACCACTCCGAGTCTAGTGTGAGTTTGGCGGATACTAAGGTCGGCTCAGAAGAGTCACCAGAGCCCCTGCATTCTTCACTTTCGATGATTAAACATCCTGGAATGGTTCGTGTCAAAGGAACATTCCGAACAAGTCCTTTGGCATTTGAAGGCAATGTTATGACCGTTGAAGCATCACCACCATCTCCCCGAGGGGCACAGGCACAAGTATACGCGGAAGAGGAGAAAAAAGTAGAATAATTAGATTGAGAGGGCCTCTGAACCTTTGCCGGTACCAGAGATGAGAAATAGAAAAAAGCTGGCAGGCATATGAGGAGGCTATGTATCATATAATTGGGCTACATCTTTTTGTATGTCTACAATGTTTAATAAAATTATTTCCTGAACATCCATGCATCCATCGTTGATGTCACTGATGCCACGTCCACCCTCCAAATACACTTATCAACCAACAGAATGTAATAAAAAAAGCTTTAATTGGCAAAAAAAAAGACAAGTTAAAAATGCAAAAATGCTGATGAGGGCTATAATACAAATAGGCAACGGATCCAGCCGTTAACAACTCCCAAGGATCTTTTCTTTTTCAGGATTAGGGTATAATGCTTAGTCAATAAGTTAGCGCTACCTAAAGCAACAGCGATTGCTTATTGCATTGTCGAATACTTATGCCCTGTCTTGAGATCTAGATCCGGATGATTTAGATGTATCTTGCTGTATGTTATTGTTGCTATTGTTCTCGTCTCTGTTCAACACTGCTACTGTGAATGCAGAAGTACGGACCGAGCGTGGTGACAAGGTCACTGGAAGACCACCCAAAAATAGTTCAGGTTCAACATCGTTTCGGCTCTGAACTGGAGCCTGCGTGACGGCGGCATTGCGCGACCCGCCCTCGTTGTTGTCAGCACCATGAACATCAACAACTCCTTCTTGAGCTCCTTGTTGAACCGCGCTTTCCGACATCGCTTGATCAAATTGTGGCTCAACGGACTGGAACCGGTCGGGATCAATGTCCTGTTCCTGGTGACGAACAACAGCAACAGCAACACCTGTTGTCGGTGGGGATGTTGTTGTTGCTACTGGAGCGCCGGAAACGAAGTCATCCACTCGGGCCGTGCTAAGGATACGCTGTATTACACCGCTTCCTTGCACGTTTTCTGTGCTCCCTTCAGTTACATCCTTGTCTTGACCAATAGGGGCAATATGATCGAAGCTAACTATAGGGTAGGATGCTGTGAGGCCCTCTATAGGGATGTTTTCGTTAATTTTATCCGCTATATGGCCAACCTGACCCACTCTTTCGCCGACTAGAAGAGTGCGAGACAGTGGGGTGGGAGAATGGATGTCTTGAACTGGGGCGCAAGCTATCAAGCTATCTTCAGTCCTGGCGGGAATTGCTGAAAGGGCTGCACAATACTGTGGTAGATCTTGTTGTGGCTGTTGGCATTGATGGATAGCGAGTCGTCCGTCTTGGTCCATAATCATCCCCTCCCGGGCTAGAGGTACGTCCTTTCCTGGACCTTGACCAAAGCTATTCCATTCTCCATCCAAGTGTGGATCCAGATGGCCAGATAGATCCAGAGTAAGGTCTTTGTTTGTGATCCTGTCTATTTGGATATCATGATCTGTTATGCCGCTAACGCTGTGATCCATATCTGGTTGATCGGTGGCGGAGGGCGAGGAGCCAGGACTAACCGATGACTGAGCGCGCAGGGCCGCCTCATTGTGCTTGGTGGTGTAGGTAAGCTTATCGCCAGCAACAGTGGTAGAGGCATCAGTCGAGGTAGTGAGCAACTCTACTATGGCCAGGTTGTTCAAGCGATGGGCCCAGTCAAGAGCAGTAAAACCGTTCTTGTCCTGAACTGTTGTGTCAATACTGCGGTGCACAAGATCCTTGACAAGAGCTTCGTATTGAAGTGCGACTGCAAGATGAAGCATAGTATGGCCGGTGCTGTTGACAATCGATAGACCTTCGATATCCTTGCCTGCAGGCGTATCCAAGATTTCAAAGGACTTGAGAACCATCTTCTCGAGGTTAGAGTAAGCGCTGTTCACAGAAGAGGAAGGCAATGAGTCATCGTTGCCCTGCAAGAGATCGCTCCAGAGTGCGAATTCATTGGCACGGTTAAGAACATTGTCGAGAGGACCTTCTATGCGAGCAGAGATGTTCATCATACGCTGGAGTGCGAGTTTGATGAGTTCCTTCTCATTATCATCAACATATGTGAACGTGGCCTGAGCGACGTTCGTCTCGATGGCATTCATGGCAAAGACTGGGACAGTGTCAGCCTTATTTGCGGCAGGAGTAACGCACTCAAGCATGTGGTCGCGTTGTGCGACGATAGGAACCATGTTCTCGCCAAAGCAAACAAAGACGACCTCACCGACGGGAAATCCGAAACCATGAATAGTAACAAGGGTGCCGCCACGAACGGGTCCGCTGTTGGGAGTCATATGGCTGATGTGAGCGATGGTAGGCTGCTGCTGCTGCTGCTGCTCCTGGACAACAGAATCAGGAAAGAGAGGTATCAATGGGTCTGGAGGAGGAGGCGAAGGCACCGTGAAGGGGGTGTCGGTGCTATCCATGAACTCGTCCAACTCGGGACTCGAGGACCATTCAACAGGAGAATCAAGTAAAGAATTAGGTGGCGAAGGTATTTGATGTTGTTGACCTATAGGACCGTTCCCAGATTTGGTTCTAGATTCGCGTTTGGTTTTCGAGTTTACAGACTTGACAATGTTACGAGCAGCAGAACTCTGTTCAGATTGTTGCTGCTGCTGTTCGGTCTTGGCTTGAGCTTTGGCAGCGGCGGCAAGAGCACGGGACGCAACTCTATTTTTATTCTGATGATAGAACATAAGCGGCAAGGTGACATGAGAAGCGATTGAGGTGTCCGATTGTGAATCAAAGCGGATGACAAAGCCTTCCTTTTCCTTCTTGTGCCCACAATAGCAGTTGATCTTAAATTGGATGTTCGCGACACCAGAGCGAAAGCTAATAAGAGCATCACCATTTTCAGTGCGGTGTAGCTCCGGAAGCATATGCATGATCTGTTCACAGATATAGTGGATGATCAGAGAAAAATTGGTTAATGTAAGACTCGTCTTTTTTTCTCTTTCGAGATATGAATATGCAAGTAACCCACGATGTAAACAGAGGAGATGAAAGAACTATCCTCACTTACTCTACTCTCAGTCTGGTCCAACTTGGTAGACATACGACGAGCACATCGCAGACAGGCCTCCTTTTCCTCCTGCCAGTTGTTGGAGGGGCACTGCAGAGTGGCAGTGATGTCGATAATGCGCTTGGTCGCCATCTCTTCGGGTGAAATAAGCTTATCGGGCTGAGTGAAGAAAAGATCCTTGGGCAGACGAGCATAATCATAAGCATTCACTAAGGCATTGTCGTGATCGACAATCGAGAGCTCGACGTAGACAATAGTCTCAATACGAAGTCGGTCTTCAATCTGCGTTGGAACATATTCCTGCAACTCCTTTTTAAAGACATGAGTCTTAACGTTCAAGCGATGGGTTATAGTTGGTTTACTAAGACTAATAAATTATACGTCGAGAGGGATGAAAAGAGAGAGAACGAGTAAGGATTGAGTACAACCTTTTTTCTGTCACTGTCCAAAGTTGGGAGTGTTTATCAAAGAGTTTGAGAATGAAAAGAGAAAGACAAAAAAAGGTTCGTGTGAACTTGCCTTCCCAAGGAGTTGCTTAATGAATAAAGAGTGTTGTTCCATTCAGGCGTGGTTAGCTGAACTTTTCTTTGGTCGGATTCCTTTTTAAAGAGAGTAGAAGAACGGACGAGATTAGAATGAGGAAAAGGACACAGATTATATTTGTGTTAGGCTTGTCCATTCAGTCATTGTCGTGGATTGACGAAGAAGGTTGATTGACAGAATGACTGGACTACGGATAATAAAGCGTTTATTATAATAAATAATATGAAGTACCTCATGTTGGTGAAGGAAGGTATCAAAGGTGGAGAGATCAGATTGGCTCAAAGCCTGAAGGAGGGTGGCTGCAGAGTGGGGAGGCATGGTTACAAGAATAATGGAGGGAGAAGATTGAATAGAAAAACTGTCGTTCAAAAGAAAAATGAGAGAAGTGTCTGAAAGGACTGTAATGTGAGAGGATGAGAATGAAATGAGAATGAGGATGAGGCCAGGACTGAGAGGAGTATTAAAGGTGTTGTTTAGTCGACAGTATGTGAGAGGATTAAAGGATCAATCTCGAGGAAAGGAAAACGGAAGAATTAAAGAAAGAAAGAGAGAGAGAGAGAGAGAGAGAGAGAGAGAGAGAGAGAGAGAGAGAGAGAGAGAGAGAGAGAGAGAGAGAGAGAGAGAAAGATAGGCGTTTGCAAAATGTATAAACATGGTATGTTTATTCCCTTCCCTTCATTTTGCCATGCTCGGCTGTTCTGCTACCAAGCATTCCCGCTCTTTCTCTCATCTTTGTGTGAATATTTATAAGCTTTCCCTTCTCTCTCTCTGCACTAATTGCTGGTGTTTGTTACTCGACAGTTTGGTCTTGTTCCAATCGTAAGTGCTGCGATTGGAGCAATTGGAGTTTTTTTTTTTTTTGCTTCCCTTTTCGGGATAGACCACGCTTCCAGAATGATTGGCTGGAAACTTTTTTAATCCCACTTTGTCACACTTTTGACTTTGATGCTAAAATTTTATTTTTTCCTTTGAATAAATCTACCGGCCAGTGTACTTGTAGTACCTTAAATAATCTGTATACAATCCCTTCAACAGTGTCTTGCCAGTGTTGTCCAATCCGGTCATCATCATCTCTCTCTCCCAATCACTACACAGACTCAATAGTGCATAAAGACCTGGCAACAGTGCATTTCGAAGGCTCTGTTGACTAATCGATGCCACAATTGAACTCTGAATATGAAAGTACTCCATCAATATGTACGGCGCATGCTTGCCAAAAGCCTTCGATGTATCTGCTGCAATTGCTGACGATGTTGAACCTGTAGAGGAGCCTATGCTGGAGCTGCTCTGTGATATCTGCAATGCATCCATTGTACTGTCGTTGCCACCACCATCATTATTACCATACGATCCCAATGGATGAACATTCTTAGTCCCAAGAGCTGTTAACAAACGTGCAAAGTTCTCTGCACATTCAACCGACAATGGGTCGCCAATAGAGATGCTGTCCGTAGCAGACGTAAAAGTTACCAATCCTGGGGACGGCAATGATAATAATGATGATGATGAAGGCGAATGTAAAGAAGAAGACGTCATTGTTGAGATATCAGAACTTCCAGTGATGCTTTCAGGATTGAGTACACCAGCAGATAATAGCTTGAATGGACTCTTGACGAGCGATTCAACACCTTGTTGCTGCTTTGCAATCGATCCATTCAAAGATTTAAAGCCATGGAGGATGCCCTGAACAATCACTGTAAAGACTGGAATCAACGCTGTGAGCTCTTCTTGACGGAATCGAGCAATATTCATCAGGACATGATACAAAGCTGTGAAGATCTTGCATGTGTCTCCATTAGTCAAAACTGAATGCGTCGTAGATCCCGTGTTCGATCTTTCAGTGCCAAGTAGGAGCAATGGGGTCGCTGGAGACATCAGCGACGTAATGCCTTCCAATACTAGACCGATTTCCCAGCAGCGCAACTCGAACGCAGGCTCAGAACAGATGCCGGCCATAATGTCTAACACACCTATCACCACTTCAACAGACTGTGTATTCTGAAGGATCTGAATCAACCTAGTCAATAGTCTAGAGATTTGGCGACGCACCTTGCGCTTATGAGCTAGTATAATCAATGAGAAAGAAAAAAAAGATCAATATGTGGCATTCAAAAAAGGAAAAAAAAAAAAAAAAAAAAAAAAAAAAAGCAAACTTACTGTGATGAGCATTCGAGAAAGTCACCTTGAGATATCTGATAAGAACCACCTCGTTCATAGATTGATCTCCAAAAACACGTGCCTCTTCCAACAACCAATGCAATATACAGTCGAATTGGTCTTCAGAAAGCAAACCAAGCATCGCTAAATAAGCTTCTTTGAGCCATGAGATATCTGATTCTGCAAGATCGCGCCCTGAAATGTCGAGTAATAACTTCATGAGACCCTTCAACAGCTTCTCTGTTTCTTTCGTTGACTGCCAAGAGCTGGATAAAGGCAAATACTGACAAGAGTATACTGTCAAAATAGCCACTAAATGAGATATGCTATTAAATGAATTACAAGCGAGGCTGTCCCGAGTGTCATTCTGCTCAACATTGGTAATGCTTTGTAGTAAAACCCCTGCCAAGCGAAAAAGATCTGGCATCATATCTAAAAATTTGATCTTATCCTCTTGACTATAGTTAACGACTTGATAATACTGTACGATAGTGCTATAAAGCTCAAGGTGGTCTATGCAATGTTGTGCCCCCGCTACTAACGCTGCCTCGGCTTCTGATCCTGATTGAGTGCTAGACGAATGTATGCTCTCTATCACTTCTCCGATTCTATTTGAAATGCTAATTTGCATAGTTTCGAACAAGGATCCGATTCGCTTCAGTAACAGCGCATCCTCGGTCTTCATTTTTGATACTTCTGACCCCAAGAGAACTCTGGACTTTAATTTTGATTTTGATTTTTGGTGCCGTTGTTGCCCCAGACTTTGGACAAGACTCTTGCAAATTTGAGAAACCATGATGACTCGAATGCGAGATTCGGTTATACGACGATCCAGAGTGGCTTTGCTGATTTTAAAATCGCTCGATGCCCATTCTTGCGCCAGATTCAATAGCGCATCCAAGTGCATAAGAGCGCTTTCATGCTGAATAGCGTCATGGGTTTGTGCCATAAAGAATCTGATCCGAAATTAAAGTAATAATATCAATAAGTTAATATTAGTATGTCAATGCCTGCATCTCTTAAATAGACGTAAAATTACAAGCGACTATTGAATCCTTACCGGATCGTGTTAGAAACGATCGCAGCCGTGGTTTCCATAAGTACATATCCGAGACCATCCTTATCTTCGGATCCATAGCTCGTTGAACAATTCCATTCAGGGTAATTTACTATGTTTAAGAGGATAGCAGGATCATGAAACTAATGAATCAAAGAAGTAGCATAATTAGCCTATAGATGTCTAAAAAAAACTCCACAGGGAGATTAAAAACCCGCCCAGTAGACATACCAGTGCTCCTGCATCGCTTCTCCACGTCATTATAGCATCCGAGATACGGCGAACAAGAAGCAAGCTCTTGATGCCCGTTGAGGTGGCGGTCAAATGGGTTTGAATGTAGTGGTCCAAAATGGTCATTGTCGTGAGGATGATGTTTCTTTCATTCTTCTCAAAGTACTCTAGTGGCAAGAGATGCACGATAGATAATAATGACAAAAGCTTTTGACTATGCTCATCCTGAGCTGATAACTCTGGTTTTGTGTTTGATGAACCTGATTTTGGCATTGATTTTGATTTTGATTTTGACTTTGATTTTAAGTGATGTATCTTGTCCTCAGAGCGTTCTTGAATGACATTGGCCAATTTTTTGAGCACATCTACGAACATAACTTTCAATCCAGTGTCCTTGGACGAGCTATGAGTACTTTCTGTAAGAGATAAAACCATATCAGCAAGCTCTCGTTCTAAATTCGATTCGCTCAATACAATGATCGATTCTGCAAGGCGTTTCAGGATCATTTGTGCGAAGACAGGTCGAAAGTTCGGTACTTCGTAGAAATTGGCTGAGCGTAACAAGATCTGATTCAGAATGTGAATCGTGATAGAGTCCGTCATCGGTGCCATGGAGTTATCAACTGATGTACCGAACTGCTGGACAATGGCTTGAGCGATGAGTTCCAGGTGCTGAGTAGTACCAAACCTACAGACAATATCCAGCCAGTCGTTCACCTGTACCTGCCAGCTCGCCACCAAAAACCTACTGCCTGTGGCCGATCCTATCTCTCCATCCCAGGGCTCTGTCATCAACGATACATTATCCAAAATCTGGTGTAAGCGAGACGAGCTCATGGTAAAACGAACCAAGTCATTGCATTGTTGCATGATATCGTCGGTCATGATTTCACTAGAGCATAGAGTCATATGCACATGCTGAAGAACTACACGATTAAGCACCAAGATCGTTGCATCTGACCATCCTGAGGACCCTTTGATCGATTTAATGATGTCACTGATCATTCTTGTCGAGATTCCGCCTAACCAATATTGTGTCGAGATTCTGCAAAGCGTATAGTGCAGTTTCAATGCTGGAATCAAACGCCGACTTTGATATGATTCTGATCTGTCAGAGTCTTCATTAACAAGTGGTTTGAAGATATGCTTCAAGAAATGCTCATATAAATCTTTGAATCCTTGGCTGAGCTGTTTCTCCTGATTTGCTGTGACACGTAAACCCTTCAAAAACTGGATAAAAAGCTCGCAGATTTGTTCCGCAGATGCAATGTTTCTAGATCGTTCTCCTTGTTCCACTGCTTTCCCAGACTTCAGTTTCCGCTTCTTCTTGACCCCCATCTCTTGAAGAGACATTAGCTCTTCAATTCCCGTATTACTTTGTAGATTCACGAGTTCCGTGATGAAAATGCTCGAGATAGATGGAGCTTGTGGTAGAGGCATGTAGTTCCTGATGTTTGCAGGTACTCTTAGTAGTACAGAGAAGAGGGGAAAGGACATTTAGACGCGAACACACGGACATATATATAAATGAGCAGATGAACGAGATTGGCTATGTACTTACAGATCCAAGAATGGCTTGAGAAAAAGGGGGCTAGTTTTGAGATGCTCTGGTTGAGTCAAATGGTTCCGAAGCGACGAAAACAGTGAATTGAAAAAGATTTTGAGATCGCTAGCTTTGCCATAAATCTCTAACAGCGCCTTTGCCAATTCAAGAGCAGCCTCTTGAGCCCCTAGTATTGGAGCAAACAGCACTGGCCAGAGACTGTCTAAATGAGGCTTCAACAAGCGATCGTCCAATTGCGCCAATACAATAATGCCTGTTAACGAGATGCTTTGCAATTTTGCATTTTCTAATGTCTGAGCAGTGGCCAAACATGAATAGATACTCTCAAATGAGGTGTTCATGAAAACAAATTGATCTGCTGTCTTGTCATTGCTGGGCTGGTACATGTCAAGTTCCAAAACTGTCGCAAGCAAATTATTGTGTGTATCAATAATACTCGTCATCTCGTTAATAAATGCCTCTGAGGGGACTTCTGTAAGATTCGGCAACTGCTTCCCGGCCATGACGTAGATGATTTTGAAAAAGGCGAACTCTGTCTCGCGTGTGCTATCCAAGCTTCGATCCAGCCCACTAATGGCTAAGCTCCTTTGCCTCCGACGAGACTCCTCAACAAAATAGTGGAGAAACACTGGAAGGATATCCAAAACTGAGATGAACGCAATAAGGCAGGAGCAGGTTAGATAAAAATACTCAAAGCACTCTGCTAAATTCCTATAATGCGAATAACGTGATGAATATTTACCTGCTGTAGAATATTCAGATCTGATTAAAGTGGCAATTTGCTCGAAAAGTTGTTTTTGATAGCTTTGAATAGACTTTTCGTCTCGTCCTGTATATCCTGCCGTATACTCCTGCAAATGATCTTGGTGAAACAGTCCTGTCCTCAAAATGGCATCTATTGCCTCCTGGCATTCGGCTGAAGACAGCCCTGGTACTTTACGAACAGCAACGCGTGCTCGTACCAGCATCTCAAACATCTTGGCTGCTACCAACGCAAACACTTTTTTCTGGTTTGGTTGAATGATGATAAGGCGCTTGAATTGGTCTAGGACAATGAAAGCGAATCTCATTATGGTGCTATATTTTGCTGTGTCAATCTTTGAGGTCTCTTGTACCATCTCGACGAGAGCCTCTAAAATTGCCTGAATAAGGGGGGTATATTGCTCCAAGGTTGGCTGAAACCAGTCAGACATTAGAGGTAAAGTTAGAAGCTCAAAGCAAGTCGATGCAGACTCCAGTATCTCCTTGGATGGTGAATAAGTTGATGGATCCTGTGCCATAGTTAGTGCCGTGAGGGCCTTTGCCTTTTTCCCAGAAACCTTAGATTGTGCCACAGTGGTTGCTGGCTGGTAGCTCACGAGGTTTTGAATCAGGGTTGTGAAAATAGATATCACAGGAACACGAATAAGAACGCCGAGAGCTTGCAAGTCGACAGCATCAGATCCTGATCTGGCAACACCTTCGTGATGGCGGATATTGATATGTCCATATTTACTGCTATCCCTCCTACTATGAGTGAGCTGTGTAAGCATTGCCTTGAACAGATCCCAGTAATCCTGCTCCAACAAGATGGTCCTAATATTAGGAAAAGAAGAGAGATTAGACTTTGAATACTTTCAAAATAATAGATTTTCAAGTAATGGCGCTAAATCCATCAATTCATTCTATCAGGCGGGGACCAGAAGGCATAGAGACATACGGAGATGCGTCCTTAGCACTCTTTGTTGCAGCGGAAGCCTTGACAAGTGTACTACAGAGCCATTCGAATAAGAACTCGTGTTTATGGGGGAGGACGACATCGCTTCTCTGCCAGGCTTGTTTTGCCAACCAAATTTTTTCTGCTGAAGAAGTTTGGTAACCCTTGAGGGCTTTAGCAAACAGTTCTGATGAGCTAAGGTGCTCCTCCATGTCTTTTTTGTTTGTTTGTTTCTTTTTGTCGAGGCGGAATGAACAAGGCCTTGAAACCTTAGTTTTTTATTGTTGTTTATTGTTTGGTGGCAATACAACTGTGCCTCAAGCCACATGCATAATAACATTTCATATTACACCTTTTTTGGGTAGTTTCAATAGAACACCAAAACTTCAAACCCTTTTTGTCTTGATGAAGTCGTTGTGTCTCAAGGCAGGCTGTATGGATTGAATGAATCGGCCCAGTCTTTCCCTCGCTCCCTTTCCCTCGATCCAACAACTGCTCACATCGCACTTCTGTCTTCATTCTCTCTTTTCTTTTTTCCTTTTTTTTTTTTTTTTCTTTCTTCTTACTGCCTTTTATATCTTTACATCTATCACAGAAGAACATTGATTATTCATAATGACTGATGTAAGTATTGATTTGGCGCAGCAAATAGAACAGCATTCTAATACAGCGCCAACAACATTAATACCATTAATAAAGCAGTAACAATAATAAAAGAAATAATAACCAATGCAAATTATTTTAAAAATTGACTTGATCTCTACAGGAAGAGAGATGTCGTCTCTGTCCTGAACGCAAATCAGAGACGGGGACATGGATCTGCTGCGATGTTTGCGAAACATGGTACCATGTCCGCTGCTTGAAGTTGACACCCGAAGAATTTGATATCATTGACCAATACCATTGTGCAGACTGCATACCCAAGGCTGGTCCTAGTACTTGTATGTTTCTTTAATATCCATCAGTCAAGTACTATGCTTATGAATTCTATATATCGAAAAATCAGATCCGTAGCGCCAGTTTCATTTAATTTTATTTACTTTTTTTTTTCCCCTTTGCATCATACTCACCCCTTTTTTCTTTTTTACTCTTTTTCACATCCTTTGCTACCTTTTTTATCTATTGATGCAACAGTGCTTCGGAAATCCTCACGCAGAACTGGCAAGATTAACTATGCAGATCTTGTGAATGGTGTCGTTAGTCATAATAGTAAATGGCGTGTTCTTCTGGATTCCCATCAATTTCTTCCCGACAAGTTTGAGAGAGTCCAGGGAAGGGATTTGACTTTGGACAGGCTTCGTGTCACTGGCTTTCGGTCACCTATCATTGTAAAGCAGAGTATGGATAGCAATGACAAGATAAATGAGGATTTAGACATGAAGATGCCGCCTTCAACCCTTACTATAGATGATATATGCAATGCAGTTGGGGTAGATACTCCAGTCGAAGTGATTGATGTAGCGACACAATCGGAACAAGCAGATTGGACCATGGGTTCTTGGGCAGAATACTTTGGGGCTGAACGTCATGAGAGAGTATATAATGTCATCAGTCTAGAGATTTCAGGAACACCTCTAGGGGAGCAAATTAAGAGGCCAGCCGTTGTCAGGTTCGTTAAACTGTGTTTGCATTGTACTTGGTATGCAGGAGTTAAAGAATTTTTTTTTTACTGACTCGATAATATGCTACTCATTTGCAATTTATAATCATTTTAATCTCATTAGGGAGCTTGACTGGATTGATAACTTTTGGCCAGAAGCCTTGAAATCGACAGAGTTTCCAAAGGTGCAACTTTACTGCTTGATGAGTGTCAAAGACTCTTTCACAGATTTGTATGTATTGTTCTAAAAATAATAATTATAATAATAATAATATTGTTTCAGTTGAGGTTATTGACAGTGACTCCTGACTCTTCTTTATCCTTGCTTATAATTAGCCATATTGACTTTGCGGGATCTTCTGTAAGTTTTGGGTATTGCCACAGAGTAATAGAAATCATGGTACCGAAACCAAATGATTTCTTTTTGAAGATCTTGCTTATTTTCTCTTTTCTTCTTTTTCTCTTTTTCGATCGATATCTTTTATGCCCACTATGAATACTTAGGTATTTTACCACATTCTCTCTGGATCAAAAATATTCTACTTTGTGGAGCCGACTCCAACTCATCTGAAGAAATATGCAAAATGGTCATCCTCATCCGAACAATCGACGACATTCTTTGGGGATGAAGTCGCGGGCAAGTGTTATAAAGTGGAGCTTCAACAGGGCGATACGATGTATGTGATAATGAAAAACTTGCTGATATTTCTAAATACCTCTTGTATTAGGTGAAATGAAAAAAAAAAAAAAAAAAAAAAAAAAAGTCTAGAATATACAAAGGCAATACTTAACTTTGTCTATGTGCTTATCGATCCAATGTCATCCTCTTCATTAAAATACTTTAGGCTAATACCTGCTGGATGGATTCATGCGGTATACACACCAATGTCTTCAATCGTCATTGGCGGTAACTTTGTTCACTCTTTACATATCCCCATGCAGTACCGTGTCTGTGATATTGAAATGGAAACCAGTGTATCACCCAAGTTCAGATTCCCATTCTTTGAAAAGCTCAACTGGTTCGTAGCTCTTGGATGCATGACACGTGGTCAAGACTATCTCTCAACACTTTCGCCTCTAGAGCTGCAAGGTCTCTTGGCCTTGACGGTTTATCTCTATAACAGACATAGGATGCTGAAGAATGAGCCACACAAAATCATGAAGGATGAGAGACATATGATCAGGGCCAGTGTACCTACGGAAGCCTTTAGCTATGCGAATGGAGGGTTGATGGGTTTGTTGCGTGATTTAAATCAATTAATCTGCAGCATACTGGAAGGACCAAACGCAGACAAAACGACAGTAATTTCCATTGATAATGCTCTACGGCTCTTGACTGAGGAAGAAGAGCAACAACGAAACAAGGAAGAAGAAGAGCAAAAGGCTGCGATAGAAAATAATAAACCCAGGATCAAACTGAGGATTAAACTGAATTCGACCACATCCTCTACAAACTCTGGAGACGAGGATTCGATCGAACAACAGGTCCCAAACTCTGCGACCTGTACAATCACTACGTCTTCCTCCAACACACCTCCTATCGCTTCGCCAACTATGCTTGCTACCTCTACTACTGTTATTACTCCTCCAAAGATCAAATTAAAGATCCCACTCCTATCATCTGCCAAGAAATCGAGGAATCAGAACGGAAAGTCGGGTCGCGCTGTTCGGTCGCGGAAAAAGCCCGATTCAGACATATATGAGAGCGGCAACGAACTGGATGACCTTTCTGGGAGTGACTCTGATCCGGATCAACAACCTACTTCTGACGAAGAGTGGAATGCATCCGAGAATCATACCGGTGAAGGATTAGATGAAGCCAAGGATAATGATGAAGACGACGAACTGGAGGATGAGGGTTGTAGGGAGGATTTGAGATCTTCTGATTCAGAATACGATGAGGGAGGGAAGCGCCCTCGCAAGTCTAGAAGAACATCCGGATCTTTGTCTCGTCCATTAAAGGGAACAGGCCATATCAAATCCGCCTCACTGGTCACTGCTTCTGACAACATTACAAACTCAACCATCCACTATCGGATTAAGGTCAACTCCTCTGAAACAGTGTATTTCGGTGATGATAAAGACACTGCTGATGACTGTCAGAGATCACCGAACCATATCGATCACCGTCCCTCAAAGCGGGACAGCGATGAGGAAGATGAAGTCGTGCTGGGTCTTGGAAAGAAGCGCAAACTCACACCAAAGCAATTTTCTGCCTTACTTACACCCACTTCTTCTGGTGGATCCTCTTCAGTTACTTCGACTTCCGCAGCAAAGAAGAAGGCAGCATTGGGCGTTACTGCAAAAGATCGCATCAGAAATATACTGATGAAGCGCCGTTAAATTTTTTTTATCGCTATTATATTGCTGTCGTAGCGTACTCTGTAAATATTATATCTTTTCTTCATCAATTTGTATTGCGGATAGAACAATGAACTAAAGCTAAAACTTCCGTGCTCAGCACGCGACTTTTTCTTCGCAGTTTTATCATTCAATGAATCTGAGTCTGCTTTCCAACGTTAATTTAATGTTTTTATTTCTTGTGACAAACCATGCAGAAAAAGCTATGTATAACTGACCCTACTAACCAACTATATTTTCATTTTATTCATCTACTCTTCGTACTCCTGTTGAGATGGATCGCTGAACTGGTGCATGTCCGATGATGTAGGGTCTATTAACTCTTCCCTCACTGGTCGCCGTTCTGAGAGACAGGTAAACACTTCTTGTGATGTAGTCGTGGGCTGAAGATCTCGTTCTAAATGACGATAAATATTTGATGGTAAATCATCAAAAAACATCTGTCTCCTAATAGTTTCTGGATTTGCGGTATACTCGTCGCGATAATTGAAATGGAGCGGGTCTGATCCTGACAAATTTGAACGCTGCATATGTAACATGTACTCATCGTCTCCTAAACTGTAGTAGCTACTAGAACTGCTGCTTGACTGATACACAATTTGACATTCTTGAATGGGTGTATCTTCCAGCTCGAGTGTCCCTAGAGGTGTTGAACTCAAGCTTGGGGAGGAAAGTTCTACCTCTGGGGATGATTTTAATCGGTCTGTTGAGTCAGATAAATAATCATTAACAGCGACATCGGTAGCAGATTCAGTCACAGGTGTACATTCCGCATTTGATCTTGAAGGTTGATACCATTCATACTGATGGCCAAACAAGATGTTTGATGGCGATATGAATGAGCGTTTAAGTGTTGATCTTGTTTGGTTCTCATCCTTTAATTGCAGTCGCGATGCCTGAGCTAGATTAGATGTGCCATGTTCAACAAACTCGGAAGCCCCAGAACGTGATAAGTAGTTTAGTGTATTAGAAAACGGTTTTTGGGATAGCTGGCTCAGATCTTGCTGGTTAGCCTATAGATCATTAGTTGCAGCAAAGGTGTCAGGCCGTGCCAAACAGGGCTGTTCAAGCGGATACTCCAGCTAGAGTAGCTACTATTCGTTGACACTTACCAAGACCTGTTGGTAAAAATTTTCTCCACTGTACAACGCTGACCTTGGCGTCTGGTCAATAAGAACAGTTGGTTCTGAAGGCGGAGTTTCCGATCGATCTGAAGAGCTATTCCGGTTGTCCAAGGAGACGGTAGACGATGCTGAGAGTGATAAAGAAGATGAAAGTGAGGCTCTGGAGATAAAAGAGCCACTTGGACTAGATGGATGATAGGAAGGTTCGTGAGATATATGTGGTGATCCGATTTCGCTCTTGACAATGTCATTCTCGACTCTAATTTGAATCCGCTCCTGGCCCATCTTCATGACTTCTAGCTCATGCTTTGGTATCGGGCCATCGACGCTTATACTGCATTTACCTTGATCCCCATAAGTGCTAAGTTGCCTTGGCACTGTCACCCGGAGAGGCAGAATGTCCATACAAGCCTGTGTTCTGCAGGGAGCTGGGCGCAGCCTCCACTTTCCTTCTTTGTTCTTATAGCCACATATTGAAAGGCAATCACCATTGGTCTCACACAGATTTGGTGCTTTGTCCTTTAGCTGTAACTGTTTAGAGGTACCTGAGGAAGAGGATGGCCTATCTTGTTCAATCATACTGAAAGTGATGGCACCAGAAGGCACTGAACTCTGTTGTCCAAGATGGTGCTGCAATGCCTCCCTTTGTAGGCGCTCTTGTGCTCGCGTTGAGTAAGGATGGTTAGGGATGAGAGGCTTAGAGTGTTCGATCTTCCTATGTTTTTGGTTTGGTTTGCTAACCCGCTTTTCTGGATCTCTATCAGTTATTGTGGAACTGCCTTCGCTTAACGACTCGTCCCCGGAGGCACCCCCATTTTTGGACCTACTGCTGTCCTCGCTCTCGCCCCTTGACCCTCTAATTTTTTTCGCCTTGTGCATCTGCTTAACGCTTCTTGCCATGGGGTTTGGCTTTTGTGATTTTACTCCCGGCGACCCCGGACGGCCTTCCATTATGCGTGCACTGCTGATATAAAAGTCAAAAGGATCGATGGGCGCTTCGCGCTTCAGCGGCAATATGTGTATTTGATTGCGGAAACTCTGTTCTTCGATAAACGCCCTACTCAGGGGTAGATCTTTGAGCTCCATATAATCAGATGGACGATAGAGCCCTCCCATATCTTGTCAAGAAGGTGAAGCATTAGTATACCAACCATGTACCGTTATAATGTAAACTACCAGATCTAGCTCACAGCCTACCTTCCCTCTCATAGCACACAAGATGTTGAGTCCCTGTCACAGAGAAATGTGGACTCGAAATTCTTCGGGAACATGCATTCGAACAAGACTGAGTCGAGCGTTCATAGCGATCCTTGAGCTCTTGCAGCGATAGCGCATTAACGCCCCGTACACAGATAGTTTTTTTGATGAGTCCATTCTTTTTCAGGACAAACGTCCCCTTCGAAGACCCTTGTACGACCAAGTTGTCTTTCTCTATTTTGGCTCTGAGAGCCTCGTCCGTCAGCCCTGATCCGGTCCTCATCCTCTCCTTGTCTGCTGTGCTCGTGCATTTCTCGTTACTTAGTTTACGAAAGAGCTCTTTGTAAACAAGGAAATTGCCATTAATCCTTGAGGGTGACCAAATCCGACCATCTGTCCACCGACAGATCCCGGATTCTGATTCGTCAAATACAAATACCGACCCCGGGACGATCAGTGTTGGATCAGGCAGACTAGCTTGCTGACCTACAGATGAAGGTAGTGTGGGAGCTTCCAATTTTGTAAGTCTGGAAGATGTCGATATATTTGAGGCGGAACTCGCTGAATTAGAAAGGCTAGGCAATGCCGGAGAACATTCATCGCATGGAGCGACTATGCGAGGATTGAGCTCACCGCGTTCCGCCGCTAGCAATCTACGGGTAATCCTGGGGAGGACACCCTGACGACATGCTTCGAAAATAATTAAGGCGTCAAGAGTATCTCTTATTTGGCCTAGTGACAACCAAGGTAAGGTTGAAAAATACGACCATGGGTCTTTGATAAGCATGACTTTTGTCGCTGTAAACGGATTTCTGTAGAGACTGGGTTGGTATGGATGAAACCATAGATCAATGTTGCAAATTATTTACCATGGAATGTCTTGCTGTTCCTGGAGACCCGCGCAGGAAGGATAAAGTGAAATGAAGCAAAATTGGTGGCAAAAGTATGTTAGTGCCTCGTACCCAAACAACCGATGTAACCAGGTAAGCTTTTTTTTTTTTTCTTTTTTTCTTTGTTTTGTTCGGGAACCAAGGAAGGAAGGACTGAGAATCCGCATAAAATTAGATGGCATGGTGACATTGACTCTAAGCCGAAGCTTATACGTATATCTTATACGGCACCAGATAGGCAATAGCAATCGGCGCGAAGTGGCGGATGGAACGCGGTGTTTCCGTGTGCATTTGTTACCTTCGGACTTTTGGTTTGCTTGCGTTGGACATGAAGAGAGATCCAAGTTGGAGGGATTGGAGGTTTGTGAAAAGGTGACTTATTAGATGCTTGTGGAAGTAAGAGCAGCAAGTACTAAAAAGAAGGGAAATGAAGAAGAAAAAGAGAAAAAAGGAAGATAGAAATAATGGATGACACAAAAAGTGCACAATGAATAAATGAATGGGTAGAACTATATTCAATGGCATGTGATTGGTTCAATACCGCCGGGTTCTGTTGCTGTGTCCCAGGATGTAAACGTGTGCCTCTGATCCACTGATGCGGATCCACAGGCAAAAAAGGTCTATTGTAACATACACCTTAAAAAAATTAAAGTATGACAATTATCGTATTGGTTGTAACATGAGTGTGCCAGATGACATATTGACAATCAAACGGAGATAACAAACACATGGGTAATAAAAAATAAAAAATAAAAAGTAAAAAAAATAAAATAAAAATCAATCCATCATCGCCGACACTAAAATCATTGTTCCAACAATCTCTACGATGGTATATGGCTATGTTCTTTTTGTGTCGCGATGTTTTTATTGTTTATGCGTTGTTCAAATCCAGAGCTGCTTTCTGTGTCAATAAAAGCATTGCCACCACGAATGTTGGAATCATGATACAAGTGGAGAGGCTCATATTCATATATTCAGACGCTGGTAATGCCGTCTATACAGTAGAAAGTATTACAGCACAACGATCACCATTAAACATGTCATGTATCAGCAGCATCAATACTATCAATACCCAATATCATCACCAGCATCATCAACATCATCAGCATCATCAACATCATCAGCATCAATGAATAAGCAAAGGATAAAGAGACAGATAATGATTTTATCAGCTTCTATTGAAAAGTTTCGATTACAAGGCTTGAGGAAAATAAGAAGTTGTTCAACCACATGTACCAGCCAAGTCTTCCTATGCTAACAAAGAGGTTGAGATCTCAGCCACAACAGCTAGGAAAAATAAACCAAACTCTCCTCATAGAGTGCCAGACAATACTGAGACATGCCCTTTTAATTCGTAAATCTGCGTCTTACACATTCTATTCTCTTAAAATGATGTAAGTGCATCAAGAATTAGATGAACCCGAGCATAGTCAGAACTTTACTGGCGAATAACCGGTAGTATATTAGTGCTCGTGGCCAATGTGCATCCGTTGGGACTGTGTGAAAAGGTATCAAGTCGAACATTCCAGGCACAATGGCCAACTTAATGGACAACTCTCAACAGAATAACATCATTATTTCCATCACATTTTATATAATAATAAGAGCTTTGATAATTGAAATGAAAGCGGGAATGTTTATATGCTTTATAGGGTTGGTATGTCATATAATGCGTATCATGATTAAGTAAAACTACAGTATCATCAATAAGCAGCAACAGGTAATAAATAAATAATAGGAGAGAAATTAAGAATGAATAAATAAAAAAGCAAAAAGCAGAACAATGATTTAAAGAGCGGTGGTACTTGTGCTAGCTTGTGCTTTCAAGTACACAGCATATTTCTTGGAAGGCCTTTGTGGCGTCAATGGTGCTGTGCCTTTGGTCTCAATGCGAGGTAGGAACAACGCTTGAGGTCTATACGACAATGTGTACTCCAGACTTTTCTCCTTAAAATACTTGGGAACAAGCTTGAGAAGTACAAACCGTGCTGCAGTGTCCAACCATGTCTAAAAACATATTCATAATGCAAATATTAACATTTTTAAGCCGGGAAGCAATGCAATTGATCAAAATCTCTTGGAGAAGCAATGTAAACAGCACCTTTTTTTTTTTTTTTTTTTTTTTTTTCATACCTTTCCAGCTAAGACTGTAGACATTTGTTGAACTGAATTCAATTCTCTCTTGGTAGTAGGGAAGCGCTCCAGATAATAGTCGTCAAAGGCTTTAGCAATGTGCTTGTCAGTAGCAGAAGGCATCTCATATAAGCAGTTGACGAGGACAACGGCATCAAGGATAGCATTTAAAGCACCTAGTATGGATAAAATGATCATCAACTATTAATCAGGTTGTAATTCATTTTCTCTTCAAAAATTAATAGTCCTTGAGAATTTTTTTTTTTTTTTTACCAAAGTTTGGTAACAACTATTGTTTAAGGATGAATTATTTAAACAAAAGAGATCGTTAGCATGAGTTCAGGAATTTTGGTTTGATAGTCCGTTTAGTTTTCATTTGTAAAACATTTTCGAGAGTGAACCTTACCCTATGCGCAGCTATGTTAATTGCAATCGATTCGTATCATATCGCAGAGAGAGAGAGAGCGATTAAAATAGTCAGTCATTTTTCTTTTGTGCATTCTATGAGAACATACTTTGACTTTTTTGTTTTTGTTTTTGTTGTTGTTGTTTTTTCTTACCATCGCCAATGAGTACGGTACGACCATGCTTCCAAGTCTCAAAGATCTTCTCCTCAAGAACGACTTTGGAAATGGATTCTTTGGGGGTGTTCTCAAACAGATCCTTGAGCTCACCCATAATTGGCAGCTTGTGCTGTTTCCACTCTTCAGGCAATTGTGAAACATCAAACATATTATAGTCGGCATTCAACCAGTTCTCATATAGCTTTGGATCCATCGAGCTCGACTGCACATCAACACGCCAGCAGATACGGTTGTTCGGGATCGTAAAATATCTCCACTAAATGTACAGACACACATAAAAAAGGAAAGGAGCATACATTGCCGAGAAAGAGAAAGAGTCAATTCTCGTGTTCGTATGACATACGATTGAATGGGCCTCAAGGGGAAATAGTTAAAAGACCTACAGTCAATCCACGCTCCTCACCAATGACAGTGTCACAGTGGGACTCGTCATCCTGAAGGCCTTCAAAATTGGCTGGGTTCATTGGGTTTGTTGTGCCGAGAATACTCATGTAATGGCTGACAAGGCTCACGTCACCATCCTCGGTGTTATTAGGGAGGATATTCTCTTTCTTCATCTCGTTATAGAGAGCTTGACGAACACTGCTATATGAACCATCAGCGCCAATGAGGATGTCACCAGTATATGAGCTTCCGTCGGCGCAGGTGATGGTCACACTTTCAGAGTCCTGGGTCAAGGAGACGATCTTCTTATTCATATGTACCTTTTCTTGTGGGACACGCGAACTGAGAAGTGCATGGAGTTGAGGGCGCGATGTCACCAGCGAGTCATAGCCCGTTCTGGATTTATCGACAAGGCACCAAATAACAAAAATAAAAATTAAAAGGATGCATTAGAGTAGAGCGCGCGTGTACTTGGAGAGAAAGATGCAGTCTGTCGTGTAACATCCATGTTCCTTTTTTTTTTTTTTTTTTTTTTTTTTTTTCTCCACAACTACCACGACCATTACTTACAAGGTCTTGTTGTTTCTAAGTCGAATTTCACGAATAATTTCCATATCTTCTTTGAAAATGGTGGTCCCATCAATGATTTTAGAAATAGATTTAAGCTCTTCCAAAAGACCCAGCTGCTCCAAGAGCGGCATAACATTAAACCCTAGCCCTGTAGCAGATCCTTGAGTGCACACCTGCTCGTCCCTTTCAAAGAGCTGGTACTCTATACCGGCCTTCTCAAGAAGGATAGCCACAGTGAGACCACCAATCCCAGCGCCTGCAATAAGGATTTTGGGTTCTTTTACTGGGGTTATCTCAGGCATGGTGGGTCTTTACAGGGGGATGAATGCACGGATGAAGGAGGGAAAAGAAGGACGAGTGAACGAGTGGAGAGTGGGACGAAGGAGTGAGAGAGAGAAAATAAATGTGAGTAGATGGAATAAATGTGAAGAATAAAAGAGAGAGGAGAAAGAGAGAAAGAGAGAGAGTGAGAGAGTGAGAGAGTGAGAGAGTGAGAGAGGGTAAAGTGATGGAATGAAGAAAGAGGAAAAGGAATGAAAGTGATCAGATGAATGAAGTTCGAGATGAAGATTAAACTACATGTGTATGTTGTATATCTTGTAATACAAGGTAGATGATATCCCATTGAATGTGGTCGCGAAATGTAAATTCAGGTCCATGTCTAAAGAAAATGAATGGCAGAGCAGTGTTATTGAAATGGAACATTATTTTAATAAAACAAACAGGTTGCGCCTTGCGGGATCGGCATGTAAGGAGAGGGTGTGTTTGCTACCTTGATGCCATGCATAGAAAAGCAGGCGGGAGACACATGGGCGCCCGAACAGATCCTGACCCGCCTCTGAAAAAAAAAAGGTTTATTCATTCAACTCTCAATGCAGTATGAATGGATGATAAATATATATATATATATACATTTATATATAATATATTAATATATATATATATAATATATATATAAATACAAATTCGATTCAAAAGGCACATGGATGAGTAGGCTGATCTCTCTGCTCTCTTTATTTTTTACCCCGATTAGAGTCCGTAGCCCTGTTTGCCATGCCAATGTCATTGTGTGTAACATTTACAAAAATGCTCCTTTCAATATAGTTTTCGATTTAATGGGTTCGCTCTCTTCCTTTTATTCTTCTGTATTTCCGTGAATTGGTCTCTTGCTTCAACTTTCTTTCACCCTACTCATGAAGGGACCAATGGGGCAATCCAAGGTATCATATATATATATATATATGCTTTGTAAACAGATCGGGTTTTTGGCTGACCCTATCAAGGGTAGTAGATCTAGGCTACTATCCCTAACCCAAGTGCGGAGCAAAAGAAAAAAAGGGGAAAATGGCTCCACACTTCAAGAACCCTAAATAAATAAACGAAAGTATATACAGATTTGTGGTGATCTTCCAACCATGGACAATAAAAAAGAAAAAGAAAACTAGGACTGCGGAAGAAAATGTCCCTTCGCTCTCTTTCCTTTCTTTTCTTTTCTGACCATCTGTCGTACTAAACAAAATAAGCATGATAGAGTATCACCGTATAAAATTGGCCTATACATGAGCTATGGCAATCTAATACAAGTATATATACACAGTATAGTCGTGTATGCTCTTTATGGCTCAGCTTGCAATGGAACATCAAAAGCGTTAAAACCTTCATTATCCTTTTGTAGTTTTTTTTTTTTATATTCCTTTCTGTTCGTTCATTTTATTTTTTTCCTCCGTGCAGATTCTTTGATTTCCTTCACAAATATAGCTCACAAAATGCATTTTTTTTTTTTTTTTTTAATATTTCGAATAATACATTCATGACAAATACGATACAGGAAGGCGTTCAATAATTCCTGATCGAGGAACTACATCCATTTTTTTATCTGGTGAAAATATATACACAATATATTGAGAGCATATGAAGACGATTGGTAGATTACAGAAATGAGCCTCGAGGTGGAAATAAAGTGCACAATATAAAAACTATTATATGAGCAACAACACAAGCGTAAAAACGAATGAACTTAATGGCTACATTATTACAAGGAGAAATGTCTGCATTCCCTGCCTTGGCTGACGAAGCCGTGTAACCAAGTAAAATTGCTAGTGTTACCATCTCTGTGTCATCACACCCATTTCACAAAAAAAAAGTCATCAGCTGTCGTTTGAATCAATATATTCAAATCGATGAAGCTTTATCCGTCAATTAAACAATCTACCATCAATTATAAAGTAAGGTTGGATAAAAATGGTGTTGTATAGAGTCATTGAGGAAGAGCAAAAAGCTGAAAGACAAACTCAAACAACAAATAACAAAAAAAAAAGACTTATTCAGTTCAAGACGCTAGTTGAGTAAAGGAGAAGGTAAGAAAGTAAGTAATAGCGGGTCGACGATGTTGTTCATGATGAATTAGTTTGTGTGTATTTAATATGGAAAGAAGGGAACCAGGGCCTCTGCCACAGAGCGTATGCAATCCAATATTATGTATTAATACTTTATATTTTCATAAATAACTTTGCGACTATCTTTAATGCTTCGAGAAAAAAAAAAAAAAAAAAAAAAAAAAGCTTCTTTTGAATAAGAGCCGCCTTGCTAGGTTGAGTGTTCTACATGCTCTTGATCTTCGCGAAAGACTGACTCGCTTGGCCTTTAGGAAGACCAAATAAAAGACAAAAATAAACATTCTATCCCCACTCAATTTGCCTGGTATTAGTAGATTTATAATTCATATTACATACAATTTAAATTAACTTTACATTAGGTGGTATTTTCTAGCAATACAGTTGGAAAGAGTCTGCAGTAAGACTGGGCTTTTTTTTTTTTTTTTTTTTTTTTTGGCAAACTTCATCCATCATGGTTGAGACCCAGACTGCTCTGGGTTGTCATTGTGTCAGAATAATATCCCAGCCGAGGGGCTGGAGGTGGATTGCGGTTCGATGCTGGTGTTCGAAATCCCTGTGAGGAGGAGAAGCTTGTTTCAGGAAAGCTTTGTTGTTCACCTGATCCTGCTATCATATCTAACAGTAATCTGTCTTCATCTTGTTCTTGTTCAAGTATATTCGAGCCATTGAAAGCTGGAATAGGCATAGAGTCCACATTAGAGCCGCTACTTAAAACGTTAGATGCAAATCCACTCTCATCACCTGAGGATGTCTGCCCTGTCGGTCTGTGAGATCTATCGATTTGATCCTTATCTGACGATGATGATGTAGCTGCTGCTGCAGATGCGATAGCAGAAGCAGCTGCCTGAGTGGCTGGAGATGGCACTATCGAGTGCACGGAACGCCGCGAGCTATCAACAAGACTAAATCGACCAAGCCTAGCTAAGGGCGAAGGTGTCATGAAAGACGGGGGACTAGAACCCATACTGCTCCCGCTACTTTGACCAGTCCCTAGAATATCTCTCCTTATTTGTGTTTTAGAAGAACCAATGGGAGTAGCCACTGTTTGCCTGCGGTTAGATGTGGCAGCAAATGCAGAATTAAAGGATTCGAGGAATGCTGCTCCAATGTCACTACTGATAGTACTGGCACTGATGCCTTCTGCAGCAGTGGTGCTGGTGGGTGCTGTTGTGAGCAGAGAAGCAGGCTGTGCTGCTGATGACGTTGAGGTTGAAGGCTGTCTCGACCCAGTGCCACTGCTTGAGCGAACTAAGGATGGTTTATCAGTAAAGACATCTGACGCCTTCGAGAATAACAAAGATAAGGATGAAGATGATGCTGGCTGCTTCGAAATAAAAGAATCCCTTGCTTTTATTCTCTGCATAGCTTTTCGTATTTCAGGTGGTGTCTGGAGTGCTTTGAGTAAAGGATCCTCATCCACAAAATCTCCTTGGGACTGATGTTGAGAAATGCTCCTGTGGGTGGGACTATGGCTCCTCTCCTCGTTATCACTCTCCTGCTCCTGGTGAGGTGCTCCAGAAAGATTGCTTTGTGAACGGGATGAAGGGGCAAAAAACCCTTTGACGTTCGCCATCTTACGAGGACTCACAAACAGCCGCTCATTATCCCGTTGCTTATCGGTCAATGAAGCCCAGTTCTTAGATTGGGCATCAACTGTGTCCTCTAGAGGCTCAATAAAATCCTCTCCCCGGCTCCTTTTCTTTGATCCATTGATCCCTAAATCTCTTGAAGGTGCTACCTCACTGTACTTTTCTAAAATGGCTGCATCGTCGTCGTCATCATTGTTCACCAAAAGTGGCTGTGGGATACCAAGCCCATCCTTCATCTGAACCCTGTCGACACGACTCTTTGCTACAGCCGAATGCGGAGTCACTGCAGGCTTGGATCCCGGTATTGAAGTATGAAGCGTGGTGGGGGAGCTGATCACATCTTGATGGTCCTCATCTACATTGAACTCAGTAGATTCCCAATCCTTGCTACTTGTTGCAGGAATTTGAGTCTGATTGGACTGTGTTTTTGACGGCGCAAGAACTGTATCATTGGCTTGGCTTTGATCAGACTGCTTCTTTGATGGTGCCGGCTCTGCTCGATTAAATGTCGATAATAACATTGATCTGTCGCTGTGAATAATAGCTGGTATTGTAGATGCAGGTTCTTCGGCAGTTCGTTCATTTTGACGAGTCATTCGAATTGGCGTTGTTCGTGATGAGTTATGGTTTTCATGCTGTGGCCAGAGGATCCCAGATGAAGGACGGGCATCAGCTCCTAGTTGGAGACGAGATATCTTATGGTTGCTACGTATTGGAGTGGGTGTCGAGGGCATTGATCCAAGCGATGAACTACCCAAAAACCCCGGTGAAAGCCTAGACGACGAAAGATCAATTTCGTCAATTCGCTGACGGTTTGTTGAGGTCTCATCCTGATTAACATCATCGTGGTCATGGTTAGAGATATCGAAAGTATGTGGCAGATCAACGCGCTCTTGTGCCCCTTGACTCACTCTAGAGTTTTCTGCCTCTATAGTGGAGTGTTGTTTATTGCTAGCCTCTTTGGCCGTCCGATTTCTATGACGACCAATAGGTTTCCTGGGGGTCAACGTCGCTTGAAAAAATCGATGCCAGTACTGTGTAACGTCCCTGGTTTTCCTTGATGATTCTGCATAGCGTTCCACTTGCGGTATGATCTTTGTTGATACTGTCATTTGGCTTTTGGAAAAGCTTTCATCTGTTGCAATAGAATAAAATAAAGCTTTGGGTTAAAAAAAAAAAAAAAAAAAAAAAAAAAAGGGTCATATTCTCTACTGAAAATCTTTCATACCAATCTCCTGCATAGTCCTTGTGATGGCTTGGTCGAGACGCTCGATTTCATCAAGTACTTCTTGAGTAGACGGTGGTTTAAAAGACATCATAAATGAGTGGCGGTCTTAGAAGACACGTTCAATCATGTAGTAAGATGGGAAGTGAAGTGAAGAGGACAGGCTCTCCATTGTTTGCCAAAGACAGGGGAGCATTCAAGGAGAGCGGTCACTTAAAAAAAATGGTCACTACGTAAGAATGCCAACCAGGATGTTTAAAGATGAGCAACTGCTTCAGCTTTCTTTCATCACATCAAACACAAGGTCACAGGAAAGGCACAGTCATGGCGCTAGACAAGCAAGTATTGGCTTCGCGGGGTAAGGACATCAACCATAGTTGTATTTGATGTTTGGCGTTCTTCTGTGCCAACTACGCTCATTTCATTGAGCTTCAGCGTAACAGTATTTTCTGATATTACGTTCTAGATCGAGCTAGACGACATATTTTATTGTCAGTATGGGCAGTTGTTCTGTTTGGACTCCCTCTGTGGTGGAAAGCGACGCGTGTTTACAGAGCTGAGCTGCCCTATAATGACATTGCACAGTGGAATGATTGGAAGGTATGGACTCAAAACGTTAAAAAATATTCTGGAGGTATAATACTACGTAAAGCTGACATACTCTTCATATTGTTATGTAATAGACGTGCAAACCAAGTTTTCCTATCAAGGTCAATCTGCACCTTTCGAAAATAGCGCCCATAAGTACACAGGAGGACGAACATCAGATTTTGAGTGGGATCAAAGATACAGTAAGCACAGGGATTGCAGGACTCGTTGGCATACCAGAGCGGCCAATACACCTTGATATTAACCAGTCATGGAGTGGATCAAAAGAGCGAGATATCTTAAGTAGGATGAACAATCCATTTTCCCTCGATCCTTGAACATCTGTTAGCATGTATTTTACTGATAGAGAGCATTGGCAGTGGCGTGGGATTTAATACGTCTATTCAACATCTTGCCACGCTTTTTGCGTCTATATTCTTAGATCGAGCCAGCGTAATCCCAGGCACATATGATTTTTATATCTCACCTGGAGCTAATACCAGTGCGACTATTCGAAGTCAGAGACAGGGATTCATTCAATTGCAGACATGGAATAAAGGTAGGCTAGCTAATAAGACACTTCCTCAAATGTAATAGAGCTTGCCAAACCCTTACCATTCTCTTTTATATATATATATGTTTATACTCCGTAGAGCACATTAGTAACTCTGTTATAGAGACGCTGAATGCGATTTTTTCAGAGGAAGAGGGAACAATTAGACAACTCTTCCTTACTCTAAATGGTCAGGGTTCTGAAAAAACAAAGGGCCATCTTAAGGCTGTGAAGTACGCTCCAGGATACCAGCTAACATTTAGTCTGTTCAGCGGAGATGCATCCAATGGTGTTCGTGAATGGAAGATACAGGAAGCCATCAATGGTAACACTTGTTCCAAACAATGTAAAAATCGTTGATCAATATTCAGCAATAGTCATCTAACTATTATTTTCATCCCCGCTTTCCTGGCGTTATTGTCCTACAGCCTTTTTCGCCCCGTTCTTAAAGAGCATGTCTGTCATTTCGACGTTTACAGTAGAATCGCAAGTGCAACACTACGCTTCATTGACTTTCGTCCCTCAATTTGACGCAGATCGTAAGGAGCATTATTTAACACCGGACACCCTTCCAAATTTTATTAACGCTGCCGAGTGGAGCCTTGGTACGTCACAGAAAGAAGAGCTTGTCAATTGTGATTTGATATTATAGCGATTGAAGCAGATGATAACATGTTCAATTTTAATATATCTAGCATCCACGGTCTCGTCATTACCTCCACTTAACTTCCTGGCATATGTCCCTAAACCAAGCGAGAGTCCTTTAGTGATCAGGAGCGAGTCTTCAGGCTCTCGCTCTCTCACAAACTCATTTCTGATTCCTCGATGGGGCGGTATTACTATCTTGAATAGGGAGCATGGCAATACATCTTCAACGCCTCATGTCATCACCGTACAGGAATTGGAGCCACCTATGAAAATCTTTCTGACACAGTTACGCGATCTCATGGGTGTATCTGATCTTTCTTTTTCAAAGGCGTCGTTCCCGATTGTATTTCACAAGACTGTAAACGGTGCACTAACAACATGGGAATTGGATAGTCTATTGAGAAGACGGACTGCAGAGAACCTAGTCGATTCGTTGGCGACGATTGCATCACTTGCAAGGCTAGTGATGGATACACCCAATATGGTTGTGTTGGACCATATCCAGAAGGATGTTATTAATGCTTTGAAAGATGTCGAGCGTTCTTGTCAAAGACTCTCTGAACAAGATTATCTTGAAGCAATATCAGCATCAAGAGACGCACTCGTCAAATCCGAGACTGCTTTCTTTGATCCAACGATGGTTTCAATGCTTTACTTTCCAGACGAACACAAGTATGCCATATATATGCCTTTGTTTGTACCCATCTCGGTACCATTGGTAATGGCGGTGCTGAGAGAATTGAAGAGATGGAAGGAGAATAAGAGGAATACTTCTGACGAGACTAGTAAGACCAAAGTGGATTGATAAAGATTGTTATTAGGACAGTAAAAACTACAAAAAATAAATACATATAATATATACATTTAAACATGATGACTATGTGGGAAGTTTTGACAGGAAAGAAGATATTACATTGCGCCAAGCTTGATAATGGACGCGTAAATGCAAACCGATCGATATAATCATTGCTTGGCAATAATCGGATGCACGGTGCTTGATCGGGTGGGAACATCCAAAAAAAAAAAAGCGTATCTAAAGTGAACCGTTGTACCACCTCATAACGGTTTGAAAAACATTTTAAATGAAAAATGTTTGGTTGCAAATGCATTCACGCTGAATAACGACATTTCCGTTTTTAGGGTGAATCTTTTATGGCAGACATGTGCACAATCCGCCTGTAATAAACGCTCCAACGCTCAATTGCTGGGTTTCCTCTGGTTATGGACATGAGCACAGCATATCAATTCCATCTCTCTCTCTCTCTCTCTCTCTCTCGCTCTCTCTCTTTTTTTTTTTTTGTCCTCATTGCTCATCTGATCCTTTTTTAACTTGGTAATATAAAACCATCCCCCTTTTTTTTTTTTTTTTTTTTTTTTTTTTTCCTCCTTCACCATTCATGAACTTGACCATTTCTTATTAACATTCAACACTTTTTTTTTTGTAATTGTAGTCCAACAACCTTGCTCGCTAGTCAACCTTTGTACACTACTCAGTAAGAATGGCTGGCACAACACAGTCGCCGTTGGCTATGCTGATGCTAGTCACCCCATATACTATCCTCTATCTAGTGAATCAGTGTAAGATACCATACTACATTTAACCAATCCTCATAGTTACTGTCCATGATTATTTCTTCTTTGTTCTTTTATGCCTTGTTCATGTAATAATAACGTTTTTTTTTTTTTTTTTTTTTTAAAAAAAAAAAAAAAAAAAAAAAAGTGCTTCTCCATGGCGTCTTAGATAGAATGCATTATATCTTTTTCGAGCTTATCTTTGTACTGGCATTTCGCAAAGTCTTTGGACTCCCCGATCTTAGCGAACGATTGTTCCCAGCACATGTACCTGTCCAGTCTACAGAAACTGTTCGTCTAAAGACATCCATTGCCAACAATACCACCACAAATTCAGGAACAACCATCAAAAAGAAAGTGAAGGTCGGCCGTAAGTCAATGTCAACAACAATAACAAGGAAACCTAAAGAACAGCCCTATGCCGACAAACTGGCCGCCATGGAAAAGAAATTCATGGACTATGTGGAAAACACAGAGATTTGGGAAAAGGTCCATGAGGAAACTTCACCAGGTCTGATTGAAGTGTACCAGTACAAAGCTCGTCCGATGTGTTACAAGATCATTGCAGTCATGGACAATGCCGTGGGCGTGACATTTGATCTGCTTACTGATATTGATCAGCGTCTGACATGGGACCCACTTTGCGTTGAGGCAAAGACTATCGCTAATGTCTCACCCGGTGTGAAAATTCAATATGTGCGAACCAAAGGAATGTGGCCAACGACTTCAAGAGATACGCTTGTGCTGGGTACTATCAAGAAGTTAAGAGAAGGAACGTTCTTCAGCGTAACATCTTCTGTGGAGCATCCTCTTATGCCTGAGAGAACCAAAGAAAAGTTTGTCCGTATGGAGACTGCAGTTGCCGGCCAGATTGTTGGACCAGAGCCAGGACATCCCGAAAAATGTCGGTTGGTGCAGATACTCGACGCAGATTTGAAAGGCTGGATTCCAGAGAAGGTCATTCAGCTAGGTAAGTAATATTAAATATTTGTGTATGATCCTGTGCTTACAACCAATATCTCAGCTTGGGAGACACTTCAAAGGTGAAAGGTTTTCCTTACACCGTTTTTATTTCATTCCAAATAGTCTCTACAAAGTCTATACCTCAAGGGATACATAAAATCAATAGGATATTACTCAATCTTCAGCCCTATTCGGAATCTAAGTCATTACAGCGGGTTCTTGAACTCAAGGCAGCTGAAGAAGTACAGGATGATACCAATGATGAAAAGGCAGTAGGAGATAGCTTTTCACATGAGCTCAAGGTCAAACACAACTCTGCATTGATGACTGCTGCATCAAAGTTACCAGATCACTCTGTGGTGCATGACAACGAAAGTTTATTTGATAGAGGCACAGTCGAGAAGAAACAACGAAATTCGTTCCGAGCCTTTTGGCATGGCATCAAGCATAGCCTAGCCTATGGTGGCGCTCCTAGCAAAACAAACAAAATTTTAGTGACGGCATTCGTTATCGCGATCCTCGGGCCGGCTCTTGCGCGGTTCAGACGACGTCGTTAGATATTCTAGGAATTAAACTAAAAATACATACATACTATCATTTGACAGGTTTGTCACCAGCCTAAATGATGAAATTCATGTACCTGTCTTGCTCTTCTCTTTCAGGGACCGCGTAGGACCTGACTTTCATTCGTGAAATAAATATTCCCGATTGTCCCTGTGTCACTGATCAAAGCAATTTTTTTTGATAAGGATCGATGAGTTTATCTAGGACGAGGTAAATTTCTTTAAATATCTGATAATTTCTTACTCGTCTTTGGCCTCTCTCTCACTTCCAATACCCAAGTAGACTTTTCTTTATGCCATCCTTGCCACTTCCGGTTTACTTCCTCAACAGTCTAAAAACACATTGGGGTTATAAATTAGGCTTCACTCTCATTGTCTATGTGGCCCTGGTGCGGTACAAACGCTACCAACGGATCAATGCGCTCCTTCAAAAATACCCAGATCCAACTATACCACTACATAACCGTGAAGCTGCGCAAGAAGTGCTTTGCTGCTTCGGACACTATGATTTTCCATACCTTTATGCTGTGTCTATGGAATATGCCCTCCTTATGACATATGGCATCCCATCAATCTCTCGAATCTTAGCTGGAACCAGAGAGTTCGCGCGACAATGTTTAAAACGGACTGATGACACAGTTCTATTCTTACATGAAATGGCAGAGCCATACCCGAGAAAAGTCTATCGCGAGATGAAAAACAATGGTCAACTGGATGAGGTCGAAGATCGAAACGATACCATAAGAGAATCAATCGCGACAGAACGAGTAAACTTCATCCATGGGCATTATCCTATTAAACATGACGACTTCTTATATACAATAGGATTGCTTGTCCTCGAGCCTGCCCGGTGGATCGACCAATTCGAATGGCGGCAAATCACAGAACTGGAGAAGAATGTAAGTTTTTTCTAAACCAATAATCTTTTTCCAAAAATAGTAATATCGAAGACGTTGTATAACACTTTTTTCTCTTTTTGTGTAGGCATTGCTGGCGGTTTGGATTTACCATGGCGAACGTATGAATATTCAAAACATCCCACGGTCATACAAAAAGCTTGAGGAATGGACAAATGTAAGATTCTTTTAACATACTTTAAAAAAAAAAAAAAAAAAAAAAAAAAAAAAGCAAAGAAAAGTATATATAGAATTTGAAATAATAATGAATGATTTTCTTCGTGGTTGTTTCTAGAATTATGGAGCCAAGCACATGGTGTACGCTGAGTCCAACGTTGGTGTCGCCGAAGCAACCATAGACCTTTTCATCACTCTCGTTCCACGCTTCCTAAACCCGATCGCCCGCCAAATCACTGTTGCTTTACTTGGTGATCGACTTCGTGGTGCGTATGGGATCGCACCTCCACCGCGCGGCCTTAAATCATTTGCTGTGGCTCTACTCAAACTCAGAGCATTGTTCATCAAATATTTTATGCTACCCAGACGATATCCTTTGATCAGGACGGCTCTAAGAGCAAACGCGGATAATAAATATGTACCACGTTGGAACAAGTATGGGTCCGTTTATCCACATGGTTACAAAATTGAAGACTTGGGACCACGCCGGTTTCAAGGCAAATGCCCAGTGCTAATGAAAGGAACGATGAATAGCAGCGATCACTAGACGTCTAAGGTGTTAGAACAATAAAAGTTTTTTTTTTTTTTTTTTTTTTACATATAAAAGGCCTAATGTAAAGCGGTATCATCACCCATCTTCAATGCAGAGTATCCATTTAGGAATACTAAGTATTATTGTCACGCTCCCAGTGTGCGTGCCTTGCATATACATATATCTACCCGAGGTAATCACTGTTGTCCTCACATGTCTGTGACCTCATAGTGGCAGCGTGGAAGCAAGTGTGGTTTATCATCCTTGTTTAATATGGGACTCAACATAATACGACGAATTTAGAAGTTTCTAAATATCCTGTTCATATCTTCATTGCATGGACTAATGTGAATAAAACTCACAAAAGTCTAAAGTTGGAAGTAATATGATAACTCGTACTGAAGATACCCTCCATTCATAAATTCTACAATCTATTCAAGCAGTTGTGGCACACGGACCATGGTGTGAATACACATTAAATTCACACAGCAGACATAGTTTTAATTATAAATCAACTTTGAGGCTTTTGCTCAACTCATTCCTTATCAATAGATCTTTGTTCATTGAACCCTCGCTCCTGTTGACAAACCCAGCCATTTTATAGTTATCTGATATCAGTGTGTATATTATTCAAAGCCAACTATGGTTATGATTGATGGCTCACACACTTAAGCATGAGATACGACCCCAGACCCCAATGAGAATTTTTGGGATAGCATCGAAGCTCGATTCTAACAAGTTGGCCAAAGAAGAAGCCACTTTGCTTTCAAATGCACCATAGCATTAATAATAGCCCCAGTACTTCCCAAGCCGTATACCGCCTTGTGCAATTACCATGACCATCGTATTAGCCTGTCCTCGTTCAAGAGAGATCTATAAGGAAGAGATAAAATACCTTAGGGTCCAGTGAATGGATTATAGAGAAAATGTGTTTTTTTTTACAAATAAAAAGATTGTGTAGAATGTCCATGCAAGCATGCAAGATTCCCACCGTGTGCCATGACCCCAATGAATTTCAGCTGAATCTTATTCGCTGATAAGGAGGACTTTGTTCTAATTTCTAATTCGAAAAAAAAAAAAAAAAAAAAAAAATTGTATGTATTTATTCTCAGCGACGACCCTTTGTCCGTCATTCATTCATTCATTCATTTCTTTCTTTTTTTTTTTTTTTTTTTTTTTTTTTTTTTTTTTTTCATTCTTTTTCCCATTACTTGCTCAATTAAACCCCAACATTCACCTCCTGTTCAAGTCTAGCCATGGTCCTCGCAAACAAGCTCCACGCATGGAAGGCACTCCAAGCTCACTACGACCAGCATGCTGCCAATATCATTATCAAGGACGAGTTCGCTAAAAACCCAGCTCGGTTTGAGCAGTTCTCGCGTCTTTTCCAAGGCCCAACTACAAAGTCCTCTATCTTGGTCGACTTTTCCAAGAACATCATCACAGAAGAGACCTTTAAACACCTTATTGATCTGGCCAAGGAGGCTGGCGTTGAGGAAATGCGCAAGAAGATGTTTTCGGGAGAGCCTATCAACTTTACTGAGAACCGCTCTGTTCTTCATGTTGCCTTGCGCAACGTGTCCAACACACCCATCTATTCTGAGGGCAAAGACGTGATGCCAGAAGTCAATGCTGTGCTTGAGCACATCCGTTCCTTCACAGAGTCTGTCCGCTCGGGTGAGTGGAAAGGATACACTGGTGAGCGGATCCAGGATGTGGTCAATATTGGTATTGGCGGATCAGACCTTGGACCAGTCATGGTCACGGAAGCTCTCAAACCATACGCGACTCAAGGCGGATTGAGGGTCCATTTTGTCTCCAACATTGATGGTACTCACATTGCTGAGGTCTTCAAGAAAGTCAAGCCTGAAAATACACTCTTCATCGTCGCCTCCAAGACTTTTACCACTCAGGAAACCATTACTAACGCTACTACCGCTAAGAACTGGTTCTTGAAGCATGGTACAGAGGTAAGCTTTTAAAGTCAAATTCAACCTTGTGATTCAGTGTAGGCATAGATCAATTAGTTAGTATATGCTTTTTTTTTTTTTTTTTTTTTTTTTTTTTTTTTTTTTTTTCAAAATATCCACAAAGCGTGAGGCTGGGTTAATTGTATGCCACGTCTGCTGTGTACATTGAACATTGGAGAGAGAAGGGGCTTCAAAACAGCTGTGGCACCATTTCTGAAAAAATCTTATTTTCCATGGAGACACACAAAAAAAAGAAGGAAGGTATTCTAGCAGTCAGAATACGTCATTTGTACGAACGATGTGGAAGTTCTCCAGATCATGAAATTGGTGGCTGAAAAAAGGCTCGAGTATGAAGCAGTCATCACTGTCTAGGTCTTTTTAAAACATGTAACTAAATTCCCCTCTGTTCCTCTCTGATTCTTTCTGATTTAGGCTGATGTTGCTAAGCATTTTGTCGCTCTCTCCACCAATACAGAGGCTGTCAGCAAGTTTGGGATTGACCCCGCAAACATGTTCCAGTTCTGGGACTGGGTCGGTGGCCGTTACTCTCTCTGGTCTGCTATTGGTCTTTCAATCGCTCTCTACATTGGATTTGACAACTTCAAGGAGCTTTTGACAGGAGCACACGAAATGGATCAACACTTTGTCAATACTCCTCTTGAGAACAACCTCCCTGTCATTCTAGGTGTCCTCGGAATCTGGTACATTAACTTCTTTGATGCCCAAGTCCATGCTATTCTACCCTATGATCAATATATGCATCGCTTCCCTGCCTATTTCCAGCAAGGAGACATGGAATCTAATGGCAAGTACAGAAACAGAGATGGCGAGGCGGTCCCTTACGGTACTGGTCCATGGGTTGTAGGCGAGCCTGGAACGAATGGCCAGCATGCTTTCTATCAATTGATTCACCAAGGAACTCGCATTACTCCTTGCGATTTTTTGGCTCCTGTTGAGACTCATAATCCCCTGTCCGGTCATCATGATATTTTGCTTTCCAACTTTTTCGCCCAGACTGAGGCATTAATGGCTGGTAAAGACGAGAAGACCGTACTTGAGGAGCTGCAGCAAGACAAATCACTCGCAGCTGAAAAGATTGAACGGATTGCACCCCATAAGGTGTTCAAAGGTAACAAGCCCACCAACTCGATCTTGTTCCAGAAGTTGACGCCTGGCACACTGGGTGGCCTGATTGCTCTTTATGAACACAAAATATTTGTCCAAGGTGTGATCTGGGACATCAACTCATTTGACCAGTGGGGTGTTGAGCTTGGCAAGCAATTGGCCAAGAAGATTCTGCCCGAGTTGACGACGTCTGGCGAAGTACGCTCGCATGATGCTTCGACCAATGGCCTCATTAACTTTTATAAGCAGCACAAAAAGAATTGACTGGATGAATTAAAGGCACTCCTGTAGAAAAGATTAAATAAAATCCATTTTCAATTATGATTCCGTCTACGCCTAAATAGCCCGATTGTGCCTGAACCAGAAGTAACGCCATCACAGTGGGCCAATCACATATAAGACCTGGAATTAGTTGTGCCACACCATACATCGCCCTTCCTAAATAACTAAATGAACATTGGGCAACTGCGCTTTCACAGCATTCCTTCTATTTTTCTTTTCCTCTCTCTCGCTTCCACACACTCCTCACATCCCCAACAGCCACATCGGATCAAAAAAAAAAGTCTGAGCTTCGGTTCAAAAAATATATTCTTTTGTCCTTTTCAACATCTTTTCAACCTTCCTACATCCCCTTCCTCAGCAACTAAGCATTCGCCACTTGCAGCGTTATCACTAAGCTAGCTCCTTCAAAGCCATGTCTCTCACAAAGGCTATTGTAGGTTTTCTAGAGACCGAAATCATCAACCCTGCAGCAAAATTTGTAGAGAAGATTGCATTCGAGATGCCTAGTGTAACTGACCTGGCGGACACATACAAGGGCACCTGGTATCTCTCACCCAGACAGCACACCATCGAGTTTGTCTGTTATAATATTCTCTTCTTTGTCCTCTTCCGTGTAGGACTACATCTCTTCCGCAAGAAAGGGTATGGCATACACTAGTATATATACATATATCTCCCACATATTTCTGATCAAGTTGATTCAAGTAACCTCATTCCAATCGAGTAAAATGAAATGAATTCAATTCAATTCAATCATTCTTCTCTCATTCTTTCCATCATATGCATTCCCGCATAGACCAAGGGAGAAAAAGAAGTGGAACATCTGTTGCTGCATATAGAATTAATTTGGACTTTTGTTGCTTTTTTCAGATCAGCATTTTATAGCCCTCGATTGGACCAACTCTCTGAGAGTATTAACACCAATGTGCTCTCAGCACATGTCATGGACAAGGCTGTTCTCGCACTTCTCTGCGGTTCATATGCCCTAACTGTCTATCACAAGATTTTCGGTGACAATTTCATGTATCTCTTGCAACCCTGCCATGTCAACTTGTTGCTGTTGATCTTTACAATGGTGGGTCCTCGGGAGAGTAAGATGACCAGATTAGCATTCAACTCGTATTTGCACTACATCTGGGCCACTATCTTTGCACTCTCATTCCCAGATACATCCGAAAATGGGCTGTGGTTAGTGATCGAGAACTTTTGGCTGGGTAAGTCGGTTTAGTTGGTTTAGCAAATATGTTCATGGGTTTGTCATATAAAATGTATTGGGAAGAAATCGCTGACATAGCCTTTTTTCCTCCCTTTTTTTCTTTATCCACATTGCTCTGTTCTTTGGACAATTAGAGCATTATCTCTTGTTGCTCGTCCCTATCTATCTGATTTACACAGGTCGTTTCGCCGTATTCCCTCTATCGTTCTCCTATGCGGTCCTCTCCTATGCCCTATTCTCACTCTTTCATTCGTTTCTCTTGAGTGGAATTGGACTACTAACTGGACACAATCTCAACTATATGCTTGTCCCTCCTAATTGTAAGTTTTTTTTTGCTTATTAAAAGTATTATTAATTCTGGCTTGAGTGGCGAAATGCGCAATATGCATGTGATGGTTTACAAACAAAGTTTATGCATTCATTCCAATCTTCTAGCCCCATTAGTACATGGATTGGGCAAGTACTATCGTCTTATAATGTACAGCAGTATGTTCGTATTGACTTTGATTTCACGATACATCATTGTCGAATTTCTGTCGCTGGGATTGAAGTTCAAGCAATGGAACAAAGCAAATCAGTTGATGCGTGAACAAGGAATTCCTCGAGTCAAAAAGGAATAAAAACATATATATTTATGAATGCAGGCCCGACCAGCATTCGCCTTCAACACAAACGTAATAATAGAAACAAGTATTCACCATATACATCTGTAATAAAAATCATTAGGTATTATATATAATAATTTAATATGAAAATATGACTTTGTTAAAATACAAAATGGGTAAACAGTTAATGCAAGTTGAATAAATGCTGGTTTTTAGTGATATTGTTACATGTGGGAATGGAAGCAAAATAAGAGGGTATGAATCAACAAGACAAGGTAGCATGAAAAAGTAATATGAAAAGAAGGAAGAAAAAAAAAAGAAAAGCAATACTCTAAGACATAAGTTTGCACTTGACCCCCAACAATCCCTTTACTCCTGCATAGTGGATCCCTCAGTAGTATTTGAATTGGCCATTCCTGCTGCTGCAGATCCTGCGACATCACCGGCCAGTTTGGCAAGATGCTTAGGGTCGTTGAGTTTGATCATCTTGATACGGTTCAGTGAGTTAAGATCACCATCCCATTCTCGGAGTGTCTGGACATTTTTCGGACTTGAGAAGTCGGGGATTTCTGAAATAACGAATACATTGTAAAAAAAAAAAAAAAAAAAAAAAAAGGTCAATATGAGAAAACTAGAATGAGTTGGTGAAGTTGATCCGTTGATTGTTTTTTTTTTTTTATAAATCAGAAGTAAACGCTTAATCTCATTGAGAATCGAAATGAGCTGGGTTTAAAGTAGCTGCGTAGATCATCATAGTACAATAAAGCAAGGATCAAAATGTCCTGCTTGTTTCAAGGACTAGGTGTGATAAACAAAATAATACAAAAAATATATAAATATTTACCAAAGCCAGAAGCATACTCCTGTCTTTCCTTGGCCATGATAGCCGTCAACATGTCTTCACGGGCAGCTTTAGGGCGAACCTTGCCCGGACGGTGTAAAGCAACAAGGGATTGATATTCATCATTGAAGCGGGAAAGATATTCTTCAATGAGCTGGTGGTGTTGCTCTCGTGTCAATGTTTTAACCTCCTCAGGGACGGCATGACGGAACCAAAGAATACGATCCGACTTTAAAAACGAGTTGTTGGCACGGGTTTTCTGACGCTGGTCCAAACGATCTTTGCGTAGAACCACTCGCATGACCTGCTGTGCCTTTCTGGAGGATGGATGGATCATATCCTTGTTTTTGATGGATTTCATCGTATGGCGCTTATTATTGGAAACCATTTTGATTAGAAACGGTTGTATATGCAAATGTAAAGTGTGTTAAGGAAGCTAATTAGCTCGAATGAACCTGAATAAAGGAAGAGTGAGAGGTTTTTTTTGTTTTTTGTTTTTTATTATGACGTGGAGACGGTCAAAAACCCTTAATGAATAGCAAGGCATTGTCCCCATGGGATCACGTACATGTGGTGTTTGTGGTGTTTCAAGTCAGTGCTCAAGAGAACATATCTCTACGCCGGCGCCCTCTTTTGCTAGTCTTCTAGTCTTCAACAAGCTCATTACACATATCCATCCATCCTTTCAGCCTTTTTTTTTTTTTTTTTTTTACTTTTTATTTTTGATTCCATTTACAAGTTGTTTATAGAAAAAGAATTCATCTTGTTGCACCTCATCTCGCTCTCTGCCTAGGACGCGTTATAGAGAGACAGGCGACAGAAACAGCAGAAACAACAATAGCAACTCCAAGAAGGCTTGCCCCAGCAATCGCAAGTGATGAACATGAGTGCTTCTGAAGAGGACAGTAACAACACTAATGTTAGCCTTAAAGTACCAGCGGAAATGCTGTCCAACACAACAAGTAGACCAGCGTCCCCGGTCAACAGGAAACGGACAGACGACGACTCTACCTCAGGTTCGGGCCATCACCGCCAAGGCAGCTCAGCTAGCAACAATTCGCTGCCACCGACTAAAAAATCAAAGACTTCACCACCTCTTGCACCGATCCAAAACACTGGTACTGCTCTCGACGGTCCCATACTGGGCGGACACGGTCAGACTGATTATAGGCAGCCAAAAGAGATTGTGGACGACACAATTTCCCCGCAGACTTCGCCTATGCTCGAACCATCAATATCTTTGAAAACAGTATCCTCTACAGAAAAGCGGTACTCACCGGTAGCAGATGTCCCCATGCAGTCAAAGGCGCGTAAACTGGACGATAATGATCGACCTACATCCCCTTCATTTAGGGCTGGCTCTCCACCGTTTCGTGTCGGATCCCCGCCTCTTAAGACTACATCACCTTCCCTTGGACGAAGCGCGACAGCTATACTGGATAGTCTATCTAAACCAGGAGAAAACTCGCTTGGTAACTTAAATTTGGGTACCCCTGTTATCGGAAGAACCCCTGTTGGAGAGCGCGTGATGGGTGTGATCACAAGTCAGCCTAATTCACGTCAGTCGAGCCCCGATCCGTATGATAAAGTAGCAAATATACCAAACCAGCCTGAGGTGTCGAATGCAAAATCACCAATGGAAACAGAGGTAACTTCCGACGTGAATGTTGAGGAATTCAACTTGGATGATATCCCAGACACTAGTGCAGAAAGGATACCAGGGGAGCCTAGCCCCGCGGGGGCCATGCGTATTTCCTCTGATGATGAAGACCCAGTAGACGCGCTTGCAGAAGAGCCTATGCACGAAGTAGAAGAATATAGCTATGACTCTGAGGAAGAGGATGAGTTTGGACAGGATTCTATGGATGAAATTGATATCGAGAGCATTGGTATGCCGGATTATGACTCGGACTCAGAGAGCGTTCCTTATAAAGACCCAGATCCATCATGCCTTGATCGATTCACTAAGGAAGAAGCGGATGCCATCATTGATGATGTTAGAATGCATGGTAAAATACCCAATCTCATTTTTCAGATTATATTCTAAAAGTAAATCAAGACCTTTTACAAGCCTTATCCTTTCGGTTTACTAATGTTTACTTGCTTCTTGAGGCATAATAGGTATTAAATATGTGATCCAAAAGTATGTTGTGTCAGGGCTCGCGTCGATCAAGAAGATGCTTCTTCTGACATTCTCAGAAAAAGAGAAGGCAAGCCGCATTTTTAATACTTAAACACCCTGCTGCGATGGCCAAAACTGAATGGCTTTAATAAACGCAATCCGCATATGGGAAAGCTAACAATCGTCGTTCAACTTTCCACTGGACCACAGATTGAGTTGTCGGACAACTTGACAGAAAGGTACCTCCTTGGAGCGCTATCGGACCGCCTGAAAAAACTGCTACGGCGACGCCAGAAGTTACAACACGTAAATACGTTAGAGGATGTGGTATCACTGCTCAAGAGTTCGAAGCAGATCATGGTCCTAACTGGCGCTGGCGTTTCAGTCTCATGCGGGATTCCAGATTTTCGTTCTGAGGATGGCATTTATTCACGGCTCTCGGAATTTGAGTTGGATGATCCTCAACAGATGTTTGACCTTGAATTCTTTCGAGAACGACCGCAAATCTTTTACTCTTTTGCGCGCGAAATCTTCCCAAGCAACTTCACTCCCAGCCCAAGTCATTATTTTATAAAGCTGCTGGAAGATCAGGGTAAACTCCTTCGGAATTATACGCAAAATATTGATACCCTTGAACAAAAAGCCGGAATTCAAAAGGTTTTGGAATGCCATGGTGGGTTTTTTTTCTTTTTTCTTTTTTTCTGTTGATGGTTATGCAGCTATCCTTCATTTTGATAACTGGATGAGCGCATCGCATTCCTATATGCTGACTTTTTGCTTCATACTCCTCTCAGGTTCTTTCGCAACGGCAAGTTGTGTGCGATGTGGACACCAAGTGCGGGGTGATGAGATTAAAGAACATATTTTCAAGCAAGAGGTTGCTTACTGCAAGGTTTGCAAAACTCCCACTCCACCTCCAAAAGCGAAAGCAAAATCCAAGAAGCGATCCAAATCTGGTTATCACTCGTCTGACGAGGATTCTGAAGAATCTGACGGTGATGATATGAACAAGCCTTTGATGAAGCCAGATATTGTATTCTTTGGAGAAAAACTTCCTGACGTCTTCCATACGTCCCTCAAGGAGGACCGTGGAAAAGCTGATTTACTCATTGTGATTGGAAGTAGTTTGAAAGTAGCGCCTGTCAGTGACATCATGCGTAAGTACACCTTCTTTTTTAGCCCGAGTAGTCATCTATGAAATACACATATACTGCGAATTGACCCATTCTTCGTTTTATGATGTATCTTTTATAGATCAACTGCCACACTCAGTTCCTCAGATCTTAATCAATCGTACTCCAAATCATCAGACTGAATTTGATGTACAACTTCTGGGCAATTGCGACACTATCGTAGCTGAGCTTTGTCGCATGGCTGGGTGGGAATTAAAGCATGAGAGGCTGCCTCGAGGGACGTCTACTGTACCTGATATGGACAAGTATACAAATGAGGATGGCTCTGGAGCAGGAGGCCGTGCAGCGTGGTCGTTTGTTGAACCAAACGTTTATTTATTTGACGGCGCGGACCCAGAAGAGCTTAACTTTCAAGCGATCCAAGAAAGGTACCGAAGGAAGCCACGTGGCGAAATAGGCGGTCTTATCAGTGTCGGAGGCCATGATAGTGATGTCGAGGATGAAGAAGATGAAGAAAATGATGAAAATGAAGAAAATGATGATAGCGGTAGTGACAGTCAAGCTGAAGGTAGCGAGCATGCAAGCAATGATTTGGAGGACATGGAAGGCCTCACTACTGAGATATCTAAGCGGCGACTAACGCCATCACAGCCTGACCGTGCCGGTAGCACAGGATTAATGGATGAGGACCATGTGGACTTGGAACAGAGCAGTGAGCACAATCAAGATATTACCAGAACTGCCAGTGCAAATATAAACACTTCAGCCTCCAACCATACGGTGATTACGCCTCTAGAACCATTACAAAGTCCAAGTCTACAGCCTGCAGGGCTCGCTACTGGCACAACTGAGCCTAGAAGTGGAAGCATCCAGCATATTCATGACCAGCATCCAGAGGCCGACAGCTCACGTCCTCTTCCGGCATTGGCTACCATTGGAACGGTAGCTTTGAAAGACCCAATCGTACACAGTGACGGTGATGATGAAGACGATGAAGACGAGGAAAAGAAAATCCGTGTCATGTTTGCCGAGAAAATGCCCAAAGATTTGGGCGAAGATGATGATCTTGGACTCTCGCGCATCCACAGTCGACGGCCGAGTATGGATTTGATGCCAATCACAGAAGATGCACAGGAAGTGGAAGTTGACGATGGTAGTTCGGATGGTGGCGGCCATGATTCCCAGGCTATAGAAGCTGAAAGGGCCAACTAAAAGGTGTTGTTAAGCAAACAAAATATGTATATAAATCAACAAAGGTGAAAGGTGATCGATTATTGCATCGCTGACTTTATTTTTATTAGTATTTTCTTCTTTTTTTTTTTTTTTTTTTTTTTTTTTTGCTTTGCTAATCAAAATGCGATGATCCATGTATTCATGCAATTATGCTGTCGTAATGCTCCGTTCATGCTTTGTCTGTGTAAAAGATATTGATATTGCCTTGTACTTCATTATCAAAAGAGGAGAAAGATGCCATCACTCACTGAGAAGGCGAATTCTGATCCAAATCATTTCCTTGGCCACTGTTATTGGTAGTGGTGTTACCGCTGTAATCGTTGTCATTGAGGATACTGTTCAGATAAAAGTTGAGAAATCGATCGTTATGCTCAAAATCCATCAGCTGCTGCTGCAATTCCACATACTCATTTCCAACTACACTCTCTTGGCTCAACAGCCCTGTGTTGGATAAATCCAAATCTGAAAGTTGCAAAAAGACTTGCCCGCCCAAAGAAGATCCATAGTCGTTAGAATCCATGGTGGGGAATGCGCCGAGTGGAACCTGAGATCCAGAATGGCCGGCTACTGGATGTTGCAGCGCTGGTGGATCACCCACTGTGCCTCCTTCAGTGATGGAAGAAGAGGTGACAAACGAAGATGACGGTACAGTAGCTACCGCAGGGGTAGAGACATTATCCGTAAACAAGGCATCGCTAATAGCGGAGATGACTGCTGACGATGAAGCGGCTACGCTGTCCGGGCTCTGCGAGGGATTAATAATGTCAGGATGGATGGCATTGACTACAAGTATCGGAGAAGGCGTGTTATTTTGAAAGACACTATTCGAGTCTACGTCGCCAGCATGTTGCTGCTGAGGCTGTTGCTGAGGTTGTTGCTGAGGTTGTTGTTGAAGCTGGAATTGCTGCTGCTCTTGCTGTTGCTGAGGTTGCTGTTGAAGTTGAAATTGCTGCTGCTGTTGCTCTTGTTGCTGAAGTTGCTGCTGGAGTTGTTGCTGAAGTTGTTGCTGGAGTTGTTGTTGCTGGAGTTGCTGCTGCTCTTGCTGTTGTTGTTGAAGCTGAAATTGCTGTTGCTGTTGTTGTTGTTGTTGCTGCTGCTGCTGCTGCAGCTGGGCCTGAAGTTGCATCTGAGCCTGAAGTTGCTGTTGCAAATATAACTGTTGCTGAAGTTGCTGCTGGTAAGAGAGTGCTTGTTGCTGAAGGTGGGACTGATAATTGAGGATATGTGTATCCATATGTATGGATGAAGGTGCAGCAACTGGGAATGCCGACTGTTGAGAGTTTGGGCTTTCAAAATGGACATGCTGCAGATACTGGCCCTGCATAGTAGGTTGGGGGACCTGTGGCGTCTGTGGTACCTGGAGGGCATAGCTTGGGATTAGAGGATTGGGCAATGGTAATTGTGAGGCTTGAGTGGTTTCCAGGTTTTGCAGTTGCTCAACGGCAGAATTTTGGGCTGAGCTGAAAGAGCCGTAATGTGGGATCATTGTGGCGTGAATATTGTATTCCATACTGCTGGCGGCAGTGGCACCGTTGTTGTAATGCATTGGGGTGCTGTACTGCTCCATCGCCTGATCCAACTGTGCTGTTGGAACTGTATTTTCACTGTTGATTCCCCCCACTGCTGTGGGTGTAGGGCCTGAGCCAGAAGCTGCTCCCATTCCCCAAGGCCCAGTATTGGCCCCGACATGATGGGTTGGATACGTGCTCTGTCCGTCAGAAACACAGTACCCGCTGGCGGTTGCGGCGGCAGCGACAGCAGCAGCAGCAGCAACCATCGCTGCACCGATTTCTACGCGTCGGGCTATTGTCCGTTGCACCAGGCGCTCTCGTTTCTCATTCTCTGACTTCCTTCGTCTCTCGGCGCGAGCCTGCATCCTCTCAGCCGCACGCTGCAGCTTCACCTCAATTGGGGGGTGTTGCTCCCGCTTGTGGCGCAGTAGGTCATGGTTCCGTTTGTAGCGTTTAACCTCCAAAAAGCCTTTTGCATTCTCTATCAAGCTTGCCCACGGCGTATCAGTCGGGATAGGACGAGGTATCACTCCATCATAGGAGCAGATGTCGCACCAATAAGGCTTATCGTTTTGATGCGACACCATGTGCGACTTCAAAAGGCCGGGTGACGCAAAGGTCCGATTGCAGCCAGAGACGGCGCAAGCGATTGATAAGGCACTGTTGATACCAAAACTGTCGGTAGAAGATCCTTGGAACGAACTGGATGATACTTCTTGTGCATCCGTTCCAGAAGTGGAATTGGGGACAACTTCAGCTGGGGAAGTGCCTCCTGGCTCGCTGGCCTGGCTGCCAAGGCCAAGTGGTGGCGCAGCAACTTGTTGGGCGGAGACTTCGGTCACCTGTGAGCTACTTGAAGTCGAAATCTCACCTATTTTTTTTTTTTTTTTTTTTTTTTATGGTTAGATATATGATTATAAGACGAACCAATGAGTGATAGAGCAATGACATATAATCCCGCATTTCTTACTCTGAGCTGCTTGACCGGCCTGAATAGAGCTCGGCTCAGACGCGTTGTTTGTACATTTGCCCTGATCATCTACTTGGTTTGTCGAACTTTGAGATTGCTCGTTGTTGTTTGCATTCTGCTGCGGAATGATGACTGTAAACAAAAAATGGGATTGTTCGATTGGTTAATTGGGAACGCGACTTTTTAAGGTTCAAGTTACACAAAAAAAATTGATATTGCAATGTTACCTATTGATGCCTGGCCAGTCGACAAAGGTATGCTTCCTTGAAGCGTTGTCTTTCGCTGAGAGCTTAGCTTCCGCAGCCGAGCCAATTCCTGCTCCATCTGCTTTAACTTGATGCGTTGTATCTCAATGACTTGGCTAGGTCCCTCATAGCCATCCTGCGTGAGGTCGATAGTGCTTGGAGCAAGCAGGGTGGTTTTTTGTCTTTGATAAGAAGGAATCAACGGCACCTGGGGTAGTTCTGCAGCGGGCAGTGCAGGAATGGGCGGCGGGGCTGAGCTTACCTGGTTATTTAAAGGGGCTTGAGGTAGGGACTTATTTGAAATAGTATCGGATCGGCCAGAAACAATGCTTGTCATTGACAAGGCCCTCGTACATGCAGCGGCGAGCACGGGTGTTCGGGAATAACCTAAAGGGGGCGCCAAAGAGCTTTTTCTCATTCTCAGCTTGTCAAGTCCACCTAAACAAGCTCTCTTCGCGAGCGGAGAGGCCACTGTTGTAAAATTGCATGCTCGTTGAACCTCTTGAGTGACAATAGTACTGGAGCTACTGGGAGCAGCCTGCTGAGGAACACTCTTAAAAGGCATAAGGACCAGCGACAAACCTTCGGACAAGGCAGCCTCAGTAGGGCCTCTGCCGCAACTGCCGGCACCAGTGACCTGAGCGGACTTGCCTTCTTGGCCATGCTGTGGGGAATCAATACAAGGGCCATGGTCGTTTTGACTGACGTTTACGGAAGCAACTAGAGCTGGATTTGGGGCCATCAAGGTCCCCAAATGCTGGTCCATCGCAGAGCCACTACTAGTGACAGCTACATCGTATCCACCCATGAATGATAACTGTTGCTGCTGTTGCTGCATCAGGACCTGAAGCTCCATCTGCCGGTTTTCAGCTTGCTCTTCGATGCACAAGTTCATATCCGAAAAGGTTTGACCTATATTGGAAGACAGAAGAGCTTGTTCATACATGGCGAGAACCTGGATATGTTCCTGCAGTTGGTTTTGCACATCACATTCAGTGCCGTTGAGGCTCCCTGCTAATGCTTGGTTGCCGAACTGAGGCTGAATAGGGATAGCAGTCTCAATAAACGAGCTCACCGAGCCATTGTTCCCAACTACAGTCGGAATTGAGGAAAGGTCCACGGCATCCGTGGTTATGCTGTTATTGGTAGTATTGCTGATCACAATTGGGGCACTTGTGACTACTGCTGGCTTAGAACTGTTATCGTTCAGAGAAGCTTGAGTCTGTGCAAAGCATTGGGCTCCAGAGGAGGAGCTAGAGGAGCTAGAGGAGGCATCAAGGCCCTCTTTAGGATCTTGATACACTGATGGCATGCCTACTTGAATAATAGAACCGGGCAATATAGTAGGTTGGTTTAGCCCTTGCCAAAGAGATTAAGGAAAGCAGGGTATCAAAAGGCCTAGGGAAAGAGTTCCAAGGCTTAATTACCAAAAGTCGTGTTGAGTATAAGCGCGAGCGTAGCCAGGCCCTGGAGTTTGTTCTAGGCTTTGCTTGGAAGATAGCTTAGTGGCGTTTGCGAGACTTGATGTCGCAAGTCTGTGGTAACCCGTTGAAAAGGCAGCTGCGTTTATCAGGCTGAAGGCTGGTTGAGGCTGTCAAGGGGTGTAAGGTTAAAGGAACAAACAAACAAAAAAAATTAAAAAAAAATACAATATGCTGTTAGGATGACTCTGTTTTTTTTTTTTTTTTTCTTTTTTTTTTTTCCTGCACAGCATTGCTGTCGATCCTTTTCACATTTGTTTCCAACAAAAAAAAAAAAAAAAAAAAAAAAAAACATACAAACAAACAAACAAACAAACCAAACGAAAAGATAAACAGTTTAAACAGTTAGGGCAAGGGTAGGGCAATAACAAAATATAAAAAGTCTGCATATGATCTACATTGTTTTCTGTTTTTTTTTTTTTTCTTCTCTCTTTCATGTTTTTCAGGGTTGATTTCTAAATGCAGACCCTTTGTGGCCGGGATAGTGATAGTGTGGTCATTAGTTAGGGTAGCGATAGTCACAATAATAAGATGTGTTGCATCCAAATTTGAATGTATGTGCTCAGTGCGCACAATAACTGTATCCTCTATGGGGTGGATCATTCCTCTTCGCCAGTACAGATGCCACAAGGCTAGCTTGCTACATAGAGGAATGATCATACTCCACACCTCGACGAAGATGGCTGACAATATCCATCACACTTGTAATGATATACATGCAGCTACACAGTGGATCATCAGCCAAAACTAACGTTGAGGACTACCACGTGTTACCATCAATGGTTTAAGTTGTGAAATGTAGCTTTGTATAGACCACAGATGCATTATTTGGAACTACGGTAGGTACTAGTCTTAAAACTAATCCCCCCGAATCAGATAGGTAGCGTCGCGTGTGTAGAGCGTGTAAATGGTTTAGTGCAGGTTAAGGCACATCAGCCGTAAAAGAATTAAAATAGCACAACTCAGACTCAAAAAAAGGCGTTATTGCTGACGCGCTGATCAGTAGCCTCAAAAATCTGTCTTTTTTGAAAACGCGTAGAATGAGCCCACCCTGTTCACACAGAAGAGGGGCGCGTACTACAATCATCAGCCCCAAAAATCCTTCATTTCTTCCCAAATACAAGCCATGCGCCGAATTTCTCACTTTTTACCCTGCTCCTCTACCCCTTCGTTCCTACTAGGCCTTGACTGGATGGAGAGGATGATGACGCTTTGGAAGTGTAGGGGTTGCCGGGGTGAAGGAATGGGAGTAACATTTGCTGAGGGAAAGCAGGATCCTTTCATAACGATCTACTGCGTGGTACGATTAAAATAATGAACAACCATTTCTTCTCTTTCTCTCTCTCTTTGTTTTCCCTTCTAGCATATTTCCTACCGCACAACCCGCTTTTACTTAGATTTGAGTGGGACCCGAACTGGGTGATGGAGATTAGAACGAGATGAATGGCCATGAGGGGAAAACGTCCAAGAAAAGTGTCGCAAAGGAGCAGAGAAGAGTAATAAGCGCAACGGTGCAGGGAGAGAAACTGGTGTAAAGACAAGAGGAGGACTTCCACCGCTTTTGGTAACCCCTCTTTCACTAACCTTCATCCATCATATCGCTACCACTGACTCCACTCTCGGACTTCATTATTTCTCTTGCCTCTTACTTATTTTTTTATCCTTCACTTTCTATCCTAACCACCCAAAAAGCCCCCTCCCTTTCTCTCACCCTTCGCAGCCTAGAAATATTCAGTATTTGGAGTATATTCGTATCGTGTCATATACATCTAGCACTTACTGCTTTGGCCACTGAAAGGTCGGATGAATAGGCACCTATGTGTCTATAGTGCTTAAAAAAAAAAAAAAAAAAAAAAAAGGGAGAGAACGAGAACGGCGGGAAGAGGATAAATGCGGTATGTGAGTACTGCCTGAGCGTTAATGGTTTGTAATACACAAGGCAATGAGGGTCAGGGACAAGAGAGAAGCAAACTAACGCGATAAGGCTGATTAAGAAGTAAGGATAGGTATGGTAGAAAAAAGCTGATTGCTCTGGTGAGCAAAAAAAAAACTTAAGGAAAGAAAAGAAAAATAGAAAAAAGAAAAGAGAAACAGCAGGTTAAATAATAAAAGAGAGGAGCAACTGAATTTGCCACGCAAGAGATACGGCAAAGCGCAAAGCTGTAATGGACAATGGGGGCATTAGAAAATAGACCCAAATAGCTCGGCCATCACTAAGCAATAGTTCGCGCTTTTCAGCTTTTTTCAATTTATTATATTTATGCTAGGGAGCTGATGATAACGGATATTTCGTGAAATCCCTATAGTAGCAAAAGCGATAAAGATAAGCTGCCAATTTAGTAGAAATATCAATGTAAAAAGCGAAGAAAGCACTGAGTCTCTTTCGATTGCAAATTGAAGCATTCTGTAAGCATTACTTGTAATGAAGCGAAGATGTGGCTCTCAGAGAGCTGGCCCGCGTCAATAGCCCTTCCAAAAGGTCAGTCAAGCTAGACATCTAAATACCATGCCACAACAGAACTAAAAGAATGGATCAAGTTTCCTTTCATTCCAATCTGTTGAAGCGTAGTGGGAAAGAGATTATACAACTATAAATATAAAATCACCCCTGCTAGGCTGCATTGTAGCAATGAGACCCATGTAACAAACACTGCCTTGTAAAACAAATATCCAAACAAAAGTTGGTTTTACAGGGCGCAATGGAAATGAAGCTTGCGAAGTTGTTATAGGTAACAAGATTTAATCAACTTTTTTTTTTTTTTTTTTTTTTTTTTTTAATCTAGCGACTGTTGACGTGTGTAAGCAGTAGTAAATTTAATGCATCTTAGTCGTTACCCTTTACTTGCTGCATCAACGATCCTGGTAAGTGTACATAGCAACTTTGCTATCTCAGATACATGCTGTCTTCTTTAAACCCTATCGTGTCAGAGGATATATTCATCCACTGTTTCTTGTTACCAAAAATTACATAGTTGGATTAATAAAAAAGCAAATAAAGCAGCATATTCCTTTTTCACTCAAAAGTCACTCTCCCAAACCTGGCCATGGGTAGGAGGGCAACAATGCACAGATCAACACAACATGCCTCTACGATAGAATCCCTTGATTATGCACAATTGTTATACAACCCCAAAAGCCATCGATTAGCAATTAAAAAAAAAAAAAAAAAAAAAAGGACTAAAAGTAATTCCCAGGATATGATTCAACTGGTTGTGAGCATTTTGATCACAAATAGCCTAAGCGCATTTCAGTGTTGACTGGGATTCTCATGCCCATCTCCTTTAAAATAAAAAAGACTGTTGTTTTTCCAAACCACCACAATTCCATTTCTCTTCCTTCATATACTCCTTGCCTCCTCTTCCTGCCCATCAACTTTTTCTTTCTTTTTACCCGCTGGACCATTTTCCGTACATATTTAAATATAAAAAAGCGCTGACTTTACTCTTTCTCCTTACTTACATTATTCTTTTTTTTCTGAGCTCTTCATTCTATTTCTTGTATTTATTTATTTTTTAATTCCGCCACAGTCATATTGTTATCGACCGTCTTATAATATAAAACAAAGTTACCTCCACAAAACCGATCAATACATTATACATACAACGATGATTGTCACCTCGATTGTCCTCTCAGCAGTCTCATCAGCAGCATTGATGATGTCGATCCTCACCGCGGGGCCGTTCCTCCCAAAGCATATGGACAGCCTTGATGGCCTAGCAGAGAAAACACCACCATCTTATCTGCGACTCAACAAGCGGCGGAAGCGAAGGTTAGCAGTTGATGAGGCTGTGGAGATGGAAAAGTACTATCGAGGAGCAGTATGACAACTGGCAATAAGGCCAGAATTAATGCGACCAGTGTAAATATTCTGGCATCCTTCTTCCTCTGCAAAGCACAACAGCATTGGACAGAAAAGAAAAAAGGGTACCAACAACAACAACACCGAAGTATGCCCTTGTGCTATCCCTTTTCACTCTAGCTCAATATTTTCCTTCACAGTACGCACAGATAACATCCAAGTAAAAATGATACTCGTTACTTTGCACATGAATGCCTCTGTATTATTTTTTCAATTAGCAACAATAAAAAGCAATGATTTATTATACTTCTTGTTTATCATGTCATTCTGTTCAACTCGTAAGTCGGAGCTAGAATGAGGGATCCATGGCAATTGCAACTATGGAAAACTTTAAAATTCTTCCGATACTGCCTCAATAATCCAAGTACATGTTTATACAGATACAACTCCGTAAGATGATCAAAAAACACTTTCCCTCTACACCATACCAGTCAAACTCCAGTATCAAAACCAAAACATTTTCCTCGCTTTTCCGATCCAAACCCCCCTTCAACCCCCTAATCATTAATGTATAGAGACAAAGTCTACCAAGCGTACTCAAAAAGACTATTAATGATGTAGAGAATATCAAAGCTTCGCTATACTGTTCAACAGAAGCTTGATTATCAACATCAAAATCTATGAGGAGAAGAGGCATAACTCACACACCCATGCTACCTTCATTTTTTAAAGACAAAAGAAAAAAAAAAAGAGCACCAGCTGTGATATAACCCCGGTACCAAGTATTCATTTACAAGCAAAAGAGATGGGTATCCTGCAGTTAGGAACAAAAAATTAGAATTGGCAGTCAAACGATCAAGGCTATTTAGGACGACATCAAGGATTGGATGAAAGAGTGGCAAAAAAAAAAAAAAAAAAAAAAAAAAATGATATGAAGTACATGTACAGTTCAGCGTCACTAAAATCATCGAAATGATGGTTTTAGTAAATTCAGGTCTATTCAAAAAAAAACTTTATTTTACCATCTTTCTCAGTTAACATTCTTTTCAATCTATCCACTGATTCATTATCATTGAGCAAATGGTAATAGTCGTTAAAGAGCTCCAATTGCCTGCGTATTGCAATCCAGCGCTTCACCAAACGAGGATCGCCAGTTTGATGCCGTATCCTCATAAATTGTTGATGCTCCTGTATCTCTCGGCAGTCGTGAGTTGTAGGGATTGAAGGATGAACTCATCGTTGATGCAGGTTTCAGGATCCGCCGTCACTTGAGTACCCGAGCCAGAATGGCTGAGGTCATACTCGAAATTATCATCATTTTCTATCTCATCACCCCGGTAAACAATACCGTCTTCTGTGTGGGTGATGAACCGGTGCTTGTGCTTCTCGGAAGTCATTATCGTCTTGACAGCGTCACTGATCGACTCAGAAGACCCTTCGCAGTAGTTCATGGTGAGATGGTTGAGGACACCAATGTCCTTTTGTTTGGTGGCCTCTCCTTCGTCCTCACCATATTCCTTTATTAGCTTTTCTTGAAGCTGAAAAACCTGATCTTCCCTTGATTCGATCCCAAGACAGTGTAAACGGTTTCTTTGTTCAGAGATCAAGATAGAAATCTCAGCAAAGCAGCAGCGGATGCAAGTTGGGGTCACTGATCCCCAAGCCCTAGCGATACATAACCAAAGTGCAGCATTGGACGGCAAATCATTAAGTAATTTGCTCTTTGTTCTTACACGCGCCACGGCTTCGGACATGACATTGCTATAAAGTGCCTTGAACGGCCTTACAATAACAGCATCTAAAGGCTGTGCCATTGATGTGGTGTTCGGAGGAAGCCTAATGAGCTTGACGCTCTCAATTCTAAGAGTCTCACAATCCTTGTGTGTTGGTGCATTGTCGATTAGAAGCGCGATGCGACGGCCCTGCTCCTGCATATCGCCATTCAATTACCTTAGCTATTGAACGAAGATGAACTGCCTCATGTATCCTTTGTCAGAGAAGCCTGCGTCAATTTCCTTGAAGATATTCTTGGCCAAACTAAATGAACGATGCATAGCAAGCGCTACAGGGTTGACTTGTCAGATCCCGTCGCATTACTGCAGAACAAGATTGAAAATCTAGCCGACCGAACAATCTTCTTCCCGCGAAGAGGCCCAGTCTCATGGGCCTTGTTGGACATAGCTGTGAGAAAAAGGATGGTAGATACAGGAAAAAAAAAAAAAAAAAAAAAAAAAAATCATCGAATGGAGTTTAAGTGTACTTCATAGTAAGGTGAATGAAATGAAAAATGAGCATTTTTTATTTACTCGATTCAATTAAATGAGTTCCACCAACTTCTCTAGTTCACTGAGAGAAGAGTCTGGCTTTGTGGGGGATTTGACTATAATTCATCATTACAAAAACACAGCCCTGCGTCCGTTCCAATCCTCTTGCCGGTATGCTCCCACTCGTGAAAGCATGCTCGTCTGCACACCGATCAAGATCTCTGCTTGAGCCATGAAAATCTGATCCATCATTAAGGGTCCAAAGACTCCAAGTCGCTCTTTGGTCCCCATTGCTTGATGATCAAGAACATGCCATCCCAGTGCTCGGAACTCATCCAGTTCTTCGGGACGATCTTCGTTTGTAGAGACATAGACAGGTAAATTCCTCAGAACAGGATTGCCTAGAACTATGTCACGAAGTGTTGAGGCTAACTCCTGTGTCGTTGGTGAGCAGGACTGTAGAGCATGCTGGAAATACTGTTGACAATAGCTGATGAATTCACCTCGTCTGGCGTGGATCGAAATGAAAGACCCACGCCGAAAAATGGTCTTGTTGGCTATGTTACTGCTGCTAATGCTACTGCCACCACTACTGCTGCTCCTCAAGGATTTGCCTTGGTCAGTATCACGATAGAGACGTCTATCAGGGATGATGGCACTATTGAGGCGACCATAATCACTTTCTTTTGTATCAGACTCTTGGTTACCGGAGGCGTATATCCCAATCCGTCCAGATTGGAAATGGCTTTGCTGAGCACCAACCTCACTCAGTCTATGGAGCACTGCCTCAAAGTGCCGCTCGAAAGCTGGCGCGAAATAAAGATAGCGGCCGTACAAATCCCATTCCGTCTTTTTGGAAGTTGCAATATTATTCCCATTGGTGATACAAAGCAAATGTTCGTCATCCAGAGTCCTAAGTGTTGTTTTCAGCTGCTCCAATTCATTCGTTTCAAGCGCAGGAGTCTTCATGGAGAGATCAAGCTTCCATTGCTTCAAAAAGCTCTTGGCTGTCGGATCTAATGGTCGCAAGCTGCCTACGCCACAGGTGACATGGCAAACCAAACTCTCAGGTGCTGTAGGTAGGATACGGTTAGGCCCCCGAACATCCTGGAGCTCGATGATTTTTACGCCAGTAAGTTGCTTAAATGTCTCCAAGTCAAAGTAGTTGGACCATGGCTGATTCTGCCCGACATTGTCATCTTTCTGCCAAGATGTGATAGAAGGCAGAACCAGGGTACGATTCAACGACTTGGCTAGCATGATGGCTCGCAACATACCGTAGAACTGGTTGGATAGCCCGCCATCAGGAAGGTACGACATGTATTTTGTGTCTGGAGCAAGTCGGTCATTAAAGGCCTGTCGTTGATAGGCGCTTTCAACTTTAGATAAAAAGACACTGTCATCTTTTATTTTAATGGCCTCCGATCCAGTTGTCAAGCCTTCGTCTTTACCGTGTCCTCCTTCGATGCTGCTGACCTTTTCATCAAATCTCTTTGTTTCACCATAGTCGATGGCAATATAATCATCCAGCTGTTCTTCTCTGATCCTTTGTTCATAGTTTTGGTGAATAGAATCATCGGTATCTCCAGACATATCGTCTACGCCAAGTTGATCATCGTTATAGATTTTTTTGGAATGACCATACAGGGAACCCCATGGCTTGTTTGCATTTGTTTTGTACCTTCTGCCATTAGATGCTATCACCACTCCTTGATCCGCTGACAACCCTATCCCTCCAAACACATTAACAGCGACAACAGCGTCAGAAGCGGCCCGTCCTGGTATCCTTCCTGATCCTCCTGATGATGGTTTTGTGATTGATGCTAATATTGGTATAGAGCTAACAGAGGGAAAAGACTTTGATCTCCCGAGCTCACACCCGCATTGACCAGTTGTAATATCGCATTCTGAGCAATAGAACATGATCAGAGTTAAGGATGAGAAAAAAATAAGGATTGCGAGTAAGGAGTATATTTGACGATTGCGTTTGGTGGCCAGATATTGGTTTACAGACGGGTGCTTGAGGGATCCCTTTGTTTTTCTGCAGGCTTCCGGGTCTGCAGACGCGAGGGACATGAGTTCTGGTGGTGATGACGACGGTGTACAGCAGGGATCTATGTGAAAGTTGATTCCAATGGATGCGGAGGGAATAGTATTGCAGGGTTTGAACCCTTGGCTCTGTGGATTAGGAGTATGGAGATGGATACTATGCGAAGGCGAATGTTGTTTGTAGTCTGTTGATCGCGACATGGTAAAATATGTCTGCAAGATACGCGGCGAGGAGAATGATTGAAGGAAAAGTGGAGGTGTGAAGATGTGAAGACGAGAAGAGAGAGAATAGAGAGCTATTTAAAGCGACGTACAAAAAGGAAAAGAAAAAAAATTATAATATATATTACTATTATCATTATTATTATCATTAAAAATACTGAGGAACGCTCAGCTCGCTATCCTATAATTCCATTTATGATCCCCATGCCCTTTATTTGACATTTATTTCGTTCATTGCATGGTTCTTTGGCTCTACAGACGATCTTATAACAATTCCTGTTCTCACTATATATATATATCATGCACAGGGCATGCCATTCCACAAGCTCATTCCACAAGCAAATTTTTGATCCAAAAAAAGGAGTACAAGCAACTGTATTGTCCTGTCTGTCATTGCCAAGGGAGAAGCCCCATGCCAGGAGGCCGCGGCGTTCAAAGGTAAAAGACAGGAGAGCACATCCACTAAGGGATTGTATTCAACCACAATAATATTAGTAAATCTGAGAGCGCTTATTTTAAATCCTTGCTTTGGCTTGGCTATTCTTTTTTTTTTTTCCTATACTTTAAATTATCTAATAATTCGCGCCACCATCTGTTAGAACCGTGTTTAGTAAGCCGCGCAGTATACATACAATGAATGCAATTATGGCGTTTCCCCCCTCTATTATCTACTCCTCTACCCCCCACCTTACGCCATAAAAATACTAACTCATTTGCAATAACACATAGCACAGATAGTCACAGTTGATTAAAAAAGGAAAGAAGGCTCCGCTTGTCAAATGTTACAGCTTTTGAGGGACTCTTAGTCTACTGCTTTTTTCAATTGGACGACATTATTAACATACATGCACTTTAGCATAACTGGAGAGAAAAAAACCTATTTCAGTGGATTCATTGATATTGCCCTTTTACTCCTGAATTAAAGTATGGCAGACTGAAATCCTACAAGTGTACATCATGACACCATAAAGGTAAGTGATCATTTCGGTCGTTAATAGCAGACTGTTCAATGTCGGGGACAGCTCTAAACCTTCCTGACCCAATGTAGTCCATATTCTGTAAAGACAAACACTTTATACCAATTAACCATGAAGTCTTTGATTTTTATAAATACATGTAAAAAAAAAAAATGTCGTATTTGTTTTTATTGACATTCAGGCCCAGATCGTTCTACTCTTTATCTCCAGCATCTGCGAATCATTATCGAATCCTCTGTAAACTTAGTGTATTCTTTATATGAGGGCCAAAGCAAGAGCTGAGACTGTGCTCAAACCTAAGACGGTGTAGCCGGTAGTATAAACACCCTTGAGAGTCAATCCCTTGGTGGTGTCCCAGAGTAAGTGGCGCATTCCATTGAATGAGTGGAAAGTGAAAGGGAAAGCAATGACGAGCTTGCCAAGGACTTTGGCCGCAACGGGAAGTGTGGCGATGGTCGAGGTGATAGTGGCGGTATCGAATCCAAGACCAACCATAGGCGCAACAGCATAAGCGATAGCTCCTCCGTAGAATCCTATGACATACGCAACAGATCCAAGAGAACCAAGCTGTCAATAAACATCTTTAAATCCAAGAAGGGAAAAAAAAAAAAAAAAGGAGAGATACGCCATTGTATCTTTCTTATATTATTCACATCATGAATTTGTTTTCTTCCTTACCAACAGCGAGAGCACCGCCAGTGAAACGGTGGAATCCTGACATGTACCATGTCAATTGGGGCTGGTAGATGGTCATGTGAGGGGAAAGAGGGCGGTTCTTGCGCTGTTCAATGAGAGGAGCGACAGTAACCTCTTTTTGGTTTGATTGAGAGGTAGACAAAATTCTACAGAACAAAATGGATATTCGCGTTTCTACGTTAGATGCATAAAAAAAAAGAATCCAATTCTGACTTCAATTGCGGTATGAATTCAAACACCATACCTAGTGCCAACAGGAGCCATGACGCGAGTCTTTGTAATGACATTCTTGGCAATAGCTGCGGCTAATGTAGAAATTCAAACAAAATAATGAAGATTAGTTGCAAGTTGACTTTGGAATCTATGCGAAGTGTAGGCTATATTGATTACATTGAAGTGATGGGATGAATGAATAGATTTACAAGTGAGAGTGGGAAAATAAATGTATGAATGGATGTGTGAATATGAATAGAATGAATAACAATTCTTGCTTGCACCAATTTAGAAAGAGCAAGAATGCGGGGGAAGACACTAAATCATTTGGCCTCTTCCGGGAGGATATAAACAAGAGATCTCGGTGATGGAGTCGAAAACATACTCTGCATACGACCAACAGTCCTGAGAGGAGCAGCAAGACGAGGAGCGAACATATTGAACAGAAAGAAAAGGAATATGTAGAATGGAGTGGAGTGGAGTGGGAGTGGAGTGGAAGGAAGCCGAAGTGAAGGGACAGGGAATGAAGAGAGGCTGATGTGATTGATTGCTGAAATGTCCGAGGTCCGGTCGTCTTACACCCGAAGACCACAGAGAGCGGAATGCAATTGTCGCGTGTCAGCGGGATTCGGATATAAAGAATAAAACGTCAACATCTCAAGATCTGGATTTAAGGCTAATATTGATCGGAAATAATTAAAATGATTTTCTAGGTTTCCTAGAACCTTCCTATTCAACTTTTTAATAGCCAATGTCTGTTGGACCACAAGTAACCTCAATTCCTTTTTGTTGCTTCTGATGTGGACAGAGCCCCTGGTAACTATGAGGGGGTGAATCTTATTAAAGCAACCGTATGGCTCTATGTTAACCATGAGGCTGAATAATGACCTCCGTAATGCCTTGCTTATGTCTATTTCTACTTAATGCTGAATGCGCTTCTACTGTTTAACGGTATCATTTTGAGAAAATAGAGTATGTCAGACATTAGTTTGTATGTCTCAGCTTTGTCCTGCACTCTATAAAGAATATATGACCTACTTTATCCCAGAAAGGCTAGCAATCGTTCTCCCTACAGATCCTATATTGGTCCATACCCAGGCTAGAACCTCCGCTGGAATAAGAAGACTTAGTGGTGCATGGGATCGTATATCATAAATCCAGATGAATGGCTACTCTATCTTTAATCTTAAAAATACTTGACAGAGAGTGATGGGACCATTATCTGCCTATGTTGGTGCTGGCAATGACACAGATGATACTTATGGCTAATGAAAGTACAAACAGTATTGATACTAACGATACATACATGGGTGATTTTTGATTTAGATTTGCATAAATAGTATTCCGGTCTCTAAGTGGCAAGAACATGAATTCTAATATACACATGTTTTTCATTAGTGGCAACGTTGATGTCTCATATCCTGAAAGCTTAATCACTCTTAATCCCAACTATATGACCGGATCAGTTCATATCTAATCCTATGCCAAATAGTTAGACGACTTAGTCCAGCAATTGCAGGATGCACAAGGCCAATGTAATAACAGCTTAAGCGAGGCAGAAGAGGGCTGTGGCGCCGGGAAAGGATTTGTCAGCTATAGGCCACTAAAGTTATCATGGAGTTACGCTAACAAGTTGACAACATCCATGTAGAAGTCAGGCTGTACGGCAAGAAGTGACAAAAGTGTTGTCATCTTTGCTGTTTGGACAAGCGCTAAAACCTCGAGTTATAAAAATATATTCTCATCAATTTTTTCCCACAAACCAAAAAAAAAAAAAGAGGTTCCACTGTTGTCTGTGCTTGTGTTTGAAGTTTTTTTTTACGATTCGATTACACACTGATCTCAAGATACGCGACCCAGACAAATATATAGCCAGTTAAACCTGGCTTTCCCTTTTTTTTTTTTTTTTATTCTATTCCCTAGCATCGTTCTTTTCCCCCATCTCTTAATATCCTCTCCTCTGATATACTCTTCAAATTATGCCTACTAGGTCATCCCTCTTTGGAGGCCTCGGCCTACTGCTATCAACCGCACTACCACTCATCATCGCTTCGCCCATTCCTCTCCATGGCTCTTATGTTTCCCTTGACGGATGGACTCTCAGCACGACCGTCATTAACACCACATCCTTTCTGAATGAACCATATGTCTCAAATGGATATATTGGGGCACGTCTCCCCGTCGAAGGCGTTGGCTTGAGGATTCACCCTGCAATTGATTATGAAGGCCGAGATGGAGTCCAAGGATGGCCTCTATTCGAGCTGAGGCAAACCGCATCCATTGTGGCGGGATTTTACAACCAACAAGGCGATACCAAGGGCACCAATTTCGTAAGTATTTGCATTACTGGACATGAACCCCATTAACGTTGACACCAACATTTAAGGCAATATATAGTCATATTTATTAACTAGTGGTTTATTTTCTCCGTCCTCTATCTATTCTTGTCAATAAAAAGGAGCAAACAGGTGGCCAACAAGTCATTTCTCTACTTCCTACATGGACATCATTATTCCTGACAGTATCACCATCTCCTGATTCTCCTCCAGAGGATTGGGTAACTTACCGTCCAGGCGTTGAACTTTCACAGGTCAAATCATTCAGACAATCTCTTTCTCTAAGGAATGGTGTTGTTCAAACAAATGTCACCTGGTCCCCTTTCGATCCTTCAAATAATGGCTCCCACATTCAACTGCACTATACAGTAGTGGCGCATAGATCTCGTCCCAATCTTGGTCTTGTGCGCCTTGATATTTCGGGTCTTACCAAGGGCCAACAGGTCATCATCACCGATGCACTCGATGGTGCTGGTGCACAACGAGTTCAAGGCGAACAAGCTGGCTCGTTGAAGCAAAATGAATTACCTAATGCGATCTATTCCTCTGTTCAACCATTCGGCGTCAGTGATGTCACAGCATGGGAGATCTCTGCTCTAGAATTTATTGGTCTCAAGGACGAAAACTACACTGCTATTGGCATCCCTGCTAGCGTTGGCCTCAAAGATAACTTTACTTCGACTGCTTCACAGTCATACTCAGTGTCAGCACCCGCGAATGGTCATTTGACTGTGATCAAGGCAGTCGGTATTGCTTCCACGGATGCCTTCAATGGCACTGAGCGAAGTACTGCCCTTGCTGCTGTCAAGAAAGCACAGGCTGATGGCTGGGACGAACTCTTGGAGGAGCATGATGAAGCCTGGGAAACTATTTGGGACGAGGGTGGCGAAATTGTGATCCATGGTGCTAACATGAACAAGAATAAAAGCGAAAACAAGAACGGCGATAATAAGGCCACCATACTGGATGAGCTACAGTTGACGACTATATCAAGCTTGTATCACCTCCTTGCTAATATTCGTGATGGCAATGAGGGTCGAGGCTTGGGTGACAACAGTATTGCGCCCGCTGGGCTAACATCAGACTCTTATGCAGGAGGAATCTTTTGGGATGCTGATCTCTGGATGTACCCAAGTCTTCTGTCGCTCTTTCCGGATTATGCAATGAGCATTAATAACTATCGAAGCAAAAACTTGGATCAAGCTTACAAGAATGCACAGCAGTACAACCGCTCTGGATTGCTTTATCCCTGGGTTGCTTTTAGATACGGCAACTGCACTGGTAAGGATCAATGGTATCTCATGCTTTTTTTTTTTTTTTTTTTTTTTTTTTCATCTCCTCCTTTGACGGACTCTGTGCTGACTAGCCCTTCCTACTGCAACTGACTGAATAGGTATTGGGCCATGCTATGATTACGAATACCATTTGAACAACGACATTGCGCTTGCTCAATGGCAATATTTCCAAACGACCAATAACAAAACTTGGCTTGAGGAATGGGGATATCCGATTATGAAAGGGGTTTCTGAATTTTGGGCTAGTCATGTCATTTGGAACCCTGACACAAAGTAGGAACAAACAAGCAAACTCTTACGTTCCTGTGTAACCACCCAGTCTAAAAAGTAGGAAAAGTATATATATACTTACTGACTTCAATGCTTTCTCTTTTTTTTTTTTTTTTTTTCATAGCCGTTACATCACTTTGAACGAGGTAAGGCCCTATGCTTTATTTTTTTTATTGTTTGTTTGTTTGTAGTTGTTTTGTAGCTGTGCTTGGAAAATAGGAGCTGTATAATTGACGTTATTTTTATTTGATTTTTTTTTGGGGGGGCCTTTATTTTAGACTGATCCTGATGAATACGCTAACCATGTAGACAATGCGGCGTTTACCAATGCTGGTCTAGCAGTCAATTTCGAGAACAGTATCCAGGCTGCATCTATCCTTGGGAAATCACATGAAGTGCCTAAAAATTGGAGTGACATTGCTGAGAAGATCACGATTCTCTATGAACCCACCAGCGATGTTATTCTCGAGTATGATGGTTTCAATGCGACGACGCCTGTGAAACAAGCAGACGTGGTTCTGTTGATCTATCCACTCGAATCCGATAAGGTTCGTGATCCACATGAAGATCTAGCATTCTATTTAGGAGCCAACAGTCCTAATGGTCCAGGCATGACCTACTCTGTCTTCAGTATCGGCTCTGCTCAACTGGCGTATCAAGGTTGTGAGGCATACACATACCTGTTACAAAGCAGTGAACCCTATGTTCGAGGACCGTTCTCCCAGTTCTCGGAACAAGCTACAGATGAGTATTCTAAGAATGCAGGAACCAATCCTGCATATACTTTCTTGACAGGCAATGGTGGATTCCTTCAGACCTGGACACATGGCTTTACGGGTTACAGACCTCATTTGGACTGTTTCTACTTGGATCCTTCATTACCTCCCCAGTTGGCTCCTGATGGATTCACGGTCAGGGGTATGAAGTGGCAAGGGAGTGTATTTGATGTCACAGTCCAGGGCTCTCGGACGATCATTAGGCGTCGATCTGGAAAACGGTCATCCAAGGCATGTGTAGAAATCGGTAAACGAAATAAGAACCGAGGAAAACAGTAAGCCAATAATTTTTCTTGTACATATTGTTATGTGTAACATTCGTTGATGTTTGATTTTTACTAGACTGACAATTTTTTTTTTTTTCCTTGATTGTCCAAAGCCAATTGTCTGTTGGAGAAACTTTAACAGTAGGAACTTACCGAAGCGATTTGAATGGAACTCTCATTCCTGGCAATAAGGCTCAATGTGCATTGAAGGTGACATCCAAAGATCCAATCTTGCCTGGTCAATACGCGTTGGCTGCTGTAGATGGTTCGAATGCGACGTACTGGCGTCCAGACACAAAGTCACCAGCGTCTATGACCATTGATCTTGGAAAGGTTCAGACAATCAATGGATTCCATCTCAACTTCAATCGCATTCCACCAAAATCCTACAGCGTGTTTGCGGGCTTGGAGAGTTTCGATGATGACAGCAATGATAACAAACACAATAATGGCAGTATTGGAATGAAGCAGGTGGCGAGGGTGGATCAGGTCGAAATTACTGCGCCATATGATGAAAAGACTGCTGGTGTGGTCATTGTTCGACTGGGCAACACTAGCGACGTATCCTTGGCAGAGTCGGTCAAAGCCCGTTTTGTCCGGTTGGTTGTAGAGGGTGTTCTGACGGATGACGGTACGACAGCCGGTGCTACAGTTGCAGAGATTGCTGTTCTTTAGAAGAAGCATGTTGTTTATTAATTTATTTATGTATGATTGTTACTTTTATTATATTTTATCGAAATCTAATGCGAACCAATAAAACATTAAAACATTTGAAAAAAGCCCAGCGCTGTCGTGTGTGTGCTGGACATGCACTCTGTAGTCAGCAAGAGCGCATGATGCTTGACTATGCTGACTTGTAATTTGTACAATCTGTAACAGACTGGCAAATGCTCAAACACGTTTTTTTGTCACACCTCCTGTCAAAAAACTTTTTCCCGTTCTACCCGTGCCGCCCGCCACACATTTCTACCACCGAGACCGAGCCAGGCACAGGACAATGATCGCAGCAGACCAATCTTACTTTAAGAAAAAGAAACTCACCCATTATCACTTCATTATACAGTACCACATCACTGTTCCATGTATTTTCTCTTTTTCCCTGTCTCTCCATCATTCTAACTCTCACTCACACTCACATTCTCACACTCTCACTCATTCTCACACTCTCACTCATTCTCACGCTCTCACTCATTCTCACACTCTCACTCTTTCCGTTACAGCACACCATTCTCTGGTCTACGTTTATCTGCCTCAACATTACTGGCTTCTATTTTTATTTACACCTTTATTGAAATACATTCACATTCAGATTCAACCACGCTAAATTCATCATGGAGATAGACTCACCATACGATGAGTGGTCCAATAATATTCATGCCGTCATCACTTTTCTGAAGCCCTTCTTTGATGACTGGCGGAGCTATGCTAGTTTAGTCAGTGCACTCATGGGTATTGGTGTGTTGATCATGGAGAACCAAGTTTTGCTGCGAATGCGCATGGGTCGATGGGAGATACTAGGCTATGTCCTTTGTAAGTCGACGCACAAACCTTTTTTTTTTTTTTACTTCTTTCTTTTTTTTTTTTTTTTTTTTTTTTTTTTTGCTCATGTTACTTTCTACATGCATATCTGTAATTTGTTTCACGATGGAGCAATTGAGCTCTACTGGGGGTTTTTTTTTGTTCGTTATTAATTTCTTTCTGCAGTATAATACCTTTGGCCTCACAATCCTTCATCATTTTCCTTTGAAAGTCAGACTCGTGTATTGTATCATTCAAATGTGGCTAACCGATTACTTTTTTTTATTTTTATTTTTATTTTTATAAAAATACTTCTAGGGTGTATTGTAAGTTGCTAATTCATTCATGAACTCCATTTAGGAATAGTTTTACTATTCCTGGTACCTTGGATACCCAATGTGATATTGAAAAAAAGTTCAGATTCGTTGGACCTTATTTGGGCTTCGGCTAAACGGAGAAAATTTCAACATGCAGAAAAAAAAAAACCGCAATATTCAGGGATGGAGCAGGGATGGAAACAAACCTCTGTAACAATGCCAAAAACAGCTGTAGTATCTAAAATGCACAGAAAAAAAAAAAAAAAAAAAAAAAAAAAAAAAGGGACTGGCTCGCGAGCCAGGAGACAGATGGAAAAACATTTAGAGAAAAAGACGTTCAACTCGCTAGATCTATACTGTTCTAGCCTCTGTCTCCTTTTTTTTTTTTTTTTTTCTTCGATCTGGAATACCGAATAGGACTTTCTGATGAGAGAACAAATGACCCTCTGTAGCTTACTGTTTCTCTTGTGCTTTGATTTTAATTCTTTCTTTCCTTTATTGCTACTACTAGATCTCATCATTTCTTGGACCAGTTTTCGACATCTTTGTAATGCTTGGGCTATTCGCCTACTGCCGTCACAAAAGGTATTAATGAATAATTAACCACAGCCTGTTTGCCGATGGCTTTTTTTATTTTTTATTTTTTAATGAGCTCACTTTAATTTGCTCCATCGAACTAAAACTTTCGTAACTAATAATGGCTTTTTCTCTTCATCCTCGCCTGTTTCTAGCGCACGCATGCATATCACCAATGAATCCATTGCAAAAGGTAGAACATTCTTCCGTACTGTATTTTCAATCAGAAAAACACACATGTATATCGTATTACGTATTTGGAAGCGCTGTGGACTGGCAAGTCCAAGCAGGATCAATGCAAGGATATCCGTTGTGTTCAGCAAAAACGATTTGTATTACCCTACTCTAAGGACAATTGATCTCATTAAAGTGACAGGGCACTCATCGTTTTTTTTTTTTTTTTTTTTTTTTTTTTTTAGCACTGTTACCTCCTCCGATCGCCACTAACTATAGGATCATGGGCGCCACTTGTGTAATCTCATCTATCCTTACACTATGCTCGAATGTGCTGTACATGCTTCGAGGATGGGAAGAACCTTTACCATTCTATGACTGGTCCTCGAACGCAATTCGTTGGATGACCAGTCAACTATGGTATGCGATTGGTATGATCTTTCTCCTCCATGTCATTACAAGGCCAGCCCAGAGTGGCGTGGTATTGTTTGGTAAATTTCCAAGGGACCTTTGGGCATTCAAGGTAGGCAAAACTATCCTAAAAAATAAAAAAAAAATAAAAATAAAAATAAAAAATCTAGTCTATGAATATAACTATAAGCCTGTATTGCCTGAGATCTAATATTTGGTCATCTCTTTTTTTTTTTAACTGTAGTGGCAGCTTTGCATCCTCTATCTTCCTGTTCGCTATATGTTGTTACAACTGTGCGATATTCACCGCGATAGCAAACATATCCTTATCCCATTGGAGATTGTTGTGGATATTGTGCTATACAATGGACCTTTCTTGATCATTCTGTTGCGATTGCTCTACTTGGCATGGAAGGTGGCCTATGATGAGGCTATTCTTACAGGAGCAATTTACGAAGATGATTCGAATGCATCAGTCTGTTCATTATTTGATATCAGATCCTATTTCTTAAATTCAAACGGTGATCATACGCGACGTGGATCAGCCACTACGATACAAGGGACAAATGGATACGTAGGCTTAGCTATGATGGACCTTGATGAGGCTGAGCAAGGGCGAAGTCGGGTGATGGTCCAGGAAAGAAGCGGAAGAAATTCTATGAGCCAGGTTAATGCATCCTCAGCAAACAAAGGAAAGTCTGAGTATGCTGAGAGCTTGGACAGTCGAAGTGTTGGAGGTCAACCCAGCGGTAGCCCACCTGCTTATGATAGTAGGGATTACCTGCAAGCACCAAAATCGTTTTCTCCAAAGATGACAGGCAAGGCCGCATCAAAGACTTGTCCCAGAAACTCGCCCAGAACGTCTCCAAAGACAAGCAGTCCACTCAGGAATGTTGTTTTTAGCCTTGATTCTTCGGATGATGAGGATAGCGAGGAGGAACATCGGAGACATTAAAGAGGCATCAATAGATATAAACAGGAGTGGAGAACCTTTTTTTATTTTTTTATTTTTGGATGGGGTGGGTTCTTATCTCTCCATATTCTAACAATAGGTCGGGATGCCTTACAGCCTAGCAAAACAAGGCTATCAAAAGCGGGAACATCCTCAAATACCCAAAGATGCAATTCTCTTCTTGACGACAATATAATACTGACAGTGAATACAAAATACCAAGAGGGAAGCATGGCACCCGCACATCTATACTCCACAATCCATCTGCTCACTAGCACTCAACATTTCTTATATATAGCTCATTCTTTTCCTTTCTTTTCTTTTTTTTCTTTTTTTTTTCTTTTTTTTTTTTTCTTTTATTCTTTTATTTTTCTGCTTCTACACTTTTTATTATTGTTGAATCTTTTCGATATACCATGTTGGCTGTCATATTTCCTTCCATATCTCATTCCTCTTTTTTATATGTGTCTCTTAGTCCCATCTAGTCTATTCTTTCTCTATCGGCTTTCTAGCCATTGTACAAAAAAAAATTGCATATTACCATTTAATAATAAATCATTCTTTCTCATGGATATCGCGCTGTTATCAGGTTTCATCCGATCTTCTCTATCACTCATTCCTCAAGATATCATAACACAGGCAGGTTAAACAAGTCCCTAGATGATCGTAGACTGGGGCTTTTGGGGACAAAAAGAGATTGCAAGCAACAACTTGTTAAATAGAAATGATGGTTTCATATGTACTATACAACTATACACAGGTACACACGCGATAAATATGCAATAACCCTTGCTTTTCAAAATGTTCAAGAGGTCATTAACTTGATTGGATTGGAGAGAGAGAAGTGATTCGCCGACAATTCAATATAAAAATTGAGATCCGTATTCTGGCATAACACGGGATGGAGACAAATATACAGAAAATGTAGCGCCCGTGAGGGAAAGGTCAGTTGATAGGACAATGATAGGATTGTGGCTATTGAGAGGATATCTTTCTTTAGTTGGGGTTGGGTTGGATATATGATAGAGGAACCAAAAGGTGTTGTGAACATTTAATAGGAAGATCTCGGGACGCGTGAGATTTTTTTTTTTTTTTCTACAGATATTAAAATGCAACGTAAACATAATGGTATACATGTAATAACTGATCAATGGTTATAGACAAGCATATATGCATATTATACATGTATAATGTGTGCAACTCTTTATATTCATGTTGATCCTTCCGTATTTTTCCATGATGAGAAAAGAAAGAAAAAAGGTTTTTATATATAGTAAGTGGAGAAAAAGAGTTGAGCACGGGTGCAACACAAAAGCTTTTTTTTTTTTTTTTTTTTCTGTCCGTTGTATGTGGAGTCAGTTGTTTGAAAAAGAAAAAAACGGTAATGATACGGCTTGATCAAGTCGATTGGATAAGATGGAGAGGGACAATTGCCCGCAAAAAAAAAAAAAAAGACCGTGGGCAAATTAATTTTAAAACCGGAGGTGACACGTGACCTGAATTTCATTTTAAACCTCAGGGGTGTAAGACTAGGGCATGTTTGGACGACGATTCAATTCAATAACATTCCATTGCAATGCAATGGCTAAATATATTATATTTTATATATTGTCTATGCTATACTGCTACACAGTGTTGCAAGTAATACACAGGAAGAAAAGAATAAAAGGGCAACCAACCGTCTGCTCCATTCACCGGTTTTTTTCTTTCTTTCTTTTGCTCATTCTCTTTCTCTCTCCCTCTCCTCATTCCTTTTTTATTTCCTCTCTCCTCTCTTTCTCTTTCTTTCTTTCTATCTATCTATCCTGTAAACTATTGAATCGGAAATAAATCCACTCCTCCACTCTTCTCCTTTGTCTTCATGTCTCTTCGTGCCCTCTCCACTATCTCAAGACCATTCCTGCTGAATTCTTTCAAGAACACTCTCAAGCCTCAACAGCCCAAGGTAATAACAGCTACAGTATCAATTGGATCTCCTTTTTTTTTTTTTTTTTTTTTTTTTTTATGCATGTGTACTTTTCTCAACTTTAACAATTTCTTTCTCCAGATTCTTTCTTCCATGCTTTACAGGAACTACACTAGCGCTGCTGCCCCTAATTACCCAGGACTAGGTCAGCCTGATATGACCAAGGGTCCTCTCTACCGCTATGATACTGCCCTCCCAAAGCTCCCTGTCCCTACCCTGGAGGAGACTTGCGCTCGCTACCTCAAATCGGTTCGCCCTCTTCTGAATGACAAGGAGTTTGCAGAGACATCTGCTGCCGTCGCAGAGTTCCAGAAGCCTGGCGGTGTCGGTGAGGAGCTTCAGAAGCGTTTGCTCGCCAAGGCCAATGATCCCAAGACTGTCAATTGGTTGGAGGACTGGTGGAATGATCTGGCCTACTTTGGATATCGTGACCCAGTGGTAGTCTATGTGTCCTACTTCTATGCTTACAAAGATGATCATCTTCGCAAGAAGCCCACACAACGTGCTGCAGCAATCATCCAAGCAGCCATGGATTTCCGTCGCCAGGTTGTGGATGAGACCCTTCCACCTGAGATGGCCAAGAAGAGCCCTCTCGATTCATCTACATACAAGTATATGTTCAATGCTTGCAGATATCCCGCCAAGCCCAGTGATTTCGAATTGGCATTTGATCCTTCCAAAAACAACCACGTCGCTGTTGTCCGTCACAACCAATTCTTTGTCTTTGATCTGATCAAGGACGGCAAAGTCTTGAGCACCGCTGATATTGAAGCTCAATTGGATACCATTGTCAAGATGGCTGGTGACCGTAAGGACCCTGCTATTGGAGCCTTGACTTCTGATAACCGTGATATTTGGACTGAGGTAAGAAAAAAAAAAAAAAATCGCATTTGAATTATGGCAAGCTAGAAAAAACCAGGGTGTACGGGGGTGCTAACGGGTTGGAAGATCCGAAGATGATCGGTCGGACCGACAAACGGCTTTAATGGGCCGTAAGATCACATCGTCTTGATTACAAGGATGGATGAAAAGAAAAAAAAAAAAAAAAAAAAAAAGGAATATACATATGTACACTGCACTGTTTACTTTGTTGTGGATATATAAACAATATGCAACACAAACCGACAATGGCACGCACACATCCGTCTCACATGGACGCATGGACGCATGTACGCTCAAACCGACAAATGTCGTAATGGTCTTCTACTATTCAGGGCAAACCGAGTGCTCTGATCTTGTTGGTTACTTTATTTGGATATTTTATTTTATTTTATTTTGTTTTATTTTCCAGTTCAGACTTATCGGTGAGAGTGTTGTTTGGCTGTGACTATTCAAACTGTTCATTCTTTTGCTCCCCAATATTTTCTCTCTCTTCCCCCATCCTTTCTGTGCAGTATACCTTACGGTTCTCTATTCTTTGCTCTTTACATGTGACAAAGCACAAGCTGTCCTGAATCTCCACGAAGCCCTCGCCAAGCTCTTTACACATCATGGATGCTATCGGACATTACTGTCTTGATCATTATCAGAATATCAACAAACATTGGCTTGCCCATCAACTTGACTAACAATTCTATGTTGTATCTTTTTGAATTCCCCTTTAATTCATTTCAAATAGGCCCGCAAGGCACTTATCAATGCCGGCTCACAGAACGAAGAGCTCCTTCGCAAGATTGAGTCCTCAGTCTTCCTCCTCTGTTTGGATGATTCCAGCCCTGTGACTCGTGATGAGGTCTCACGTGCCTGCTGGCACGGAGATGGCCGTAACCGCTTCTTTGACAAGTCTCTCCAGTTCATTGTCTTTGAAAACGGCAAGGCTGGCTTCCTGGGCGAGCACTCTACCATGGACGGTACCCCAACCTGCCGTCTAAATGACTATGTCTGCACTACATTGGCTAAGAACAAGATTGATCATGGACCAGCCACTGTCTCATCCAACTTGGAGCCACCTCAGAAACTCAACTTTGCACTCAATACTGCTGTTCACAAGGCGATTGAGACCTCAGAAAAGAATTTCGATGAGTTGATCGGCAAGCACGCTCTTTATGTCCAGAACTATGAGGGATATGGCAAGGGCTTGATCAAGAAGTTCAAATGCTCGCCCGATGCCTATGTTCAAATGATCATCCAGCTTGCCTACTATAAGATGCATGGAATTTCTCGCCCTACATACGAGTCTGCTCAGGTTCGCAAGTTCCAACACGGCCGTACTGAGACCTGCCGTACTGTCAGCAGTGAATCCGTTGCCTGGGTCAAGGCTATGGTGGATTCTCAGGTCTCTGCTGCCGAGAAGACCGCTTTGTTCAAGAAAGCATTGGATTCCCATGTCAGCTACATGGCTAACGCTGTTGAGGGTAAGGGTGTTGACCGTCACTTGTTGGGTCTCCGCCTGTCACTCAAGTCTCACGAGACAAAGCCCACGATCTTCACTCAGGAGGTTTTCAGCCGATCCAGCCACTGGAACTTGTCAACTTCACAGCTGTCGGGAGAACACTTTGATGGATATGGATGGGGAGAAGTTGTCCCTGATGGTTACGGAGTTGCTTACATGGTCAATGAAAACAACTTGAGCTTTAACGTTGCATCGCTCAAAGAGATGCGTCCTGAGCATTTGCATCATTACTTGAAGGAGGCTGCCACAGAAATGAGACAGCTCTTTGAACAGACTTTGCTTGAGGCACCCAAGTCAAAGTTGTAAAAAAAGAAAAAAAAAAAAAAAAAAAAAAAAAAAACAACCATAACCCATCATCTATCATTTTCTTTCTTTTCTTCAATGTACATGAATAAATTTAAATAGAAATTAAATAAAAAAAATAAAAAATAAAAAAAAAGACTCTCACTTCCTTTCTTTGCACATTAAAAAAGAGCTTTGTACGATAGAGTGCAGGCAAGGGATAGAAATAAATACTGCACCATGTTACCATGTTCATTTAGCATAAATTTTCTATTAACCACTATTCCAGTCGGCTTCGCCCACACATATTCAAACCAAGAAAATAGTGGCGCCCCATTCCAGATCTGCCCTAAGCAAGTAAAATGTAGGATTGCTTTAAAACAGCTTAACAGTTTGCTCAGTACAACACAGGATGACATGGGTAGCTATGATAGCCAGGAGTGGACAGGAAAAAAAACACGCATGGACTCTTAGATACAGAACACATGGGACGCATTGTGGGCACATTGAGCGCATTAGCACAAAGACACGAACAAATCAAAGCGTGAAGAAGCGAGTGCGAGTGGTGAGGGGCACGTGCAAAAAGCACAAGCACATAGGCAACATCCATGAAACCTGTGGAAGAGAGAAAGGACAAGAAGGCGCGGCGGACGACAAAGAAGACTTTCCATCATCTCACATCATCTCACATCATCTCATCTCTTGTCCATCATTCAACTTTTGCCTTCACTTTCACTTGTTTACATCTACTACTTTTCAACCTACCTCTTATTCTTATCCTCCTATCTTCATCTCTAAACCTCGCCTCTTAATAAACCACTACTTCTAATTCGTCACTCCTTTTTACAACAAAGTTTACATATTTCTTTTATTTTCAGTCCCCAGACGTTTGCACACTTAAATATAATGAAGTTCCTCGAGTATGCTGGCATAGATGCCATTAACAACGCGCTAGTCTTTGAGACACCTGAATGCAAAGTGTACGGTCGTATTGAACCGTATTCCTGTAAGCAAAAAAAGATTGTTTCGCTTATGAAGGAAAAAACAAAACTCCCAGACCCGCTTGTTTCCTTGACATGAAAAAGCACTGGCAATTACAAATATATGAAATAGAACTGGGGACCAGCATTATATAGTAGAGATCTTTTTCTTTTTAGGCTAAAATAGGCATTAGTATTACCAGAAGGAGGAGCGAGAAAGGATGTCGTCCTTTTTTTCACATTAATGCAAGCTTTCTAACCCTGAGAAACTTCACTCCCTTATATGCTCCTCAATTATTTTATTTTTTACAGGTAAAGCGGCTGGAGCCGACAAGAAACTTTACAAACAAATTGAGATCAAGTATGATCCTTCCAATAGCCCGCCAGATGAGGATGGCTCTGGATCGAGCTTCCGCAATGTCATCTCACCTTTTGGGCCATTGGACCAGCCTGCTTCAAGACGGACTCTCTTTTACCTTATTGGAACCTTGAATGCCTCATTTCCAGACTATGACTTTTCGTAAGTGTTGATCAATTGGATCATCCTTTTTTTTTTAATGATTTTCTAGACACATAAAACTACGGATTTTCTTGGCTCCTTTTTTTATTTTGGCACCTATTTGTTTGTTTGTCTATCTGCATACAGCCTTCTTTTTTTTTAAAAAAAAAAAAAAAAAAAAAAAAAAACGTCGTTTTAACACACCTGCCGGTCTTTGGAAAGGGAGCCAGTCGTGTGACTGCCTTATTTTGCGGGCAAAGCATGATATCATTTTCTGGGGTATTTTACAATGGAATGGATCGGGAACTGAACCTTACTTGATTGCATGGACCACAACAAACTCTCCGTCTCTTCTTCTATACGCCTAAAATAGTTCAATATTCTAATTTTTCTTCCCTGTTTATAGCGATGCTAAGCCCGAACAATTCCGCAAAGAACCATCGGTATCAATGGTAGTCAACTCTGTCAATGCGACGCTCTTGAACCATGGAAACGACCGTGCAGTCAAAGAGCTCCGGATTTGGGACTCTATTGACAATCTTATTGACTTGGAGGACTCGGACGTCTATAGCTATAATCCCGAGAGTGACTCGGACCCGAACGACGAGGAAGGTGGCGGGACTTTGTAAGTTGACCCCTTTTTATTATTAATTTATTAATTAGTATTAGTATTATTTTCATTTTATTTTTGTTTATTTTGTTTATACTACACTTGTTTTGCTCTACATGGATGCATGGGAGAATTAAAAAAGATGTCATGTATTGAACAAATAGCCATCAAAAGGCACTCTGTACCATACTTTTTTTTAACCTGAACTTCTCGCTGCGTTACCGTACTAGGTGGTCATTCAACTACTTTTTCTTTAATCGAAAATTAAAACGCATCATTTACATGACTATGAGAGGAGTCAGGTATTGAAAACTTGGACTTTGAGGATAATTGAGGCCATGATTCGGAGCCTTGACACTTGTATGTAGAATATACCCTTGGCAGCACCTAACATTCTTTTGTTTATCGTTACCCCAATTGTAAACTAGTTATGGAGCACCGTCTGAGGGCGATGATGATGATTTCTCTGATATGAGTGATGATGGCATGGGGTTTGGACATCGACGGAGAGGGTAAGTCTTCGTTTTATTACCTTGTTCTTCTTTCGAACAACTACAATAGGACCTTAATTGATCTCATTATTTCATTTTCATTACTGGTATTTTTCTACTAGGTTACGATATGATGACTACGTTGCTGGAGAGATGGACATGCTGTAAACGCAGCGTTCGTCTTCTTAAGGCTGCTCAGCGCTCAACAGAGTATTCGATACTACGTTATGATCTTGACAGATGTGCCGCGGTTCAGGGTTTGGTTTCTGATCTTAATGCCTTTTTTTTTTTACTGGCAAGATTCGTCCTGATGTGAAATGGCCGCTCTCTCTTTGTCTTGTTTGTTGCATGTTCAGAGAAAGAGGGGACAAGAAACACAGGTGTAGTCATTATTATCCAAATCGCGTTTTTTTTTTTTTTTTTTTTCCTTGTACCATTCTTATTTTACTATACTTCATGATATATTTACTTTCAAGCAGCTTTGTGTTACGCCTGCTCAGGATCGTCCAAATATTTTCTTTTTCCTTTTCTCTCTTTCTCTTTCTTTTTCTCTTTCTCTGTGCCTCTCTTTTTCTTTTTTTTCTTTTTTTTTTCTTTCCACTGAAATAATAAATCCTCAATCCTCTTACTCTTTACTTCTTTCTTCCTTTTTTTTTTTTTTTTCTTTCTTTTCTTTTTTTTTTTTTTTTTTTTCTACCAACTGTCGCCAATACATATCAATTGGGTACAGAAATCGATTCAATAAGAAGAAGAAGAAAAAAAAAAAAAAAAAAAAAAAAAAAAGAGAAAAAAGAATAAGAAAAAAAAAAAAAAAAGAAGTGGAGGTGGTTTGTTTGTCGCCAAAGAAGTAACTTTGGGCACAAACGTGAACTATTGTTGTCGCCAAGTAGCATATTATATTCTTGGGTACAGCTTAGATGGGATTTTCTTTGATACTTGCTAGTCGCTGAACGAACTTGGTTCAGGTACTGAAGTAGCGGAATCTTTTAAGAGGGAAAGAAGAAGAAAGGAAGAAAAGGGAAAAAAAAGCATGAGAACAGTTAGAAAGAGAAGGTATGAAAGTATGAAAAAGAAAGAAGACAAAGACAAAGGCAAGGGAAGCAAAGGTGAGAGAAAGCAGTTTTTTTTTTTTTTTTGAAAAATGCTAGCACTAAGAGAGGGGTGAATGAAGCTCTAACTTTTAACAAATAAAGGAAAGGAGGAGAAAGAGTGAGAGATAGAGAGAACAAAGACCGCGTGTAATTCTAGGCATGAAGAAGAGCTTATTGGCGATAGAAATCCCCAATCCACCCAACAGGAAAGATTGTAATTAGTAACGATGAACCAAATGGGTAATGGGGCAGAGCCTTGGAGCCTGCTCGGGCCTCTCCCTGTAATGTTTATTACGAACAGCTTCTGCTGCACACTGCTTTTTTTTTTTTTTTTTTTTTGTTTTGATAACAAGGACCTACGAGAGCATGTAGGATTTATTTAGATAGCTTCTGCTGCACACTGCATCCAACTTTTCGGGCAGAAAGAAACGTCTTGGTAACCTACCACTACCATCCATCAACCATCATACTTACTTGTGAAAATACGGTGCTACTTCACGTGATTTATAGAGCATGTGACACGTAATTAGCTTCAATAATATATTGGTTGCTGTATAGTAAAGATTTAACCAATCACAGGTCGCCCCTCAAAAGGCAGCCAGAGTCTGGGCTTGTAGGATAATGGATAGTCCCCTAGACTTCGAATCTAGTAATCCGAGTTCGATCCTCGGCAAGCTCAATTGTAGCTTCTTTTACTTTTTTCTTTTTTTTCTTGCTATGAAAGTTGTCAGTGTTTCAACTCTTTCGATCCTTTTTTTTTCGTATCCAATTGGCGACCGAGGTGCCTAATATTATTTGGCAGTCCATACTAAATATAGTGATTTTTGCCATTATTTGGTAGCCTATTTTTTGGGGACTAAGGAAAAATGCACCCCCCCGTCAGAATAAAATTCTGAGCCCCGGTTGAGAATTCCCTTGACCCCCCCGTCAACATTCATTTTTTCGGAATTCTTACCCCTGTCCCCCCGTCAGAATTCCGGTACACCCCCCGTAAAGATTTTCAAAATGTAAATCTTTACCCCCCCGTCAACATTTTGAAGCTGTTTTTAAGAGAAGATTTTCTGTTCTTGGTTATACCTAGATCTAACTAGCTATTTAGTTCGACACCATTGATCCTCTCTTACTTTGTATCTTGCCATCAAAGCATGACAGTAGATCAGTGGATCAGTTCCTTGATGAATGATCTCTTCCTAGATTCGTATTCATCAGGTTCAGAACCCTCGGCAACTTAACATACACCACATGCATCCAACATAGTCTTAAAAGAAAAAGACAAAAAAACATTGCATTATTATTCAGCGTCAACGCTTGGCGATCCTAAACCATCTTTACAATTAATAGAGGTTAAGATTAAAATACTGTACTAGTTGTGTGGAAATCATAGGATGTAGTACTCTTTTTTTTTTTTTTTTTTTTTTTTTTTTGAAAATCAGCTCCAGAATGTTGACGGGGGGGGTAAGAATTGCGCGGTTGACGGGGGGATGAGAATTCCGGAAAGAGAAATGTTGACGGGGGGAATTCTCAACCGGGGGTCAAAATTTTATTCTGACGGGGGGGTGCATTTTTCCTTAATTCATTTTTTGGGGCTGCCACCTAACTTCATACACTTTGGGTGGTGGCAGCTGGGCTGCCAAATAATGAAGTTTTACAGAACTAATTTTGAAATGGATTAATCTATTTGGCAGCCCATTGCCAAATATAGTCAGCTTTCAAGACTCTCTTTGGCAGCCTACCCAGCGTTATTTGGCCTCTAACTATTTTTTTTTTTTTTTTTTTTTTTTTCATTCCTAGGAACCGTATATGTATATAACGCTCATACTTCAAATTAATAAAGCTTCCGTCTTCTACGTCATAGTTATGTGTAGTGACATCGCCTTGTATCATTTAGAAAACTAATGACTTTTTTTTTCAAGTAGGTCGCTCATACAGTTTTGGAGGTGCCATTTGGAGATCAATGCCTATGAGAGGTTTTCGTTCGGAGCAAACGCGTCTCACCTACTACCTAGACGTCTTCAATAAATCATTCCCTAACCGTGTACATTGAAGGCTGTTTTGTGAAGATGTCATCACCGCTGCCCTTAGTACCTCCGGCGGCATTAGCTGTGCAAGGCAATGTATCCACAGAACGCTGCTTGTTTTACCACTGATGTTATGACCCTGTTATCAAAAAAAAAAAAAAAAAAAAAAAAAGTACTGTATTTGGCAGCCCAGCTGCCACCCAAGAGTGCGAAGTTAAGTGGCAGCCCCCAGAAGTAGGCTGCCAAATAGATTAATCCTTTTGAAATGGTTGTCTAGATTGGTGACATATTATGCCTTGTTGCACCCATCACATCACTACAACTATTAGCGTTCGTTAAAAAGTGTAAAGCTCACTAGCGGCTCCAGCTGGAGCGAGCCCAATTAGGTTTGAAATGAATAACTTTTGCCTATAGCACTAAGGGTATCGACATGTCCATAAAAAAACTCCCGTGCAATTAACTTTCATTTGCAGTGTAAATGAGGTGTAAACTAGGTGTACGGGCCCGTGCAAAATAACCATCCATTATTGATTTGGCTGGCTCCGAATTATGAATAATCCTAAATGAGTTGGTGGCAATATTCAGCAACCGATTCAATACTCAAATCCCATTCAATGTGGCGCGCTTTTCCTGGGACGAATTCAATCAATATATTTTTAAGGAAAAAGATATTTGCACAACCCCGTATACACCTTATTTACACTGCAAATGAAAATTATTTGCACGGGAGGCTTTTTTTTATTTGTAGGGGGTCTTTATTTCAGTCTTAAATACCACTACCAAGGACCCTTCCACGACACAAGCTCGATACCCAAGCATCAAATATTGACCAGAATATTTATCTTATCAAGATCGTACGTAGCCCAGAATAGATGTTGATATTCTTTATGGGATTCTGGGACTAAATAAAGAATTACAAATGATTTATCTATAATTGAAATATACTATGTCGCTTTACTTTGCACTTTTGTTGGTCGTATTGTTATAGGTTGTGGATGGTTCACCAATGCTTTCTTTCATTAAGCGCGTGCATGTTTCCGTACGCTATTAAGCACATAACGATGAGCTCAGTAATTAGGGACCTCTAATGTGTAGTTTGTTTCGGTAGATATATAAACGATCATACTCATTGCTACGATGCATAACGTGTCGTGTTACTACTTTCTTTCTTTTCTCTTTCTTCTATGTCCTTATCTCTGTCCTTCTTTATTAAGAGCTCAAGTGCCCTCGGTACTAAATTTTGTTTACCAAATTCACCAAAATACGATGGATAGACCTCAGTTTATTTTGTGGAATGTCTATCCTCTCACCCGTTTGTATCTCAAGAGATTACTTATCTTTTGATAGTTGTTGACAGTTTGCACTCAAAACCGATCGTGCCACAATTACCTATATCCCTATATTTAAATCTTTCGGGTGGCTGTAGAGCGGAATAGAGCGTGAAAAATATTTTGTAGATAGATAGTAAGCGGTAGAAAAGTAAGTGAGAATAAGATATGGGCCCACGCACTACATCCATAGAGTATTTATTCATTTTCTGGTAGAGGGACTTGTACCAGGTAACTACGTATCTATCTGTAGGATGACATAGGTTTGTTCTAAAAACTTCATATCAAAGATTTATCGCGTCTATGTGTGGCGCGTTATTGCCACTAATTTCTACTGCTAATCTTTTTAGCGCATTAGTGTTTTTTACCCTGATTTTTTTCTATCATAATATTGCATACTGTGGAATATGCAACAGAGCGCGACGAGTATCACAGCTCCCACGGCGCTGCAACTCCCAACAGTAATAATTCCAGACTCCCCTCTACTCTCTACCCTAGACTGACCTTCGCTTATTTCCTTCGAAATAAAAAGCTAGAATTATGTAGTCTGTAGGATACACGTTGCTGCTTGTAGATGAAATAAAGACCCTGTGCAAATAAGGTGTGTACGGGGCAGTGCAAATAGCTTCCATCCTATTTTTAATTAGCCAAAGGCTGGCGAAGTAGTATGGTACCCGTGAACGAGACATTCTTTTTTTTTTTTTTTTTTTTTTTTTTTGCCAGCCTGGGCATTGCGAGCCTGGGCGTTGAAACAGTGAAGGATGTAACGGTATCCCTTAGATTATGAATGTCAGTTTTATTACATTCTTGATGATAGCCTTAAACTTACAATAGCGTCGTTGCTTGCATGGTTAATACTTAAATACCCCACATGCACGAACGCTGATTATCTAATTATCTTAATTTATCAGACCCCGCCTGTAATGCAAAGATTTTACTTAGCGAGCACAATTTGATCATGTCCTCAAGACATTCATATTTGGGTACAAAAGGAATCTTTAAAAAGGAAAGTCATTTCTTTGCTCTGGTAAATCAGACCTATACTCCATTCTTCAACCCTTTAGTACTTCAATTCTATCTGTTTGAAACTTTCTACCCGCATTGTTCGCAAGACGGTTTCGCTCTGCTGCACAAGGCCATAACCGTATCTGGATGGTCCCCTGTTGATCAATGCTTAACTCCTTCCAGGTACACAGCAAGTAACCACTGCCTCCACTGTCTCTACTGCCGTTGCTGCTCCTATCGTGGGTGTTCGTGCGGCTACTCTCTCTGCCGATACCCCGAACAACGATGCAGCTGTACCAATGGTCTCATTTTTTTATATCATAGAGCCCAATGTCATCGAGATTATAGATGGTCGAGCCGGTATACAATATAGCTATATCCTTCTGGACATCTGCGCCACGCCTTGGGCGCCCAGTCCCAATATAAAGCAAAAACATCCACATACATCTTCTTGCGAATCACTCACCGAAATCGAGGCACCTCATGAACCTTCAACGTTATCACTCCAGACACTGTCATGACTAAAATCTTTCTGAATCTCTAAATTCATACAAAATATAATTCTGTGTCGTATCTTTGAATATGTAAGGTGTGAACACAGCATTGCATGCACTTCTTTAATATGACGAATTTACCCGAGTAGCCTGATAGACGGGAGGGTAATTTTTAAAATCCATTCAATGAGTATCAAAACATGTCCTCAGAAGTTTTTTTTTTTTTTTTTTTTTTTTTTTTTTGATAAAAAACCAAGTACTATCAGCTGTATAGACTTTTAACTTAATGGAGATTGGCTTTTGCTTTGGTGAAATAGTTAATTACCTATCGTCGAAAGAAGTGTTTTGAAGTACTTAGGACGCGTCTAACTGGGCGTAAAGACAGCTGTTATTGCAAAAGACGTATTACATCTGTTTCTAAGCATTTGGAGCTCCGTTGATGGTCACAAGGCCTGACTATACTCAATAAATTTACTTTACAATGGCAGCCAGGAGAGAGGGCCTACGGCCATCGCGAGACTAGATCTATATGTATTTGGGGTTGTTGTTGCTATTAACCTACAGAGGGTTATGCCGTACAGGATGGAACAAGAGCGGAAAAACCTTAATGTACAGATGCAAATCACTTTTACACCTTTTAAAAAGGTTGTCCAAACTGGAATAAGTCAACCATCTTTTTCAAAACAAGTCGTTATCTATGTGCGTCTCGATAGTGTACTATCTATTTTCCTGAGAACTGGACTAAGTGTGGCCTAGTAATTATGACAATGTACATGTTACACGTCCTTCAACACCCTCCAATATCTCTCAATAACCCTTCATCTTTTTGCTACCTTTCTGAGAAGAAGAGCAATGTTTATTCTAATAGTGAGGCTGTGATAGTATATTATAATCTCAAATGGATGGTAGGATAATAGATGTATTTGAGCCATGTCTCCTCTGCTCTTACTGCAAAGTCGATTTCTTTTTTTTTTCTTTTAAATCACGGATGTTGATGAATTGAAAGCAACCCTTCTTTTGAGGAAAAAGCATTTCGCTCAAACCAACTGCAACATTACAGTTAGACTCCATGCAGGTTCAAGAAGTCAACCCCACGCGTCAGCTGCTGTCCACGCCCTCGCTTGAACGGACTATAGCCCAAAAAAGGAAAATCTGATTAGAAAGAAAAAAAAAAAAAAAATAACTGTCAAAAAGATTATGTTTGTTTGTTTAAAGTGTGTCCTACAAACACTAACACTAGGCTTTGCATTCCCTCTAATTAGTCCAGTAATCCTGCTACTTGTGCGATGGCGACACGTTAGTTGTACATGTGCAAGTACACGGTGTATAAATAAAAATGTACACATTGGCATTGAATCCAAGCGCCTTATCAAATCACTCTCTTCTTTCTTTCTTGTCAAGTCCGAAAGTGATGGTGAGGTTTTAGATTTTTTATTTTTATTTTTTTTAAAAAAAAAAAAAGATCTTAACGCTGACAATGACTTATTGTCAACTCTTATGCTTGAAGGTAAAAATGTCTTATTCTATTGCGAGTCTTAATGATCATTCGCATTTCCGATACATCCGTTGATATTCATTCATGTTAGGAAAAAAAGGCAGTCTAGGATGCTTTGTGCCAGCGCAGTTAAAAGGAGTTTAGATGTTTATATTTATTTATTATTAATGAATCAGTGACCCTGTCAAAAAAAAAAAAGAAATGGCGGATTTGGCCTGGGGAGAATCTGATAAGCCGCCAATTGAAACCGAAATTCAATTGACTCAATTAATACAAATTTGTGTATATTATAGTTAGCATAGTTTTCAATTGCCGCATTATCAGATCCGAGTCAGGATGACAAAAAAAAATGTTTGCCTCTCAAAGACATCATTGGGTGGAATAAGTTACAGTACTCTATTACAGATTTTGAATTATCCGGCTTATATGTGCAACGTGTACTCGAGGATTCACTACGATACCTCTTTTCATTACTGCACCTTTACAACTCTTAATCTTTAAATTCATCATCGATATCCAGCGTAATCTCTCATCTCGGCTTTTTTTTTTTTTTTTTTTTTTTTTTTTCCTTCTCGGAATATCGCTCCACTTATGACTCGCTTGCTCCGAGATGACACCCTGAAAGATGCTCACATGAAAGAGAATGGAATAAAAAATAGGCGAAAGACCTGATCCAAAAGAGTTTCCGGGCTAGAAAAACTTTATGTTGTGCATATTGTGCATATAAAAATAAAATACCGTTCGCTAATTTAAAAAACGGTTTATTTGAATAGAGAAGGCGTGTTTCTCCGGTTTCCATGCAAATAAAAAAAAAAAAAAAAAAAAGAAACAGCCGAGAGCATAATTTCCTTCGCATCCTCATGCTACAGGGGCTCGTCCTTGGTTCAGTTGATTGGCTTACTTCATTCCCATTTGTACAGTTTACGTTCTAACAATGAAGAGAGTCCGAGAGTAGACCGGACGTATTCACCTTCCGTGTTCTTGATACCACTGATAGCTCTTTATTATTTGTTACTCTCAATCTCGGGGAAACTGAAGAGATATGTATTGCCTCTTAGACATAAAGCGGCTCAGACCGAAGAAAAGGGAAATAAGATACCGAGACCTTTTTTTGTCATAGCTGATTTTTCTAGGTATGGACCAAATAAACCAAGGCCGAGATTGAGACCGAGAAATGGTTATGAATATGATGATTGGCACTTCAGAAGAAAGAAGAACCTCTCAGACTGTGGGTTAGTAAGTAACAGAGCGAGAGCACAGTAAGAGTCCAATTGATGCCTTTGTGGCTCATAGCAATGTGAAGTGACTTTGGCTGGACAGAGTCGGATGAGTAAGTGAGATGACAGAGAAAGGAGCCATCAAAAGTGGGCCGATGAACGAAATGAATGAGCGTGGCTTTGGATCTGATAAGAATTTTTTTTTTTTTTTTTTTTTTAATGTCTGTCCTCGCTCCTATTTTATTTTTTTGTTCTCGACTTCCTCTCTGCTCCACTCCGGCTTTACTCACTTCTTACATTACGAATCTCAACATCACGAATCTCATTTCTCCCAATTCCTTCTCATCGCCGCTACACCAGACTTACAAAGCCAGACAAAGAGTAGAAAAGTCTATTATAACGCCTTTCTGCCTACATTTCCAATATCACTTTTTACTCCCCCAAGTCCAAAATAAACTAAAAAAATCAGGAATAGAATATGTCGACTTCAACGCTCCAGTTGTTGCCGACTACAGCAACAGAGATTGCTCAGCTAGATCCTGCTGCTCTTGCCTCCATCCCCGGTGTTGCCTATGATCTCAAACGCCTCAAAGTATACTCATCCTGTCTGCGCTGCAGAGCCAAAAAAGTAAAGTGCGATCGCAAGGAGCCCTGCTCCCGATGCGAGAAGCACAATGTCGAATGTTCTTACCGTGAGCTTGCCAGCGTTCAGCTCGATATCCGTCAATTTCAAAGACACCTCAACAATCCAAAGATCCGTAAAGATGGAGCCGGCATCATCACCTCCACAGCAACACCCATCATCACACTACCCTCAGGCGACACTGCCGTCCTATCCCCATCCACTACTGCCGCCGCCACACTGATTGCTGCAGTAAAAGCGACTGCTCAATCTTCTACCAATTTCACAGGTAGTGATAACAGCACCAAGAGAACTCACACTGACAGAAAATTGGCAAAGAGCCCAGCCACATCCACTTCTGCTTCTACGCCAACTTCTCCCATCGAAGTCACTGGCTTTGATAGCAATAGCAGCACCGATACGGAATCAGATACGCCAACGCGTGCTCGTCCCGGCAAGAGCGCTGCCATGGCACGTGCTAAGGTTACCAAGCTCCCTCGCCGCAAACTCGCCTCGTCAGCCTCTTCCATGGCCGCCAAGAAAATCTTACTTGAACCCCACGCTCAACCTCAGAATGAAGAAGAGAATGACGATGATGATGAAGAAGAAGAGGAGGAGATTGAGCGCCTGGTTCTGAGAGATGACAATGACCCAGGTCCCTACTACTCCTACACACAGACACAGACTGATGTCCATATGTCGTCAGAAAGTGAGACGGAGGATGCCAACGCTGATGTCCCCATCTGGCGCGCTCGAGCAGTAGGTAAACACAAGCAGACAGTGCATGAACAAGCTATGGCTGAGACCTTTGGTCTAGCCGCTTATCTCAAGGCTAAAGAGATGGAGTCTGGCTTGGCTGGTCAAACCATCGACTATGAACTGGAGTTGGAACGTGCCTTGGCCAAGCGCTTGCCCACTTCTTTTTCACGCCCAGACCGCTCATTGTCTCGCGCACGCAAGTATGCTCAAGCAGGTTACAATCCTTCGCTTCCCTATTCTCGTCCATCTTACTGTCAGCTTTCGGCTTCAAGTGCCACAGCACATCTTCCTCCCGCAGCTCACTGTTGCTGCCAGATTGCTGCAAAGCAAGGTCTAGCGCCTGGTACCTGCTACTTTGGGAACGTCCGCCGTGAAAGCACTGTCTATGAAGAATCATCTATGTCGCCTCCTCCTCAAAGTATCAACTACGAGAAAGGAGAGACAACTCGTATCGCCTATTCACCATCGTACCAGCCCTCGTACACTCCCAAGGACGAGCCTGCCGCTATAACAGCTACCACTAGTACCACTGTTAAGAAAGAATGGTTCGCAGCTCCTTCCGTGCGCAAGCTCGACATCAGTGCCGCTTGTTCTGCATCGTCATCCCCACTGTCTTCTCCAAGGGTCGAACTTGCGCCTATCTACCTACCAAAACTGCCTGCACATCACCCTAATACGCCTTCCTCATCTGATCTTTCAAGGTTCCAGATTGGACGCGAGGGAGATAAAGATAAGCCGCCGATGGAGATCGCGTGCAAGTACAACGAGCCCAATGTCGACGCCTGGGATATGATTGAGCAGCCTCTTTCAAGGCCCCCCTCAATACCAACGACAAAACGTCGCTCTGTAAAGATGGAGGTGGACTGGATCCTCTCTTAAAGAATTAAAAACCATCTCCCAATAGTACATAGCTCATTCATATAGTCAATAAGTCCGTAATTTCTTAGTATTCGTTATATTGCATAGTCATACCTCATAGCATTTCTGCAAATACAAAGTCTAGAAAAAAAAAAAAAAGAAAGAAGAAAAACTAAAGGAATGCCTATGGATAAGCTGAGCTACAACAGCTTGGTTTAATTCACATTGGTGGGGGGCTCTTTGGCTTTTTTGGATTATGTCGTGAGGAGGTAAATATTAATCCAGCTGCTGAACGTTCACTCTGCCTTAACATCAAAAAAAAAAAAAAAAAAAAAAAAAAAAAAAGAGTGCTGCAGGGTTTTCTTGTGGGTTGTCAAGTGTATTTTTCATAAATAAGACCTACATTTTGCAGGACCATAATGGTTGCCACAAACAGCTTTTCGCTCCATTTTCATCCAACAGTATGCTCATTGGCACTGGCTACTCCTTATTAACCCAGTTCAAGTTCCTTTTTCCTTGTAAGCGCTCTTGTAGATGCTTCACGAGTCGTTCATCAGCTTACCTTTTTGCCTTTCTAATCTCTCGTTGTCTGCATGTTCAGCACCACATACAACGGACGCGACAAACTCGGTTTGGATAAAGAAGCGATAGTTCTAGTTTACATGGGGTTTAGAGTAGGTAACATACCATGCGGTTTATTGTCTCTTGATGAGGTAACATCTCTTTCACTTCTTATTCTCTCTCACACACACCCGTTTTCTGCAGCTATCTCTGGTATTATTGTAGAAAGAGCGCAAAGGACGCTTGTTATGGACAAGATCCAGGGTCGGTTGGCATTGCATGTCATCAAGGCCATTGATTGGCCTCTTTATATGTATTTGAACTGCTTAGGGGTTTTTTTTTTTTTTTTTTTTTTTTTCGATCCACTGTGAGGCGATTGCTAGAGCACGCAGTATCAGGCTCTTGGACCCACAGATCTGACAACCATTTTCACAAGTGAAAGAGAAATAAAAAAAATACTGTTCTCAAGAATGGCCAGGCGGTACACTAAGGAACGCGGTACGGATGCATCAGATAGGCAAAGACACAGATGCGATGCTGGGAAGAAGTTGGTTAAAGATACTAAAGTCTTTAAAGTCTTTAATTTTACTCAATGGCATAACGATGTGCAAGTACAAGGAGTTGTATATTATTAGTATAGGATAGTGTTGCCTCGCCTCACCTATTGATATTTAGCAGAGTAAAGAAAGGGAAACAAGACTCCAAGAGGAAGATGGAAAAGAAAATCGATGATTATTACTACTACTATTATTATTATTATTATTATTGTTAACGAGGACCCACGAGGTCGCTCGCCATCGTACTGCTTCGTCTTATTGAACTTTTTTTTTTTTTTTTTTTTTTTTTGATAACTGGGACCCACGAGGTCGTGAGGATTTATTGGAAAGCTGCTTCGTCTTATTGAGCTATTCTCCTGGGTATATACTACAACTAATACACCCCTTAACCATGTGCACAATGAACATATCACATGATAACGCTAGATTGATCATAGATATAATTACTCATATTCTGCTAAGTCTTCAACAGCTTCTGACCAACCAGAGTCCAGACTGCGGTTGGTATCTAGCCCATAAGGGGTCTAGCTCAAATGGTAGAGATAAACACACCCACCACAACGAGCGGGGACCTAGCTCAAATGGTAGAGCACCTTTTCCTTCCGCATTTTTCGCAAACTCTAAATTCCCTGAATAGAGTTCCCCTTCCCTCGTATTATTCCACATTCCCATCAGTACCCCCCTACAAGTTTTTATACATTTCTACAATGCTTGCACCCCTAGTGCAGCCGGATCCCGGAAAGAATCAGGCACAGCTGGAGATGGTCAGCGCTTCTCAAGATCCCCAGGGTGATTTTGAGATGGATGCAGAGGCTACATGCAAGCGAAATCACTATAATAATTTTGTGCAACATAGTATTTCGCCCATATTTCTAGAGCATTCCTTGCAACAGGATATTAACTAGTATAAATAGGTCTACTTTTCTATCTAGTTCTGTAGCATAGTTCCCCCTGAATAAAGATACCTTTATTGCACCCTTAGATCCCCCTAGAACACTACCTTGACTTTTGCATTGGTAGCAAAGGAAACCACGACCACACCCAGAGAACTACAATTACCATTGAATTTCACCCCTCGCCATGGAACACTTGAATAACGCCCTTTCGTCCATCGATCTTCCTCTGAACATTCGCGAAGCCATAGCTACTGCTTTTAATCAGGCCCTCTCTACTGCTAAAGCCAACGAAGCCGCTGAGAATGACCTAGCCAGAACCCTCGCCACGGTCCTAAAGCCACAGAAGCCTACGCCTTACGAAGGAGCTATTAACGCTGTTGCAGCCTTAAACTTTGTCGACAGCCTGGAGGAGTATTACACTATTGTCACACTCACGCCATCCAAATGGGTTCGATACGCTGTCCTCAGTCTCAATGGCGAAGCCAAGGCATGGTGGAGAGATTCCGGGTTGAATCTCGATACACCTTGGGCTGACTTCCGTAAAGCATTCCTCCGTCAGTTCACCCCTCCAGATTCTGCGAATGCAGCTCGCCGAGCGTTGGATAAACTTCGTCAGGGAAGGATGAGTGTGGCAGAATATACGAGCAAGTTTAGAAGCCACCTACGTCTGGCTACAAATCTCGACAAAGACTCTGCTTTGCAAAAATACATGCTAGGCCTTGAGCCCGAAACAAGCAAGCAGGTAAGACTTAGACAGCCAGAGACGTTGGACGATGCCATTGAGCAGGCGACCATTGTCCACAGTATTCTACATCCCATCGATGCCACCCCTGTATCCGCTACCCCGAACGCCTTATCACCCCATCATGAGAATAATTCTGGCCCTACACCAATGGATCTCGATAACATGAGAATGTTGGTTGCCAACCTGTACACCTCTCTCCATCAGCAACGACCAAACAGAAACCACTCCAAGCCAAGCTCGCTACCCAAGCTCACAGCAGCTGAACGAGAACGTTGCGTTCGTGAGGGGCGTTGTTTCAGATGCCGGAACCGAGGTCATAGAGCCGAACAATGCCAACGCACCTCTGTCTTTAATATAGAAAACAATGACCATACGCTTTCTGAGTCGGGAAAAGAGGAGGGCGAGCAGTAAACCAGGCCTGCCTCGCCCCCTCTAGCCCCAGCCTTCAAGCCCTGGATAATAGAGGGCATGGTCAGTTACAGTTGATGACTACAAATAAAAATCCTTTGTGCACAAATATAACATCCATGCCCCTTTCTGATCACTCTATTGCTCCCACTGCATCTACTTCCTTACATATACTCTCTAAGTATTCACCTCATCCTGATCCCCATTCCCCTACTCATTCCTCATTGCTAAAAAACAATCCCCTCTCCGACCCTATTTTCCCCTCCACTGATCCTTTCACTGTTTCCACTTCACTCACTTCCACTCATTCATCTACCCCTAGTTCATCCAATCGCCACTCCCATTGTCGTAACGAAATTCGCCTTCAATCCTTCAGCCTTACCTATGACAAACATAAAAACTCTCGCCGACTCCTTACTTTCATTGGAGCAGTGAATGGTCGACCTGCGCGCATTCTTGTAGATGGAGGGGCCGAAGGCAATGTCATAAGTTCCTCTTTCTGCGAGAACACACATGTTCCGCTAATTGAGGGTAGACCCATTCCTGTCATTCTTCCCAACGGTACCGAGACAATTGCTCAGCACACAGCCACGTTCACCCTCGCCCGCAACGCGTATCAGGATAAAATCAACGCCATTGTTTATCCTCTATCCAAATACGACCTAATTTTGGGTAAACCATGGCTGACGGATATCAACCCTCGCATCAATTGGCGAACAAATGATCTGCATTTTGAATACCAAGGTACCCCGGTCTTGTGGCCTTGCACTGGCATCGACAGGAAGCCTAGACAGCGATCTTCCGTCATATCTGCTCTTAACTTCCTTACCGTTGCCTCGGAACCTGATGCCTCTGTATTCCTCGCCCAAGTTCGAGTTCCAGTACCTGTCTCTAGCAGTAGTTCTGAACTACCGGACTCTATCAAGCAAATCGTTCAAGTCGAATTCCCTGATGTCTTTCCTACAACACTTCCCGATGGCCTTCCCCCTGACAGAGGTGATAGCATGCGTATAGAGACTGACCCTTATGCTGACCCACCTGTCCGACCTGTCATCAGATTGTCGATCGCTGAGCTTGATGAACTGAAGAAGCAGCTAACTGATCTTTTACAAAAAGGATTAATCTCACCGAGCACCTCACCATACGGTGCTCCAGTCCTCTTTGTGAAGAAAAAGGATGGCTCGCTTCGAATGTGTGTTGATTATCGGGGCCTGAACAAGATCACAAAGAAAAACAGGTACCCCTTACCACGGATCGATGAATTGATCGACAGATTCAGAACAGCTAAATGTTTTACCAAGCTGGATCTACTCTCGGGCTATCATCAAATGCGTCTCCATCCTGATGATAAACACAAGACCGCGTTCCGAACTCGCTATGGCCACTACGAGTTTAACGTCGTACCTTTCGGTCTTACAAATGCACCAGCAGCGTTCTCGACTATGATGCGTAACGTACTTGATCCACTTCTTGATAAATGTGTTGTTGTGTATCTCGATGATATTTTAATTTACTCCGATAACGAGAAAGATCACTTAGAGCACATCCGACAAGTACTCTCCCTCTTGCGTCAAGCTGGGCTTTATTGTAAATTATCCAAGTGTTCCTTCATGCAGGAAGAGACTGAGTTCCTAGGCCATGTCATATCCAAGGATGGACTCAAGACGAATGGCGGACTTGTCAAGGCAATAAGGGAATGGCCAGTACCAACAACCCAACGACATGTGATGCAATTCCTTGGTTTGACTAATTTTTACCATCAGTACATTTCTCATTACGCTGATATTGCTCTTCCCCTCACACAATTGTTAGGCTGCAATAAGGAATTCCACTGGGGAAAATCTCAACAAGACGCCTTTGAGACTTTGAAAAGAGCAGTGAGCTCAGCACCAGTTCTTAGGATATTCGATCCTGCCCTCTCTACAGCAGTCGAAACAGACGCTTCAGGCTTTGCAACTGGTGCTGTCCTGTTCCAGACGGACCAAAATGGTG